TTTTAAATGACCAATCTATTTGAACAAATACACCACAGCTTTTCTTGACGTGTAAAATGAACCAACCTATCTAGTAATTAGTGTCTATCTTGTACTTAAGGTTTTCCTATTTAAACTTACAGCGTACTCACTAATCACCAACTTTATCATACTAACAGAAAACTATGTTAAGCTAACTTCCTAAGTTAGGCGTAACAAGATAACAATCTTGCTACCTAGTTATAGTACTTTACAAGTCAAGAATGTAGGTTTAAGATAATGCTTTAGTTGCATCACAATATAAAAGTTAGGTCTAGTTCCAATTGAAAATTGCTCTCTTGAGAAGTGGAAAGTGGTAAAATTTCGTAAATATAAAAAAAATCTATTAGCATTTAATCTTCCATTACGCCACTCCAAGCTTCTTAGTACTCCTCTGTCATAAAAAAAGTAAAAGTTCGAATTGGTATCAATGTGCAATTGCCATCTAAGCTTTATTTTTATACATAACAAGCTGTGTCAGCGACTTCGCCCGCGTAGAATAGTTATTTTAGTTCAAATTTTTTACCCGCGACATCGGCCGCGTCCAGTCTCTCGCGACCCGTCGTTCGGATTCCGTCGTTTTAGAAAGTTAATCTTAAAAGATAGACATATAAAAGGACATAAAAGGAGTGACAGCGAGTTTATTGCCAGTTCTTCTCGTTCATTCTACGCCCTTGATTTGAGAACTGGTAGTAAATGTAAAGTTAGATTCTATAATTATTTTGTGACGTTCATAAGTGTACATGAATAATTGATTTTTTGAATTTTATAGTGTCGCGGACATTTTTTGTAGATCCTTTAAAGAGGAATCATTCTTTCGTACATATTTTTTGTGTGTATAGAAGAGTTTCCGCAACGTACGGATTCGAAATCCAAAAAGTTAAATATTTGTTGCCGATTTTCCACACTTCCCGCTGTTTCTTCGCTCCTATTAGCCTATAGAAGTCCTCGATTAATGCACTGACCACCACAAAAAGAATTTTTTAATTCGAACCAGTAGGCCCTGAGATTAGCGCGTTCAAACAAACAAACTTTTCAGCTTTATATATTAGTATAGATTACTCGGTAATTTTGTTAGCTTATTAATTTCCTATAACGCAGGTTCGAGCAATATTACTTAGTACATATGGCTTCATATACACTACAGTATTATATCGTCGATGTGTGATTCATGTAATGAATTAACAATGCAACCCCAAACCCCAGTGTCAATTTCTGTAGTGTAACTTGATAGCTTGTGTATGTCATATTACCTATTAGATATAGAATGCCGCCCTCATATTAATTTAAGAGGATGTGGCTAGGAAGGTTCTGAACTTACTTTAAATTCTGTCTAGTAGTTTAGGAACAGGAATATTTTTTATGATAGAGGAGTTAGACCGGCATGGGAATAACTCTAAATAAAAGGCGCTTTCTATCTATACTGCCTGTTCTTCGCGACTAGTGCACATTTAAACAAAACGGGTTAAAACGCGATATATTTCAGTTAAACTTGTTTGAAAAAATATATGGCTTGCCGCCCCGTGACCACGGCTATTTTATCTTGGGATATTCTGAAATCCACAGACTAAATCCGAAACGCGACTAAAATACACGGCTTTTTAATCTGTGCACGATTCGTGAACTGTAGGGAATTTCAATATTCCTACCACCAATTTAGTATCCGGATGTTCAGACGAAGACCAACATATTTCAGAAAAATTATAAATTGATTTGAAAAATGTTGGACTGGTGGGAATTGATTTCACGACCTGTTGGTTAAGACCAACGAGCCTGTCATTAAAAAGAACTAGACTTCAATGTCCTACCGGACCGAAGTTACTAATCCCCGGTAATCTTAACCAGGACAACACAGCCTTAGCACGATGCTAATCGTTTCTATCAATGTAGGATTTATCTCAATCAAAAAACATAGGAATTATCGAATTATTTAATATTCATAAATTCATGGCAAATAAACGAGTGAATAATTTCGAGCAATATAACAAGTATTTTATCTAATAAAACTTCAAATAACTCTATAACGTGAACACAATGTTTACACAAGTCGAAAATAAGTAAAAAGTACGTGTTTATTGCTCGAAAAACAAACACCCTTTACAATAATCCGTTTTTAATTTATAAAAATGTATTTATCTGTATAATCTACTTTACATAGACTTACGCGGACATAGATAATAAACTACACAAAGAAATCAAGAATAGACAAACTAGAAAGAGTAAGCAATCGTGCAACATATACCCGTCTCTTTCTTTTATGCGAGCCTGACCAATTTTAGAAAAAGACAATGCGTTCAGGACCGTTAATTGTTTCTCGCATTTAATAATTCAATAGACACTTTGTCTATTACCTATATCACATTTTTAAAATAGCAACTACGCATTGACGAACAATAATTGAATACACTATTTCTTAGATTCACCGCAAACACGCTTTTTAAATTGTGTCAAAGTCAATTCCGAGATGCAGACGCAGTATTTTATGGCAATGGTAACTATGTGCAAATTTTAATTTCGATGTAAATTCACAATAGAATAGAATAGATCGCATATCACAATAGAATCAGTTCGAGGGGCAATTCTCAAGAGAGCGATATAAATCTCCGCCGTCAATCTTATGTCACTGAATGGAGAATTGCACCTCAATTAATATGGTCTGTATTATTTAATAATTGACAATTTTTTTGAAAACGGCGTATTCGTATATCATTAAAATTGCGTAAAATTCATCGTCACTAGTACTTACTTTACCTAAACTATAATATTATATAATAATGGACCAGTGATTGTAATACAAAAAAAAATAGGTGAACGATTTATTTTTTCACAAAATATGTAAAACGTTCAAAATAAGGCCATTCAATTATTTAGCACCACCCCGCGTATCAGTCTCCAACTCTACACCGATCCGGTCACGATAGCCATGACTCAGATTCAAAACTACCCTCATTTTTAAATATATAAATTTTCATAATTAAATTTGTACGATAGTGCAATATGTAAACTTCGTGTCACAATACAATGATAAAATCTAAAACATGATTAATTAGCTTCTAAAGTATAAGAAACATCGCAACATCTAAAAATCATTTAATCTTAAAAATCGATTTCCAATATAAACTTACTTTAAAACGATCTACAATAACAATAAACAATTAATGATATTTAATGATCTTTGGTTTCAAACTTACGAACTGCGTATAACCATTCTGAAACTGTTGACAAGGGGGCAATTCTAATAGTCATTCAGGATTGAAATTATCTTGTTATGAAACTTGCTGCGTTGGGAAATTGCACCCCAGATATATTTCTCAAAAAAACAAATCAAGTATGTAAATATGTTTACATGATTGAGTAAAATGATTACAAAAAACACCAATTTTAGAATGATTAGACTAGCAAATGACCCTCTTATTTTCACTAACTACCTACATTTACAAAATGACATTAAAACTTCCTCTAAACGGCAAGTAAGTGTTAAGGCCCATCGCATGGTACTTTTAGCAGTACGTATTACAATTGAATACGTGCTAAAAATGTGTGGTGGGCCTTTATAACTACAATATACACTTAATTATTGCATTTATAAATTATTTAACACTATCGCATTACAAGCGGAGGTAATATTAACAGACTGCTGTCTAGTTCTTTATAAAAACGAAATATATTTACAACTTAACACCTGTAAAAGCAAATGCATCGAGGAACAAACAAATATATATTACAACTTCTGTCGAGTCCATAATCCATAAGCCAACTGTATGGACAAAATATACACGGATAATTGACATTTTAAATTGAACTTTATTCCAAAGGAATAAGTGTGCTTTTGGAATTGCTACAAAAACTTGTATTATTTATAGTTTTTTGTCTAAAAAAGCTTGTACAATCTATCAAAACACGGGGTTTTTCGTTGTATGCGTATAAGATATCTTGTTCCCAATCTTAAAACTAAGATCTATTTATTATTTAAATAAAACACTTTAACGGTTTAAAACGCGATATATTAGTTAAATGATTTTTAACTTCGGCCGACGTTTCGGATGCTTTGCAGCCAGCCGTGGTCACGGAGAATCATTTTCAAATAAGTTTAACTAATATATCGTGTTTAAACCGTGGATAGTTACGTAAAAATTTTATGACACCTTGGCATGGATCATATTTCTCCATCGAATTGAAAGGCAAGTAGTTATTTTTTATTTCGCTAGGATTCAAACCATAGACCTCCCGTGCTTAACGCAATGATACGCAACAAGCTTAGCAAAAATTTTGAGATATAATATACACACGTGGATATATTTTTAGGTCATTTAAAATATATTCGTTGTCATATACAAACATGTAGATTATAAATACATAAAACATCGACAATTGTTGTCATATTTCTATTATCGACAAGCGAACAACCCTATGGAGTGTTTGAGCAACAGAGTTCAGCATAACATTTTATATTGCACACTTATTGTACTATAACAGAGATTTGTTTTTTAATTCATTTTTTTACTGTAATTCAATGTTGAAACGGGACAGCAATACGAATATGTTCAAGAGTAAAAGAGATGGCACTTACTCAAATACAATTAATGTTAAAACATCAATTCTCTAATCAATTAGACAATCTTGGGATCTCATTCCTAATCCCCCCTCTCCCCTTTTTTAAGTGTGTTAAATAAATGACATTGCTGACAACTTATTAGTATCTTGGGACCTCATTGCAAAAAGGGGGCACCCCTCCCCTTTTTACTGTGTTAAATTTATGTCATCGGTGACAAGGCATTTGTGTCAATTGACTGTAAATGATTGATCAACAAAACATGGTCAAAAAAGCCACAGAAGACATAAATGAGACCGTCAATATTATATGTTAACAATTAGTCCAAAACACATTGGGCAGAACGGACCAAATATTTAGCCCCTACAAACATTTGTCCATCCGGACTTCGTCAAAATTGAGATTTCACACCGAACCTTTTGTGCGCCGTTCAATTGTATTCGTCCATAAATCGCTTGCACATGTGCACGAGGTCAATGAACTTGGGCCTCATGTTGGGGTCCAACGCCCAGCAGTCTTTCATGAGGTGACGGAATATTTCTGACGGACACCCATCCGGTATTTGGAAACTGCAGAAGGATAAAAAAACTATTAATTAAATACTGTTCTTTGTTTACGCGAATAGTACACATTTAAATAAAGCACTTCAATGGTTTAAAATGCGATATGTATTAGTTAAACTTGAAATTAATACGTGGTCAAGGTTTATCTAAATTATAAAAATGATGATTCAAATGTCAAAACTGCAATATTATGACGAAACAGGTGAACGGCTCAAAACGCGTACAGATATTAGTTGAACCTCTATTCGTATGCTTTGCTGTAACCGTGGTTACGGAACTAAAATGGAAGCTGTGTCAAATACTGCAAACTAACAACAGGTGGCCTAACTGGTCTTAACTAACAGTATTAATATATCCTTACCAGGAAGCTCTTTCTCTCGGTCGTTCCACGTCAAACTTGGGGACTTCAAGTCGTGCGCGAGTTAATATTTCCCAAGCCGTCACTCCGTACGACCAGACGTCACTCTTAGTAGAAAAATGCCACGGCTCCACAGCCGACTCCGGCGCATACCTAAAATCGAATAAAACCTCCATTAAAGGAGCGAATTTTTCGGAAGCATCGTCATGTACGACGGGCCTTTGACAGACAATTGATCTAATGACAACGCGGCTAATTAATCAACAAATCGTGGGTTAATTCCCTTTAGGCTTTGAAATGTTTCTGGTAGTTAATTCATGTTGTTTTCCTAATAATTGGATATCGTTATACCCGCACACAGTGTTTCTTTCACTCTGTGGATATTATTTTAATGTTAGTTGTTAGTTTCTGCTACAGAAATATATAATTACGCAATAATTTAGCTTATGGTTCTCTAGTTTTAGTGATATTTCACAGTGACCTAATGACGTCACGAAGCCGTGACGGTTATACAACGTTTTTGGGCATTTTAGAAACATACTATTAGGCTCTCTTTAGGTTTCAAAATATATTTTTATTATAGGTATGTATAATTTGAAAATTTTCAAAATTAGTCACAATCCCCATGAAAACAAAAATGTTAATATACCAACCAATTAATAGGCAGTAATCTTTCAGTCTTTATTCTGTAAGCATTCTCCTCCTTTGGTATGATCCGTGCTAAGCCAAAATCGGAGATCTTAACATGGTATTTGTTCACCACCAGAATGTTGCGTGTTGCGAGGTCACGGTGTACGACGTTCTTTGCGGAAACATGGTCCATACCCTAAAAAGTATAAGAAGGATTAAGTAAAAAAATATGTTTTAATATCTATAACGTTTTTTTTAATTAAAGAGTACGACAGACAATCATGCGCATAATTTGAAGGAAAGTAAAATATCTATTTTAGCTTTGAATAATCGGAATCCACTGTTACCGGAACGCGATTAAGCTTGACGGCTTTTTCATGCTCTGGACGGTGGTCTCGGGGATTAACGTAATTACGATAGTATATACTACGATAGTATATTTAACATCCCGATATCCAGACGAAGTCGGACATGTTTCAGAAAAATTCAAAAGTAATATATTGGACCCGATGGGGATAAAACCCACGACCCGTTTTTATTAGCCATCCATTGTATTACCAACGAGCTCGTATGCGAGGTTTAAAACGTTAAATGTTTTAGTTAAATGTTACTTAACTCTAAAATCTTGACAAATTTGTTTTTCAGATCTATTCTACCCCTGAGACCGTAGATTTTATTACTTTAATAGCCCCCTGAAGAGTCGAGAAACAAGTTGTGCTAATACTTATTGCTTTTACTAAAATTCATTCAAATGTGTACTCGCGTAAACTACAGACAGTACAGTTACTTCCAAAACTCACAGTGGCAATATCCTTGCAATACTTAAGAAGGTGGGACAGGCGTAACTTATCCCCCTGGAACTTGAGGTAGTAGTTGAGCGAGCCCTCTTCCAAATACTCCATAACGATCAGCACATCAGACCCGTGGTCCCAGGAGTAACCCAGGATCTCCACAATGTTTATGTGTTGCAACGACTGTGAATGATCAATATTTGAGTTATAAAAATATAAATAATATTAAAGCAACATATGAAGTTAATTTGTTTATAATAGAGGACAGACGAGCACGGAGTTCGCTCGATGGAAGGTGAAATAACATCCAGCCACATAACATCTACACAAGATGCGTTGTCGTCCTATTTTGGCTTTGTTTATTCGGATTTATGTATGTTTTTCGAATTAAAGCTTGTTACCTGATTACTAAGTTATATTTATCTTAAAATACATTAAAAATCTATGTAGAGGGATTGGATTGAAGAATTTACGACACGGGCAGGGCATGGAGTTTTGAATCCATATAGATTTTCAATTTTATATAAAGCTATCATGTGCAATAAATAACATGTGAAAATTTGTATAACATATTTCAGAAATATTTAAGTCAAATACTGTCTTTTGTTTTCGGGGGTAGTTCCCCGTCCGTCTCCCCCCGCCCCCCGCCCCTCCCCCCCCCCCCCGCCGGGGGGGGGGGTTTTTTTTTTTTTTTTTTATAACTAATATCTTTCTAGTTAAATATTTAAGTCGGCACATTCTCCTTGACTTGCCTTTTTTTAAGCAATTGTCAGTATTTGTGTTGTTTTATACATACATTTAAATGGATGGTATAAACATTTGAAAATTTTATTATTTTTCACATTTTATTGCACATGAAGGCACTATACAATTTAAAAATGGAAAATAAATAGAATTTTTTTTTTCAATTTATTTTCGACGACGATGTGTAGGACTCGGTAGCTGAATTGGTAGAGCAACAGCACGGAACGCTGACGATGCCGGGTCAAGTCCTACCCGAGTCGAACATTTTTTCAATTTATTTTCGATTTTTAAATACCAGCAAATTATATTACTTACCTTCATAATCTCCAACTCGTTCTTGAAATCTTCGTATAAACTGCCATTTCTCTCCGACTCCTGACGCGTCAACTTCTTGACAGCCACTTCCTTCCTTTGAGATTCTTGATTGTCGCGTTCCATCCACCCTTTGAATACATGACCGTAGTTACCCTGGGATAATAATAGTTTTTTAAGTGGACCATCCCTCTTTTGTCAATTTTTGTTTTGTTTACGCGACTATTTAAATAAAACACTTTAACGGTTTAAATCACGAAATATATTAGTTAAACTTAATTGAAGATTAATTTAACTACGGCCTGACTCTAATGCCAAAGTAAAAACTGCTACGCTAGCGCCATCCGTTTTGTCGTAGTTGATATTTGGCGAAACTGGCCGCGTCCTTGGAGAATTTATTGTTATATTTTATATTGACATTTTAATAGGGGGGGCCGGCGCCAAGTTATCAAACACCTGGGATCCCATATTAAAAACTCTGGATTCCAAAAACAGTATACAGGCAAATGCTAAGACATCGTTAGTCAATTTTGGATTTCTAATGTAGTTTGTCACTATGCTATTGACTATGCTATAATGTTTGCAGACATGAATGAATGAATAAATAAATAAATAACTTACACTACCAATCTTCTTAGTGATGGTGACGAGGTAGGTCTTCCCCTGTGACACAATAGACTCCATGAGCCGTGGTGCTGAGCATGCGAATTCATCAGCCGTCTCCAAACCCAGGCCGAGACCCACTCCCAACACGCTGCTCCGGCTGCTTCGGCCGCAAGACAGCGTTTCGTTGCGCAGTGCGTAAGCTAACGCGTTCATGTTGTGCTCGAAGGAGTTTGCGCTCTTGTTGTCACCAAACTACGGGAATAATGCGATTATAGAAGCTTATCTTTACTAATATTATAAAGCTGGAGAGTTTATTGAAACGCGCTAATCTCAGGAACTCGTGGTTTAAATGTATTATTTTAGTGTTGGTGTTTCTTCGCTTCGTCAAACAAACAAACAAGCGAAGAAACAACGGAAAATGAGGAAAAAATTGGGGAAATTATACACCTTTTAGGGATTCCATTAGGTGCGATGCGTAAACGGTTCAAGAAACCAAGATATATGTATGAAATAATGATTTAGCTTTCAATAATCTAAACAAATGTCTACGACTGTATACGTCTAATTTTTGAACCGCTCTAATGGTAATGAAATTTGGTCGAAATTAATGCATTATTTTCAATTATTTGTTAAACTTTTATTAAAATAATAATATTCATCTTAAGCAAGTTTGATCAAAATGTTTGATAAAATGACTCCAGATGTTTCTGACGCTTTGCAGCATTGCAGCCGTGGTCGTGGAGGACCATACCAATTATTAATAATTATACTTATTGTTAGTTAATTATAAGCAATTGCTTAGTTACATGTTTGTATTCTTCATGAAAAAAATATTTAAAGAAAAGCGGCAAAAAATATACAAATTAATGGTAATTTGGTTTTGATTACTTACCATATTATCATAATGATCCGACATGGTACCATTCATCGATGGTGCACTGCTGTCAACTGATATGAGAGACTTATTGCTGCCGGCGTCACTCAATTCGCTTGGGATAAATCTGTCACCTACGAAAGCAAATATTTATTATAGCCATCACAAATTTAGCATGGCAGTAGGACAATACTGGTATATTTCCAGATGGTTCTGATCCCGATTTAGCAATACTTTGTTTCGATCGCAAAGGGCAGAGACGTTTTAACAACTACATGAAATAAACATAAAGGTCTTATGTCTTCTTGTGTCTTGTGTCCATAAGTGGAAACGGGATTCCGCTACATCGATAGTAACATTTACAAACATTTTACACTTTACAACTCTCAAACTTAGCGTTTATAAGTGATAGGTAAATTTATTTAGACTTTAAGTTTCGCACTTCCAGCACATTCCCCTAATTTAGGTTTTTGTTACATTATTTTCCTAGTAAGGGTCGCCTGGAAGAGATCGCTTAATAGCGATAAGGTCGCCCGTTACACTCCATACTTTGTAGATATTATTATGATTGTCAGTTCATTGTAATTGTGTGCGTGGGTTGTGTAAAAAGTATAAATAAATAAAATAACATTACTATACAAATATATAGTTGTAGCCCATAAGAGAACTGAAGTGTTTGACTTACTCGAAACAGTATCAGCATGTTCCAGGTGGTCGAGAGAAATCTTCGGTTCCTCATATTCGTGTATTGGGACGTACTCTGAAAAATGGCAAAAAAATACTCTATGTTAGATTGAAAAAAATTACGACCCGGGGAGGACTTGAGTCGGCATCCACGGCGTTCCGTGTTAATTTAACACATATTTAAACTTAGTTTCTTTAATTTATGTTTAAATTATAAATGTATAGCAATATAGGTATATCATAAAGACAAAATGATTATAATTGCAAATATTTTGAATATTTTGTCTTTGTTTACGTAGCGGCATGATAATATAAACATAACACCAAAAGCGATAAGAAAAACACTAACAGACAGCGCATTGGCTTATGCATGAGCCCGCACCTACACTCGCCCGCCTCCTCCGCTCCTCCAAGAAACCCATTGCCCGGCCGGATTACTGGGATCACCGAACAAGCGGGGTCCGGATTACCGAAGCCGTACTATATGTGCATTTACCTCTATGTAGCATATGGTTCATATCTCGCATGATCTCTTGCGGTCTCAACGGCTCGCTCTGCCAGCATTGCCTCATGAGGGCCCACACTTCGCTGGGGCAACGAGCTGGGCGAAGAAGACGATCGCCCATTTCGTAACTCTAAACATTCACGAAAATATTTTAAATAAACGGAACTGTGAGTACTGTCTGTAGTTTGCGACAGAATCATTAATATAAAATTTTTTGAACGGTTTAAAACGCGAGATATTAGATAAATTATTTGTATATTAACTACAACTTGACACTGTCACCAATTACAACGTAACAGATGGCGCTAGCGTAACAGAATCGACTGAAGACAGAATACTGGGGGTTTGAAGATGAAGGGTGTGCTTAATGTCAAGGACCCCCATCATCTTCAAATCCTCCGTGACCCCACCCTGATCGTAGATAATACGAAAAAAATAATTTAACTTCGCGTTTAAAACCGTCAAGTGTTTTTATTTAAACACGGTACCTTGTCTTACTTACGTCTTTACGTAGATATATAGAAAAAAATTGTGATAGATAGTTACATCTTTTCGTATAGTTTTCTAATAGTACTAAAAAGTAACTGTTATTTGAAATAAATAGTGAGTACTCTTGCTTTTTGTGTAACTCAAATTTAATATTTATAAACAATAAACAGTTCTGCAGATGGAAACTTTTCTAAAACACATAAAATTACCTGAAGAAAACCAAGTTATCATCGTCTCAGGTTAAAGTAGTGGCGTCGTAACGCGTTACGTAACAAAGTTAATTTATGTCACATAAATGATCAGTGAATACATACCCTCGCAGTTAGTACTGGGTTGGTGTGAGTCGGGGATTGTCCGTAAGAGAACACCTCCCACAATGTCGTCGCGAAGGCCCATATATCGCCAAACTACAGATCTCCTTGCTAGGGTCATGTCCGTGAAGAAATCCACCGGGATCCAATGTACGCTAGAAATGAGAAAAGGAAATGAAATTTAAATTATAATAAGAGAAAAAAACTTTATTTTTAATTTTTTTGTGTTCATAAGAAAAAACAATCTTGTTCGTAGTTTTCGCGAGTAGTACACATTCAAAAAACAGGTTAAGGGTTTAAAACAATTCGAACGCCTCCCTCGTCAGTCCCCTATCCATGTCCAAGTCCACTGACAATGGCGGCTGCGAAGCTTCAGAAACGTCGGATAAATTGTAAATAAGTTAATTAACGATTTCGCGTTTTAAACCGTTAAGTGTTTAATTTAAAAAAAACTTAACTTACATGAAGATAAATAGATATATGTAAATGGATTCGAATGCAGGACCTCTAATGATTAAAGTATTTACTTAGTACTTTGGGCTTGTATTAACATTTTTGTACAACTAATTTGTTTTCATTAAACTAAAAGATATTAGATTATGTATATATTGTTTTGATGTGTATGCGGAATTTATTATTTCCTATGAAAATACTAACTCCTGTGGCGTATACTGCCTCAACGTAGGTCCTGATAGCTTAACGATAATTCTATCTGCCTGATGAGAAGCGAGGAGCAACCGCCGACACCTGATGTCACCATGAACAACACCGGCTTCCGACAAATCCCACAGCGCCCTGGCTAGACCGGCCGCTACTTTCTTTAGATGTAGAGGCTTCACTCTTTCTTCATTTTCTCTGTATGAAATTACAAGTATTAAATACAAAAATTTTGATTGATCTAATGGTAGCAATGTATGGCTAATCAATGGGTCGCGGGTTCGATCCCCACCAGGCCCGACATGTTTCCTTATCAATTAATTTTCTGAAATGCTTCGTCTGGAAACCTGGATATTAAATGGATGGTAGAAATATACAAATTTTGTCCAGGTCACGAACCACTGTCCACAGATGAAATAGCCGTGAAGCTTAATCGCTTTTCGGTTTCAGTCTGTGGATTTCCGAATATCCAAAGCCAAAATAGGTCGACACCACATCTCATTTAGATTCTATAGGCTGGGATATATCACCTACCATTGAATAAGCCCCGTGCCATGTCTATGCTCCTCTATCATAAGAAAAATACGATCTGTAGCTTACGCGAGTAGTACACATTTCGATAAACTACTATCTATAAATAAAATACGCGAAATGTATGAGTGGAACTTTAAAAAATATTTTATCTATGGCCCGGTATTTCGGATGCTTTGCAACAGTCACAGTCACGGGGGAGACACCCAAACAAAATTTTAAATAAGCTTAACTTATATACTTTGCATTTTAAACCGTTAAAGTCTTTTATTTAAATTATAATGACTAGTTAATTGCTTTTTCAATAAACGTGTGTAATAAAAAACTTTGTGTCCTTTAGTATTTAGATTTTTTTATAGAGGACATAAAAGCGTTGTCTTCACTTGGTGGAAGGGGAAATACCCCAGCCATACATCTAAACAAAATGCATTGTCGACTTATTTTGTCTTTGGATATTCGAAAATCCACAGATTGAAAACGAAACGCAAGTAAACTTTATGGCTTTTTTATCTGTGGACGATGGTACGCGAACCGAACGGAGTTTTGATATTCTTACCACACTTCACTTGTCGCAAAACTTGCGGTTATCAATACGTTTATATTTTTTATATGGTAGTTAATAAAATCTAGGTCTCGCATACCTAAGATAAACATCAAAGGGTCCAAACGGTAGATACTCCAAGACAAGCGCAGTGGGCGAACTCAACGTAACGCCGTAGAGACGCACTATAGAGCTCGACTGAACACAAGCCCACTTACTCGCTAGCTCTATGAAGTCCTAGAAACAATAAATAAAGAAATATTGGCACGTATATTGTGTACTCCGTAGTAATAAGTATACAATAAACAGAAAATAAGAGTTGGCAAGAAACTCGCCAGCACTCCTTTTGTCGCCAAGATTTAAAAAAAAGCTTTAACTACGCTGATTTTCAGATATCTATTGGGAGATCGCTAAGCACTACGGCCCGACGTTTCGAATGATTTGAAGCAGCCTGTTCTCGGCTGCAAGCATCCGAAACATCGGGCCGTAGTTAAAATAAGTTACCTACTATATTTTAATAAACTTAAAAATTGATCTATTAAAATAAATATAAATATGGTAAGCTAAAAATTTAAATATAGAAAGATTAAGAAGAAAACATCTTACAATAGATCTCTGAAAAACCGCGTAATAGACTAACTTTGTTGAATAAGACTTGAAAATAAAAGGAGTGGCGGCGAGCCTTGTGCCAACTCTTATCGTTAGTCCTTAACTTTAGAATTGGGAGTAAATTAACTTCAGTATTAATGTTCATAAGTGTAAGGAGTTACCAGAATAAGTGATTTTAACAATTACCTTTAAATAATCATTAGCTCTATCCCTCTGCAGTGTTTTAAATGCAACCTGCAATTTTTTCGTCTCATCTAGCCTCCATAGGGCTTTGTATGTGGCTGTTATATTCTCCGAGCCAACTTTTTCTGATCCTATAGAAAAATCAATTTAGTATTTTTTAAGTGAAAACTATATATAGACATATTATATTTATTTTATGTGTTTTTCATGCTTGATTAAAAATTGGCAGATAGAATACTTATTATTAAAATTATTAAAATGACTAGTAGTTTTTTAAGCTATGCGCGAACGCCAAACATACTAATTATATTCAATAATTATTACTAGGAAAAATACCTGTATAGAGTAAAATATCCTTATTTGGTAAACATCGTGGGCTCTTATTATCTTTAAGGATATCCTGTAACTCTGCTTGGTCGATCCGAACCCCTTTCTTCACTGGTTCACCACATAGCAATAACTGGGACTTATCTAGAAGGAAAAAGATAAGTATGAAAGAAGCACAATTGATTTTGGTTTATTTTTATGCAAGTTTGTAAGGTTTTTTAAGACGATGAACTCTTAGACTATGTTTACGTTGAACGTAGTTTAAGAGTCAATCACTAACATATAAATTATTAAATTTTTCTGACGTGTAAGTTTATAGCTTTACCATATTCAGACGGAGGAATACATTCATTGAGGAATATCCTTCCTTCAGGGTTCTGGTGACAACTGACTAGCCGTTCAATGCTGAAGTATTTCTCCTTGTTGAAAACGTAACCATCTCCTTTGAATTCCAGTAAATATGTTTCTGTTGCGCTGCAAAGGAATGACAATTTAAAACAGATTAGTTTATGAGTACTGACGAAGTAGTTGGAAATGTGTTTTGGACTTAGAATAAATCACTATCTATCTATTTATATAATATCTATCTATCTTCGACGGTCTCATCAACGGGCCGTGGGTTCGATACCTACCGGGTCAAACATGTTTTGTCTAATTTTTTTTATTTTTTTGAATGTTAGACTTTGTCTAAATCTGGATATTCAATGTGTGGTGGAAATATAGAAATATCGTCCAGATCACAAAAAGTCGTCAAGTTTAATTGCATTCAGGGTTCAGTCTGTGCATTTCTGAATATCTAAAGCCAAAATGGGTCAACAGCACATCGTGTTGATCAAGTTATATGGCTGTCCTGCTCTAACATAGAAAAATACATACCTATTTTTAGTGCATACATCTAAATAGTAAACGTTGTAGTCATCCTGACATTGCCTTAAGATGTAGCAGCCGTACTTTTTACCCCGTTTCTCTTCTAGCTTGCGATACGAAAATGCACCACTGCAAATAAATTATACTCATCATATTGTTATATAACTTGATATAGCAGATAGAGAGCCAATAACGAAAATATATTATAAAAAATTTAAATTAAATAATTTTGGTTCGCCCTAATAACTCAAATTTCTTAAGTTCTTGTACTCAATTATAAAATCATTGAATAAATAGCAGGCACTTATTAAGGCGCTTTTATTAATATTTAAATATTTTTTCCTATGTTAAAAACTTTTTTAGTCATATAAGCAGGATAAAAATACGTTTTATCTGTAGTTAACTTCCGTAAAACACTTCAAAGGGTTTAAAACGCGAAATATATCAGACGTATTATTTTTAATTTACTTTAAGTATGGGCCGCCGTTTCGGGTGCTTTGTAGCAACTGTGGTCACGGGGGAAATTTATAAATATACAGAATACACTCATGCAACTTTAAAATATGGCGTCATTATGTAATATAGAAAACTTACCCTACGGGTCCATGACATTTTATTCTCTGAAGTTCTTTAAGAGATGGTGTTTCATCATCTTTTGAAAGATTAAAAGTCCATTTCACCATTAACCTAAAAAAAACATATGTATATATACACTAAAATACTTTTGAAAACTTTATTTAAAATCTGTCACGACTTTTTTTCAACCCGAATTTTTTACTACATTATACTATATTACAATAAAAAAAATCTGCCATATCACTATGGGATATGGGGCATTAAAGTGTATCTACCTACCTGTAGTAACCGTCACAAACAGATATAAACGATGAAAGTTGTTCTTCAGACTTGAATTTGAGAAACAGCGGTGTCCCCCGCCTCGACACTTCTAAGCAGTTATCACCGTTTCTTGTAAGATATATAAGTTCTTCTATAGTGCAAGCGTGAAGCCACTGAAAAAAAGGTTCTTCATAGAAGTATATGTAAGGATATTTGTAAACCTAATACAGAAGCTACAAGATATTGCCAATTCATTTGACCATAGAATTCAGAAGTATTTGAAGTAACGTAAAACCTAAGTTGGGATTAAAAATACAAGTCTCCATACAGCTTTCACAAAGAATGAAAATAAGGAAGCGTTACATTTATGACAATGGAAGTGTATGTAAGAATATTGTGAGTACCTAATAAAGATATAAAAAAAGTATTTAATCAGGAAACATATTAACATTAATTTGATTGAAATTAATTTTGATATAGGCAATTGATTAAAACTAAAAAAAAATAAAACCAAGCATCATACATCGGAAAACTTAACTTTGATTTAAAAAATATAAGAATCAACATAAAGCATTCACAAAGAATGATGAAGCAGTTATGATTTAAAAGGAGTTGCGGCGAGTTTCTTGCCAGTTCTTCGCGTTCGTTTCACGCCCTTGATTTCAGAATGGTAGTAAATGTAAATTCTTTAGTTTTTCACTGACGTGACATGCATAAGTGTGTGTAGTTAACTACGTGAATGAACAATTTTTGACGACATCCAAAATAATGTTAAAAAATAAACATAGGTTTCATCATCTTATTTTACTTACATCTCGCTTCAAGGTATTATAAATTCTTATTCCAGGCTGGTGTGGATGGAACGGAGCAACGACGACTCTTACAGGTGTACTCTCAGTTCCATTCTGCCAAATAACATCCTTGTGTTCCTCAGCTAAGTAGTTCGGAGCCAACCCATACAGTTGCTGAAGGTACAAGTTCTTTACATAGCTGAAAATATTCACGGTTCATAGGTTAAGCTTTGGTGCATATTTATTGTTCGTGTCACACCTGGAGACGGCTATGAAGAGGGTCCGAGTTAAGACCTTATTGGTTAGTCGCCGTGAGGAAAGCCACTTGTCGTACTTATATTTATGTACTTTGTATTAAGTTAAAGGACAAGCAAAAATTAGCTGGCTCTAGGTAATATTAGGGTTTCCCAAGGAAAGCCACTGGCACCCGCTTGTATGCGTTGAAGTATTCCTTTTAGCATTTACTGAAACATGGACGTCTTTGGATAATCTAGATGTTAAACAGGTAGTAGGAATATCGAAATCCGGATCACATACCACCGAAATAAAAAATTAAAATAACTTGGTGGATTTCCAAAAGAGCCAAAGTATGCGGACACCACATCTTGTTTAGATGTTAGCCTGAGGTATTTCAAACGCACTTCTTTCTTATTTTACGCTTACCAATTTTGATTAAATTAGAGAAATATTTTAGATAAATCTCTCAATAATTTGACTTTCTACACTTACTTTACATTGTGACCTGCTGAACACAGCTGTGGAAGGCAGTCGTATGCGTGTTTCTTGGGAAACGGCCCGTGTCTTCTTACAATCACTTTGGGTATATACTTCTTATAATTTCTTACAACATCATTGAGTTGTAGCTTTTCTTCTAATATGGCACGCATCCTGGAGAAGATGTTTTTTAAGTACCGTCTGCAGTTTACCAGTTAGTATATATTTAAATAAAACACTTTTAATGTTTTAAAATGCGAAATTGATTAGTTAACTAAATTAAAGTTTATTTCAAGCCATGATTATGACAGCTGCAAAGCATCCGAAGTAAGGACTTGGTTGAAATATATTGTAAATAAGTTAAATAATACATTTCGCATTTTAAATATACAAAATACCGTAAATATTACAAAATGAAAAGGAGGAGTGTAGAAAATATTTTTTTGTGGTTTATAGAAGAGATAGTTAGATTGTTTTAAAGAACATCATGTCCCATTCAATCATTTATTATCAAAATTGCCTGTAATTGAAACCATAGAGGTAAGGCCAAGTCGGGAATAAAGGAACAGCAGCCAGCATTCAATTGGCAAAAAGATATAATATCAAATTTACTATAAATCTATGAATATTAATGTCTGTAAGTCAGTTTATTTATTATCAAATACATAGTAGTGAGGTCATGATAAATCCAAAACAACCATTTATTTTTCTTTTTAAGTAAAACAAGAAATTTAAAAAATACAATAGCAAACATTTATTTATAAGAATCCAATTAATTGAACAAAATAACTTGTTGTTCTTTAAGTTAATAAAAAGGCAATCAAATATGCTACACTAGGATAATGACATATAATTGTCTTGATGTCTGATGTCTAAATTGCTTTGTAATTGTTACCTATTGTCCTCCAAAGCTAATTTATCACTTATATATCACAGAGTCATTTACACAGTTATCTTTACAATTTATCACAAATATTATGTAACAAATTAAAATTCCTATTTATCGGACTCAATAATGTTATATGTTTTAGATGAAAGATAAAATTATGTAGACAGATTAATTAGCTCTCCTATTACTAGTTATTAAAATCAAAGCTTAATTTATTGTATGTGAAGATAAAAGTATTGTTTTTTTTTGTCAAAAATATTTAGACTATGGTCATTGAGGTTTTCTAAATCCTATTTATAGTCTTCAAAGATATATAGGTTGGGTTATTTGGAAGTTGCAAATATATGTCAAATAGCAATACTTTCATACATAACTTTACTCAGTGTAGACAACTTTGGGAAATGCAGTATTTAATTTATTGTTTTAAAAAATGTGTTTGTTTCAAATCACATAAACATTATTAATTTATATAAAAGAATTTAGTGATAGTAACAAGAAAATGATAATATAACTTAAATTAAAAAAAAGTGTTTGATAATGTGTTGTTAATACAATTATTTAAAAAAAATATTTGCAACTTAAATACTTACATATCTGCTATACCCAATCCTAAGAGTTCTTGTTTATGCTCAGGGTACTTCACTTCAGGTATTTTGTTCTCATTAACATCGTTCCTGGCTTGTTGGAAATAGTAGTCATAGGTTGTCATGTCAAGGGTTATCAATAAACTTAGTTGGGGAACCTTCAAATAATATTTTTATAAGCATCATTCTTATCAACAATTTAATGCAACAGTTCTAACATTACATTACTGAATTATATTATCAATTACCTTGAACCGTATTCTAAGTTCATAATCTCTTGAACTAGAGAGAACTTTGCAGTTATCTTTGAGGAAATAATCCGCGCCTTTAATCCTTAATCCAAAAAGAGTACGAGTCAAAGGTGGAATACTGTACTTTTTACACAAGAGTATACACAACTCTTCAGCAGTCAGGGTACTTGAACATGGCACAATATTAGGCACAGGATCGATCACCACAGCAACTTTAACTGTTTCATGTGCAGCCATGGTTTATTTGTAAACTTGAACTACAAAAAATTAGACGCCAACACTGATAAGGCTTAATCTAATTTATTATAGACATTTATAGTGTAAGTACATTTCACACTGGATTTGATCATCTTGTTATACGTTCATAACAAGTTATGCACATATTAAATAAATCAATGAAATAACAAAAATGTTTATTTATAAATCAAAAGGTCACCACCAGTCTCCACTTGGCACTTGCCATCATAGATAAAATAAAACTGATTTATAAATGACGATTATGTAACAGACTACAAAACCTATTTGATACCACAGATACAAAATTTACAAATCTGCGATTACTTTTGTCACGAATACTATAGTAAAATGATAATCTATATACATTTGTAACATAACATGCAAACGTTTTTCTGTTTTAAAGAAGACAATAATGTAAACCATTGTTATTATGGTTAAATTAAATGTACAGCAATGAAGATTCTATTTATTTATTATTAACCAGTGACACTTGATTAAAGAACTTTTCGGTTGTTAAATTATAAGACTTATTGGATTTTTGAAATATGGCAACATTACTATTTTTATTTCTGGCAATACTCAATGTTACTACTCGCGGTTTTTTCTGTCTTTTGCGTGCTTTGTGAAATTATTTTCTAGCTTGTCAATTTTTGGCATAAAAAATTGTTCTGTCGCCATTATTTTATTTTCAAAATTTTCACCAACAGTTTGTGTTTGTATTTACTAGTTTAGAATCATATGTAAGTACATAATGATATATCTTTTATTGTAGAAAGGCTCGTTTATATTGCACGTGTGAAGCCGGGTCATTCAAGCATTCTTTATTGTCTAGAATATTTTCTAATGGTTTCTAACGGTTAGATTTTAAGCGAGGACAATATTTTAATACCTTTTAAAAAGATTTGGGCGGCTAAAAGTATCTTGAATATTGTGAGTGGTTGTCGCTTTTGTAACTCAAGTTGTAACAAGTTATACAAAATCTCTTCAAAATATTGGTACTTTTATCTGTTAACCTTTCACTTATTAATCGTATATACCATTTTTAGTTTTAGATAATGGATGATGAATGGGATGACGCCTGTGATGTGGTGAGATTTTTATTTTTACTACTTATAATAATAAAAAAAAACGTAGAAATTATATGTATGTACATACAGTAAGATATTCCTTTCACAAAGAAATTATAGTAAGAGCCGTTTAGAGTATTGTTGTGTGGAATCTTCAAGAAATGTGTTATTCCAATTGTCTTTGATTGTACATTATGATCAGATTTAAAACACTGGAATGGAAGCCTACCTTAAACATAATATTTTTTGAATATATTTTTTATTTTGCTTTAGACAGTACAATTTTCTTTGTTACTGACAATATAAGTTATTTATTTGAACTAATTTAGGTGGTGCCTGCACCTCCAGTATACAACACTAATTCATATAGTAATGATGTTGACGAAGGACACAGCTTATCAAGGGGACGAGGGTTTCCATCATTTATAGAAGATGCCAATAGTGGTAAGTTCAACTAAGCTACAAAAAACAACAAAAAATACTTTATTTTCACCACAATGTTACAAAATAAACTTAATTAAAAAGTTTAAGCTTAAGCTAAGTTAAGTTTAAGATTAAGCTGTTGTGCAATTATACTTTGTTTCGACTCGGGGCTTGATATATTATATCTTGTCCCCGTTAATTATGAATATAATAATGTTACTACTAATGATGTTGTTTATTTGTACATAGGCTTGAAAATAATATAAAGTACTAAAACTGTTATGTACCTATTTGTCTTACTTGCAACAATTTTAGGCACATATTATTTAGAAACATGAGTTTCTTAATACAATTGCACCAGATAACTTTTTATTTTTTTTATTTCTTAATTTAACAAAAAAATTACGTTGTTTCCAAAATTATTTTTTTAGGTTATGACAAAGAAAGCAATGGTTTTGGCGAAAGACGCGGACGCGGTGGTAGAGGAGGCGGAAGGGGACGTGGTGGCCGCGGTGGGAGGGGAGGATTCAGGGATCGAGGCGATTTTGAAAATGGTGATGGAGGTATGTATCATACTTATATTTAGCTTTGATATTAATTATAAATCTTATAAAAAAAACACGACACAGGCGGTTGTGGTCACGGTATAGTATATACGATTTGTTAGAGAAGCAGCACCCTGAGGATTCTGGTTCAAAACTGTGTCGTAATTTTTTTCAACCTAAATATAATTTTAATTCATATAATGCAATGCGAAAACCATTAGTAAATACATATTAAGTCTTCAAATCAGCCTTCACTTACAAATTTCTTTGCATGCTTGTTTAAAATGTAAAGTAATAAATTTTGAGTTAAGTGTGTATTTTCAAGCACAAAAATTGGACACCTTGTCTTGTTCTTGTTTAATAAATTATGACTACTTATGTATACTGCAACAATATGTTGTTTATTATACTTAAAGTACTTGAACCACACCCTTTTGGGGCTTTGAATACCTTTTTTTGTGGAGTCAAGTGAACATATTGAGGTGTCAATTTTAAAAGCCACTTAAGTTGTTTTTGGATCGTAATTCTTAACAGTTGTGTTATGAAATTGTTCATACCTTAGTTTCATTTACCCTAATCGGTATAAACTTAAAATAAATTTAACATTTTTTGCATAATAATGTCTTATGGAGACATTACGAGTTAGTTCTAGCCTTAACTGACTAATTAGTCTATAGTTTTCGCGAGTAGTACGCAATTAAACAAAACACTTAACGGTTTTAAACTCCGCAAGGAGGAAATGGGGAAATGGGTGAAATGGTCAACGGACAACGTGGACTGATCACCCGTCCTGCCGAGGGTGTCCCCGATAGAAAATAATAATAACGGTTTTAAACCCGACGTACGAACATACAATTGCAAGATATACTTTACTACTAAATGTCGAGACTATGAAGATAAAAGACATCACTATCATCTCACCTTTAAGAGTTCTATGATTATGATAATCGTAGGTAGATATGTTTTTTCGCTTAATGTGAATGTGAAAAGAGAAATAAGACGCACACACTTTAAACCTGTACACCAAAGTCCAATCTTATAAAATATTATATTGACCTATGACCTGTATACTTAATGCTGGTTTCAATATATTTTTATTTTTTCTAAAAACATATTAAATGGTAAAATACTATCTATAGTTTACGCGAGTAGTATAGATTGAAATGGAAATAAAACATGTTAACGGTCAAATGTCGAAAGAATAGAAACTTTAAATAATTTTTTACAAGTTATAATATATCTCGCGTTTTAAACCGTTAGTGTTTTATTTAAATGGTAAATCAAATGTGAGGTGAGGATAAAATTATAGGTATTGTTCTGTGAATTGTCACCTTCTAGACCAAAATTCCTGAACAACGTATCTTAATTATCTGTAGGGCTCTCTCTATTAAGTGAATCAAAATACTAAATGATGTGTTAACAGTGAAATATTAATTTTTCATATTTACTTTTTTAAACCCTAGGCGATTTCAACAACGACAGAGAAGATCGAGGCGAGAGGGGTGAACGCGGACGAGGTAGGGGTAGAGGTCGCGGCGGCGGCGGCCGCGGAGGATCGCGAATGGGTGGTGATGATGGCGGATTCAACCCCGAGGGTGATGACGAAACCAAAAAACCGGCACCCGTCACATACGTCCCACCGGAGCCCACAGAAAACGAAGACGAGATGTTTGGTAGCTCTATCAGCTCGGGAATCAATTTTGACAAGTTTGATTGCATCGCTGTTAAGGTAGGCTATTATTATTTTTTATTTTTCATTAGGGGACACCCTTGGCCTGACGGGTGATCAGTCCACGTTATCCACTGACCATTTCACCCATTTCCCCACTTCTAAGATAGGTTAAGTTATCTTCAGTTCCATAAACATTTTGTATCTGTAAAAAAAAATTAAAATAATAATTATACAGATGTTGGGATAAAGATAAAAGGCAAAATGAAATCCGTGTTACTTCATTAGGTATGCGGTAGACCTTTCTGTGTTTGTTTTACTAATATTTTTTACATACAGGCAAGTAGTTAAGCACACTTCTGTGCCTTGTCCGGCTACAGAGGAGATTTTAATTAATAATATAAAGAAAGAAAGTTCACCTATAACCTGTTGTTTGTTTTGGTAACTGATAAAATAGTATTAATGGTCACTTTTTCCCTTTTTTATGTACATCTACTTAATATTTTCAAACATAATCTGTATTGTTTTTATGTAGCAGAAGTATTAAACACCTGAATTCTTATATTTAGGTGACTGGTGAAAATCCCCCCAGAGCAATAGACAGTTTTGAATCTGCAAACTTGAGGAAGTTTGTGGTAGACAATATCCTAAGGTCTGGATATAAGAAACCCACACCAATTCAGAAGCATGCGATACCAATAATCATGAGCGGGCGAGATCTCATGGCATGCGCACAGACAGGTTCTGGAAAAACTGTGAGTAATTCTAAAATCTTTTAAACTTGTGTTATCAGAAGTATTTCCCCATTGGGGCATGATGGCACGTCTATTTCAATGATCTTTTTATTTTACGGAGCAGTAGTTGATCAGACTTGTGTTTTGGTTGACTGAAATTATTTGTTTCCTGGACCTCGATCTGGAACCCAGGACCTCTCGAGCTGTTTTATTATTAGTTATTTTAGCGTTCAAGTTTTTATTCTTCCTAATGTTTTACTGTATCTTGTCAGTTTTACTTGAAAGTATTGTCTTTGTAAGACAATTTGACTTAATTAAATGTCATCAAATTGCAGGCTGCTTTCCTATTGCCAATGATAAACGTGCTGCTACAAGACAGCCGAGATCTTGTTATTGGAGAAAATGGATGCGCTCAACCTCAGGTATGACAAAATTTCATCATTATTTCTTCTTACATGTTCTAAATCCACAAAACCTAAACATAACTAAAGTTTAACTGTTATATGTAGCTGACCCACTAAACATTGTTTTGTCATATAAATTGTTTGTCTTGGTAGCAAAGACTTGTTTTGAAATTTTATTAAATTCGTTTTAAAAATCTTGGCAAGACAGTTTTTGAAGACATTTATATTTTAGATATGTAAAACTATTGCAGGTAATCATAGTATCGCCAACAAGAGAGCTTACTCTACAGATATTCAATGAAGCGAGAAAGTTCGCGCACGGGTCCATATTGAAAATCGCGGTCGCGTACGGCGGTACCGCCGTTCGACACCAGGGAGATCAGATATCGGTAAGTGCCTGCAATTTACGCATGTAGTACAAATTAAAATATTAAACTTATTAAGATAACTAACTCCTGGGATATTCGATCCAAAAAACAACATACCAATGAATAAGAAAACCTAGAGTCAAATCTGTAAACACCCAACAGATGGCGCTAGCGTAGCAGATTTGACTTTTACATTAGAGACGCGTTTCATCTATACTCTATAGTCTTCTCGTGAACTGTCACTATATGTTATTTGTTAGTTTAGTTAGTTTCTTAATCTAGTACTTAGAAACTACTTTCCAAGGCTTTACTATTTTAGTTATGTGTAACTAGCTGTACCCGCGACTTCGTTCGCATGGAATAGACTTGGGGTAGAATTTTTAATTATTTAGCCTGTTTATTAATCTATGTAATTGCGCATTTATCGCAGCCAATCTATGTTGTAAGTGCTACTTTGCCGCAACACTCTCATCTCACATCACTCCTACTCAGTTTGTATGGAAATTTGTGGTTTTTGAACACAATTGAATGTGCCAGAGGTGCAAGTATTAATAGGTTAAAAATTCGACGATGGTAGCTCCATTAGTTAGAGGAAGAGCACGAAACGCTGTGGGTACCGCTTCAAGTCCTGCCTGGGTAGATTTTTTTTAAATCGATTTTTAATCTTAATTTCCTTATTATAGAGGGGCTGTCACATCCTAGTAGCGACACCAGGTCGACTTCACGACTTTGTGGACAGAAACCGGATATCATTCGAGAGTGTTCGCTTTGTTGTGCTGGATGAGGCCGACAGAATGCTTGATATGGGATTCATGCCGTCAGTCGAGAAAATGATGCAGCATCCAACTATGGTTCCTAGTGTAAGTTACAAGATTTGGATAAATGCATTACACAACACTACATGTGTTTCCTATAAATAGCTGAGTGGAGTCATAACTATCGCAAATACAAGCTGCACTTCATTTAAAATGTAATCTATATTTTCATTTTAAAGTTGAAGAGTTTGTTTGTTTGTTTGAACGCGATCATCTCCGGAACCTACTGCTTCGAATTGAAATTTTTTTTTGTGAGGGTACTTTATCCACTAAAGAACTTTTTATAGGAGGCTTTAGACTATAAAACATCACGTTGTGATGTGATATATTTAAAAAAATGATGTTATGGTGTTATGTGACTAATAAGGGCGAAGAAACAGTGGAAAATTTAAAAACAATGGGGAAATTTATTCATCTTTAAGGGTTTTCGTCGCGTGCGCAGCGAAAACGGTTCAATGCCAAAAAATAAGTATGAAAGAATGAGTCCTCTTTAAATGATCTTAAACTGTCCGCAACAGTATACGTCTCATGTCTATCTTTACTGATTTTATTTTAGTCATAGTACATTTAATTAGGGTATATAAATAGGGGTATACTTTTTTTAACTTGCTCATTGGTTATATGATAGTAATGTATGGTTAATAATCAACGGGTTCCATCTCCACTGCGTCCAATATTTTTCTAGTCACTTTATAATTTTTTTGGAACATGTTGGATTTCGTCTGGACATCTGGATATTAAATGTGTATTCCTAACGCACATTTAATATCGAAACTCCGGGTCGCGAACCACCATCCACAGATGAAATTTAACCGTGTTTCAGTTACACTGAGGTTTCGTTCAAAAACCACATACTTGTATTAAACTAAAATTTATTAATTTTTAGGGTGACCGTCAGACACTTATGTTCTCCGCAACGTTTCCTGAAGACATCCAGCACTTAGCTGGCCGGTTCCTCAGCAACTATCTCTTTGTGGCCGTGGGTATTGTGGGCGGTGCCAGCTCAGACGTCGAGCAAGTGTTCCACCAGGTCACTAAGTATGAGAGGCTGGATGTCCTAAAAGAGTTGATTCAGGAAAATGGTATGTGGTACTTTATCTTGGCTTATGCTCGACTCTGTGAAATTGAATAGAAAGAGACAAACTATAACATGCCTCATAAACATCATGCTATTTCTATCCAAACATTTCTGGCGTAAATTTTTTTTAAACCGGTACTTTGTCTAATGGTATTTTTATTATGTATTTAGTTGGTAAGCCTCCGAAATAAATAAAATACTATTGACCGTTTTAAACGTGAAATGTTAAAATAATTTACTAGTTTGACGAATACATTTTGCGTGTGTTTTATTTAAATTTCATATTCTTTCAGACGGAAAACGAATCCTAGTATTCGTGGAGACTAAACGCACAGCTGATTACATTGCTGCCTTGTTGTCTGAACGACAGAAGCTAACATCGTCAATTCATGGTGATCGATTGCAACGGGAGAGAGAAGAAGCGATAAATAATTTCAAGTCAGGACGCCATTGCATACTGGTTGCGACCGCCGTCGCCGCTAGAGGTCTTGGTGAGGAGACTTTTTTTATGATAAATAAGGACAGACAGACATGGTGAACCCAGACAGACATGGCTGTCTGGTACATGAAATACTAACGTAACTTACTTGTGAAGTAGATAAAGTGCGCAAACGCGAATACACATTTAAAGAAAACAGTTTTAAACGCAAAATATATTATGAACATTATATTTACAATTAATTATTAACTACGACTCGACGTTTCGTTTGCAGTGGTCGTGGTCACGGTGGGATAAAAGTTACCTTGGTCCGTTAGTTAAAGTAAATTGCAAAAAAGGTGCCTTTAAATAAATGAACACTTTAAGTGTGTGCTGTAATTTGTTTGTGTTGTACAGATATAAAGAATGTGGACATTGTGGTCAACTACAACCTGCCAAAGAGTGTTGATGAGTACGTACACCGTATCGGACGGACCGGACGAGTGGGCAACCGCGGTAGAGCTATCTCTTTCTACGATCCTGATTTGGTAAGCTAACCACTGTCATTAGTTTAAAAGGTATTTTATATCTATACTAATATATCAAGCTAAAGAGTTTGTTGTTTGAACGCTCTAATCTCAGGAGTAATTCCTGAATTCTCCTGAGATTAGAAGATGAGAATCCTGGTTCGAATTGAAGTTTTTTTGTGTTGAATCAATAGAAGCGAAGATAAAGTGGGTAATATTTATCTTTGAGCATTTCTATTGCGTGCGCTGTGAAATCGGTTCAAGATACTCAAAAAATATGTATTAAAGAATTCTTATAGAAAATAACTATTCTACGCAGACGAAGTCTCATTTTTGGATCCACAGGACCAAAACTATATGTTTCCTTTGGGATTTGAAAACAGAACTTCTCTCCTTTTGTAACCTTTATACGTGCGGATGTAATAGTTATTAATCTGTTTAATACTTTGCAGGACTTGCCAATTGCTGCAGACCTGGCCAAGATTCTTCGCCAAACAGACCAGCCCGTGCCAGACTTCTTGCAAGGAGGCGGTACCTCCACATACCATAGCAACAAATATGGTGGCAGCGATATTAGAGTGAGTGTTCCTTTTTAATTATTAATTAAATAAACTCTTTCATAGGCAAACAAATATGATTGGTAATTTTTTAAAAAGTTTAAAAAGATAGTAAACCTATATATTTTCACATAACAAAGAAGGTTGATAAGTAATACCTTTTTATAAAATGGGCTATTTGACGATACGAAAAATATAGCGTCAATTACTGTTACTCAGTATTATGTATAAGTTTAGAATAGTACAAACAGACAAAAAAAAATAGTAAAACAGTCATACATATGTTTCAAATAATGCAATAAAATGAAAATTATAATTAACGTAAACAATTAAAAATTAATTTTCTTAAACATTAGTCGCGTAACACGAAACGCTTCTGAGTGGTCGGGTTTATGATGACGTCACTTGCTTATAACCCAGTGCTAAAACCGTTCTATTCTCTGCATTGACAAATAAGTACATCTGTAACTCGTCTTATTAATTCAATCACTGTTAAAATGTAAATGTTTGGTACAAATGCATGTAGATTGTAGACCATATACCGACATGCACCAATGGCCAATTCAAGTTCGTGACGTCACTTTGCGACGGTATTTCCCAATTTTAGCGTTTAGGCGCGCAATTAAAAATTTTTACTTATAATTTGATATATTTCAGCAAATATGAATCAGAATTCAAAAATACTGAGTTTCTGGGGTTGCTTAACATTAGAGTTAGGCCGAGTAATCTTTTGATACATGTACTCGGCCGCAAAACTCGGTTTTACTTTGTGTAAGCAATATTTTTAGGTAGATATAATTTAAACAACAGTGTAAATCCAAAGTATTCATTAGTAATTTAGGAAATCTTTAAATAATCTCAATTAATAAAGGCGTTTGCAAAAAATAGCGCATTCTGTTTCATCTGAACTAATGAAGTATTATAGTTTATGCACAGACATATATATGATACACAATTAATTGTGTATCATATATGCGTGTGTGTTTAATATAAATTAATACCTTAACTATTTCATCTCGCCATTGTATTTTCTGCAAACATTAGAGGACAATCGATAATGAGGTATCATTGACAATCTTTTTTAGCATGGATAATTTCTCTATTGTATTTTGATAATATTTAATTTTTATATGTTTCTAAAGTAGATGTGTATACTCCATTCCCAATGAATTTGTAGAAAGGTAAACAAATAAGTCATGTACACCCAATGTTTTTGTTTAATTAAAATGTCAAGAAAACCCAAAAACATACAAGTTTTGTTGAAATTACCATTACTTCTATCTAATCTTTTTTAGATGTATCTTGGTATGTTTAAGCTATTTTTTCGTTGGGGAAAATGATGTTGTGGATGGACCAGGATTATTATTCACACTCGCCTATCTTTATTTATCCATGTTGATATAACTGCATTTTATGGCATGACAATGAAAACAAGAAGACGTTTTTGGTCGTTCCACTCTTTGTGAATATCAGTGAATGATTTTCTTAAAACTAAATATACATTAAACCAATACTGTCTGTCCTCGGAGAATGGTGATGTAATTTTGACAATATAAGATTTTAAAACCCCTGTAAAATCTAAAATTACTGAAAAATTGTGAAATTATTTATAACTTTTTGAATTATTTTATTATATTTGAATATTGGCAACAAGTGAACCATTTGGTGGTAATTTTAATGATTAACGTTTCTTTACAATTTCTTCAAATTCAGTTGGAACGGAGAATTGTTAGCCTTTTCACTGCTGAGTAATTTTAAACTTTGATTTTTTATGTTTTATTTAAGTTAAGCTTTACTAGTTTTATATTAATGATGTATAATCAGAAGCATATAAACACTTGACGGAAGGTAAAATAACCCTATAGCATATTAAGATGTGCTGTCTATCTATTTGTTGCACTGACCCCGAAGAGTGTAGTGACAATCCTCAGCTTTTCCATCGCTTTATATGCATACATTTAATTTAAATTACAGAACTTTAACAACACTAATGCTGTTGAAGAGCCTGGTCAGGAACCGGAGGAGGAGTGGTAGAACAGCAGAGGAGCATCTTCAATCAGTGATTTGTTTAAATGTGCAACTTGTGGTGCGAGTGTCATTGGTGCTTGAGCAAGACGGACATTACCCGCACCTATGATATTATTGCATATGCGTGTAACAGGCGAACATGAGGTGGTAAAGTATTTTAAGTCTTTGTAATATAGCCCACAGAGTGAAGTAATCTTTTGTAATATTTTTAATGACAGAGCCATCTGTAGCCAGTTTTAAAGTAGACTGAAACGAGATTCTGTTCCAAGTACTAACTTGTTATGCTGTGTTATTATTATATTAGGTTTGTTATTGTAACCATAACGCGTGGATAAGACCTTACAAACAACAGTACATACCTATACTTTTTAATAAAACACTTGACGGTTTAAAACGTCTTATGTTACGTCTCTTTAAGACGCGACGTTTTGTATGCTTTGGGAATGCTAAGGTAACGTTTTGAACCGTCGAAATGTTTTTTCGTAATGTGTACTTTTTTGGTTATACAAGACTATAATAGAGAAGATGTCTTTATGTTCACGAGTTCACTAATTTGTAAATTCCTTACATCATATGCAATAATGTCTACAGTGCAACGTGTGAAACCCGAAACATTATATAGTTACACGAGACTGCAACAAATTGTGACAAGTATTCTTAGATTTAAGCTACCAATTAAGTTTTCACATAACCTACCATTGCACAAGTCCATTGATTAACCATTTGTTGTACTTATTAGGCTTAAGTTCGAAGACAGGTTTTTTTTTCATATTTGTTATTGTTAAGATTGAGTTAAGTTCATTTTTGATTACATTTGTAAGAATCCTAGTTTGTATCTGTGATTTCGCGTTGCTCATTTTCAATTTTATACTCAAAGGAGTGAGTACCCCAGAGTTGTTGTTTTTTTAATTTGGCCATAGGCCGAATACTTTAGAGTATATTTAAGTATTACGTAAGCAAATCAGATTATTAACCCCTCTCTGACCTCTCGTCACTAAAAGCACTTAAAGCCCACGACACATACACACCCTAACCTCCACACCTCCTCCCCACAGGGGGGGGTGTTTGGGGTCACAGGACCCCAAACACCCACCACATTTCTTACATACCTAAGTGTATTCTACTTTATATACCTTTTTTTTATTAGCGCTGGTATAAATTTCAATATTAAAGTTCTACTATGACTACTGGATGGGATTCATTTAAAAATATTATAGAAAGTACCTATAGAGTATACCTTTAGTTACTGCTGGTTATAACTGTAACTGTAGTGGGCCTCCAAAGACCGCGAAAGCTTATGTAATACTTGAATAGAGTTGATCTTTCATCTTTTGTCTTAATAAGAATCTCACATTACAGCACAGTCTTCAGACGTCATTTGTACAAATGTAAATCGTAGGATTTATGTTCTAGACTGTGATGATTGCTATAAGTATAGATTAGACGCACCTAAGGTGATTATTGAAAGTACAATTGGCTATTTGACAATTAGGATTAGTAATTAAAATGCAATTCAAGTAAAAAAAAATATAAAAGACAAATTCAATTATAATAATTGTTTTTTTTTTCATTTGTAGAGTAGAACAAATTTACTATTGTTTCACTTACTAAACACATTTTGTGATATTGATTAGATCGTGTCAAATAGTCAAAGTTTAAAGGCAGACTATAGCATAGTCTAAACAGATTCTTCCCGTTAATGAAAGAATATAAGTGTACAAACATATTTTGGATTAGACAAAGGTTCTAATTAAGATTACTTTTGTTTAAAACTATATTCAATAAATGTACAAATTATAGAGGCTTTTTATTTTGTGTTTTTTCTAACTTGGCAAAGGGGCATAACAAATATGGCCGATTTCAAACCATAGAGAACTAGTGATGACCTTTTATTATAGATTGAAGAATACACTTTTTGTATTATGCCTATCGTGTGAAGGTGAAAGAACAAAAATATAATTACAAAAAATATATTTATTTGCTCATAATGAGTATCACAGAAAAATGTTGGTTTTAAATTGTAAAATTCCGCGGCCATTTTGTAAAGGGCCTCCATTTTGATGATCCGAAAATATAATATCGGAACGATTTGTTAATTGCAACGGCCGCACAGCCAGAAACCCAACCATATAATTTTTATACCAATAATAATTATATTCACTATAATTTTTTAGTGATTTTTTTTTCATTCATAGAGATGGACTTGCCAAGCTTGGCATTCATTCACTTGATGGTAGGTGAAAAACTCCAGCCTTTTGGGGTTTGGACTATGGATATTCAAGAATTAATTAAGATGGAAAAAGTTGACGTCTCAATGTCCATTCTATGTCCTTGTCCTTTGTAGGTAATTGTGGGAATGAGACAGCGCTATATTAACTCATTTCTGTGAATAGACTTTAGCTAATTCGTCTCGAATATTAGACTAATAAATTTAACTAGAGTTCAATGTCGCCGGTTCAATCTGAAAAATAAAATATGAACGAGTACATAATGCTAGGATCTTACAAAGTTTTGGTTTTAAGCTGTTACCTGAACTGCTGATGCGCTGATAGTGTACATGGGATCCTCTCCAGTGATAGTATTGAACAAATCTGAAAAGGTTGATCGTTGGTGATGTGGTAGAAATCTATACTAATATATAAAGCTGAAGAATGTTGAACACGCTAATCTCAGAAATAATTGCTTGGAATTGATTTTTTTTTTGCGTTGGTTAAATCATTTATCGAGGGAGCTTTAGGCTATAAAACAATGCTGCGACCAATATGAGCGAAGTGAGCAGGAAATGTGAAAAAAATCGGGTAATATGCTTCATACTATAGTTTACGCGAGTAGTACACATTTAAATAAAACACTAACGGTTTAAAACGCGATATATTACTTAAACTTATTTGGAAATGATTTTCAACTTCGGCCCGACGTTTCGGATGCTTTGCAGCCGTCACGGAGAGACCACGAATCATTTCCAAATAAGTTTAACTAATATATCGCGTTTTAAACCGTTAAAGTGTTTTATTTAAATATGCTTCATCTTTGTGGGTTTTCTTTGCGTACGCAAAAACAGTACAGCAAAAACAAACAGCTAGTGAATGGCTAATAATAAACGGGTCGTGGGTTTCCCCCACCGGGTCTAATATTTTTTTTTGGTATCGAAATTCCGTCCGGGTCACGAACCCCCGTCCACAGATAAAAGCCGTGAACTTATATCGCGTTTCGGTAACAGTCGAACATCCAGAATCAAAATAGGTCGACAGCTTATCTTGTTTAGATATTATATAACTAAGTTCATCTTCTGTTTCTTAATTAAAAGTCGATTATAAATTGAAAAAGATACGACTCGGGCAGGACTCGAACTGCCATGCACAGCGTTCCGTGCTTTAAACAATTGAGCTACTGTGACTTACACGTCATCGTCGAATTTTGTCAACCCGACGACCGCCTCTGTAGCCAAATGGTTAAACGTATTGCCTAGCATTGCGTTAAGCGCAAGAGGTTCTGGGTTCGAATCCTAGGGAAGCATTCAGATTGTTACGGCAGGACACAGCAGTCTGATCAACTACTTGCCCGTTAAAAGAACGGATCAGTGCTACGGACACAGAACTATGTTCGCCCCATGCCCCACGAGGGGGAAACGGGCTTTGCACACTATGGATATATGCACCTCTCGCGCATTGTCTTTTGTTTTTTTTTTACATTATTATTCTAAGTAGCGTTGTCTGGATGAGATCGCCTTTACTTACCCTAACATTACAACGCATATGCCAGCAAAAACGCTGCTCAACATATAAATAGCTCCAGGCAGTGTTGCGAGAGTAGCGGCATAAAGCGAATTGTATAATAACGGCGCTAGAAGTGGCGCGAAGCCTTCAAAGCCACACATTAGTGCGAAGATCTTCGCCACGTCCTCAGATGGCAAGGTTTTGCTTATATACGAACGAGTCAAAGCACTCGATAGTCCTTTGAATATAGATACCAACGCACCTGAAATTAAAAACAGAATATTTTCATTTAATAAACCATTCTCGTACTGCGAGTAGTACACATTTAAATAATGCAATTTTAACGGTTTTAAACGCAAAATATACCGTCCGACTTTTTGGTTGCTTTGCAGCAGACCGATGATGTAGGGTGTTCCTATTGTAAAACTCAAATCTAATACTGTCTATAGTTTACGCGAGTACTACACATTTAAATAAAACACTTTAACGGTTTAAAACGCCATGTATGATCCTCGTGACCACGGCTGCTGCAAAGCATCCGAAACGTCGGGCCGAAGTTAAAAATTATTTTCAAATAAGTTTAACTAATATATCGCGATTTAAACCGTTAAAGTGTTTTATTTAAAAGAGTCAATTATTTTACACGTCTTTTCCTCCTCAAACTTACCTAAATACATATACCACCAGGAGACAGCGCAGATCTTCAAAATGTAATCAGCTATAGAGCTCATTATCGCGAAAATCGAGAACGCGATATCCCCAATTCTTAACACCTTCTGCACCACAATAATACCCAGGAAACCCCCTACAAACGACATGGAGGTACTAACAGCTGAATATCTGGTGAAGTCTTGCAGTGACCAATGCAGTTTTGTTCTGGTGAATAAGTACTCTAAGGAGCTGGTCCCGTACATAATTATTATTAGGAGAAACTTTGTTATTGATATTAGAATTATTTGAGTTCTCTTATTGTCGGGTCGTTGTTTGAAGGATTCCCGAAAGAGATCTTTCACTAGCAAGAGATCGAAAACTCTCCACGAGCCGCCCTAAAATAAAAAAGTAATATTATTGGAATATTTTTTACATCATGGCATTACTCGGACTCAGGACTCAGTAGCTCAATTGGTTGACCCCCCCCCCCCAGACTTGTGCCCCCCCTGACCGAAACTATTAATTGTTGCCCAGGGCCATTCGTGTTTAACATTATTAGTTTTTACATATATAATATATATAATATTACACATGCCTTCATGTGTAATAATATGTGAAATCATCATCGTCAATTAAAAATCGTTTTGAGATTGAAAACAATTAACGACACGGGCAGGACTTGAACTGGCATCCACGTATCAATAGGTTGATAGAATTCGACGATGACGTATACGTGTCGTAATTTTTCTTCCATCTCAAATCAATTTTAAATTTATATGGTATTTAACATTGGCTGATGCAGGGGGCGGTGATTTTATAGCTGCATCTTCCTAAATCATCATTCTCACCTCCAGGGCTCCAGTCAGAGACTCCTTAATATAAACATTGGTAAACGCATACGCTAATACATTAAGCGTTGACGTCAAAAGCAACAAATATACATTTCCTATTGACAGAATTAGGTACGAGCTCAGCATAGAACCAATGACACTGCCTGATGATGCAGTGGCGTCCACCATTGTCATTCTGAAAAACACCAAGAGGCTAAGTTTAACTGTCAAACGCCAAGAAGCTAATAATAAACCAAGACTAAGATAAGGTATAATGTCTGTATCAAAAAAAAAATAATAGGAGGTCAGAAGAACAAGGGATTCACTTGAGGAAATGAAATACCCTAGCCATATTACATGTAAGCAAGACGGACTGTCGACCTATTTTAATAGGAAATCCGGAAATCCACAGACTGAAACCGAAACGCGATTTTACTTCACGGCTTTGTCATCTGTGGACGGTAGTTTGTGATCTTGGTCACAAACTACCGTCCACTTATCTTGATTTTTCTACCACCCATTTAATAGACTGATCTTCTAGACCAAGTCGAATATGTTTCAGGAGAAATATAAATTGATCAGAAACATTTTGGACTTAGTAAAATCAAAACTTATGTAAGTAATATAATAAAGCTTAAAGCTTATTTGTTTGTTTAAAGGCTATAATCGAAAGAACGACTGGTTCGAATTCAATTCTTCGGATTATATCATTTATCGAGGACAGTTAAGGCTATAAAACAGTGGAAAATGTGGAAAGAATGGGTCCCGTTGTGCGCTGTAAATATTTGAAAGGACGCTTTCTCAATAATTGATATTAAAAAAATATCTGCGAAAATTAATTAGCAAGAACCGTTTTAATGGTAATCAAATTTAGTTGAAATTAATGCATCATCATTAATTATTTGATAGAGATATATTAAAATAATATTTCACGCGGACGAAGTCGCGGGCACAGCTAGTAAATAATTAAAATATATTTACCTTAATGACGTACTTTCCTTTGAACTTGTATCACTAACATAGCAATACGCTCCAGTAAACAAAACAACGTAACCGCCAGTCAGTGAGAACGGTACTACGGTAGCTATATACCACCATGGTCCCAAATTATCCATCAACCCAAATACAACTAGTAACATACTTGTTATTGCTGAACCTAAAAAAACATTAATTAAGTAATTAAACCCAGTTTAAAACCGTTAAAAGTGTTTTATGGGAGGAGTATATTTGTATGCTTTATAGTTTTATAAACTTCAATTATTTTAATGTCCCACATGTACATGCACATGATGGCACTATACAAATTAAAAATCGATTCTAAATGAATAAAATTTACGATCCGGGTAGGACTCGAAACGGCATCCACGGCCACCTCTCGCTGGCAAAGGTGCATTTATAAGTAATATAGGCAATAGGTTAAAAAATTAGACAACAACATGTAGAACTCGGTAGCCTAATTGATTACAGCAACAGCACGGAACGCTGCGGACGCCGTTTCAAGTCCTGCCCTAATCATAATTGTTTTGAATTTATAATCGATTTTTTGCTCAATACTTTGAATACATATTAATTTATCGATTATTAGAAAAAAAAACGAAGTCCAACATGTTTCAGAAAAAATATAAATATATAAGAAATGCTGGGCCCGGTGGGGTTCAAACACACGACTCGTTGATTGCATATATTGTTACCTTTAGACCACCGGACCACCGCGCCCGTTAAAACGTATAGATATGCATTTATTCCTAATCCTCCTATTCCTATATTTGTTAAAATCCCTTTTAATAATGTCCAATAAAATTGTAATAATGTCCAATTCCAATTAATGTCCTTTTAATAATGTCCAATAAACTTGTTGTCCTTTAATTCACCTACCAATGCCCTCAGATGTCCAAACTTTGGGTCCTTTTATAAGATTCCATTACATTTAAAAATGTTGACCTTTTAAAGTTCATTTTTATTAACTAATACATATAACAGGTTGAAACACGATCTATATTAGGTAATAAAGTGCCCTTCGACGATTTCGACGTTTCGGATGGGTAAGTAAGTAGTCACACTTACGCATCCGAAATTCCGAAATAATAATCAAATAAGTTTAACTAATAAATATCGCATTTTAAACCTAACCTTTAAATATAATTTAACAAACATAATTCGTATGCTTTGCAGCAGCCGTCGTTTGTCTCCCTGTGACCAGGGTGGCTGGGCTGCTGTAATGCATCCGAAACGTCGGGTCGTCGATAAAATAAATTTCCAATAAGTTAAAGTTTTAAGCCGTTAAAAGTGTTTTATTTAAGAGAGATTGATAAACAAAAATTGACACGATAAACTTCGAACGAGATACTTCGGGTTTTAAACCGTTTGAAGTGTTTTATTTACAAGAGGTAGATAAACATACCTAGGAGCGACCATACCATCAAACGCTTTCGACCATACGTGTCGGACCAAGCGCCGAGGAAAAAGGAAAGAAAAGCTGGTACGACCGCTTCCAGTACCATCTTGACCGTCGAAACGAATGTAGCATATCTTTGGACATCAGCCTCTAAGTGACTGGTCTCGTTATTTTTAACGGGCGAGAGAAATGGACGACACTCCTCTTCAGGAAAATTTAAAGCGTGAACACACGAGCGGTACAGTATTATATTTCCTAATGCAGCACCTGAAAGAGATTTATCAGTTTTATACTGCGATGAAATGATTTATCGTGTATTTTTTCTTACTTGGCAGTTTTGGTAACAAACACACAATTTACATGAAGTCATGATTTTTTACAAGTTTTACTTTGATTTTTGGTTAAAACAGAGGCACTGGAATATATATGAAACTAATGAATTACTTTAAATTCACTTAGTAATAGCTACAATTACATTCTATTACAGATTAAAAATTCTTTAGTTTAACATTTGCGTATGGCTGGGTTGGATTCAAAGTTAACGACGATAGAAGGTAGAAGTATCACTTATGATCGCCGAGCAGCGATAAAAACGTCGAGTTAAGTAATGACATAAAAATTATAAGAAAATGTTTGCTCCATATATAATCGATATTTCTTTATTGTCACCTGTGGCAACAACTTCACTCTATAAAAGGGCATCACTAGTCCGCTATGGTTTGAAATCAGCTATATTTGTTGTGGTCTTTTGCCATGTTAGAAAAAACACACTATACATCTCTTTGTCCTAGTCTACACTATCTAGTCTATGACAGTTACTTCCGACCTTTTACTAAATTCTTTCTTAAGAGGTGAAACCCCGTTTTTTGTGTTGCGTATGGGGCAGACACATTTTTATCATCATTATCAAATTACTACGCCGGCCAGTTAAAACATTACTTTAATGTCCCGGGATTTAACTCGGGACGTTTCGCGCTTAACACATTTAATCTTCGAGTCAGAGAGGCAAACTTCTTCTTCTCTACTTATCTTTTTTTTATATTTTACGCTCGGTTACATACATACATCGGTACATAAGTATTTCTGGTGCCTAACTATAACAACACCATATTAAGTAAATTTAATTAAGTATTGTTTCTTAGATTCTAAATAAAAACAAAGAAAGATGACTCGTCGAAAACCATGATGCTATAAACGATTTTATATAATGATCATTAGCAATTCAACTGTGCGTCATTGTTTATTACAGACACTTTATCTGCGTAGGTATATTAGTACCTATGGTAGAAATTAGCAAGGATTTATTTTATAAATAAAGACAGATCAATATAGTTAGTGTTCACTTAATGGAAGTTGAAATAGCCCAGCTATATAAAATCTTGACAAGATGCCCGTCGATCTTGTTTGTTTGGTTTTTATTAACTTATTTTACCTGTAGATAATTTAGCTTTAGATAAAGTGTAAAATTCGATAACTGTACTAAACAAAACCAACGACCAGCGTGATAAGTAGGTTTTTTTTTCATTTGAGGCAAGAAGATGCAACTATTTGCCAGTGGCAAGAAGGCTGTGGCTCTATTCTAAAGTTAACAAAAAAAACAACTAATTTTTTTTCCAGATAGCCATACATTTTCCAGCCAGCACAAACCACAGATAATATCTCACCGCTAAGTGAAACAGCGACCATGTTCAAAAAGAGCGGCAATTCGATAGTGTTGCTAACCGCTCTTTTCGGCAATCTCATTTCAAGCGACGAATCATCTCCGCTGGACATTCTGCCACACACTACAACAAAAACGTCATTCAAGGTCACGAGGCCTCAACTGTATACAAACAACTTTTAAACACACAAAATCACGAAACACTAAAACCAACATGTCCGAAACTAGATCCACTTATATCACATATAACATACAATGGAGTGTTATCTAGACATGATTCACATTGAACACATATAATTGGTCGGCATGACTGCGAGAAGTATTACGAGTTGCTATTATAATCAGTTAGATTTGAGATTAGAGAATTATCATTACTGTGCACACCTGTGTTTTTATTTATATTTTTCCTTAAATTACGAACATTTAACAACAAACAGATTCAAGTTAGCTGTTATATTTAAATGTAGCACGTTAACGGTTTTAAACAACGCTTTGGATTATGTCTCCCCGTGACCACGGCTGCTGCAAAGCGTCAGAAACGTCGGTCTGTAGTTAAAATAATTTCCAAATAAGTTTATGTCGCGTTTTAAACCGTTAAAGTGTTTTATTTAAATGTGTACTACTCACGTAAACTACAGACAGTATTTAACTATATATAGTTCAAAAGTATGTTTGCTACCTGGTTTTTTATTGCTGGGATAAGTTTGGGTTGATAGAAAAAGTTAAAGTTTGACGCATGTACCTCCATTGTAACGACTAGTAACGATTACAAAGCCAATATTTATTTTGTAAGTATTACGTTATTCTCTAATGTTATAATTAATAGGTCACTACATAATAGTATTAACATGCAATAGAATTTTAATATAAATTTATTATTCACCTTTCGAATTATAACTTTAATTTTATTTTAATGAATGTAAATGATTTATTGTCTCTTACACGCAATGGTACACTGAAATGTTAGAATTGTTTGAATAGTATTATTTTAGTTATTATATTTGCTACCTAAGTATGTTTGAGGTTGAGAAGTGGTAGCTATTTTTAATTTTGCATTATAAATTCGATAGGCGTTACGGACACCATGAAAAACACTAAACTTTTAATCTCATAAATATCACTTTTCGTTAAAGGATTTTCGATTTTATTATTCAAGAAATCTTAAAATGGTTTCATTCCATTTGATCATTTCATGAATCGGAATATCGTAATATGTTATTTCTTTATATCATCTCGTTTACAAACCGGTTTTATAGCCTTGATCTGGAGAGTAAACTAGGTAAACTACAATAATTTTAGTAACACAAACTGTTATAAAATTGCTATTTCTTAATATTCTAGGTGAAATAGTTACTGCTCAGAAATCTAAAAAACATCGTAAAAATTTAGTTCTATGGATAATTTTCTTTGAATAGCGCTATAATAAAGATAAACAAATTCAAGGTTTGCATTTCTGATTTGTCAAGCACAAATTAGAACGGATGTCTGTTAAAAGGGCGGGAGATTTTGTTGTTTTATTGTACAAACGACAAATGTCATTAGTCCACTAAAATATTTTCGTTTGTTTTTTATAAACATCCGGTGACACTTGCTTTTAATATTGTTGTTATTACCACAGATAAAAAATTTCCAAAGGATCAAGTTTTAGGAATCATTTTATTGTACTAATTAATATTAATTAATTCCTATAGCCTTTGGGTGTATTGTATTATATATTATACGGCAGCTAACCTTGTTAAAATAATAATTAAAACTGTTATAAACAATCCCTGTTTGCATCCACACAATAGTTCACAACACATAGGACCTTTTTGCACAAAGAAAATAAGTTTAAAATAAAGAGAGCGTTCGTTATTCTTGACTGTTTCTTGAGATTAAATGACAGATAACAATTAGACTTCAATAGTACCTTGGAGGTTACTTGCCTTACCTTGTGGTGTCTTAAGAAGTACAATAATTAAGTTTACGGATAGTCTGTTGCCGGAAGTCAGTATACCTTCTTCTTATCCATTACATTGAGTGGTATTCTACCGCACCTAGCCATGTAACTAGTGTTTAAACAATTTGTCTGTAAAGAGTAACCTATCATGTCTGCATTATGGATGATCTTTTATCACAGAACAGTATATAACAGTACCAATTGGTTTGTTGAAAAATAACAGTATATTTTATACTTCGTTCCAATATTACAATTTAATTATTATCAATATAGATGTTTGCCGCTTTTTAACGTCAAAAAAGCTAGATCGAGTGTGATAGAATTGTCTGTCCATTGGCTGTAATACATTAACTACTTTTATTTATCTATAATCATGTTTCCTACGAGTGAATGAGTGAAAATGAAAAACAGAAACAAACAAAATCAGATAGTATAAGATAATTAGGACTGGAATAACGAGAAATTCAGTGCATTTCATAGCCTGTGGGAAATATTTCATCTCCATATTTAGTTTCCTATAGATGATTCTTATGCGACGTCCTACTTCTCGTATATAATGCTAAAGTAAAAATGTTTACTTTATACCTTAATAAGATAGCTTTGAAAGTAATGAAATCTTAATGTTTATGGGGTCGGTAACTTCTTTTAACCTATCAATTACATACCTTAGTGGAGGGTTTGAGGTTGTTTTATTATAAATAATACAAATAAGCTTTTATCGTGTATTTTATTAGTAGCATACATCAATATATCACAAGTTTTATATCGTAAAGCACCGGTCGTTTTTGAGTATACATTTTTAACTATTCTACTGATGTTCCCATTTGTATCACTAATATTTTGAGTATTTGAAATGCAATTAAAAAATGGGTACTATCTAAATACTGAACACTAAAGAGTTACTGAGTACCCGCGATAGCCGCTTAAAAAAAACTATCAATGTAATATTTATGTCAATTACAAGACAACAGATGGCGCTAATGTAGGAGACTAGACATTTAGCCAAAATGGCCGATGTCAATTGTCAAAACCTCAAACCTTTATGACCACAGGGGCCGTGTAATAGTAGTTAAAATGTATAAGTAGACTGTTATTATAAACGTTTAAATTTGAAATTATATTACGTGTTAATTGTATATTTTCGACTTGTCGCTATTAAAAATCAAAGTTTGAAAAGTCATGTACCAGTGATTTTATATAAAATAGGATTTAAACAGATGACTGAAACTCATGCATTTTTAAACTTGATATATTATAACATAAGAATAAATTGAGCTGTTATCGGTCAATTCCAGCAATTAACAATATGTATGATAAAAATATCTCGCATAAATTTGTAACAAATGTAAATGTAATGTAAATCAATAACTATATTTAAAATCAACTGAGGGACTACACTAAAATTGCATTAGATCCATATAAAATACATTCAGTGATTACTATTGTAAACCTTGAGTAGACCATGGTCTTGGCAAATCCTTAAAAGTAAAATTAATTATTGTAAAGACTGTATGAGGGTAACTTTAATTACGATTTGCAACGCTAATCAATCTACATTCAATTCTTACTGGGTTAGCAACTGCTGGTGGTTAGTGCTTTCAATTTCGGTCGGGTGAAATTTAATTTATTTTTCTAAGTTCTTATACGAAGTTGGGACGCGTGTATAGGCTTAGAGGGCACTAATATTAAACGGGAGTTAGAGTATGTTTGGGGCTAGACCAAGGGTCCAAAAGGGATCATCGGCCTCGGCTTTGACCACCACACGAGGCAAGGTAGCGGACAAGGGTACGTGGAACAAGAGAACGAGGTCGACGATCTCCTCACTTCAATGAACGAGAAGGTATGTGCCCAGCTGTGGGAAATCATATATGACGTTAGATAGAAGTAAATAGGTAAACAAGATGACGACGGATGATTACGTGTAAATATAATTTTACATATTACAGTAGCCCACATACTTACTATTACTATGGCAAATTCCGTACCGCACATATCAAACATTAAAAATATGATATGTTAATAAAAATAATTATATATTGCTTTCTTGCGACTGTTAATCACTTAGTGTGGACCTAGATCGATTAACTAACCATATTGTGACAAAGTTTCATAGAATTTAAAATCACTGAGATCGAAAGAATTTAAAATATTTTATCTAGGTGTATGAATTAATTATAATTTGTGACGCCAGCATTATTCAAATTCGTCAATGTATAAATAATACATTTAGTTCGTAACACGAATAATCAATGTATAAGCGATCACGTACATATTATACGCGCTTATATTAATTATTATATGATAGTTTTTATTCATTAGTCAAATTTTGATATGTAACAGACGACATTTTCCATCTGAAGTATTGCACGAATCTGAAAAGAAAAAATAACTTTATTAGATGTTATCTGTGGTTTAGTCTGTGACCAAGAGCTGCTGCAACTCAGTCGGATCGTAGTTAAAAAAAGTAACCAATATTTTTCGCGTTTTTAACAGTTAAAATTCATTTAAAAAATCGAAATAAATTAACCGAGTACCGAGTCGTAGCTCTACTCGGTAGCTCAGTTGGTAGAGTCACAGCACGGAACGCTGATGATGGCGGCTCAATTCCTGCCCGAGTCGATTTTTTTTTTTCAATTTATTTAAGATTTTGAAATTATATGGTGCCTTCGTGTGCCGTAACGTGTAAAAATATTAAAGTTTTCAAACTGTTCAAAGTGTTTAAACAATTTGTCTGTAAAGAGTAACCTAAGACTGTAAGAGGGCAATCAAGTCTCTAATTGAGTCTCTCGTGCAACTAAAAATTGAGATTTTTTTAAGTAGTAAGACTGGTTTATGGGTATGCTACTAAATTCACTATGAACATGAATGAGGCCGCTAGAGGCAGTGTAGCCTGCAATTTTATGATTTGAATTATTCATATTCATGGTCTAAAAATGTCAATCTACAAAAGCACAGTGACCGAAAAATATACACATAATTTTTACACAAAGATATTAGCGCATTTTTATTTTCCCCTTGAAAATGATGTTTTTTTGTTTTTAGACAGCTCAATTCAATGTCAATTGTTTGTAAAGATAATATTTTTCTTCGAGCATTTTTACGTAAAAATTATCGTTAGCATTACACCGACCTTTCGACCGTCAATGATAAATGAGCGCATTTTAAAAATAAACACACAAACACCACGCGAACCGACAAAGTGTGCTATTAAAAATTCTATCAAGACCGCACTTAGGGTACTAGGATATTAAGAAAAGTCTAGAAATAGTCTTTTGAAAGGTGTTGTGAATGATCTATTAAAATTACGTTATTGTAACAAGGCTTAATGTTAGGAAATGTTATTGTGTTATAATATATACATTTTTATGCTGCACATTTAGCTGCATTTTTAAGGTAAAATACTTGTAATAAAATAATCGATCGTATCTTAATTCGATGTAATAAGTTAGTGTAATATTAAAATAAAAATTTATTTCAGATCAGAAAAGTTACGCCACCGGCACGACTTGAACAGCTTTCCGTGCCGTTGCTCTAACCAAGAGAGATACTGTTCGTAATATTTACCTTTCACCCTGGTATTTAAGCTATCATTCAAAGCTAGATATAATTGTTATAAGAATCTTATATAGTAAAGAAAACAGTGGATAAGATACATTAAAAAATCTACTTAGAAATAAATTACGACACGGGCGGGTCTCGAACCGACATACACATCGTTTCGTGCTGATTAATTAGTCAGAGTTACATCCTAAATAGATTTTCAATTTTTTACGCCATCGTGTGCAATATAATGTGAAAAACATTAAAGTTTTTTAGTAAATAGCTTATTTTCTACATAAAAAGTATGTAAATGCATGGGGCAAACACATTTCTGTGTCCGTTTCCGATCCGTGATCCGTTTTTTAATAAACAAGTAGTTGATCAGACTTCTGTGCCCTGCCTGACTGAAACAATTTTTTGTCTCCCTGGGATTGGAAGCCAGGACCTCTCGCGCTTAACGCAATGCTAGGCAATACGTTTAACCATTTGGCTACAGAGGCGGCCATTTTCAATACAAATACAGAAGTCATGAACGAGGTAACATAAGGCTGTGCTGTAATTTCTAAGAACGGGTTAAGGTAGTGAGGTCAGCTAACAAGGATTACCGGGTTTAAGAAGACTTATGTCAAATTGCACTTGAAGCAGAATTAAATGCATAACTGTAAATCTATGACGTCTTTAACGGAAGTATTTCGTGACGTAATTTAAGCGTCCTTTGTAGGTTTCTCTAGCTTTTAAATAAATTTTAACGGTTTAAAACGCGAAATGTTTTAAGTTAACTTGCAAACGGCTGCTGCAAAGGATCCGAAACGCCAGGCCGTAGTAAAAATATATTGTAGATAATTTAATTAATACATTTCGCGTTTTAAACCGTTACGAGTGTTTTATTTAAATACTATTACTTACTAGAGTAAACAAGAAACTTTGCTTAAATAACGATATAGGTGATTGAAAACATTTAATTTTAAATGTTAATTTACAATCGACTACAAGTTTTATTTGAATAAACGGGACTATTTATTTTTTGTTTTAGTACAGACAGGATCGGATTTAGAGAACCGAGGCTACCTCCCCGAAGGCTCTGTAACGAAGCGCTCCTATACTAAAAGTATCGGAATGTTTCAACGGTAACGTCTACAAAATAAGTTCAGATTTCTTGGCAACGATATTTTTTGTTAGCGTTATTTGATTTTACAAAAAATATTGCGATTTTTAAATTTATATTTATGAACAAAGCATTTTGAGGCCAGGGGGCCTCCACACCTATCTTGTTCCGGGGCTTCCAGACCTTTAAGACCAGCGCTGACTATAGACGTGCTATTTTTAACTAGATGTTTACGTCTTGTCCTTATTAACATTTATCATTACTACTATTATATTCGACCTCCTCTATCATAAAATTTAACTTCAACGTCACAACGTCGTACTCACCCCAAAAACATCACACAGATCCCAGTTATCGCTGCGCATAGAATATAGATTGCGCCAGGGAAAGTTGATATCGTGTACGCGTACAGCGAATTGTACATCGCCGGAGATATGAGTGGTGCGACGCCCTCTATAGCGCACATCAACGCGAAAACCTTCGCTATATCCTGCGCCGGGAGTATCTTTGTTATCATGGAACGAATCAGTGGTGCTGATAGATCCCTAAATAACGATATGCCCGCCGCTGAAACAAAATATGTACATACGTACTTTTTGTAGTTTACGCAAATAGTACACAAAACCCGATATATATTAGTTAAACGTATTTTAAAATTACTTTAACTACATAATATCCGAAACTTCTGGTCGTAGTAAAAATACATTTTAAATAAGTTGAACTAATATATATCGCGTTTAAAACTGTTAAAGTGTTTTATTTAAAAGCTAAGCAGGCTTTACATGTACATATAATATGTAATTAGATATATTTTAATGGTGTAAAACGCGTAATATTTCAATTAGTTTATTCTTTACTACGCCCTCTGTAACCATTACCTATTACTGTAAAACATGTGTAGTTATAAATTTCGCGTTTTGAATATAATACTTTTAACGGTTTAAAACGCGAAGTATATTAGCCACGGTTGCTGCAAATCATACAACACGTTGAAACGTAGTTAAATTAAACTGTAAATAGGTTAACTAGTAAATTACGATTTTTAAACCGTTAAATGTTATATTTAAATGTAAGTACTTTGGCATAATTTTACGCTTGAAACTACAAAAGTTATTTCTACATATAAGTTATATAACTTTGACTTTTATCATATCAATATATAACATCACTTAGTTATGTCCAATTATCTTTTGTATTAGACTATCTATTTTAGTTGAGTGTGTGTCTGCCTCCTCCCACTTATAGACGTCATTGCTATACATTGTACACTTATCTTAAAAGGATTGAAATAAAACAGCCACATACCGTGAACAAACCGGTTGAAATGCGTAATTTACATAAACACTTCATTATCTGCAGATACCAGACCTACTTAGTGTATTTATATGTAATCTAGCTGATCCAGCATACGTGGTTTGCAAAATTAATATTATTATGGCGATACAACTCTAACCAATAATCGGTAATCATGCAGTAATTTTGTCCAAATTCGATAATAAATACTGACTTAGTTTACGCAGTAGTAACATTTAAATAAAACACTTTAACGGTTTAAAACGCGATATATTAGTTAAACTTATTTAGAAGACGTGGTCTCCCCCGTGACCACGGCTGCTCAAAGCATCAACGTCGGGCGAAGTTAAAAATCATTTCCAAATAAGTTTAACTAATACATCGCGTTTTAAACCGTTAAAGTGTTTTATTTAAATTTTAGGGTTCGTGAACGCACGGAAGCCCTCAAACATACAATATTTTTCATTGATTTTTCCACACTTACACCACTCTTTGTTCCTATTAGTCGCAGCGCGATGTTATATATAGCCTAAAGCCTCTTTCGATAAATGGTATATTCACATTTTTTTATCTTTGAGGGCGTGCGTTGCGAAACGTTCAACAATCAAAAAATACTTATGACAAAAATATCTTTAAAAAAAATCGCGACAGTATCTATGTCTATCCTTTAAGATTAACACGCAAGAACGACGAGAGTTTGCAAAAATTATTATCCCTTTCTACGGGACAAACTCGCGGGCATAGCTAGAACTTTACAAGACCCTGCGTAAAATCCTTCACGGTTACAGTTAAACGATGGAAACCTGAGATCTCTAAATTGAGAAGCCATAAGTGAAACGTAGTTTTGGATTCAATTTATGGTGTTCTAAATATCTGAAGAAAAAGGCAACTGTTGTATTTGATATAGCGATTTCTTTAATATGTTTGTTTGTACACTTTTAACGTGTGCACCACTCTACACGTAAAAAGCGATTGCCCTGGTAGTGCCAGCAGATAAATAAAACCTTTATATTTTTGATATTTCGGTATAATTAGGGAAGATTATTATTATTTTCTATTGGGGGCACCGATAGAAGACCAATTGACCACTCCACAATATCATCTGACTATTTCACACATTTGCTCCTTGCAATGGGCATTAATTAGGGTGTAAATACACGAATTGTTTTTTTATTATTAATATAAAAGTAGAAGTTTTCAAGTAGCATTTAAAGCACAATTCACTTACGGCGCTATCGTACGAAACATAACAATTTATATTTTCTACCTTTGTTTTACGCATTTTTTACTCAAATTGTGTTCTAACGCGAGTTTAATATTACTTATCTATTTAAAAAATAGTGAAAAATAGTTTTTATTTTTCCCAGCTACCACGGTTAATTATTAAATATCTAAAATAGTTCGCGTTTTAAACCGTTAAAACTATATTTTCGTATATCATCTAAATAAACCACTGATACAGCAAAGTATGGGTTTAGACTATACCAAGAGCTTTCAATTGACGACAAGAATGAAACTCACCCAAATACATGTGCCACGACGTAACAGCGAACGCCTTGATGAGATACTCCGCCGCCGAGGACAGAAACGCGACAATCGAAAACGCCAAATCGGTCACTTTGAAGAGCCTTTGTATAAGGACGACACCAATGAACGACCCGAAGAAAGATATCGTCGTGCTGGCAGCTGAATATACTGTGTACTGTTGTATTGCCCAATGCAACTTCTGCCTCGTGTATAGGTAGCCTAAACTCATCGTCCCGTATAAAATGAAAATGGACAGGCTGTTTGCTACTGTTAGAAGTAAGATCTGGGCTCTGGTATAATTCGGTCGCTCTTTGAAGCACTCCGATATCATGGATTTTATCAGTTTGAAGTCTAGAACAGATTTTAGTCCACCCTGAAACAAAAAATAAATAGATTTACTAGTAATTATGGTGTACTTAGCTACTGTAACTTGTTAGTTCGATTCTGGACATCCACGTAATGGCGTGGGTGAGGAATTGTGTTGTTTATAGAACTGATATCTCATAGAAAGATAGTAAAATGGGAAAGCATTAGCACAGGTTCTAATCCCGCCTGCGACCGAATTTCCTTGAAGAAACAAGATATTACTATGTTTAGTCTAAGTTATAGACATTTCTTAAACATTCATTACAATGTCAGTTAAAGATAAATCCTACCACCTTACACCTCCTCGTTCTGATGATCCAGGAGGTGTAAGGTAAAAAGATAGACATTTGCTGTCGGACATTTTTTTAGATTATTCTAAGAATAATGATTAGTACATATTTTTTGCTATCTTGAAACATTTTCGCAGCGCACGCAACGGACACCCTCAAAAATATTTTCAGGCGCTTTTTTCACATTTCCCACTTTATATATAGCCTATGGCCTTCCTCGATAAATGCTCCAACCAACACAAAAAAAAATCGAACCAGTAGTTCCTTAGATAAACTCATTCAAACATACAAACCCTTCAGCTTTACATATTTGTATACATATGTACACATAAACACATTTGTACTGACCTTTTTTGCCCCAGGTAGCGATTCATCCAGACAACAATTCGTAAATACATAGGCAATAACGCAGAGTGAAGCAGTTATTAGGAGCAAGTATACATTCCCCACAGCCCGTAGGAGGTATGAGCTCACTAGAGACCCAATAACACTCCCAACGGAGACGGATGCTTCCACTATAGTCATCCTGGTGGGTAAAATATATTAAAATAAGATGAAACAATTATTCCAATCAAATACAAAATCATTTATCAATGTGGGTAGTACGAAGGAGAAGAACTGGCAAAAAACTCGCCGCCAATACTTTCATCAGCAAGAATTTTGTAACAAATTCCTTACACACTTAACGTGTACATCTTTTTCCCTGTTAGACCGGGATTCTCATATTTATTAAAGCAAATTTAACGGTTTAAAAAGCGTAAAAGGTAGTCTCCTTCTGATCACACTGTGCGAAGCGTCGGAAATCATCGTGTCGTAGTTTAAATAATTATTGGATGTCAAAATTGGAAATAGATTGACAAAGTGTCATGTTTAGAATTTTAGATGTTATTTAGCTACGATATTTCAAGATCGCTGATGCAAAGCATCTAAAACGTCGCGGACGAGTCATAGTTACATTAAATTAAAATGAAAGGGGATATTAATACACTTCGCGTTTTAAACCGTTAAAAGTGTTTTATTTAAATGTATGCTACGCGCGTAAGCCACAGTCTATACAAGAGAACCGTATGGTTGTCTTTTCGAGTGTCGTATATACTAATATATGTCGCGTTTGAAGCCGTTAAAAGTTATATTTACAGATTTTTTTATATCATCTTACCTAAGAGATCGTTTTTCCTTAGACGTAATATCACTTAAGTAACAAAAGGCTCCGGTGAACAGAGCCGTAAAACCCCCCGACATTGACATAGGTATCACAGTCAGGATAAACCACCACGGGCCTAGATTATCCATCATGCTATACACCACAACCAAACCGCTGCTAATCGACATACCTAAAAATACAAAATATTCAGTAATTATATTCATCTTAGAATATACACTGTATTTATTTAATAATATTGGGATAACATAATTTAGGATATACATATATATTTTTCACAAACATACTTGGCAATTTGATCATTATTTTGACAAACTTCTTTGACAAATCAAATTTGCTGTACTCTCGAGCAGCGGCCGGTAACAGTTGTGTAAAAATCCATATCGGTCGTGTTTAGCGGGTTAGTTACTATGTAAAATCATATTTGTCGTGTAATTTGAAATTGGAACGATCTTTTACTTGTCGAAGTTTTAATTTCGAACTGGCTGAGTTTAGTGAAAATAAAATACTTTGGCGCGTAAATAGCTATTGTTGTTAGTTGATCGTCAACTTCGTCATTGGTTTTAAGCTTTTAATTGTACTAAGTACTTAGTTTTAATTTCCGCGCGTTATATCTATACTAATCCTAGCTAACCCGGCAAACGTTGTTTTGCCTTTTTAATAATTTCGACCGGAGAGGAAAAATGATTAAATTTCTAAAATGGCTATTAAGAAATAATCAACCCGATCGTAGAAGGGTGAAAATTGAGGATTGTATGTATTTTTGTATGTTGTATCATGAAATTAAAAATTTTGTGTAAAAAATAAATAAAAAATTTAAGGGTGGACTAAAAAAAAAATATAAGGGGGATGAAAAATAGATGTTGGCCGATTCTCATAAATACCGGATAAGCACAAAAAAATTCATCAAAATCGGTCAAGCCGTTTCTGAGGAGTATGGCAAAGAAAACTTTGACACGAGAATTCTATATATTAGATTTATAAAGCTGAAGAATTTGTTTGTTTGTTTGAACGCGCTAATCTCAGGAACTACGGTGTTTTTGTGTTGATTAGTGCATTTATCAAGGAAGGCTATAGGCTATAAAAAACGCTGAGACTAATAGAAGTGAAGTTACAGCAGGAAATGTAAACAAAACGGGATAAAAATTTTCTGTGGGTTTCAGATGCGTACGCTGCGAAAACGGTTCAAGATACCAAAAAAATGTGTATAAAAGAATGATTCCTCTTTAAATGATATAAAAAAAAGTCTGCGACGCTATATGTCTATCTTTTAAGATTAACTTGCAAGAACGATGGGAAGAGACGCGATCGATGTCGTGGCTAACAGCTTAAGTTTATAAAGATTTGCATTGACGGGGTTTGTAACAACTAATTTGGATACTGAAAATAACGATTCTCGCGGACGAAGTCGCTGGCACAGCTAGTGTACTATATACAGGCTTCGGCCGCAACTATACACTTACGTACATGTACCTCGGCCCACATTCACATGTTTTTCTACCAATGCCTTGTTTTCCGGCCGCTGCAGTAATGTAGTATTAAAAAAAAAAATAGTGTACAAATAAGTCACTTAAAACATTTAATAACAAGGTATGTACCAAGTAACGGCCATACAACTAAAGGTTTCCTCCCATAAGTGTCAGACCAGACACCAAGAAAGAGAGACAGTACGGCTGGAGCCAAAGACTCTATAATTGTCCTGACCATTGACACAAAGGCTGCATACTTTTGAACTTCTTCTTCCAACTGTTGAGAACCATTATTCTTTACAGGTGACAGGAATACCTGGCATTCTGTTTCATTATGGTTACACGAATGTAAACAGGTACGATAGAGTAATATATTACTTATTGCTGCACCTACAAATAAAGAATAAATGTCATAAGAAATAAGAGCCTATTTCTCTATTGCTGGGTAATGAGAATAGGTATTTCAATGTAATTCCAAAATAACACAATTTTGGACCTAAATAGAATGTCTATAAATATTCTAAATATTTCTTTTAACTTTTAGGTATGTAAAATTACAATTATAATGAGATTTTATAATAAATAAATTATAATACATATGTATGTTTTTTATTTAGACAGATGTTCCATAAGAGAAAATAAAATTCCAAACAAAGACTGCAAAAAAAGCAAAATTTGTTCCTTCAAGGTCACATTTTGTAGATTTCAAATGTCATTGTAGCTCCATTTATTATGTATAAAAGAAAAATATAAATACACTTGAAGATAGTGACAATAAAGTATGATAAAACAAGCTTACCTGAGAGAGATACAGATAATATAGTAAAAAAGAGAGGAAATTCCATTGTTATTCTGTAGGGCTTACTGGTAACCTCATTAAATTCATTAATATTAGGATTTTCTTCCGTAACATTTTCGTCTTCTTGAGTCATTTTGAAAAGGTTATTTAAATTATTTTAACAAAGAAAACATCCACGGCTAACTTTTGTCAATAATTATAAACATATGGAAAAACACTGCTAATTATTAGCTATTGTCAAAATCCGCCGAATTATGCACTTGTAGTGTTTTCATTTGTGCAGAGTCCAAGCGCACCCGCTTACGTTTAGTTCGCGTCTTAAAAAAGTACTTTATAAGACTGCGATTTTCCGTCATTGTTTATTTATTATTATTCAAAAAGCAAATAAAGATAGATTCGCTCAGTATTCAAATGATCTTGACAATTTATTGTCAAAGTCAATGTCATTGTCAATTTGAAGTAATAAGATTTTCTGTCAGTCGTATTAGTTAATAGACACTGCTTAAATATATATCCACTAAAGTTATCTACATTATTCCTAACAATTTACGTCTGTGGCGCTACAAATTTCATTTCAAATCGAGTGCCTTTACTCTGTGGCAACTGGCAAACCAAACGCGAATTAAATAGGCGAGTTTTTTGGTTAAACATTGGAGAAAATAACGTTTTTAAATCATTGCTCAAATTATTGATAAGTATTTAAACAAACATTTCATCCACACAGGTATGTACTTCATTTATCTTAAAACAAATTCAACTTTCACTGTGCCATTAGCGTGATAAATTTGATGAGTCGTCCTCTGTTATATGTCATTTTACATCCGCCGTTAGACAAAATGATACTTTATTACTGTTATTTCTGATAACATTTACCTTTCATAAATATATTGTAACTAAGATCTTGGTATTACACATACAGTTTGACCTGATAGTACCACTCGTAGCTGGTTTCTCTTAAATATATCACGACCTATTTTTAGAATAACTTTCTTTTTTGGAACTAGCCGGTGTTTTAGTATAGGTGGCGATGTTTTTGATGTAGATCTATGATTTTAGAAACAGCACAATGGCAGTGAATGTATACTCAACAAACGTAACTTCGGAGAACCTTTCGCGTCATGATATGCTTGCATGGGTAAATAATGCACTTCAGTCCAATTTTTGCAAAATTGAAGAACTATGTACTGGAGCAGCATATTGCCAGTTCATGGACATGCTATTTCCTGGTAGTGTACCAATGAAACGCATCAAGTTTAAGACAAACCTTGAACATGAATATATCCAAAATTTTAAAATATTGCAAGCTGCATTTAAAAAAATGTCTGTTGATAAGGTAAGAACTGATACACAGTTATCATAAAACTAAAGATATTTGTATAATACTATATTCAGTAAGACTTCTGTAACTAATTTTAAAGTTATTGCTCTAAGCAAACAATAGTTTATTTCTACTTAAATATATTAGAGTTGTAAAGAGTAGTCTTAATTTGTTAAATTACATTTACAGCTGAAATCTTTAAATTTGGAATGTGATTTCTTAATTCCCTAGGTAATACCAGTGGACAAGTTGATAAAGGGGAGATTTCAAGACAATTTTGAGTTTTTACAGTGGTTTAAAAAGTTTTTTGATGCTAATTATGATGGAAGGGATTATGACGCGTTCGAAGCGCGAGGAGGGATCACGATCGGGTCGGGAGCGTGCGACAGCGGAGTCCCGTTGTGCACGGCGCCGCCGGCCCCGCGACCTCGCCGCGCTGCCCCACTGCACCACTCGGGCAGTACGCATCCTCATCACATCTCTTAAGCCTCACCTAGATGCATCTTGACCACCGCATATTCTCTTGTACAGTTAGCGCAAAATAACTAGATGTATATAACTATGGTCAGCCTCTATCATGGTGTGAACCTGTTCTGCATTATGTGTTAAAAATAAAGTTAAGTCAATTTTATTTGAACGACAACAGGAGGTCGATATCGATCCAGTTATTGTGCGTGCTGTGTCCTCTATCAGTCTTAAATGCATCTAGGCGTCACTACCTCGTAACCCTTGGCCGGCGGACACCCTTGGAGTACCATTCGCTACAGCAATCCCTTTTATTTTTACTTTAATTTTTGTTTGTAGATAGTACCCATTGACAGACTGGTGAAGGGTCGTTTCCAAGATAACTTTGAGTTTTTGCAATGGTTCAAGAAGTTTTATGACGCGAACTACAATGGCGCGTCGTACGATGCGATGGCGCAGCGCGAAGGGCTGCCGATGGGTCACGGCTCAGCGGGCGCGGTTCCAAGGCAGGCACCAGCCGTAAAGAAGCCAGCCGCGCCCATCTCTAAAGTCGCCGCTAGACCCCAAACCAGTACTTTAAACAGTTTTTCTTTTTATTAGTTTGCCTTTATTTTTCTATTATACCGTTAGTCAGAATTATAATGTGTAATCTATTAATATGGAACCATTGCTTGATTTGGGTGTTATTTATTAAAATGTATTGTTATTGTAACCGCGTTTATCCCCTTATTGTCATGTTCGCTCTTGTCATTTCTGTTTTCCTCTATCCTTTGATAAGTATATAAATAAACACACTTATGCCATATTTAACTTTAGAACAATATTAGCTTTATACTAACATAGCTTTTTATACTAACTGATTTCATATAAGCAAACATTGGACTAATTAGTAATTCTATAAGTAAAATGTTCTTAGATGAGTTCATTAAATTTTCTATCAGAAATATGTCAAAATTTCCTATGATTAATTTGTAATATTCATTAACAGTTGGGAAGGCAAACAGCACAGTGAGATCGCCACCAGCCAATTTAAGATTAAATCAAAACGCTAAGGGTGACTCTAAAATTATCGAAGAACTAAATTTACAAGTAAGTTCTGTTTACTCGTAATAAGTCTTTATGCAAACTCAATTTATTAAATTTAATCTTTGTAACAGGTAAATGACTTGAAAGCATCATTGGACGGATTAGAGAAAGAGAGAGATTTCTATTTTGGTAAGCTTCGCGACATTGAGTTGATTTGTCAGGACATGGAAGAACAGCATAACGGTCCGCTCATCCAAAAGGTCTTGGATATTTTATATGCGACTGAGGTGGGTAGTTTTCTCTTACTACGTAATTTTTTTTCGCTTCTTATTTGGTTCCTAGGCTAGAGTGAACTTTGTGTTTTGTGTTCATCCTTACGGACCTTCCAAGATCAGAGATTTCTACAAATAATGAAATTCAGAATTAAAAACAGTTTGTAGTTATAGTTGAAATCGATTGACCTTGAAATCGAAATTCATTATTTTTTAAGTCCTCCCTATTTGCTTAATTAATGCCAAGAAGGAATTCCCTAACCTAGTAATATTTGTCACAACCCTTTTCCTTGGCCCAGTTAAAGACGCGATATTTTACTTTAAGGTCGTAGGTTTATACAATAATGCACTGGACGTCTAGTGTATATTGGAATTGCAACGCCCAAAAACTTACATTTTAAGTCATTATTTTTACGTCCCAGCTTAAAATCTTTTTCTTTTCATAGGACGGATTCGCGGCACCCGATGACGTCGTGGGTGAGAACTCTCATCCCCCAGAAGAAGACGAGTATTGAGAGTGGCACGTCTCCGTACCGGTTGTATATAATCTCGAAATTAAATAGCTTCAGTCATCGATAGCATTTAGTGCTTAGTATTTCACAGCCAATAAGTCGTAACATTTAGAATTTTCGCACCTGAGTCGTAACTTTAACATTTCAGTTTTCTATTATTTGTATGCGAAATCCCATTTATTCTTATTCCCAGTATTATTAGACGTGTAAAAGGAAAATATTGTAATGATAAGCTATATAATCCCACTTCGGATGTTCAGATAAATATACGTAAAATTGTATTAGTGATCTCTCTTAACTGTTACATCTCACGTGCGAAATCATATATGTATAGAGTTAATAGAGCAGTGGCCCCAAAATGGCTTACATAAAGTTCCTAGTGTCATAAATTCCTTTAATATCTACCTAATACATTGTTGAAATCGGATTCATTATAAAATATATATACTGTTATATATTATGGCTGTGGTAACTAAGTGCGGGTCATTTCGAATCATAACACCTCGACTGAATTTATTTCATATTTGCATATGTTATTGTGTATTTTCTATTTCCAATTGCATATTTGAACAATTTTCGCGTAACCCTATGATCAAAATAAAATAAAACATTAACTAAACAAAAAAATTAAAAAAAATGTACGTCATACCTAATTCTACTTTGGCTATTTCTGCTTGTCATAAGGTAAATGAAAGCTCCAACAATCTTCCTTCTCTGTATATGTTCTAAAAAAAGACGACAAAGAGTTTTTAGAGAGCTTTTAATTTTAAAACCTATACCTAAGGGTCCATAGGCTTTAAATGTGCAATGGTGCAAACGTCTTGACTAGGTTTTCATTTTTGGGCCACTGGTGGCTGTATAAACGTGCATTTAATAGGTTGTTATGATATAGAAGAGGTTTATTGTTATAACGGTTTGGTTGAATAATTGGTCTTATAAACGTGACATTAAATTTAATCGTTTGCCTGTTTAATTTTTAACGATATGTGGGTAGTTAATCATGATGTTTTAACTTGTGACCGAACTTCGAAACAGATGTATGGTTTCAGTAATAAAGATATCATCTGTGGTACAATGGATGTTTTTCGTTCGATTTTTGAAATTTGAAGTGATTTATCCAGATCTGAAACTTGATGTCTATAAAGTCTTAATTGAGGTAGTATTATGAAATTATACAATGGAAATTAGTGTTAAATGTTAAGGCCTTATAACAATTAGCGTAATCAAACGAGACTTCTTTTTTTGCACCAACGTAGGATTAACAATAGATTAATTTTGTCTGGAGATTATACATTTTTGTAGACAATAGATAGGGTTTGATTATTGTTAACCTAGCTTACGAACTAAGTTTGTGTGAAGCTGTTATTATTTTAAACCTTTCTGGATACGTAAGCTGGGAAACTTTCGATTAACAACTGTTACGTTCATTCCCTTATTTTATGGATACAAACACCTAACGACTTGTTGGCGGATACATTTTCGCCGAATACATTTTAATGATTATTTATATTACTACGACATGCGAATCGTTCTATGCTGACATTAAAGCCACTGGTCTTCATTTGAAAATCTTATAAATTAAATAACTTCATTTAAATGATAATTGTTTTATTTTTACACCTTCCCACGCAGATAACGGCATCTATCACTTGAAAGTTTCCTTTATATTATTCTATTTTGTAATTATAATGTTCAACCTGATTCAAAATAATTTGACGGCCTCGTTGGTCTGATGGTATGACTCAACGGGTCGTGGGTTCGATCCCCGCCGGTCCAACACGTTTCTAATTATTTGAATTTATTTTTGCTGGACTCCGTCTGGAAATCTGGATATATTTAATTTCCAGAATATAGAAAGTCCGACCGGTTTAGAAACACAGATGAAAAAGCCATTAAGCTAAATCGCGTTTCGGTCTGTGTATTTTATAATATCCAAAGCCAAAATAGGACGACAGCGCATTTTTTTCAGATGCTATAGGCCGGCGGTCTATCACCTACCATCAAGTTACCCTATCTGTCCATGTTTGTCCTCCTTTAACATTAAAAAAATACCAATTCAAGTAAGCTTTTATGGTTAGCCTAATAAGCCGCTATGTTGAATAACATAAACCAACTTCCCAAGTTAAACGAGTATACTGACATCGACATATTAGAACGAAACTCGCTTATATAGATATAGGGTCATGGTCTCAACATTATAAATCCATTTTAACTCTTACATTACAATAACTTTTGACGGCCTAGAACGCGAAATTTATTAGTTTTATTTAAACTATGCCGTACAACGATACAAGTAGCTGTTACCTCTTGTAATAGTTCTTTTACAGGTGGTCTAGTCAATTTTATTATGTGCTAGAACAAACAAAATATGTTTATAAAGGTTTTACCTTAGACAGAATACCGTTAAACTTATCACATTAATTTTAAAAATCGAAAATAAATTGAAAAAAATTTCGACTCGGCCAGGACTTGAACCGGCATCGTCAGCGTTCCGTGCTGTTGCTCTAACAATTGAAGCGCGAGAGGTGCATGTATCAATAAGTTGAAAAAATTCGACGAAGAGGTGTAGGACGCGATACCTCAATTGGTAGAGCAACAGCACGGAACGCTGACGATGCCGGTTCAAGTCCTGCCCGAGTCAATTTTTTTTCCAATTTGTTTTCGATTTTTAAATTATATAGTGCAATAACATGTGAAAAAGAAAGTTACACAAACACTACACAATAATTTTACCAATGCACATTGTAAAATGAATTTCGATCAATTTAAAGAAGTTATTCAGGCAGTACATTTTTTTTGCCATATGACAATTTAATAAAACAATTTAGACACGCATAAAAATCTTTTACTAGACATAAATATTTACTTAATTCTTTGATAACTTATAGTACAGAATAGTTCTTAGGTATAAAAGTATGTATACTAATATTACAACGAGCAAATGCACTTTTTATTACTTATGTAATAGATGTGGTCATGCAGTGAAATGTGTTACTAAATCCCGAGCTCTTTTCCAACTTCGAACCTTCAAGCACGAGACGTAATGGGGGGATCGAATCTCGAAACGATAAATTGTTTCGCTCGGACAGGGCTTAGAAAGGCCAAACATACGTCGGTAATTAAAATTCATCAGTGAAACGAATTGGATTTCACTTCTTTTTCAACTTACTTCCATTTTGAGATACATTGTCCACTTTTCTTGGCCTCAAACTTTTGTTTGAAATGTTAAAACTGTCATCGGAATCATCAAAAATCGATTTTAATTCAGCACCCTTCTTTCCAAAGTCACTAATAGTCTTGGAGCCCGTTTTGTTCTCTTCGCTTTCTTTTATATGTTTTGTACTTGACCTTAAACTTCTAGTAGATATATTTATATTACTATCTGTGGAGTTCAGTGATACGTCAAGATTTGTTCGCAATCTTGTTCTTGGTAAGGATATTTCACAGTTGCCATCCTTTAATGTTTTATTTTTATTATTTTGAGTCATGTCATCACAAGTAGAACAATTAAGATGTCTGTTAAGACTTTTGTTTCTAGTCCTTTTTTGGGCATTCTGTTTAGAGTTTCCTGATTTCTCCTGTACATCATCACTATTGTTAGTGGGTTTTGGTTTAATGGTACTCTTCTTTACATTTTTAACTTGTTTTGTATCTTTGCTCTTTGTGGTGTTCTGCTTCAATTTATTTGGATTCACATTTTCTTTACTTCTCCTTGTATCTTTTTTTTCTTCAGTTTTGTTTGATTTATCTATGGCTTTCTTTTCCTCGGATGTTTGCAAATTTGTCAATGTGTGTGATTCAATTTCAGTCCAAGTGTTAAGAGCATCTTTCTTGGACTTGTTTTGAGTATTTTTCTTATTGGAACTGTGTTTTAAACTGTTTATAGTTAAAATTGTGGTCTTTGTATTTCTTTTGTCAACTCTTGTTTCTTCTTTTTGTGGGTCTGCAAGAAGATATTGATTAATTTTCGTTGTGATTTATTTTAAATTTAAGGGTGGTAAAACAAAAACTTCTTTTAATTGAAGACAAATTTTTATCCAAACATAATACTAACTAACATAATAATACACACCTCTTTTTATATTTGGCTGATGATTTCCGGTTGGTTTAAATATTTTCCATGTTGGTATGTTTTCTACCTCCATGTCACTTTCCAAATCTGTATCCCAAAAGGATTTCACACATTGGGATACTGTAAAAGAAAGGAAAATATTGACTCTAAACAGTTTTCATTGTTTAAAAAACTACATATATTTGTATGGCTGCTACAGAGCAACCAAAGCAATATAATTTATAATTTAAAAAAGTTTTATTTATTTATTTCATGTTTCAAACTGTTAAAGGTGTTTTATTTTAATATGCTCTACTAGTGTAAAGTACAAAAAATGCATAGGAAGAAAAATACTTTGATGACGTCTAATAATTTTAAATAAACAATTATGTGATTCACAGGGCATCAACCTTATATTGAAATAATTGTGACAAGCAAATTATTATGAGTTGTGCAAATGAATTAAAATTCTAATAAATGTATATGTATATTTATAATTGTAAATGATCTTTACAAGCTTCACATTTAGCACAATCATAACTTGAATAAAAGCAAAGGGTTTTATCATACTCAATTGATATTTGAAACCAGCTAGCTAACAAGTTGGTAAACATTTTTTTGCCATAAGTAATACTTCAAAGAAATTTTGTTATCATAAAAACCGTGTGAGTTATAGAGATAGGCATATACTACAGCAGACATCTTATGTTATTATTATATTCTGTGGTACATATTTTTTGGGTTTAATTTTCCTCGTTTTTTTTTTTCAGTTTCTTAAATCGTATTACTCCCTATAATGAATTATTTTGTAAAAGCTACTAACAATCAGTTTTGTCCTTCTCAATTGTAATGAACTTCTTTCGATACTGTTATTACATAATGAGCAGTTCCATGCCTGAATCACTAAATGGGGCTAACACTAAATGCAGCTACATCAAAATCATCACAGGCACAGAAGCCTTTGGTGACTGAAACAATTGAACAAGTAGAGAAGATTTCTGAATCTGATCAACTACTGGTCTGTGATTAGAAAATGATCAGTAAACAAACACAGATATGTTCCAGTCCTACATAGATTTTGATATATTACTCAGTTGACTGTTAAAATTATAAATACAGTAGGTACTAACAGAACAATACTCACTCGGAACTTTCTTTGCAGCCAGGGTATTGACAGTTTCTAATACAACACTGCAATCATTTATCTTCGGGACATTGGACTTGCCTTGACCTTTTAATGTTTTACTGTAAATAATTGTTTCCTCGTCCGTAAACGTTTCACTTTCACCTTTTGACATGGCATCATCCAGTTGGCTATCTAGTGCATTGCTTTTACTCGTTCTAGCAGACGTTGAATTGATTTGGTCAGCAGGTACTATCATATGGATTAAATCTAACACATTATTATCATCTGGAACATCTCGGTTTAGACATGATTGCGATGCTACCAGTTTCCTTGCCTTATTTTTTTCTTTACTTGGTAAAATTTTTGCCTGAGGACTCGGCGCAGCTGAGTCGCTACCAGAACTTTTAGGCCCAATTAAATCTAGCTTCTGAGTGAACAACTTACGCTTTATAAAGCTGGGTTTCAGTGAAACATCATTTGCTAGTGTAGTTTCTGTCGGGTTGCTATCTGCCTCCTTTTCCATAGCTTCATTATTATTTGGAACCAAGGGTTGTGATAATTTCGAAATTAACACTTCTGAGTGAACATTGAGTTTACCTTTTGACTTCGGTACAATGGGTTTTTTAAATGAATTCTGAGTATGGGAAATTTTATTTACCGGAGACTTTTGTCTACTGTTAAATCTTTCATTTACTGTGCTATTTTGTGGTGAAATCTTTCCATTATTTCTTATTGTGAATATTTCTTCATCATCAGTGCAATCTTTATTTGTACAGCTTTTTTTACCATCTATAATTTGAGGTGGATTATTAAATTTTGCTGATTGTTTAAATCTTTGTGAAGGTAGCGCAAATCCTCCATTAAATCTCTCTTTTAAAGTGGCACTGCCATTGAGCTCTTCTGAAGGGTTTTTAAAAATAAACTCATTATCCATTGATATTTCATTTATATTGTTATTAATTGTCTGGTTTTTATTCGATATTGAATTTTCAATTACCCTATTCTTTGAAATGTCTTCTTTTCTCTTATTAACTGGTGCTCGAGGTATAGCAAAAACATTCTTCTTTACAGATTGTAAGTCATCTCGCTGTGTCATTGTAGGCATAGGAATATTATCTAAATCATCAATGTCTGGCTGTCTTACACATCTTATATAAGCACTTTTAGTACTTTGCTGATCATCACTGCTTATTGAAGAGTTACTACCAAGTTCCCCTGAATCATAGCCACCTAGTCTTTTTATACCTCTAACAAATAAATTTTTGTTTCGTCTTCTTTCAACTCTCTTCCTACTGTTCATTCTTATTCTTCTATTAAGTGATTCCCTAATTTTTTGTAAATCACGATCATTGAACTTTTCATACTGCAGCGCATTCGCTATATCCATAGCACTCATACTCATCGTTGAGTCTGAAAGATTAAAAATATTTATTGTGTTGATACAATATAAGTATAACTCAAGTACATAAATAATGTGTAAAGCGCATTGACTTGCATTATATTAACCATGAGAGGTCCTAGGTTTAATGATACATCATTGTAGCACACAAGCATCTACAAGGGTCAATGGGTTGCATAGAGGATGAAGGAGATTACAATTTAATGATACGAAAATTATGGTTGTTTACTTACTCACGCTACGACAAGAGACGGGAGATCTACTCCGTTCATTATAAACAGACCTTTGTGATCTGGGATAAAAGCTTCGAGGGCCAAAATCACTTCTCATGGACATAGGAGATCTCCTTTCGTACATACTCCGTAAATCACTTTGTGGATAGCCAAACCTCTTTCCATTTGTTTGAGGGGGTAACATAGTAGAAGTTAATATATTACTCCGAAAACTTAAACTAGTTTTGTCTCCTACCCCCACAGCTACTGTCTGAAAAGATTTATTTTATTAAAAAAGACAACAATATTAAAGATTGATAACATAAATTGTTTACATTATAAACACACACACCCCAATCGTAGAGGGAATTGTAAGCATGTCTTCTTCACTATCCGTCATTCTTATCGCGTTTTATTCACTATTTTACACAACGTCGTCACAATTCACTGGATGAAAACATGCTGGTAATTTAACAAAACAAATAAGTTACGAGCACCGAAGTTGAGTTTCGTACAAGTTTTGTAGTACAATTTTCAAATTAATCGTTGAAAAGCGTCAACAAGCAACGGTTTACGTAAGACTATATAACTGCTACAGATTGCAGTAAACCTCATTTCATTGATCGAAGTTAAATCCACAGAGAAAGAGACTAACGTCATAAAGAGTACAAATGTCATAATATCACATTTATTTGACACTTATTTTTTTAAATGTAAGGTTATGTTGATATGATGAATAAAAGTAAAAATACTGGATTAATACATATTAAATTATCTGGTTATTAATTATAGTAATTAATTATGGCACTGAATACTCGTCTTTTTGTGGGTAACTTACCTGAAATCACATGTGATGCGGATCTAAAAACAGTCTTTTCATCATATGGTGAAGTTGTTAATGTTGATATTAAGACTAAGTCTGGTGCAGAAAGTGAGAACAAGAAATTTGCCTTCGTCACTTTATCTTCGTCTAACTATAACATTGAATCATGTAAGTAGACAATTTAATATTCAATAATTGTTTTGTTTATTGAAAGCATGGTCTATTTTTTAATGTTAATTTCACCTGCACAACGAAAATTTATTGAATTATTAAACGCTCTGTTGAAATATATTTTTAAATTTATTCCAGGTATTCAGCATTTTTCAAATGAAGATTTTCATGGAAGTAGATTATATGTGACTAGAGCTCGAGAAAGTTTTTTGGAAAGACTACAGAGGGAGAGAGAACAGGCACAAACAAATAATACTACTAAGGTTCTTATAGTTCATATATTAAACTCCATAAAAGGCCCTATTGAGTCCCTACTGTATAGCCCCTAATAAGTTCAAAAGCATCATATAATTTAGATTGTCTCAAAAGGCGTATTGTTTAAAAGACTTCTTTAATGACAGGGCTTTTTATGTCATTGAATTCACAAAAATGTATTAGTTGGTAAGATATGTTTAAAAAAGCCAGACTGAGTTTCTTGGGTGTTCTTCTCGATTATGTCGCTTTTGAATATGTACTCTGTAGAATTGCGATAAACATATAGACAAACATATTATTATTTAAATATTTTATTTGACAAATCTGAATCATTTCAATAATCATACAGAGAATAAAGTATATTATATTTTATTAATAATTATTTAACAGGTCCACCAGAATGAATTTACAGCCAGGAGAAATAACTTTGAACAACCTGTAAACAATAAACGAAAATTTTTAGATGATGACAATTTAGATAATGACAAATATTGCAAAAATAAAATTACAAAACATAAACCAGGTGAAGAAATACCAAATGGCTACCATACCAGTAAATGTGACAAGGTGGTTCCATTATCTGTTGACAAGAAGCAAGAATCGGAAAAGAAAAGGCTCGAGTCTATGAAGAAAAAGAGACAAGAGTTTAAAGAAAAGAAAATGATTATTAAAACAGGATTAACTGGCATTGTATGTTAAATTATAATTGTTTTTTTATCGGCTTGAATTAGACTGAAGAAAAGTTTATTGTTGTTAACACTCTTTGAAATGTTACATATTTGATGAATGATTTTTTTAAGGACAAAGTGAGTAACAAGAAAATAATATTCTCTGATGATGATGATGTTTCAAATGTGAATAAAACAACAAACAGGAAGGAGCTGTTTGATGGTGGAGACAGTGATGAGGAAATTAATTTTGAAATAAAAGAACAATTTGAAGGCAAGAAGGGACAAAAGGTAATTAGATTGTTCTAAAAGCAGCTTTTTGCATTGAATATTTCTAGGTTTAATTATTTATTTTATGGGTAAACTAGTGGTGACAATTTTGGTTACCTTCAGGATTAGTCATAACTATATTATTTGTTATATTGGACTTTAATGTGAGATTTATAGAAAATATATACTTTAAATTGATTCATCTATAAAATATTTGACAATTAGCTCACATTTGAGCTAAGCTCAATTCAGTGCTACTGGTCTAATCAACTTTAGCATGGCTGTAGATGCTGGTTCATGTGCCAACCATGTCAACTTTTTTTTATCTCAATATATTTTTAAGTTATATAAGCCATCATGGGCATGTGAAAATGGTTTCAAAAATGTTTAACACCTTTCCTTGTCAAATACAACAACAAATTTTAACTCTTGTAGGTTCTGGATTTGCAATCTAGGTACAAATCAGATAAACGTTTCATATTAGATGAAAGATTTGCTGAACAATCTGATAATGAAGAAGACAATAATATGAAAGGGGAATTATCGGAAGATGTTGAATTAAACCAAACTGATGAAAAGTCGAAGCAACTTAACATTCTACAGGACCTACTAGGTGTACCTATTAAAGTCAAATCACATGAACAGCCCAATAAAGTGAAGTAAGTATTTTAGTATATTAAATTGTGTAGTATACACATGGAGATAGTAGCTATATAGACAAAAAAGGAAAACCTCTTTAAAAATTCTTTTGTTTTATCGCACTATAATATATTAAAATATATGTATGTATAAATAAATTAATACAAATAAAAGCCTTTATTCACTGTCTTTGACATGATTTTATATAATGTAATATTTTTTTCAGGACAAAGCTTGGTATGTTAAGATTCGATCCTTTGCAACCAGAACATGCTAAGTTTTTTGCTCCTGTTGAACCAAAACAAGAAAATATCAGCAAATCCAAAAAGAAAAAGAAAGAATATGAGATGAAAGAATCAGAACCAACACCAATTGAAGTGGAAAAGGTTGAAGTGTCAAAGGAACAATTTTATGAAGTTAGTGATGTTTTAAAAGAGACACTAACGCAACCTACTGAATTTAGCTTACGTAGTTTGTTTTCTAAGAATGTAACACACAATGAAGAAGGTAGGTCACATACATATTTTTTAAATTGTGTAATCGTAATCTTCGTTTCTAATCGCCCATCTTAATTGTGAAATTTATATAGATTTTTTGCATTGCAACTTGATATAGATTATCCATTTTAATTCCCAAGAAGCTTAACATAGACATTCATTTCTTACCAGCCAGTTTTTATTCACTAAATAGAATGTTTAATGTTTAACCTGCGGTTAACAGCCAATAGGATAATTAAATTACCCTAATTTATAAATATATGGGACTGTATATAATAGAATATAAATAAATAATTATGTAGCCATTAATCTACTTTTGTCTTACATGTATAATATTCTTACATTACAGAGTCGCAAGAACAGGAGACACAAAGTGTTACAATTGAAAAGAAAGATAAAAAAGTGAAAAATCCCCTGGACCCAGGAGAAAAAAATCCCTTTGTCTATGATTCATCTGAGTCAGAGGATGAAGAGGAATATAAAAATATAGCACCTGAGGTGACAGAAAAATCTGAAGTAAAAGCAGTTTGGAGGGAAAATTTATTTTTTTCACAGTTTGATAGTAGATTAAAGGGTAAGTATTTCAGTTAAAACCCCTAGGAGCTTTGGTAAATTATTATATTGTAATTAGTACCAGAGCCTACAGAAGGCTTTTTTCAATAATGATAATATTATATCTACAGTAACAACAGCTAAACAATATTCTCTTTATAAGAAAGACTTATTTCCTTCTTACTATTAGATTTTGTTTCCTAATGTGTGTACTAAATGTTACAGATGGTCTGGAATTCTTCAACACTGCAAATGACAGTGAAATTAAAAAAGAACGAAGGGAACTGAAATCTGTTATGAAAAAGCGACTCTACAACAAGGAGCGCAAAAATAAAATGTTCCAGAAAAAAATTGGAGGTAGAAAGAAGACTATGAAGAAAAATTATAGAAAAAAGAGTTGATTTTATAAAATAATAAATAAATGATTCATTTTTATTCGATTTATTTTGTTTCTGTTCTAACTGACAAAGATTAAAACCAGGTCGGCATCCAAAGTTGCAATCTTATGTAACAGGTGCTAAGCATTGTAACTTATTTCTAAGTTTGGGATAAAATTGCCAGATCAACACTAGCGCCTCTTCCAAGTAGGCTTCTTTCTTGCTCCTGGTTGACCAGGCTTCTTCCTTTCTCTTCTCCTATGATCTCTTGTAAGTAAACCTGCTACTTGCATAGATTCTAGCATACTCCTTTCGACAAAGCTCCTCAAACCCCATGCTATTCCCCATCTAATAGCTCCTGCTTGCCCAGACGGTCCACCTCCCTCTATGTTACATTCAACGTCTACCTTATTCGCTAGTCCAGTGAAAATTAGAGGAAAAATAACTTGCTCTCTTGACTGAATATCTTCAAAGTATGTTATATCTCTGCCGTTAATAGTTACTTTTCCAGTACCTGGTGAAAAAATAGTCACATCTCCTCTAGCTTTTTTTCTGAGACATTCATATGTTGTTATATATGCACGGCCCTCTTCATCAAATTTGGGTTTTGGTATTTCAAGAGCAAACTTCTGTGAAGCAAGTGGTTTCCTGTATTTCTCGATGAATTCAATGCATCTGTAAGAATATGGTAACGAAACTAATCTCTCCATTACAAGTTTGAAATTTTCATACTCAAGGTCTGTGACCTTTTCCATTAGGATCAATTCTAGTTCTTCTTTTGTTACCCACATACTTGATGACAACTCCAATTTAGAATTTTGGTCAGGGACAGCCTTTTTTCTTATAACTTTGTCCTCAAATTTGTATGATTCCTGCAAATGTTCAGCAGCATCATACAAAAGCTTAAAGAAGTTGGGTTTGCCTGTATAGAATAGGAAATGATGAGGTCTTCCAGCTTCATCAAATTCAGCAGCTTTTCTTGCTGGAAAGACTTCTTCAGGTGGTTTCATTAGAGGTCGTGCAGCAGGGTCATAAATACCACTTGGAAACAGATATTCTATTGCTCTGTCGACATCTTTCTGTGTAAATGTCTCGGGATCTTCACCCATCATATTAGCTAAATGCCTTTTACCTATGTTGTATTCAACTTCTTGTTTCTTCATAAATTCATCGTGTTGCCGTGCTCGCTCCAAGTAGGCTTTCATAGCCTTACTGACTGTCTTCTTTTTACTTAAGGTTTCCCAATCGGTAAATTGTTTAAATATATCATCTGCGTTTGTAACTGTTTTACTACTATACTCTCGTACATGCTTATTTAAAGAATTAAACAAACACGAAGAATATTTTGATACAGGTATAACCTGTCTTATGGTTAGTTTTATAACGTTAGACATTTTTTTGGTTATCGTCAACAAATCATATCTTCAATTCAACTTAAATGAAAAGTTGATATATTGGAAACAATAACTGGTTAATAATTTATTTCACATAGCACTAACTACTACTAATATAGTACCAATCTAACCTCTTCACAATTGGTTTTATTTTTTCTATTAAAGATAATATTTTGACAATTGACAGTACATATTCTTACCAAAAATGACAATTGATTTCGGGAGCGCGTCTATTATATTTTTTGTACTTAACTGATTAATACCGATATACCCGCTTTAGACAACCCTAAACTTTGATAAATTACAATTATACTTTTGTTATAGTATAAAAGCTCAATTTTATATAAATTACTTGGGGACCTATAAAAAGATGTTACCTCAATAGCCGGACAGTTTTTGTGGTTTTTACATCTTGCCAGACACATTGAAAGTCCACTGTAGGTGCGAGCGCTGTTCAAGCGGGTGCGAGTGAGATAAAGCACTTAGTCGAGTGCGTTCTTTTACTGCGCACCATCTGTTATCTATTGATGTATTGAATTGTTATGTGTAGATACAACCAACGTTTTATCATGGGAGATACATTAATTTGTTTCGTTTGTAATAAAAGTGATGGTAAAATAATATTGTTCTCGGGAGGAACATTTAAAAAATGTCACACTGTTTTGAAAATCAGAAAAAAAAATAACCTTAAATATAAAGACATTATTTTGCCTGATGAGTATGCAGAAAATGGATATCATCGGGAATGTTATAAAGCATTTACAGGACTTATGAAAAAATACTTAATTTCTGAACCTGAAAAACCGACAAAAAAAAGTGAAAAACAAAAATCAGCCAGTGCACCTACAAACAGTAGCTCAACAACTTCGTCATTGATACCTAAGTTGACCACAGAACCATCTCATTTACAGTCTTCCTCTATAGAATCTTCAATAACATTGCAATCAAGTCTAACTTCTGAATCAATAGGACCTCAAGCTACAACTCCTCAAGAAAATATTGAAATTTGTGAACCAGATGTTAGTGAAAATAATGATTCAACTCAAGATGCAAATATTTTAACTGAAAAGGAAGCTAATAATATCAACTATGAAAATGTTTGTGTATTTTGTGACAGGAAAAATAAAAAAAAAAACTCAAAAATGCTTCCACTCCACAAAACCAATACTAACCAATTTAAATCCAGTGTACTACCCAAAATCGAAGGTCAAGAGGAGTTTACAGAATTATTAAATAAATTAACAAAAATTTCTGGTCCAAAAATATCATACCATACAGAATGTAGAGTCAGTTTCAATAATAAATTATCCTCTTCTAAAAAACCATTCAGAAAAAGTGATTGGCATTTTCATCGAGAATATCACCAATTAGCTTTTAATGAAATAAGTGGCATCCTTAAGGAAGACGTAATTAAAAAAGGGCGCTGTTATTTATTAGTATATTTACATGAAGTGTACACTGATGAATTGGAAAAGATCTTTAAAGAAAATTCTATTGAAATGAATACCGTTTTTACTGCGCACCACCTAGAAGAAAAAATTTTGAAAAAATTTTCAAAAGATATCAAATTTTTTACTATTTGCAATAAAAAAATAATAGCCCCCAAGTTGTCTCAAGGATTGATGAAGAGTTGTCATGCCCAGCACACGAGGAAGCAGATACGAAGATAGTATATCATGCATGTAACATCAACTTTCATCACCTTAAAAGTGATACGGTTGTTTGGATGCTTACAGGCACTGGCAATAATTTAAGGTATGTAGACCTAACCGAAATACATGCAGAGTTGGGACTGTTAATTTGTCAGAGCTTACCTGGATTTCATGCCATTACAGGTTGTGATTTTAATCCTGCGCTCTTCAGAAAAGGAAAATTAAGACCATACAAGATATTAAAAAAAGATCCAGAGTACCAGGAAGCTTTCAAGAACTTCGGCAACAACGAATTAATTGAAAATTTAAATCATCAACAAAACATCTTTAATATTATTCAGAGATTTATATGTAATGTCTACAATGTCCCTAATGTAATTGATGTTGATGCCGCTAGACTTCAAATATTCATCAACTTGTACACAGTCTCCGATGTAAACGAAGCTTTTGACCGAAAGAAGTTGCGAAATTTTGACGCTAGCAACCTACCGCCTTGCAAAAGCGAGCTACTGCAGCAATTTCTGCGAGCAAACTATATATGTACCATCTGGAATAATGCTCATTTGAAAAATCCAACCACATATCAACCAGACAATAACGGCTGGGTATTAAAAGATGACAAATGCCAGTTCAAATGGTTTGAAGGGGATCAACTACCGAGTTATGTTAGTGATTCGCTCAAAACTCAATCAGGTATATAATTATTATGACAAATTATGATACATAATTTTTTAATTATTCATAATTGTATAAACTTGCTTATTTTTCTTTCAGAAACTGACGAAGAAGGTGATGTTGAGGACGATCATGCCATCGATTGGAGTAGTAGTGATGAAGAAAATGAAAACATCGACGACAATGCTTAAATTAATAAACAAGTTTAAATATTTTTTTTACCTGTAATCACACTTTTTATTATATTTTTATGATATTAAACTAATATTTTTTACTTTATACAACATGGCTATGAACGCAATAAAATTATTTTTTATTAGATATCTTAAAAAATAGTAATCGACTAAGTATTCGCGCTCGCACCTACAGTGGACTTTCAATGTGTCTGGCAAGATGTAAAAACCACAAAAACTGGCCGGCTATTGTGGTAACATCTTTTTATAGGTCCCCAAGTAACATATATAAAATTGAGCTTTTATACTATAACGAAAGTATAATTGTAATTTATCAAAGTTTAGGGGTGTCTGGCAAGGAGTAGCAACTGTCATAAGTGTCCGGCAATGGATGACGAGATTTCTATAGTTATCCCGAAGAAAATATAAAAAAATTGAGCATTATGCTCTAACAAATTTTAAGTACTATTTTATACACCTTTACTACCTGTTACCAGTTGGCCAGGTAACCACAACCCAAACTCTATAGTCGCTGGTCGTTCTTACCTGTATAGGAGACATGTACAGAGAAAATTTCAACTTTTATAAAATAATGAAGCTCTGGCCGTCGTGGGCTCTTGGGCCATCGTGATCAGGGGCGACTCCAACTCTATCAGAGCAGATGGGATCATTATAATAATAATAAAAAACGTAACTATGTGAATTCGACTTTAATGCGGACACTACATAATAAGTAATATCACGTCATCCAAATATTCATTCGCCTTAAGGCGCTGCCTCTTGAATGTAATATTATATGAGAATAGAGATATTTGAAAAAATTGCTCTAAAGGAAGTAAGAGAAGGAATTGAAGCTACATTTTTTGAGATTAATGATACGCAATGTCCCATTACCTGTATAGTATAACACCTGTAAAAGTTACTTTTACGCGCTTATTTCAAGTGGGAATTGCAGAAGTTAATGACTATTTATTAATGAACAGATCATGAAAATCAAAGCTGTTTATTTAATACACATTCAGAAAAACAAGTTTAAAAAATTGTGCACATACACCATAATGGACTAATGTTATATTCTGTTCCGATTATTAAAAACAGATAATACTATTTAAATAAAACACTAACGGTTTAAAACGCGATGTATTAGTTACTTATTTGAAAATGATTTTTAACTAATATATCGCGTTTTAAACCGTTAAAGTGTTTTATTTAAATGTGTACTACTCGCGTAAACTATAGACAGTAGATAATACTATGCTTAGAAAAAATCTACCACAAAACAAGCTTATTTAGTTTAGTGTTAACACATTTAAATTTTTATTAGCTGTATCTACATTGTAACAACATTACGATTGTTATTATGTACATATTCTGATATCTGGCGTAGTAATACTGTTACAAGTTTTATATTACAATTGCTTTGATATTACACATTCAAGGATAATATTTCAAATTAAACAAAACAAGTAAGTAATGGTACAGCGCAGTGATCAACACAAAATAAGGTGCACAGAAATTTTATTATTTACATAGAATTATATCAAAAATATTTTAAACCAAATGTATAATAATATAGTCAAAAACAACAGTAAAAAATCATAACAGATCCTCATTAGAGCGGTTATGAACGTTACTAATAAAAACTAATATTCACTACGTATTCACTATTAGGCTATGAAGCGTACAGCGGGTTAGATAATACGAACACTTTTAAAAAATATTAGTATTTAGTTACACACAATATTCACAGTTCAAGGAAACATTTTACTGTATAAATTCGAAAGATCACATAAATACATCGAATTGTTATTCTTCGGGGATTCACATTTAAGTTACTTTACAATAAAAATATCTTAATTGTCTAATTAAAAAAAAAAAGGCGAGTTTACATAGTTCAGGTGGACGCAGATATATACAGAATAATAAATATAATGGAATGATAAGAAGGATATAACTAATCATTTTCTAAATTGTTATAAATGCTACAAAATAGACTAGTAACAATTTGTTTCACTTAAATTAATTCATGTTCGAATGTAGCATTCAATAAAATTCAGCAGTAATTATTATACTTGAAAAAACAAAACAATATCATATTAATAGACAGTGTTACATAGAAAATCGGATTCGATAAATCAGTCAGTCTTTTCATATATAGATGGTCAAAATTTTTTTTATTAAAAAATAAAATAACAAAATAGAACATAAGAAATAAATATAGATACAAGAAACATGTTTTTTTCAATGATTTAATTTAAGTGAAACAGGTTAGATATAGGCGGGTGTTTCGCAGCAGACCCGGTGCTAGTCGAACAAATTATTCTACAAATTACGATTAAATATTAGGATGTTACGTGGGGTCGTCTGATATTAGTGCCTCCGACTGCTCGTCAAGATCAGATATGTTTCTTATCGTCCTGAAAAAAATGATAACGAATTAAAAATGGGGATATGGTTGCCCCAAAAAATTATAAATTGAATAAAATTGATGACAGTAAACCAAAACCACACGTTCTATACTGTTGCTCTTGCCAACTAAGCTATTGTGTCTCGCACACTGGCGCAATGTGATTTACACCTTAACACCTGAATATTGAATCAGTTTCCAATATTTTCAACGTTCTATGACATAGGTTTTATCAAATACTAGCTGTGTCAGCGACTTCGTCCGCGTAGTATAGTTGTTTTGGACATCCAAAATTTTGCACCTCCTTATCTTTATGAATTAAGCTGTTACTGACGACGTCGGTGGCGCCCCGTCGTTCTAGCAAGGTAATCTTAAAAGATAGACGTATAGTGTCGCGGACATTTTTTTTAGATTCTTTAAAGAGGAATAATTTTTTCATAAATATTTTTTGTGTACCCTTCTCGCAGAGTACGGATTGGAAACCCTCTAAGATGAATAATTTTCCTAGTTTTTTTCACATTTCCCGCTGTTTCTTCGCTTCTATTAGTCACATCGCGACGTGTTACAGCCTATAGCCTTCCTCGATAAATAATGAACCGGTAGTTTCTGAGATTAGCTTTAACTATAACCATAAACAAACAAACTCTTCAGCTTTATATATAAGTATAAATTAATAAGTAAAAGACTATAATCATCTATACTCACGTAAATCTATCAGCAGGTCTCAATCGAAGTAAAAGGCAAGCGGCCGGGGCGGGTACAACCGATAGATCCAACGCTGCGCACGCCCATCCAGCCGCTGCTAAGGTTGCTGCGGCGGCATGCCAAACGCTGGCAACACCACGCCATGCCTCCGCGCACGCTGCTAGCGGAACCGCTGCTGTCAGTACCACGGTCGCAGTTTGCGATGACGTCAAGGATTTACCCCTAGATAGATACATTGATAATATTTTAATAAGCTATAAAAAGTGGGAAAGAATTGTTTTGTATTTATGTATTACTTGGTAGAACAGCACGGTGCATTATTGGGGAGTTGGGTAATCCACTTATTCAAGTTGGGTATAACCAAGTAGCATTATAGTAATTACTTTCGACTACCTAAATACATCTGACAACAGGTGCCATCTAACAATAACTATACTGGTGACGAACCTATCTTAAATTTATTTGTATTTCAGGCCGCGTTAAAACTTTGTACTGATAGATTAAAATTCAATAAGAAATAACAGATCTATTTAAGTTTGATTAAGCAAATTGGAATATTTACCAGAGCCACAGTGATTCCATTAGAAGTGGGCTCAAAGCGCCATCTAGAAGTAGCCAACTCCAGAGTCTAGGCGAGGGAAGTTCAGCCTTTTCAACTCCAGATAGTGCCAGCACACCACCGAAAGTCCATATTAAACAGCCGCACACGCAGCCGACAATTCCTGTAATATATTATTTATAAATATAAATTATAGAAACATATAGAATTTATTTAAACGTGCCAGTAAAAAGCGCAATTGTGTGTAACTTAACTATAAAGTAATCTCAACCTAATGTGAAAGCAAATGGTATGGTGGTTATTATCTTATTTAACGTATAAGTATGAATATTAATCATAACAAGAAAAGTTTGCAATTACCAACAAGTAAGAACGAGTTAATCCCATCTCCTTTTCTTAACTCTCGTCGAAATAGTAATAAATGCACTGCATAGCAAAGCGCTGATCCCAACGCCGCTAGAACAGCTGTCCAATTGCTTTTGTTTTCTGATATGCCTAACACCACCTACAAGCCACATAAATAATATTAACATCACTTTGACAATTGAGCTACCATGTCCCAACCGTAGCTCAATTGGTAAGAACATGCTGTGATGACGCATAAGATATCGTCAAGTTATCAAATTATTCAATTTAAATGCATTTTTAATTTATGAATTACTTTGTCTATGTTAATTGTCAGTATTGTCAAAATCAAATAATTATTTAACATGTATGAATATGTTTATTATTTAACAAGTTAAACTATTAGAAAAGTAAATAAAGATTATTAATTGCCTTAGAAATAGTAGTATAGACATAATAATGAGTAACAACACATACCAGTCCAGCTGTGGTGAGTAAAACAGCAACACACTTGGAGAAATTTAACCTGTCAGCAGGTGTTTGAGCAAACAAAGCGCCCAGTGAGAGAGCAAACGCACTTGTGGTAGACGTGTATATTGTAGCCGAGCAAGATGAAGTATATAACAGGCTCAGTCGATAGAGATAGTTTGATATGAACCACTGAAATAAAAAACATTAAAATATATTCTACCTAAATGAACAGAAACTATTAGGATTTTTGTATTTGTAGTAGTGCAGTGTATCAGCTATTGATTACATGTGAATAAATACTACCACAAATACAAAAACATCTATGTTATGGCCACATGATGCTTAAATAAAAATCCCAATTCTCAATCACAAAGGCACACATAATTAAAGTTTACTTATAACTCTATAAGGATAGATATGTTTGATCTATAATGATAATTTCGTTATGAAGAATTTGCACTGTGTAATAATCATCCGTTAGTTATCTAATAAATTCTGTAAGGCTTTCACGGCCACCATTCAGCATATCTTATAAGAATTAATTATTTGAGAAATTGAGGAGCTAACATCTCCTGATGATGCCATCAGCTCGTGATGGCAAAACGTCGAGAACCTTATCACGCCTACGTCGGCCAAATAGCCCGAAAAACAATACTGCTATAAATACTAACTGGTAACGTAAATACAAGTGCAAGCCTTATATGCCGTCGTGTGGCAGCTGCTGCAGCCCGCCGTTGTGCGTACTCCGTAGCTCGTATTGATGCTGACCAAGAGAGCCGAGCGAGTAAAGCTTCACCTGCCATCGCCGCTGACATGACCCGCACCTGGAAACCACAATGCTCAGAAAGCCTTTTTATGGTATAAATAATATTATTTGCTGGGTTCAATCCACTGTTAAGTTTCCTATTTATTGCAAGAAATAAAAAACCTAAGCGAAAGACAGACTAGACAGAACTATCAAGAGGCCAGTGTAAATAGCAGAGCTATAATAACAATAAAAATATGGTTTTGGCATATTTGTAGTTTATTGTTGTCACACTTGACATTTTTATTTTATACTATTTATATAATTTTATTTACTTTGGGAGCAAGTTTAAGAGAAGAGTATTTTTGCGACCAGCTTGTTATCTACTGTCTAAAAAGCACCACTGCTTTAGTCCTTTTTCGTAAATTTTATACTAAAAAAAAAAACTTGACACGATCTGAACTCAAATCTACGTATGGATTGAAATAAGTAGACTATGACGTATCGGACACGATAGCTTATTTGTTTTAATTATTTTATATAAAATAGATTTTTGATTTAAATAATGTAGTTAAAATTTTTTGTCTTCTAAATACTTTATCATTTAGTGCTGTTTTATTAACAAAATCTTTTCAAATGAAAAATAATTAGTTATCAAGTTATCATTGTGTAACTTTATTATCTCATACTGCACGCAGATAAGTTTTATTGACCTGGGAAATTCTGAATAACTACTGACATTTACTTTAAAAAAGAAAAAGTTATACGGTTTATGTATTATTTTATTAACTACTTAAGTTTTATAAAGTATAGTTGAAATTGACAGCTGATACACCAACAAATTAAACTGTTACTACACATACCTGTGATGTAGTTTTTATTTTTCCTGTCTGTATAAAAAGTAATATGTATAATTATCTTGGTTATAATCATTTGTCTTCCAGTTAAGACAGTATTAAGATAATATAGAGAAATATTGACTGATCGAAAGTAACCTTACAATTAAGCACATAATTTTTACAATTAAGTATGTGAGTCTCCTACCTCAGCAACTTTATTGAATCGGACAGCTCTTGGTGTTGCATCATCACTATCTGTGGTCTCTCCAGCTCTAACAGGTATGAATGTTGAATCGCCCTGCAATTGCACAGCTCTTATGATAAAAATTATATGAAAGATAATAAGTTCTTCTTAGAAACATACTTACCAAACTATTTGCAGGCTCGTTGAATTCATCATCTGTTTCAGTAGCTGGCTCTGTTAGTTGCTAATAAAAAAAGATATATCATTAAAATAAGACACTTTAACGGTTTAAAACGCGATGTATTAGTTAAACTGATTTGAAAATGATTTTTAACTTTGGCCCAACGTTTCGGATGCTTTGCAGCAGCCGTGGTCACGGGGAGACCATCATTTTCAAATCAGTTTAACTAATCTATCATGTTTTAAACCGTTAAAGTGTTTTATTTAAATGTGTACTACTCCCGTAAACTATAGACAGCATTTAAGATATATCAGTATAAATTTCATAATAATAAAATAAAAGTATTTGTATGTATACAGTACACTTTTTGAGAGATTGATAAAGGCACTTACAGTATAATCAGCCGGATGGCATGGATCCTTTGTAGGTGGTGTAAAACACAGTACTAACAGGTAAATGAATAATAAGGAACTTCTAACATAAGTCACAAGAAATGGTCTTTCTAATTTCTTCTCAACATATATATACTGAAAATAAATAAATTATTGTTAAAATGATACTGGAAACACCATTAGTGAGTTGTTTGCATTATGTATTTACTTACCTTAGTTAACTCTGATGATACAACCCATAACACAGCAACAAGCAATAAAATAAAAACACCGAACGCATATTTTCTTCTACTGAAATCTTGTCCTTCATTTTTGCTGTTGTTGTCATTATTTGAAACACGAAAGTAATTATGACATAGAGTCAACATTAAGGCAAATTTAAGAGCTTTATAAAGTACCAACGATGTTTATTTGGAATACAAAAAGAGGTCCGAAAAAAAGAATCAAACGATCACGGAATGTTGTATTGGTTTCGATATTCATGTATCGACGGTTAGTACAAAGAGTTTCATGTTCTTCTTCTGTTCAAGAGTACATTCATCAGTTGCAAGTTAATATTTTTGAACTTTGTTTTCCGTGAATTGTAGTCATTAAATTTATTCACCAAAGAAAACACCACAAAGGGCCGAAAGGCTGAATATTTTTGAATCAATCAAAAACGTCATATTGACAATACGACTCTGATATTTTGACAATAAACATTACCACAATAGTGACAGTGACATATACTGTCAAACATTTGAATATTATGGTTTTATGAAATTCAAGCATTTAAGTTACTTGTTTGTACTTAATAGCTCATTATTTTTGTTATCTATCATCATGGATATTATAAAACTAGTCGGCAAATACTTAAACATACCTGTAGGTTCCCTATGTTATAATACGGATAAGGTAATGATTCACTTATGTTATTGGTATACATTTTGTTTATATCTAAGGTTAACTCAAATATGACTTTCCTTAGACTATCACAACAGTTTTGGATAAAGAAAACGTGGAAGGATTTGCGAGTATAGTTCTCCGGTTAGCCTCAAAAAGTCGTCAAAATGTGACCCAAGAACAATTGCTCCTTAGTTATCAATGGCTAGAATATATTGCTATGTATGGAAACCAAGCATCTACTAGTCCAGTCTTTGCCAAAAATTTTCTCCAGGTAACTACTTTTTAATAGTGATGGGATGGCGGCAATGGGATTCCTTATTAATATTTTTATTTTATATTACAGGGACTCAACAGAGCTTTGGAAAAGAAGACATTTTTAACTGGAAATCAACTTACAGTAACTGATATTGCTGTATTCTATTTTTTGCAGCCTCTTGTGGTATGTACTTAATTAAAATTATTAAAAACTTAAACTGAGAGTATACTTCTTTAGAGTACATACTATACAAGGTTTTAGTTTATATAGATAGTTAGTTTAAATATTTCTATTTCGCATTATTTATTAAACCTTTTGGAACTTTGGCCAGAGGGAGCAGACTGAAAAACAGTGCTGTGTCATCTTCGTGCAGCATTTAGTTGAGTCTGAATCCCGATGTGATACAAAATAATTTACAAACATAGCTTTAAGGTTTTTGTGTATTTCTTAGTTTTTTTGGAAGAAAACGTTTTTTTTTATTTCTTAAAAGCTTAAAATATTTTTAAAAGACTGATTGTTCATTAGGGTCTAATTCAGAAAGAAGTTGAATAGAATGCACACAGCATACATATTATGCTAACTGCCTAACCTTATTATATGATAGTGCTTATTAAAGTTGTATCTTTCCAGGCAAATCTAAATGTACTGGAACAGGAGTCGCTTATGCATCTCTGCAGGTGGTGTAAACATGTTCAGGCACAACCAAAAGTGTGTTCACACTGTGCTCCATTACCACTCAATACTTTGACACTGTCAATACTTGCTCCTGCTGTACACTAAGTACTAAGACTAACATCAGAAAACGGTACAATAGCATTTCTCGCTCTCACTATTCATATACGATGGAGGAAAGCCTACATGTCTAATTTAATATTTATTACATAATCTGTAATTTTTTTAAGTAATAAAATTGTACACTTCAATGGATCTCGAAATGACTAATCTTAAAACAGCTGTTTTATTTTCTACTATTTTAATGTGCGCAGTGAGTAATCTCAGTTACAAATACATAAGATGTTTCTTTTTGTAAGGTAAATGAAACAAAAAAATAATACAAATTAAAGTCAATTTCTCTGCGTATTCCACATAGACAGACATATCTGTACTGTCTGTAGTTTACGCGAGTAGTACACATTTAAATAAAACACTTAAACGCTTTAAAACGCGATATATTTAAGTTATAGTTCTTAAAAATAATTTTCAAACAAGTTTTAACTAAAATATATCGCGTTTTAAACCACTAGTGTTTTATTGAAAGGACATTTCTGTGTCTATTTATCTGATAACTTGTGTAAACCAAACTCCTCATAAAGACACTAAAGATTTTTAAAATTTATTTTTCGATAGTGTTAATCATTAAAAGATCTTTCAGCATGTAGCTTCCATTCCACCCTGGTACAAATTCCCATTGCCAAAGCAGTTATTTCCTCATGAGTTAAAGAACAAAGGCTTGGATAAACCAGTTATTTTTCACCCCCAACCGTTTTCTTACCCTGGATATCCAGTTATACTATATTTATAAATTTTGAAGAAGTATACAAGACTATAGTTTGAATACATAATTGTTTTATTAAATACTTAAAACATTGCATCATGTGACTTATTAAAACATCTATTTAACCCTTAATAATGTATTATTGTATAGTTATAGTTTAATTTAAAAATCGAAAATAAATTGAAAAAATTTCGACTCGGGCAGGACTTGAACCGGCATCGTCAGCGTTCCGTGCTGTTGCTCTTCCAATTGAGCTACCGAGTCCTACACCTCATCGTCGAATCTTTTCAACTTATTGATACATGCACCTCTCGCGCAATGTAATTTCAACCTTAACACTTGCGTATGCAACAGCACGGAACGCTAACGATGCCGGTTCAAGTCCTGCCCGAGTCGAATTTTTTTTCAATTTATTTTCGATTTTTAAATTATATAGTGCCTTCATGTGCAATAACTTGTAAAAAAAAAATAAAGTTTTCAATAGTTATAGTATAGTAATTTTTTTCTTGTCTTTGGTAACTGGCACTTGGTTATACGGGGCTGGTTTCATTGCTCTGTTTTATTTTATCGGTATTTCTGTCTGTCAGTTGCAGCATTAGACAGCGCTCTAGTTTATTTGAATATGAACAGCCATTATCTTCAGTTTCTGTAATGAGTTAAAATGAAATATTTAATTGCTTAAAATAAAGAGACCGCCTCTGTAGCTAAACGTTTAAACGTGGTGCCTAGGATTGCGTTAAGCGCGAGAGGTCCAGGGTTCGAATCCCGGGGAAACAATTTTTTTACTTGCCTGTAAATAAAAGCGATCAGTAAAACGGGCATAGCAATGCGTTTGCCCCATGAGGGGCATCGGGATTTCACTACTATTTTTAATAAGTAATATAAAGCCAGCTTAACACCACAGACTTATAAGTTATAATATTTTGTGAGCCACACAACAGTCTCGATTATGCCACAAATAAATCCTATTGTCTTCTCCTATTTCAAATGAGCTGACCTTGCAAACATTATTTTGCAATATAAAAATGGTAATTTTAATAAATTAAAGAAAAATAATTTTCTTATATATACTTTTTGCATCTTGAACCGTTTCCAGTGCAATGGAAACCATTAAATATGATTTTTCTTCGCTCCTATTAGTCACAGCCTGGTGTTTTATCGCCTAAAGCCTTTCTCAATAATTGCTCCAACCAATACTGAAATATTTTTCTATTCGAACCAGTAGTTCCTGAGATTAGCACGTTCAAACAAACAAACTCTTTAGCTTTGCGATATTAGTATAGGTATAACTTTAACTATGATATCTCACCGGACTCTAATTCCAGAAAGCAAGCACGAAGTTGGTCCCTTATTAGCGTTCTGGACTGTTGCGAGTTTACTGAAGTTTGTATCTTATTCCACAACTGGGTCTCGCGGGGAATCCCCTTCGCATCAACCTATAAAAACCCAATGACGATGTAAATGAATCGCGTTTATGGACTTAATGGATTATAACCACAATTTTGCTTACCACTTGCAAATTAGCAAATACACACTGACTCAGGCACTGAAAAAATAATATATTGTTAGCTAATGCACCATAATGATTGCTGTTCGTTTGTTTAAGGCGTAATAAGTACAAGATTGTGGAATTCCTATATTAGTTCGCTATATGATTACTAATACAGATGTGAATCTATACTAATATAGGTATAGAGCTAAAGAGTTTGTTTGTTTGGTCGATTGTTGAAAAAATATTTTTGTGTTGGTTAGAGCATTTATCGAGGAAGGTTATCCTTACTAATATTATAAATGAAAGTAACTCTGTCTGTCTGTCTGTTACTCTTTCAGGCCAAAACTACTGAACGGATTTGAATGAAATTTGGTACACAGATGAACTAAACCCTGAGAAAGAACATACTTTTTATTGCGAAAAGGGGGTTGTAAGGGGTTAAAAGTTTGAATGGAAATTCTTGGTTTTTGAAGCTAGAACAATGTTACTTTATTCTTTGGCTTTTTGGGAATAGGAGTGGGAGTGAGAGTGTTAGTTAGAGTAGGAGTGATGTGAGGTGAGAGTGTTGCGGCAAAGTAGCACTTACAACATAGATTGGCTGCGATAAATGCGCAATTACATAAATTAATATACAGCCTAAAAAATTAAAAATTCTGCCTCAAGTCACTATTCCACGCGAACAAAGTCGCGGGCACAGCTAGTTTTACATAAAACATTGTTTCCGTTCGTTTCGCTTTACGATTGCAAATTTTGATGCCCAGTTACTATTTTACGCGGACGAAAAAGCTGACGCAACTGAGCAGTGATTCACAAAGGACGGAAGGAATAAATATTTTAGCGTGTAAAAATCCTATATCTTAATATTGGCATCAAATGTCATATCTATCCAAACTAATATTATAAAGCTGCAGTTGAAGCTTAGTTTGGTTGTTTGAACGCTTGAGATATAACTTTTGTGCTGGTTTGACCAATTTTCGAGAAAGGCTTAAGGCAAACATCAGGCTGCGACCAAAAGGAGCGAGAGGGAAATATAGAACAAAAGTGAGTTTCCGTTGCGTTTGCTGCGAAAACGATTCAAGAAACCAAAAAACTATGTATGACTCTTCTTTAAATGATCTAAACAATGTCTCTGACAGTTTATGATTATCTTTTAAAATTAAATCGAAATCAAATATCACCGACATAGTTCATATGGTAAAAGAAACATTTGCCTGGTGAACTAGGATAACATAAGGTATATAAATAAATTGATTTTTGGTTATGGTAGGTAAACAAAATCATTTTAATCTTTTCTTTAATTTAACGGAACTCGTTACCATCAACCTTGTTCTATGGCGTCCTCATCGTTACTATGTATCAAGTGATTCTTAACGGTGTACAAAGACGCAGGACTTATAATAGACATATTAAAAATCCATTATAAAACATCTACGTCACGGGCAGGACCTGCTCAACTTATAATTTGTATAGTGCCATTGTGTCCAATAACATGTGAAAAATAAGTTTTATACCCTTCATTTTTAGTCCCTCCTAAAACTGAAACTACCCACAAATCGTATCAATATACCTGATCAGTACCGCTCTGCCTTATCAAAGAGTTGCTTCGTTTATTCCTATACAAGGCGTTATCGCTATTATTAGTCCCATTGTTGGACAGAGCTGGTCGTGGTAGTGTCTTGATGAACTTCTCACCTACATCGCCTTCTCCGTAACCCATGTAGTCATAATCTGTTCCGTTCAGAACGTGCATCTGGTTTTGACCGCTTCTCCTCTCGTGGTAATATTGATTCGTATCCTGTCTAGTGTTTCCATCTATGCGTGATTCCTCGCTTCTCCGTTGACGGGTTTTTGGGATGTCTAGTGAACAGGAATGAATTGCGCTTGCGATTTCTTCCTCTAGTAGGTGGATATTGCCATCGTTCGTACATATTACTAGGATAGGTATAGAGAGCAACAATGTGAGAAACATTTTCTAAAAGTGACTGGATGAGAGAAATATCGTTTTTAATACTCGGAACACAGGAAATGGGGTAATTATGGGTGACAGCTGATTGGCGTACTATGCTGTTGATAGGAAAATTTGGTTCATTTTGCTGTATGTGCTGGGCTGCGTGGGAAATAGTGGCTGCAACTATAAGATACCTGTATACACATTTATGTACATATATATATGTGATAATTATATCATTTATAATCGAGGCCGCTAGAGTAGCCTAACTGCAATTTTATGACTAGACTAGTAATAGTTTCATAGTCTAATAATGTTAATATACAATAGCACATTGATCGAATATTATTAACATATTTTTTACACAATTATTAGTACGAATTCATTATTGAGAATTATGTTTTTTGGTGTTAAGCTACTGTGCCTCTAGAGGTCTCAATTATGTTCATATAATGGATATTAAAATCCTGATCAGATAAGATTTTAACAGCTACTGCTTAACAAGCCCTGGTTTAAATACGAGAAGGACTTATGATTCAGAGTAGAAAATTACGTCGCAATTTGTATGAACAGTAGCTATAGGTATATAAACTTGTCAAGAATAATTATATAAAAACAACATTCGGGATTTCCTGTTCCTTAATACATTATTGACAGTTACGTTCATATATCTTAAGGCTTTAATCATAATCGTTGAAATGACTATAATTTAACGCCATTAGATATAAATTGATTATTAGTAATTTTAGTTTTGGCAATAGAACTTAGATTGTGTACTGTTTAAAAGTTGATTACGTATATATATTGATATATAAAGCTGAAGAGTTTGTTTGTTTGAACGCGCTTATCTCAAGAACTACAGGTTCGAATTGAAAAATTATTTTCGAGTTAATCATTAATTTTGAGGCGAATCATGAGTTTCATTTAATGGTAGGTGTAAAACCCCAGTTATATAACGTCTTAACAAAATGCGCTGTCGATCTGTTTTGGCTTTGGATATTCGGAAATACACAGGAAACCGAGACGCGATTAAACTTCGCGGCTTTTTCATCTGTGGACGGTGGTTCATGACCTGGACGGAATTTCGATATTCCCACCACCCATTTCATATTCAGATTTCCAGTTGAAGTCCAAAATATTACAAAAAAAACATATGAATTGATTAGAAAAATGTTGAACCCGGTGGGCAACAAACGACCCGTTGATTATTAACTACATTGCTACCAATGCACCAACGGGCCCGTCAAATAATATTATTATATTTATTTTTAGTTGGTTGTGTTTTTTAATGAATAATTTGTCATTGTAAATAAGACTACTTTATTAATAGTACATATTTATTTCCCTTTTCCATAATGCCCCCATTTACCATTCCCCCAGCCAGTCCAAGTGGCTCCTTCATTACCCCCAAATATTTTCATGTTCGGTCGTCCGTAAGATCCATAGCCAGAACCAGCCAAAGGCTTTCCAAATATTCTGTTTCCTGTGAGGCTGGCGTAACTGCTTCCAATCACTCCAGTGCCCCCATGACCTCCATAGGTTCCAGTTAAATGGAATTGAATTGGAAAATTGAAACCTGATCGTGGCCACAGGGTTTCAGCTTGCTCCATTAGGTCTTGCTCTTGGGGTTTGGGACTTACTGAAATTTTTATTAGCTGTACATCTTATTACATTTTATTAGAAGCTTAACTAGAAACTGTCTGCAGTTTACGTGAGTACACATAAAAAAACACGCTTTAACGGTTTAAAACGCGAAATATATTAGTTAAATTTATTTAACTACGAGCCGACGTTTCGGATGCTTTGCAGCAGCTGTGATCACGAGTTTTCCTTAGAAATAAGTTTAACTAATATATTCCGCGCTTTAAACCCTTAAAGTGTTTTATTTAAACTCAACTAGTTTTTATTATTATAATTGAGTTGACTTTAGAACTAATTAAGACAAGTTTCAAAGATACCCTCCCTTTTTATACACAAAAATAATGTGTGTGCCTTTTCGAATTAGAATTTTTTTAACAGATCAACCCATTGACATAAACATATAATTTTGGTGTCGAGTATAAGATCAGTTATTGGCATGCATCTTGATAATATTATGCATATTTTGAACTTTAAACAATTCAAGGATTTTACAGCCTAGATTCTCAACTAGGTTCATATACCAATTAAACACTATTAATCATAATAATTTAGTACTTCACAACGTTTCGATTTTTCCCTATGTGCGCTTAAATCTTTAAAACTACGCAACAAATTTTGATTCGATTTTTTAATAGACGAAGAGATTCAAGAGGAAGCTTTTTCTATACAACGTTCACAGTTTCGCTTCATCCGAGCGAAGCCGGGGCGGGTCGCTAGTAAAGTATATAAATTATAACACTACAATTGTTCTAATAAAGTATAAATAAACATTACCTTTGATGGCTTCTTTATTAGCTATTGGCTGTATCCATAACGCCAAGGGTTCCCTTCCAGAATTTGGTACCAACGGAGGACTTGGCGAAAGATACAACGCTGGGTCAAGTACAGCACTCATGGCCGTCGTTAAAATGCCAAGAAACCACCAGATAACCTGTAAATTTTTTTGAAGTTGGTAATTTATTAACGTCTTAAAAAGCAAAGTACAGTCTGTAGTTTACTCGAGTAGTACCTATTTAAATGAAATACTTTTAACGGTTTAAAATGCGACCTTATATTAATATAACTACTATTACTAACTAATAGGTAATATAATTGTACATTTATATTACGTTTTCAATAAACTAATTTATTTTAACTACGACCCGACGTTTCTGCTGCTGCGTAAGTTTAAGTATTACGTTTCGTGTTTTAAACAGTTAAGAGTTTTATTTCAACTCTTAAATAGTTCTTAACGTTGGTTCGTTTGATGATTTTTTATTCAAAGAAAAAATTATGCGTAGCCTGGTCATATACTATAAATAAAGTATTAGAAAGGATAATAATAGTTACTTATTAATTTAATTTATTTCTCGTTATATGTATGAGAATATTTTTTATCTACATTCAACGATGAAGTCCTTCAATGACACAGATAAAAAAACGTAACTTTAGAAAAGTTAAGTTCGTATTTTTATCTGTGTCACTATCGCATTATATTAAGAACTAGCTCTGTCAGCGACTTCGTCCGCGTAGTATAGTTATTTTGGGCATTTTGAATTTGGTTTTTGCAAATCTGCTGTTCATCTTTATAAATTTAAAGTATTACCCAGACGTCGGATGGATGGAAAAAAAGATAGACATAACATATTATAATCATCTTAAAAGATAGACCCGGTTGCGTCAGTCGGGTAGAGCAAGTCTGACCCACAACTTAGCTGTAAATAAAAGCGATCAGTGAAACGGACTCAAAAGTGTGTTTGCCCTATACTTCATTGATTCAATGATAAGATGTTTATAATAATAACGCTAACCTGCCTTTATAATGAAATAATATTACCTATGATAAATTGTTATTGTTGAAGTGTGACAAACTTTATTATACTTCGTTAAGTTACTAAGTCATCAATCAATATATTTATTGAGTATTAGACGTTGAATGTTGTGACTAGTCGTTTGTTTTACTTTATAAAATGTTACACAATTCCTGATGCATTCTTAATTCTTATTTCTTTGCTACTATGTTATTAAAATTATCGCCTTCCTTATTGCTTATATAAACATGATTATAATTTGCATTTGGTCAGTGTAGAACACTTGCGTTGCGCATGAGAGGTCGTGGGTGTCTAATCCCGGGGATATAAGTAGTTTCGATCTGACAGGGCACAAAAGTTAATCTACTCTACTGTGCCTAGACACACGAACGCGTCTGCCTCGTGCCCCACATAGGGCAGTCATTCATCTTTGTCTCAACCACGGTTGCTGCAAAACATCCGAAACGTCGGGCCGAAGTTAAAAATAATTTTCAAATAAGTTTAACTAATATTTCGCGTTTTAAACCGTTAAAGTGTTTTATTTAAAAATCTACATACTGCAACCGAAACGCTATTCAATTTGACGGCTTTTTTATTTATGGACTGGATGGTTCGTGATTATGGCGGAATTTCGATATTTCTACCACTCGATTAATGTTCAGATATCCAAAGTCTAACGTGTTGGAAAGAAATGATAAAATGATTAGAAAAATGTTCAACCCGGTGGGGTTCGAATCCGCCGTTGATTATTAGCCTTAGATTGCTACCATTACACCAACGAGCGTCAAACTTAATTTTAAAACTCACGCGCATTGCTATGGTTTCCCACTTTTATGAGCTTTGGCTACACTAGATCACTACACAGTAACAATTTAACTGAGATGGGTTTAAATAGGATCGGGATACACTTTCGTGTTTAGAAATTTTATGATCGAGGTTCAAGGACGGTGGCCTACTTTCTCTGGTTATATTTCGGGAGAGATTTTATGATGATCGTATCTTATATCATACATAGGCCTGCCCTTTCCTGACAAGAATAATAAACTACATCTATAAAATAAATCTATAGGAATATTATAAAGCTGAAGAGTTTGTTTCGAACGCAGGAACTATTGGTTCGAATTGGAAGACTCTTTTTGTGTTGACCATTTAACGACGAAGGCTTTATGCTATACAACACCAGGCTATGACAAATATGAAACAGATAGAAATGTTGGAAAAACGAGAAAATTGTTATTTGAAGGGTACCCAAAAAATATGTATAAAATAATAACTGTTATATAAATAATATGTGTGTGTGACATTATACGAATATGTATACTTTTAAGATTAACTCAGAAGAAGAAAGACGAAGAAGTTTTTGTGGGAATTATTTTTTTAATATGGTAAAAGAACGTTTGCCAAGTCAGCTAGTAAGATACATATACCTGTCTATATAAATAATAAAAACACCGAGATATATAATGTTTAATTTTTTTTCTTAAGAGAAGAGTCATTTTAGGAACTTAAAAGGATTAATGCTATATATATATATACATGCCTCTCTGTAGACAAATGGTTAAACATGTTTCCTAGCATTGCATTAAGCTTATAAACACGAGAAACCTCTCGTTCTGGGTTCGAGTCCCGGGGGAACAATAGATTGTTTCGGTCGGGCAAGGTACAAGAGTCTGGTCAACTTGCCTATAAAAATCGGCGAAACGGTCACGGAAAAGTTTCGCCCCATACCCCAGGGAGGAAGCAGGTGTTCACTTATAAACTCTAAAACACTTTATTTTATTATTATTTTTCTGGATATATGAGTCAAAGCAAATATTATATTTTTTAAATTATTTATATATTTAAAAAAATATAAGCTGACAGTAGATAAAAAATGTCCCCATTATCATGCCCCTAAAATTTGTAATAATCGACTTATTAAAACCAGTAAATTTCAGAATAATTACGTTGTTTTGGTCAACCAAAAAATACAAGGAAAAAGGTGTAATACCTCAGTAATGTATTACAATGTTTAATTATCTACTTTTAAGAGTTTGCGGTCGCTTTGTTTTAAGCTTACCTTAGTGAAACTATGTTTAAGTTAGGATTGTGTAATATCCAAATATGTATGACTAAGTTTTGAAATGGCGTCACATATGACGTCAGCAAGATATAGTATCCAGTATATGCTAATACAATTGTCTTAATCTCATTTGAATGCAAAGCACGTAATAACATAAAGATGATATAAACATCAAAGATATATATCTAACACAATCTTTTAAATATAGCAAGTGCGTGAGATTTCATTTTTATGAACTACCTACTTATGTTTTACGAGTAATGACTTTGTTTGTGTAAACATGAATCAACAGCAAGTTCCGATTTAAAAAAAAATCTGGTTTTTTATAGTATAGTTTTAAAGATTTACATGTAAAAAATGTATTTAGATTGAATAAAATTACCGACGGGCGCGACTTGAAACTGCCTGCACAGCGTTCCGTGCTGCTAAATAGATTTTTAATCAATTCAGTTTTAAAGCATTTAAACTGTATACATCGACTGTGAATTGTACATGATATGATTTTGTAGTCGAGTAGGTTATACTTATACTGCTAAGGTTATATGTTTTTTTAAATTGCCTTAAAGCAGATTAATACAAACCCTTGTAAACCGCCTCTGTAGCTAACTGGTTAAGCGTATACGCAATACGTAAACGTGGTAACGTAACGTTAAGCGCGAGAGGTTCTGGTTTCGAATCCCAGGGAAACAAACAAAATGTTTCGGTCGGGCAGGGCACAGAAGTTTGAACTACTTGCCTGTTAAAGCACGGATCAGTGAAACGGACACAGAAATGTGTTCGCCCCATTTCCAAGGGGAAACGGGATTTCATACTTGTTAAAAATGGTATCATGTCTCTAGATTGTCAAGGGTACAGGTCCATCTTTACCAAACCTGTATATAACATAAAACGAATGAATTATAATTTCTGGATACGGACTCTTTATATTTTTAACACCGGAATTTATAACACCTTAATGCCATTTTGCGATAAAGCTCTTTAAAAAGAGCACTTGTCCAATGCAAAGAAATGTTGGGGCTTTCCAAGGTGAAGCAAGGTCAATGTTTTCTTTGCGAACCAATAAACTAGTTAAGGTACTTGCTTTGTTTACTCTTTTGTTATTAATGTATTTGTTTGTGTGGAACCGGCTTTTTGCCTATGCGCAATATGTAGATTTTATTGCGTTAACCGTTATTTCAATAAAATTATTAGCTTATTCAAAAGATATGCTATCTCAAAACTTGTTGTTTTAAATTTATTAAATGTATTTAATATTGAATAAAACCGAACCCACGACCACATTTTCTTGCTATTTCTCAACAAGTTAATGGTACTCTACCTCTAAAAAGATAAAGCTAAAAGATAGACCTCTAAAAACCTTAAATTCAACTTTTTTTGACAAGTTTAAATATTTATGCTCATATAGTGTTGCTATATTAATATATTTTGCAAAATATAGATTTGTTAGGTTGGTAATTGTTAAGGGACTAAACAGATTTATAAGAGACATTTTAATTACATGTACAAAGACTAGGGCACTTGAACTATTAGTGGTCAAGGGACATTTAGAGTTCTTTTTATTATTATATATTATTAACAATAATAAACGAGACATCGCCACGTTTGATTTTCCTTGTCTTTTTACATAATCTAATATGCATATTCAATGCACAAATTACAGACGAAAAAGAGTCGAAGACTTGTCGTGTTTTGTGATCTCAATTGTATAATTCTGTAGCAAACAATTTTGACATTTGCACAATTTTAATTATCAGTTCCTTAATCGAAGATGCCATCTAAACGTATAATGCGTTATTATCGAGTCCATAATATTTATAATAATCTATTCGTAATGTTTCTGAACATATCAGAATTCATTTAATATGACTGGGGTGTTTTACATTCCATGATGTGAGCCCCATTCTTGTTTTTCCTTAGTTGTCATAATTATTATAATTATTGTACATGTTAAATAATATTTGAAATAGTTTTTGTCCGCCCTCCTCTATAGGTAAAATAATAATTTTAAAAAGAAAATAATAAAGTAAAAGGATAAAAAAGCTACGCGAAGGACTATCATTTAATAGTCCTGAACGATTTAAGTGTTGAGTGTTGAGGATCAATCACTCGGATTCAGTCGTGGAAATAATCATTGATACGAATTATGGTTAAAACATTATTTATTGTTCATTTACACATCACAGATTGACTTATACTGGTAAGGTTTTAGAGGTCTTAACGTCCCCAGCCGTGGCCCCATCCGCGTCCGTATCCGCCACCCCATCCACGACCACCACCCCAGCCTCCTCCGTAACCACCTCCCCAGCCACGGCCGCCTCCCCAACCTCCTCCATATCCGCGGCCGCCTCCCCAACCTCCTCCATAACCTCCATATCCCCAGCCGCCGCCCCAACGGCTTTCGTCAGGCTGTAGTGTTTCTGCTGGAGCCTCTTGGACTTGAGTTTTCGGATCCTCAGCTGGCATCGCTGACGCGTATGCTAGACACACGCAGAGCAGCACTCCAAACGATAGTATCTGGAAGGTTTGAAGATATATCAATCTATCTTGACTAATAAAGATGAAGTTTGTTTGTTAGTTTACGCGGATCACAAGTCGGTGGTACAAATAGTTAATAACAAGCTTGGACTGATCGAAGCTTTACTGGGACATTAGAATAAATATTTTTACGTGATCACATCGGGCGGTTTCTTTAGTTTGGGAGATAGGTATAATCTGTGCCGTAGACAATAAAAAGGCACTTTATCTATGCTATATTATTGACACTCTATGGCATTATTTTTTAAAATTTATAATGTTTTGAGAAGCGGTGTTAATTTTGCAATTAAATAAATATTTATAAACTTCACTGTTTAACTAGAAACGCTTCGACTATAGAATGATGATAAATGCTATTGTTTTATTATTTGACTTGTCTAAGCGTTATTTAGTTTACAATGGACGGCTACTTACAGTGTTCATGTTGCTTAGGTATTGAATGTGTTCTGACTTGTGAGGTCTAACGCGCCGACCTATATATACAAGTGTGAACACACCTCCATACAAGGTGACTAAGCTTTGCCAGGTAAATAACCTACGATACAAGTACACCGAGTAGAACGCATCTTGAGTTAAATTGATGGTCTTTAATCACATAATCATCATGGGTTTGCCGTTTTCCTGGTGATGTGATGAATTATTAAGGTTTATTGTACGTTTAGTGCAATTAAAAATACATATAATGAAACCGTTAGATTTTTATCGATCGAAGGTAACATAAGCGTTCGTGGGTTCGTATAAAAATATTGATCAGTGACGCAGAAATATGATCGTCTCATGCCTCACGTGAGGAGAGGGAATTTCACTCTTAAAATAACGAGTTATACAATAATAAAAAGATACTGTCTTAAAAATTACAGACTTAAAACAAAAACCTTATGTAAACACATTTAACAATTTGGTGCTGTTCTTCACATTAGTCCTGCTACATACTTCTGCCCCCCCCCCCGTCGTTCATTCACCCCCTTTTACATTTCATTTATTTAATATTGTCAATTTAAAATAATATACTTAATCTGTGATCATCGATGTCTGTGTCTTCTTAAATCGCGAGTTCATCGTGATTTGTTGAAATTGATTTACTTAGTTGAAATAATATTGTTATTCGGGCATCGATTGAGGTAAACCCGAGCAATTTTGTTTTTATTTGTCGTGGTAAGATTTTTATTGCATGGACAACACATGACACGGATGTTGAAGAAATTTTATGAATAAACAAGTCAATTCCTTTTATGGGATGTTTGAAATGATAATATGAAACTTTATGATAAGTTGTACGACTTTCTTATCTTTTTAACAAAAACATGTCAAATATTTAAGTATTCTTAGTAAATGAATAAGAAGACACATATCAATGTTTATATCTTTATATTAAATATATTAACAAGTTGTTTCAATTGTATAATACCACTGTATAATTTTACATTAAACGCAAAAAAACTTTGAATCAGATTTGAAAACAGCAGACTATCGTAAAATTCAAATTCAGGGAAATTACCTCGTTTTTGTATTTATACTGTGTTAATTCACTTTGATAATCGTTATATTGGATAGACTTAATCTTTAATTCCATTACAAGTTCATATTATATTGGGTAGTGCAACTTCAACTAATTTTGTACAACAAAAGTTTAGGAATTTTTTTTCTAAATAAGAAGTGCGATGTATGAAATTTCCAATGCCTAAGAGGCTCTATGATATTTACAATGTATTTTTTCTAACTTGGCAAAAGATCTTAACAAACATGGCCACTTTTAAACCATAGAGCATCACCTTTTACAGAGTGAAGTTGTTGCCACAGATGACAAAGGGATAAAGAAATATCCATTATATATGGACTGACCTCAATATTCAAAATCACTTTTTGACGACCTTCTGTTTTGATTTTCTTCTGTCATTATTATTTAACATGACATTTGTAAATCTTTTCAGCGTTCGTGTATAAGTGGGACAATCTTCTGTAGTCGTTGATTTTGCTGAAATCCCATCCCCATGCAAATGTCAAATAATAAATAAACTAAAAATATACTAAAGACTAGAAGAAACCTACCTAGAGTTATTTAAATAGCTTATATATAATTCAAGAAGCACGCAATCTGTGACATTTTCTTTATTGTTTTTGTGAAAACCCAAAATTCATTCTATTACTCATACTTATATACACTATAATACAAATTTGTTTACATACATTATTCGTGTAGGTTATACTATGGAAAATACGTGAATTAAATTAAGAGCGCAACTTGCTAAGCACTGGTTCCTTAAAATTGTGCGCAGTATATTTTTTAAGTAAGCAGTTCTACTATATCCTACTTAAAACGTAAATGTTTAAGTTAATTATTACTGCAATTAAACATTTGAATATTTTTAACACTTAATGAATTTTAATATTATTCTTTGGCTCTGGTTATACAAGATTTTTTAATGTAATTGTGAGTGGTTTAATGTAATTGGTTTGTAATGTTTCCCTTTCCCTGACCTTCTGTGACCACGGCTGCTGCAAAGTATCCCAAACCTATTTGTACCTAGTTAAAGTAAATTTTCAGCATGTCAACTAATACATTTCGCGTTTTAAACCGTTAAAATGTTTTTAACAAACATGTACTACTCACGTAAACTACAGACAGTACTTAATTATAATATGCTGTATTGTAAGCAATTTATTATTATTGCACAACATTTCTTTAAATAACGAAGTACATATTTTAAGTAAACGCAAACTTGTTTGAATTTAAAACTCACTAAAGAGTACACAAGAGAAAACAATATTAGACATATTGTTTTTTGTTTGATCCTAGAATTGTGTTTTGTTTCTAAGCGCCAACAATTTTAATAAATCGTTAATTTCTAGTGTATATATTTAATTTTAATGAATAAAAGAAATGTAAAACAATCACGTCTTCAAGGTAACGCCTGGCCGCAACAAAGAATACCAGGTCAAGTTTCTTGTTTTTGTAAAATAAAAGAGCACACGATGCTACAGGAAAACACAACTGATAATACAGGTTAGTGTTCTATATAACTCACTGGGTGTGTGAATAAAAGTCTAGGATTCGATTTATAGTTAAGAAAAATAAGGATTAAATGTTTCGTTAGAGATCCACAAGAAAACAACGTAACTGTTGTCGCTGTCAAGTATATTATATAAGCTGTGTTAACAAAAAGTTTAAAATAATAAATATTGTTTTTATTCTATTATTTATGCATCTATTGTCTGTTGTTAACTTGAGTAAGTATCTAGACATTAAACAAAAATTATCCTTTTAATTATAAATATATGTAAGAAGATTGTTTTCCAGCGAATCCCGAAGACTTGACATTATGCACGACGTAACTTCAAAATGGAAATAAAAGTAGGTAAAATCTTTTTAAGTTAAACGATTTTATGTTAAACATACATTGCAATGTTTAAGATAAATGTACTAAAAACCAAAATATAATAAATTAAATACAGTCGTGGGAATTATAAACATATGCATAGACTAGACTAAAATAAAACCGTGGGGCATTAATTCGATAATTTGTAGACAATTGACTTGAATGGATTGTGATGTTTGATTTTTCGGTATTCATGTTTAATATTCATTTATGACTCATATATCTTTTAAATCATTATAGAGTGTTATTTAATACATTTCTTTAAACGACTTTTGTAACGCTGTAGCACAGTACCCTATCATTTTTAACCACACAATATTTTGTGCTCTTTTCGATCAAACTTTTTGCTCGACGCGTCGGGTCACTGACATTTAATGCTATGGCATGCTGTATCGTGTTCGATGATGTTTTATTTGAACTTTTTTGAATGTTAACTTCAATATCATCTTCACTACTCAGAAGTCCTTTAGTTTTATCTGTGGCTGTACGCAATTCTTTCTCTCTTGAATTGACTATTTCTCCCGATGCATCGTCATTAGCCGGCGGTCGTCTTTTGTTTTTGTTAAATGGTGCTTTAAGATATCCACACTCAATCCTGCCATTACGATGTCGACAACCATTGCCCACATCCGTGTATTCTTCCGATTTGAGTTCTCCCTTGTTTTTGTTGTAACCGCAGATTTTCCTATCGTTGACATATTTGCACTGAGTCACATCGTAGTCATAGCCTTGACATGGCTTTGATTGTTCTGTTGTTTGTGATCGTAGCCCACGAGTTAGCCAGTCAACAGAAGTATCTTTAGCGTCGTTATCACCAGCTTTTACTGAATTTTTACTCTCGTAAACTAGAGGGTCGAATAATATGGGGCCTATTTTTGGAGCACAATAGATGCTGAATATTACTTCAATGTATATGATAACCACCTGAAATTCAATTGTAAGCATTATCTATAGTTAGTCCAAACCGTTTATATGAAAAAAACAGTTAAAAACGCGAAACATATTATTTGATTGACGTTAAACATTGATCCGAATTATTTGACTAATATATTTTGTATTTTTAATTTTCGGAAGTTTATTGTAAGTATTTTTTTTTAATATTTAAAACGGGCTCGCTGGTCCAATGCTAGCAAACATTGGCTGATCAACAGCTCGCCGGTTAGATCACCACTGGGCCCGACATGTTTATAAGTAATTTATTTATTTTTGAACATTTCAAGTCTTTGTGTGGACATAAAAATATTAAATGAGTGGCAGGAATATCGAAATTCCCTCCGGGGTCATGAATCATCGTATCCAGATAATAAGGTCGTGAAATTTATTAGCGTTTCGTCTTATTTTAGTCTGTGGATCTCCGAATTCCCAAAATCAAAGTAGGTCGACATAGGTAGTGCATCATGTTGTTAATGGCTGGGGTATCTTATTTAAGGTAAACTATGCTTGTCTGGCCTCCGCTATAATAAGTATTCACATTTAATAAAAAGAAATAATCAATCATTAAACCGTCCTTACCGATGTTATTATTGACATTATACCTACTCAATCACATGAAACTGCGTTTGTTATTAATCATCTTCGCCGTATGTCGTATCGTGCAATGTTTTTGACGATCAACTCAGAACTGTACATTCAAACACAATGATAAATAGAAATTTATATTTATTAATAATTTTAACCCTTTAGGACTAGAACGTACATTTACTTAGAGTACTTATTGCCAACGTGTGTGCGCGTTGTTTTATATTAATTAGTAGATTTACCAAAAAATATTATTAGCGTTCGAAACCGTTCATAAGTGTTTTATTCACGGTATACAAAACAATGGGATATCCGAATTCGAAAATTTAAACATGAAACCATAAAGAAGAAGTTTCAGAAAATATTAAAAACTGTTCGCCATTATTTTCATACATCACTGTTAATTAATTAAAAAATTACACTGACGAAGTATCACGTGATGTATCTGTAGATATTTAAAGATTATCTCAATAGATATGAATGATTTGTGTCAAATAAATGTCTAAATATGACGGAGCACAAGACGCTTTAAATGTTTATATTTTGATTCTGTTATTTGAACATGTAATTATCTTGCTGTATTATTAATAATCTCGGCAGGATGATAAAAAGTTTTCTGAGAAATCAACTTTGCTAATCCTTTTGCAGCATAATAGTTATTTTCACATATTAAGTATGCCTTTAATGGCTATAATATGTGCAAACGCAAGCAAAAAGCTAGTAAGTATATAATATATCCTTACAATAATATAATAATGTATAAATAGTTAATGACTCAAAAGAAAGTAAACGAGAATCAAAAAAAGAAAAGAAGGAAAAGAAAGAAGAAAAGAACCTTTTGTCAAAGATGCAGACGCAGAATTTGCAGATGGTTGTATAGAAGAATTAAAAGATGTTGTAAAAAAACAATATTTGGTGTTCCAGATCCCAAACTATCAGATTATGAGATCGGTGGGATAAATTTAGCTGATGCTAAAGATAAATTACAAAGAAAGAAAAGCAAATCGATTAAGGACAATGATAAAAAAAAGTCAATAGTCACTCTTTATAAAAACAAAAAGAAGTCTGCCATAAGTGTGCCGTTTAAAGATAAACTTTTAAAAGAATACGAAGACATTTCTCTATTAAAACCTAAAGGAAGTACTATAAAATCTTTATTTAATGACTTAAAGGAAAGAAATTTGTACGTGGGTTTATCTAAAGACTCAAAGCTAAATCTAACCAAAAGCGATAGGGAAAAATTTAGACAGAAAGCAAATGAATATGAAGAAAAATATAATAAGGATTATAAAGACAAGTATAAGAAAGCTTCCTACTTGAAAAACTATGAGGATAAATATAAAAAGAAATCCATTTTGGACCTTAACTTATTGGAAAAAATGGATAAAGCGGAACTAAAGAAAAAGTTGTCTATAACCTCCTCAAAGCATAAAGTATTGAAAAGTATGCTTAGCGATTATAAAAAGAAGAAGTTTTCCATCACCCAATTATTTGGTAAATCTAAAGTAGATTTAGATAAACTCGATAAAGACGATTTAAAAAAAGTATTAGAAATTTACAAAGACAAGGATAAAGCGAAAAATATACCATTTGTTAAGCAATCTAAACTGAAGCAGCTTAAATCTGATTGGAGAGCTAAATTAGCTAAATTGTACTGAAATTTGTATAATATTTAATATAAACACACATTCCTCCTGAACTATACACTAGTTGGAATTTTAATTAGAAAAGCTAGTACTAGTGATCGGTGATAACAGAAATGTACGCGCTCTATAGTGCATTAACTTATTTAATGGTAAGGTATTGAATTATTAAGTTTAAAGAGTGCAACGAAGAGTATAAAGCGAATTATTTTACAGCTATTTATTAAATCATCCAGTGCTATGACCTGTACCTGTAATGATATTACAGTAACAAAACAATTTGATCATAAAAAACATGAAGATGTTACGGAAGCCGTCACACAGAAAATACGTAAAAGATGTTGTCCTTACAACTTCGATGGTAAGATTTGCAGAACAGTAGGAGATAGGCTGCTCTGTGGATACAACAGAAATATTGGGAGTCCTCGTGGTGATGATGGGCTAGTTAACTTGAACAATGGATGTATCATTCGTCGTGGTAGACTCGAATGTGGATATATAGAGCCTCCTTATATGAATTCAAGAAGGCCACCCGTCCGCGATGAACAACAAGTACCTAATGAAAATATTAATGAAGAGAATGAGTCTGATAATGAAATTGAAAGCCAGAAAGAAACAGAAGTTAAACACAAACTATTGTTAAAGAAAACAACGCGTCCTTATCAACTGTCAAACAAATATCGCGGATCTACTAGATGTCTTGAAATTCAAGATCGCATTGTGTGTCGCCAGTTTTAAAAATTAAGATATTAAATTTGTTCAAAATGTACTACGTCTGACCCAGGTTATTTAATATTCTTGTAATTAAAACAATAATCTTATAATTGTGAAAAAATTCTTTAACAGGCGTTATTTTTATAACAACTTTGAAATTTGTTTTCTGTTTCGACTAGCAAATTCTTTGCTATTAAATTATATTCAGGAGTAAAAAAATAATTAAATAAAAATGTAATTGCACTAAAATAATAAGTTAACATTAAACATTATTTAATATTTCATTATACTAATATACAAAATTCGTTTAACTTACTAATATTTATATTAATCTATTAATAAATACATTTGGCATAATTACTTTCTACATATTATAATAATATGTTTGCAAACAATTCAATAACATTTTAAATTGTCTGTATTACGCAACAGATGGCGCTAGCGTAAAATATTTAATTTTGACATTAGAGACATCTTCCATCTTCATTCTCTGTGACCACAGCTACTACAAAGCGTTCGACACTTTGGGCCGCAGTTAAAATAAATTAACTAATACATAACGCCTTAAACAGTTAAAAGTTTAAATACATTTTATATTATTTGTAAACATGTATCTGCATGTTACAAATTCTGAACAGTAGCTACTACTTATACATGTCTCATAGCCATCCGGTCCATTAATTACACAGATAATAACACACATAACTTTATTATACTTAATACTATATTAGAATATAGTTTTCTCTTCAAACATCTAATTAGAAACGGTTAATTCAGTGTACTACAAAAAAACCGTAATGACCTAGATTGTCTGTACACCTATATAATCTTAATTGGTATTCAAAATACGTAAGCCAGCCATAAAATATGATTAACAATGGAATTGAATAATTGTATTTCACACTACATGACCCAGTATAGTTCAATTTCTCTAACGGCATTAATACTTACATATTTTTTACACAAATAATTTGGGGCACAAACGGGCAAGGTGTGATGGAAGGATAATCCATCTGAGGTAGATCATTACTACCTCACTTTCTCACGACTAACACTATAAACAAAATTGGCCCGGGCGTTTTCAAGTTGTAGTGAAGCAAACTAACAAGGGGTAGTTAACATTTTTTGAATATGTTGGGACACACAGGAAGGTGTACTATATTATACGTTACTTATATATGTACACCTTCCTGTGTGTCCCATTGTCCCATGTATACTATCTATTTAATACATGTTCAAGAAGTTCACTTCTTTGGAGGAATTATATTTACAATCACTGGTATATACACTAAATTCAAAATTAAAAAATAACTTAATCTTAAACATTGTTTCATCTCATCTTCAGTAGGTATTTCTTAAATTATTGCTTTTTCTATATCTTTTTCACTTATATTTCGTTCACTGTACTTTTTTTCTTTTACTCTAAAGTCTTTTTCAGATACGTCTTCTTCTCATTTCAGTAAATAATCCAACGCGTCAATACCACTTTCTAGACTGGGTGGCCCATCCTCCACTAGAAGGGTAAATATCTCTTTCATTATCTTTGAATCCGAATCATCTTTTGGGTAAATGAAATCTAGTATACGTAATATGGAATCGGAAAATCCTCTTTGTTCCGATTCGCCGCTATCGAAAATTTTCCCCGAGCATGACGTCAGTGCAAACAGGAAAGCGATCAGGGACACTTGCATTGTTACTTTCGAGATCATTTTCCTGGAAAAAATAGTATAATAATAATTTTTCAATTATTATTTTTTTATCATAGAAGAGGACGTATGGGTTCAAAAAAAAAACAAAATCAAATCAATGGTAGGTATGCTAGCCATATAACATTTAAACATGATTGACCCCGTGATGAACGCCGTGGACCCATTTTGGTTTCCGATTATATATAGACTTTTTGAAAAAAATTATATTTTTTACTTGCTATTGCACACGATGGCATTATATAAATTAAAATTGGACTCGGTAGCTCAATTGTTTAGAGCACAACACGGAATGCTGTAGATGCCGGTTCAAGACCTGCCCGAGTCGTTTCATAATTTTCAATTTATAATTTATTATAGACTGATTGGGATTTTTATAAGATCAAGATATTAGTGTACATACATTCTCTTTATTCGTATTTAATGTATAAATGGTTCCTTTTTTATATCCGGCTTTTTAAGAAACCCAAAAACTTTTACACTGTCTAAAAAGTAACTTTTGTCACAGAACATGATAGTTTTATAGTTAATTTTTCTAGGAAAGTATTTACATATAGTTATAAAATTTGTGGCGAGTGATTGAGAAATTCGAAAGAAGTAAAAACCCACAGATGTAAATGACCACACACAAGCGAAAGTACATAATTACCTTAAGGTAAGTACATCCAAACACACAAATTAACTTTCACAAAGCACTTCTAAGATCCTAGTCACTTATAGATCTTGAACATTTGACGTAAATGTGTAATAAAAAAAATAAAAATAAAAAGTAGTGTCACAGAACGTCCACCTAGTGACATGTGGACAAGAATGCCATCCACCCCACTTTCTTGTATCGTGCGATTGAGGTAATTATGTAACCGAAGCGTGAGTGTTTCCGCGTATAAATATGCTATTCGTTTTCATTAACATCGCTCGTTATACCCATATTAATTAACTTTTATGCCCAGATTTATGTAAAGTTGCATTAAAAGTCTGTACTTTACGCGACATATAGTTCGCAATAGATGGCGCTAGCGTAGCAGACTGGTAACGTATTTTAATGATATTTTTTGTAAACCCTATCTGTAGTTTACGCGAGTAAAATTTTAAGTGTTTAATTAAATCTCTTTAATGGGTTAAAATGCGATATACATTTTTTTAATTATTTTAACTACGCCTCCACGTTTCGGATGCTTCGCAGCATTCGTAACAGCCGTGAACGGGGAGACCACGGCTGTTGCTTAAATACATATTGTAAATCGTTATAAAACACACAGATTTATTTTAAGGTGCCATCAGACTTATAATAATAATTTATTTGAAAAGTTTCATCAAATCGGCAGAGTTGTTTAGACGCAAAATTTCTATTTTTTATTAACAAAAACACCACGAGATTGAATGACAATCATTGATAACTGCGATGTGTGAGTTGTCATTTTCAAACATTCAAGTTGTGATAAGATTCAACGACTTTAAATAAAAAATAATATATTCATGTAGGTAGATTCTATGTACACTACTAAACGTCAATAGAGTTGAAAATTAATTACTCTAAATTTACTTTTACTAACAGTTCCCAGATTGAGATCAGACAAGAACGAACGAGAAGAACTGGCAAGAACTTTTTCGAATTTGACTGACATTAATTTTTGTTTTTGGAAATAATTATATTACAATGAGTGTGACCACAGTTAAAATCAACTTGATATATCTGACTGCGTTCTGTATTTGAAACTTGTGTGTGCTACTGTAAGTGGCACAATGCTGTACCAGTTCCAGCTTTGTAATTTTTGCTCTCAAAGGCAACCATTTTAGAATATAGAATTTTTTGAGATCAACAAGGAGTATATACTACCATACCTTATATGATTTAAGAAATGGAATTATTATATATTGGTGAATCTCATAATTCTTAATATTTTAAGCGTATATCTTCTGTGTTAATACTTATTTTTTGCACTGTCCCGGTTTATATCCAGTATTCTTTAACTAAGAATATCTTGTTCTGATTTTGAATACTATCTTCTAAAAGACGCACGTACGTAGAAACTTCTTTAAACAAACAGTATATATTGTTCTTAAAAGTTTATCTAATTTCTCTGTTTACACAACTGCTTTGTATGCTGGGCCTGTTAAACCTGTCTTAACTTTCATACTCGTACCCTGGTCACGGAAACTAATATGTTCATTAGGAATAACAAATTAAAAGGACGGTCAGCAAAAAAAGTTAAGAGAGCAATAATATACTTACTAGCTTTTTTTTTTTTTTTTTTTTTTTTTACTTGGAGGAATCGACTCTTTACCGACGCCCCCGCCGGGCCACATCGAGTGGCGGGGGGAGTGTGGGGGTCGGCCAGCTTGACCACTACCCACTAAACCTCCAAGAGCCCACGGGAGACTTGCCGGACGCTAGCGAGCGGTTAGTTGCCCTTGACCCGCATGCCCGCGCCCGTGTGTCCTGCCGCGCGTGTTTCCCGCGCGCGGCTCGCCCTACGTGGCCGGTTGATGGCCACGTCTCCTGGCTCGGTCCTAAGACCGAGGTCACGGCTGGCGCCGGGCGTAATCGCGCCGGCGCCGCCCAAGTCTCCTCCGTCGGAGTGCGGGGGCGTCGGGAGCAATCTCCCTCGCCCTCTCCGCTTCCTCCTTTCGCGAGAGGACGTCGGCGCAGAAGGCCTTAAAGGCCTGCCACGGAGCGTCGTCCGCGCTCCTAACTATCCCTGCCACAATGGCGGGCAGGGATAGATCCGCGCCGAATGCTCCGGCCAGGGCAGTCCTCTGACTTGCCCAGGCCGGGCATGCCTCCAAGGTGTGTTGCGCCGTGTCTGAGGCGCATCCGCAGTGATGGCAGGAGTCTGTTTCCTCCCGCCGGATCCTGTACTTACTAGCTGCCCCGCAAACGTTGTTTTGTCATATAAATTTTTTTACTAAAATGGCTATTTAAAAATAAATCGTAGAAGGGTGAAAGTTCTAAGAGGCGAAAGAGGATTGTATGTATTTTTGTATGTTGTATCATAAAAAAATAGAAATTAAAAATTTTGTCTAAAAAATAAATAAAAAAATTAGGGGTGAACTACCCCTAACATTTAGGGCGATGAAAAATTGATGTTGGCCGATACTCAAAGCCATCGGATAAGCACAAAAAATTTCATCAAAATCGGTCAAACCGTTTCGGAGGAGTATGGCAACGAAAACTGTGACACGAGAATTTTATATATTAGATAGAATTTGGGTACAATTATTAACCTGATTGATTAAATTAAAAATTAGCCTAAAGATTTTTCACATTAATATTGTTGTAAACAAATTGACTTGTGTTTTGTCAAGCCTGGAATGTAAAAAAAACATTAATATACCGAGGAAAGTATACACATATATAATATAGCTTTGTTTGCAATAAATCTAGTGATTGCCGTATTCACGGTTGCTTTTATTTAATGCTTAATATTTACGGTTTTTAAATAAAAAACTTTGATATCGTGTAACCATTTTTTATTTACAAATATTCTATCAGTTATTTAGGTAAAAAAATCAATGCAATAAAAATTGCAAAATTGTTTTACAGTAGAATTTGTTCTCTAAAACCTCCGAATCCACCTTGACCAAAGCCGGGACCAAATTCACGTTGACCGAGTCCCAAGGTACCAAATTCACGTTGTCCAAAACCTCCTGGGCCGTAATAGCCGCCAGGACTGTAACGTTCTTGTCCAAAACCAGATAAACCCAATCCTTGCTCAAATTGTCCTGGACCAAAAATTCCCGGCGAGAATCTTTGAGGTCCGTACTCTTGGCCCTCGAAACCGCCTTGCAATGCAAATCCACCTTCAAGTTGTTCGAATGGTCTCGCACAAACATAAGCTATTGTTAAGGATATCACGATAATCTAAAACAAACGACAAACCTTTAGAAACAATTGTTGTAAATTATGATGAATAGAAAACTGCAATTTCGTTCAAAATTTCAGCTGTATTTAAGTCTATGTATGTTATTGTATGAACAACTAAATGTGCCCACGACTTCATCCGCGTGAAATAGTGACTTCGGGTTTATTAATTTATTTAAGGGTGCATTAAGGCAGCCAATCTATGTTGTAAGTGCTACTTTGCCGCAACACTCTCACCTCACATCACTCCTACTCTATCTCCCACTCTCACTCTCAGTCCCACTTTCATCCCCCTTTGCAATCCATAACAACCCTTTTTTGGCATATAGAGTAACCTTTGTCCTTTCTCAGGCTCTAAAATATCACGGTGTACCAAATTTCATTTAAACCAGTTCAGTAGTTTCGAAATTAAAGCCCAACAGCCAGACAGACAGAGTTACTTTCGCATTTATAATATTAGTATAGATTAAAACAGTATATAGAATTAACGTTCGGTAAACATATAAACAATTAAGTCACTTCAAACTTAGACACTTCTTCGCTTTGTGCTTAAGTATTGAATTAATAAAGAAATTAAAATGTTTAAAATTATATGTTTCACATGTTAACTAATATAAATCAAATATTTTTTGTACTGTAGACGGGGTAAAAATGAATAGTAAAATAGTAGACAAATTCAAAATTTTTTCTCTATAACCCGTTATTATTAAACAAAACTTTAAGGGAACACGACATAAGTTTTTTACTACTTAGTACCTTTAAAATGGCCATTTTCGGTTCAAGTGGTCACTATGCGATGTCTTAAACTAAATAAAAATAACTAAGGATTATTTTTATATAAGTATGATCAAACTCTACGAAATGTAAACATACACGTCATCCTATTGAACATAGGTTCTCAAAGTATTAAGCTAAATATTTCGCGATTTAAAAACAAATGATTGTTAGCTCTTTATAACATTAACAGAGTTTAAATTTTTTTAATTTGAATATATTAGAAATGCTTATTTGATATTTGCCCACATATTGAATTGAACCACCTTCTAACAGCTCAACAGAAATTAAAAAGAACACTCTTTTATTCGTTTACACTTAATAATTGATCTTTAGTCTACATACGTTGATTGTACGGCGCCATATTTGTTTGCCATTTTGGCCAATCGAGAAAAAATGGTACAGTACAGTCACAAAAATTGTAGGTACTGTAGCAACCTAAACATTTAGCTAAAATATTGTAGCGGTTTCCATTAATAATAATGTTAACTATAATTGAAATATTAGCTATGAATATTCTTACAAACAAATGTATAACTTTTCATTTGTGGAAAGTCTTATAATACACTTTTGAAATCTCTGTTATTTGTCTTGGATTATATGCTTTTCGAGAAATATTACATATACGTTGTTTTAATTAACACCATTGCATACTATAGTTATAAATACAAATAGTAGGGTGTGTTTAAAATATTTTTTTAAATAAAATATTAGATACTCATAATCGTTCTTTAATAACAAAGTTCTTTTACAATCGATCATTATGGCAATCTTATTTGTAATCGTTATGTTGTTTAGTATTTCGATTTGAATCCCCTATTTTGACCGAATCCGCCACTTGAACCCCCCTGGCTACCAAAACTTCCTGCGCCATAACCTTCCTGGCCTCCGGTTCCCGAACCGCCACTTCCACTTGAACCTCCTTGGTTGCCACTGAATCCTCCTTGGCTTCCGTAACCACCTCCAGATCCACCGCCACTTTTACCTGATCCTTGGCTTTCGCCGAACCCACCAGAGATCCCTCCGCTACTACCTGACCCTTGGCTTCCACCTGATCCCCCTGTGCTGCCCCCGTAGCTACCTGAGCCTTCGTTTCCACCGTTCCCTCCAGAGGAACCCCCGCTTCCACCCGACCCTTGGCTTCCACCGAAACTCCCCCCTCTGCCACCTGACCCTTGACTTCCACCGAAACTCCCCCCACTGCCACCTTGGCCTCCACTAAAACTTCCTTCACTGCCACCTGACCCTTGGCTTCCTCCGGAACTCCCTCCATTGCCACCAGAACTCCCTCCACTACCGCCAGAGCCCTGATTGCCGCCATATCCTCCTGAGCTCCCTCCACTTCCGCCAGAGTTACCACCAGCGCCCCCAAATCCCTGACTACCCCCAAATCCTCCAGAATTGCCGCCAGATCCTTGTCCACCGCTCCCAGAACCACCTTGGGAGCCACCACTGCCTCTTGAGCCCCCTTGGCCACCTCCTAGCCCTCCTAAACCAGAACTTCCTAAGAGCCCAGCTATTCCACTACCGGTACCGCGACTATTTCCTGTAGCTCCCGAGTCACTATTACTTCCAAACAAATCTGACTTTGCCTTGCCAAAAGCATTGGAGCTGCTACTAGAGCTACCCAATCCATCTTTTAGTCCTTCAACAAACTTGGCTGCTACTAAAGAGCACAATAGTAGCGCTATCACTTGTGTTACCTGAAATAAAGATATATTTAAAAACAATTTTTCTTATTAAACTACCAAAAGTAGAGTGTAGAAGAACAGCCAACGAGACTCGTTTGTAAAATAAATTTATGAACATGTTATATCTTTTCTAGTCAAATGGTTAACGTGAGAGGTTGAGGGTTTGAATCCTAGGGAAACGATATATTGTTTCTGTCGGGCAAGGCTTAGCAGGCAACCGATTAGTGAAACGAACACAGAAATGTGTCCGAGCCATTCCGCGTATTTCACACAATTTATCGTGCTGGGGTATTTTCTTTCATCAAGTGATTCCCGTATTTTTCTGACCTCTTCTGGCATGAGAGAACGATACAATAATTCAATAAGTAAGTTACCTTTCCCATCTTTGCCTATTAGTTGTGTCTGCTACAATACATTCCTTCGGTGATTCTATGTTCTTTTATATGTAACACAAATGTATTGTAATGTATTCTTCGATTCAGATATTATAGGAATTTCATTATTAGATTCTGAATAGTACGCGCTTTAATTCTTTGTATTAATTATTAAATTGTTCTTAATTAAAAGGGTATGCGTTCAAAGAAAACGTTTATCAAGTTAACCATATAACAATAATTGATTGACTGTCAAATAAGATTATACAAATTACAAGTCACTAGTATTTTTGTTGAAAATATATATTAAACATTTAAAAATGTTATAGAACCATGGAAGCTTTTCTAAATGGATTTAACCTAAAAAAATGGTTACAATTTTTTTAATAAACCAAATGAAACGTTTGTTATATTTTTACCAAAACAATAACCGACTTCAAACAGTAAAATCAAAAGAAAAATAAATTTACCGTGCAAAAAGTACAACCTGTTCTGGTTTAGTTAAATAGAAGTGATACTTATTTTTATAATATAATTTTAATGTTGTTGTCAAGAAAAACATTACCTGTGTCTATGTGTGTGTATATTATTATTTTTAATTATACAATATTTCCTAATAATGTTACCATTTGAAAATTGTGTACATCGTAAACGGTACTAAATCCTGTATCTCTTAGTATACTAGCACTTTTACAGTTTTTTAATTAATTACTAGTTGCGTCAGCGACTTCGTCCGCGTAGAAAAGATATGTTGCGCATCCAAATTTGTTTTTGCAAACCTCTTCATATATACTGTCTATAGTTTATGCGGGTAGTACACATTTAAATAAAACACTTTAACGGTTTAAAACGCAATATATTAGTTAAACATATTTGAAAATTAGTTTTAACTTCGGCCCGACGTTTCGGATACTTCTACTACGGACGCAGCAGCTGTGGTTACGGTCGGGTCTCCCCGTCAAATCATTAAATAGTGTTAAACCGTAAAAATCATTTTCAAATAAATTTAACTAATATATCGCGTTTTAAACCGTTAAAGTGTTTTATTTAAACCTCTTCATATTTATAAATTTAGGTTATTACTCACGACGCCGGTCGCCTCCCGACGTTCTTGCAAGTTATAAGATAGACCTATACTGTCGCAGACATCATTTTAGGTCATTTAAAAAAGAATCATTCTTTCATGTATTCTTTGGGTTTCTTGACCATTTTCGCTGCGTACGCATCGGAAACCTATAGAGAAGAGTATTTTTTCCTGCTTTTTCCACATTTCCCGTTGTTTATTTGCTTCTATTAGTCACAGCGATATGTCTTATACGCTTCCTCAATAAATGCTCTAACCAACACATTTTTTTTTTAACTTTTAATCAGTAGTTCCCGAGACTAGCGCGTTCAAACAAACAAACTCTTCAGCTTTATATATAAGTATACATTATAGATACATTGTTTCCAACCAAGCCGATCTAGATCGGAAGTTAGATATAAATAATTCTAAGAATACTTAACGTTTAATTGTAAGACGGATAAGTATTTGAATCGAAGGAAAAATCCTTTATAATTTATAAATAGCTATTTTAATTGTCCATTGCTCGCCTATAATTAAATTAGCGTTTCCCAGTAAATCATAAATTAAATTATGACTTCATACCTTACGTAACTATGTAATATACTCTATTATTTGTTAACACTTAACATGTTATTATCTCCATGTGGGCTTTACTTTGCAATAAATTCAATCAATTATATATTGACATTGAATAATATGATAAATTAGAATCTTCTTCTCAATTTTTCATATTTATACATTGTGTAAGGTTTTCACGGCCATCGTTTAGCTTATCATCGCTTTTCGGGCTGCCGACGTGAGCGAGAAAAGGTTCTCGACGTTTAGACGAAAAAAAACATTATTCTCTTTAAAATTTTAAAAATTATTTAGATTCGTGAAAAATGTTTCGTTCATCATGATTCTACAGAGTGTTCAAAAGAGCAACATAACTGAGAAGAACACCCAAGAAACTCAGTCCGGCTTTTTAAATATGTCTTATAAACTAATACATTGTTCTGAATTTATTAAGCTAAGGAGCAATTCATATGACCGCAGGCAGTCATTAAAGAAACCGTTTAGACGATACGCCTTTTGAGACAATCTAAATTTTATAACTTTTTAAATTTATTCATCGATAACTTTGAAACCTCAACTGGCAATACAAACGAATACGATTCCCCGCAGCTAACATCTCTTGATGACGCCGGCCGCTCGTGAGGGCGCAAACGTCGAAAATTCACGGCCGAAAAACACTTGCCACAGCCCGAAAAACAATGATAAGCTTCATATTTATGTTTAGATATTATTGTGACTTAGTTTTGAAATCTGTTTGTGGGCAATTATGTAGTATTTCAAGTAAAAACGCGGTTTTTATTTTAAAGGACTACAAGGCAACTATATGAAGGCATTTAAATAAAACACTTTAACGGTTTAAAACACGATTTATAATACTTAAACATATTCGAAGATTATTGCAACTACGGCCCGATACGTGTTTTATTTAAATGTGTACTACTAGCGTAAACAACAGACTGTATGGAATGTGAAGATATGTTTTTTAGTTAAATAAAGTCACAATAATATTTGAAAAGTTTAATGTTTTTCACAAGTTATTTGCACATGATGGCAGTACATAATTTAAAAATTTATTCAGCTTGAGAAAAAATTATGGCGCGGGCGGAAATTAAACCGGCATCCACAGAGTGGATAGAGTTAGAGCCTCTCTCTTCCTCTTGTCGTGATGAAAATTATTCCTTCGAGTCTTTAGACGGCGGTATATTTATCTCGTGAACGATCTGCCCAATGTTATTTACTTCTGAGCCATTCTTAGCTTGTATAGCATTAGCAGCGTTGTTGGAGTTGTCCTGGCAGCCGTCGTTGTCATCTGACACCTGGACAATTTGTATGGAGATGCGATACAAGTCCACACAAATGGTAGTAGTAAAACAGCTGATCAATATCAAAGCTAGACAGACCTACAAACAAACATTATACGATTAATGCTATATATTTCTGTAACGAAATGTGAAACTTAAAAAGAATTGAAGGTTTAAATATTTAAACTTAAAATAATTTAAAAAGTTGAAGAATACTGTCTATAGTTTACGCGAGTAGTACACATTTAAATAAACTACTTTAACGGTTTAAAACGCGATATATTAGTTAAACTGATTTGATTCGAAACGTCGGGCCGAAGTTAAAATCATTTCAAATCAGTTTAACTGATATATCGCGTTTTAAACCGTTAAAGTGTTTTATTTTTAAAAAACGTTGAAGAATGCACAGCCAGGATCTGAACTTACATACATAACGAATTATTGCTGTAGCGACTCATTTGTGTTATTGTTTTTTTTTTGTTTTTAAAATAAGGTTTTATCTATATTAATGTGTAAAGCTGAATAGTTTGTTTGTTTGAACGCGCTAATATCAGGAAGTATTGGTTCGATTTGAAAAATTATTTTTGTGTTTGTTAGAACATTTATCGAGGAAGATATATAGAAGCGAAGAAACAGCAGGAAATGTCAAAAAAACGAGGAAAATTATTCATCCTTTTAGGTTTCCGGTGCGTTCGCTATGAAAACAGTCCAAGGTATTTAAATAAAACACTTTAACGGTTTAAAACGCGATATATTAGTTAAACTGATTTGAAAATGATACTAATTAACAGTTTAACTAATATATCGCGTTTTAAACCGTTAAAGTGTTTTATTTAAATGTGTACTACTCGCGTAAACTATAGACAGTCCAAGGTACCCAAAAAATTTACATAACAATGATTCCTCTTTAAATTATCAAAAAAATCCTGTATAAGTCTTTATTATATGCATTAACAATATATACATTTTGTTACTTAATTACTATTCTCAAATAGATTATGTTTGACAATTATAGTGATTTATTGATTAAAATAGAGTACATAAATGTGCTTGCAGACAAAAAAAAACTTATTAATACTTACTTTCATGTTCATTGTTCTGTTTAAACAAACTGACTACCACCAAATCTACTTGTTATTGAAATATACGGATGTTTCAAAATAAATTCTACTTAAATACTAAAATGATATCGCGTCTTTGGCCTAAAAATTACAGTCTGATATTCAATTGATGTCAAGTCTTCCATAAATACCATCGAGAAGGTGTTTGTGTTATAAGATATTTTAAAATGTCTGGGTTTTAACATATGAATCGAATCTATATTATAACTGGACGGATTCAATGGTAACAATTGTGAATAGTAATCAACGCGCGGGTTCGATCCCTACCGGGCCACCGATTTTTCTATATCAATTTATCATTGTTCCAAAACATGTCGGATATTGTCTGGAAATCTGGATATTAAACGGCTGGTAGGAATATCGAATTTTCCGAGTTACGAACCGTCATCCAAAGAAAAAGCCGTAAAGTTTAATCGCCTTTCGGTTTCAGTCTGTGGGTTTCCGATTATCTAAAGCCAAAATAGGACGACAGCCCATCTTGCTATGATGTTATATGGCTGAGGTACTCAATTTTTCATCAAGTCCCCCCATCATCATCATCATCACCCCATGCTTGTCAGTCTTCCTCCAAATATATTCTATGATTAATGAAAGTATTAATGTTCATTAATACATGATTTATCCAATTATAGGTTATCGTTAATCATTGAATCATTGCGCTCCAGAAGTCTGAAAACATAAATGATGGATCGATTTGTTTCTCTTGCTTAAAATTTTATAGCAACGTAGATTGTTGGCTCAGTTCTTTAGTTTAACTTCTTCCTCCGATTCGTCTCCTTTAGTATTTACATTTTTACTAATCTTAGACGTATTTAGTTTAAAAAATGCTTTGTCTAGTTAAAATATAATATTTACGTTTTAATTGCCTACATATCTATAGTACATTTAAATTATTATTCAACTTTCGCTAGCTATCATCGATGGTACTAATATTGTTTCTTTTATTTTCAAAATCCATTATTTGATGGTCTATAGTTTCAAATTAAAAATTTATAGGAGATACTCCCGTTTTAATCCTACATATACAAATGTTTTAATTAAATTCGTCATATTTAATTAACGCTTCAAGTAAAAGATTTTATTTATAAATAATTATGATTAGGTCAATTCAAAGTTAGTTTATCACTTTACTATTAATATTATTTTGACATTATCCCTCTTATTACAAAACAAGAACTTACTCTCAAACCTGGTTCAAACCCTGGTTTATTTGAAATCCTTATTACAAAACGAAGTTTAACGTTTGTACTGGACTAACTATGATACTAACTTAGATTTATTTAGATCATGGTTTAAGAGTTTAACCAAGACTCCGCAGTTCTGGTTTAAGTATTTTTTTGTAACAAGGCAGTATATGTGTTTACTACAAAACAAAGCGGAGATAATTAATTCAAAGAAATATGCCTCAGTATTGCTGCTTTACTTGTAAATAGAGAGATTTGCGTGTTGTCAAGGCTCGAATAATTAATTTCCTCAAGAAACATTGACAGATAAAAATAATTAATAGAAATCTGATTATTTAAACAATCGTAGTCAATATTTATCGCCAGAGTTCATCGAGTTATAGAGAAACTAGCTTTGTTTGCAATGAAAGAAGTGTTAAAAGTAATACAAATTATTTTACAGCTTTAATTAGATGCAATATTTTAATATTATTTAACCTTTTTTTTATTTACAGATCATCGTTCTACTTACCTTCTTTCAATTATATGATGTAGCAACAAGTAGAAAGATAATTAAGAAAATATGGATTCACAAGGGATTCGATCATGAATTTCTTCACGAATTGTTCCCTTTATCTATACTTAAGGAAACAATAACGCCCTTTGGAAAAGTGAGTGTGGAACATTCCGTGGAAAAAAGAGATCTGCATGAGACAAATCATGTTCGCAAAGTGAGAGAAAGTCCTGATACGGTATTGAATCCGGATGCCGAAAAATCAGGTGTTACCCAGCGTAATCTATTAACCGACATCGTATTAACGCGTGTCGAATTTCATAAGGGAAAGCCAGTTGATTCTATAAAATTGCATTCTCTTTTGTTTCCATCGGATGAAGATGAAACTAAAGAAGCTTTAAAATCCCCACTAAAAGATGCAACTCCTGACTTAGAAGCTCAAGCTTCATCTAAGGAGGTAGTCGAAACAGAAACTTTAAACAACCCCGAAAAAGGGTCTGAAAAACTAGTTGAAAGTGGTGGTGAATCTGTGGCAGATTTAAAGAGTGAAAAAATTGTTGAACCAAAATCAGATGTTGAAATCATTGATAAAGGGGAGGAGAAGAAGGAGCTAGAACAATCAGAGAAAAAATCTAACTTGGAATTAATAGATGAAAAAGAAGTTGGAGCCGATCCACCGCCTCCCATAGAGCACGAGGCAGGGAATATTGAAAATAGAGATACGGAAGCCAAACCTGAAGACGTCGAAATTATACCCCCTAAACCTGAACCGATTGTTGAAGAGGCTCTGAAACCAGTAGAGAGCTCCATTCCAGTTAGCCCCTTACCTGAACCAGTATATATTCCCTTGTATACAAATATAAAAACACCTGAAGCCATACCCCTAGAGCCAGTAGTACCGGTGGAGCCAGAAAAACCGGTAGTTCCTGAGGTTCCAGTAGTACCAGAGGTGCCAGTAGTAGTACCTCCACCACCACCACCACCACCAGTAGAGACGGAAACAACAGTAATTGAAACAGAACAATCTCCGGGTATATTCAGAAGAGGATCGCGTTTTATGTTAAATGTAAGTTCTCGTATTCTTAAGAAGTTGCTGAGACTTGTATCCAGGGTGCAAGCGCGGCTGCCTCCTGTACCTGAAGCTTAGTTAAGTAGAGTAGTTAAAAGACTTTTTAATAATTAAATTATTTTTAAGAATAAATGTAATAAACCTATATAATATACATAATTTACATAACGCCTTGTTATTTTATCTATCAAGGTGTTAAGTTTCAGAACTCCTTTGTTTTATGATAGAGGTACAGACAAGTACAGTTCACTTGATGGAAGGAGAAATATCCCAGCTATCTATCTTGGTTTTGTATATTTGGGAAACTACAGACTAAATCCGAAACGCGATTAAACTTCACGACTTTTTTTTTTATTTATATAAAAAATTTAAAACGGTGATAGCCACTTACATTCATTGGATAAGTACACAATAGAATTACACTTAAAAATAGAGTATGCACAATTACATTAGGAAAAAATTAAAAAATCAGACAATTCTCTCAGTATTGAGGACCATTGATCTGCGAAAAGGTCACATTTGGGTCTTAACTTGAGGAGAGCGTTGAGTGAGGTTAAAATTTGTGGTATCGGCGAAAACGCGCGAGCAGAGGTGCGACCTCTTGGGGCGTCAAAGAGATCGTGAACGGTGGCTTATCTCGGTTGGACTTTCGATATCTTACCGCGTATTTAATATCGTGATTTCCAGAAAACATGTGTCAGAAGAATTATACATTATTTATAAACATTTAAAAATAAATTGAAAAAACAATCGACTCGGGCAGGACTTGAACCGGCATCGACAGCGTCAACAGAGCAACAACACTGAGCGCTGACGATGCCGGTTCAAGTCCTGTCCGAGTCGATTGTTTTTTCAATTTATTTTCGATTTTTAAATTATATGTATAGTGTCTTCTTGTGCAATAACATGTAAAGAAATATTAATGTTTTCAAAAATTGTAAACACCGAGTGGGTCCAACCCACGACCCGTTAATTAGACCCGATTATAAGTCGTACATTGCTATTATTATACCAACGAGCCCGTTAAAAAGTTAATTTCTTCCCGGCAACCCTAAACTTATCCTGGTCTTCAAAACAACAAGGACGATTTTAGCGTTCTTTTCCGAACCCTTAAAATAGACTTAGTTCTAAAAGATTTAGGATTAGTTTTTCTGGCTTGGAAATCACGCTCACAACAATAAATCAAGGTTAAGAGATAGTTGAGGAAAGAAATAAGAAATAAAACCGTAAATCACTTAGTGTTGTCTACTTTAATGAAAATGATTCTCAACTTTGACTATGTTATACAAATAATTTATCAACTCTAATTAATTTAATAGTTAAATTAGTTTAAATAAAATGCTTTAACGGTTTAAGACGTAGTTATATTAGTTGACTAATATATCGCGTTTTAAACCGTTAAAGTGTTTTATTTCAATGTGTATTACTCGCGTAAACTATAGACAGTGTTTAGTTAAATTAGTTTCTTGAGAATCTCAGGAGAAAGATTTTGAATAAAAATATTAATCTTAATATTCATTTCTCACTCTGTAATGTATTAAAAGTAACTAAACTTTGTAATTGTCCTTTATTTTTCTACATTAACGCAGTCAGGTTTACAATATAGATCATTTGAAAAAAAAATACAGCAGTCGTAAAGGATTTTCCAATAGTGCATATTGAAATATTTCCTCAAAAAATATGTAATTTTGGTTACTATAATAATTTTTTGATTATAATGATTTTCTACGTTCCTTCATGGCTACCGGATCTTAAAAGTATTTATGTAGGTATGTACAAATGATCTATAGTACTTTTTGCCCAAAATTATATAAAAATACATTTAGTGGTTGAGAACTCAATTGTTTTAACTATAAGAATATGTAGTTCTTTAAAAATGGTAATAAAATATTTGGAAAATCCGTGAGGTACTAATTAGCGTTTGTACGATAATTATGGGTTTTCATGAGATCCAAGGAAAGAGATAACGAAAGTGTGGTTTAAAACGTAGACTTGAGAACCGTGGGTTCTGCCTCGCAATAAACTTATATATTATACATATAAACGAAAAATATAGTAAGATATTTGTCTAGTTTCCCAGACTCTTGGTATAAACTGTTATTAATTATATAAATCATCAGGATATCTTTAAAAATTTAGATTTAAAATGCGATATATGCCTATTAGTTAAACTTATTTGAACTACGGCCCGACGTTTCGGATGCTTTGGAGCCGCCGTGGTCACGAGGAGTCAAATCAAATAAGTTTATCTAATATATATCGCGTTTTAACCCGTTAAAGTGTTTTATTTAAATAAATACTACTCGCGTAAGTAATTTTACAGATTTCTAAACGCATTTCAGCTGGTTTTTCCAAGCACTGATAGCTGTAATTGTTTTTCTCAGTCTTAAATAGCCTTACAGTACATTCTCGCTCTATACGTTAACTGGAAGCGTTTAAAAAATGTTGCCTGTGTATATATTTTTTGGTGTGCTGTGTGTTACTAAATGTGACGATTATTATTCTAAAGAGCCTAAAACCACTGAGAAATACAACTGGCATCCCACAGAGTCATACTGGGACAAAACTAAGCCGACGACAGCGAAAGACACAGACGACAAATTGTTTGTAATCCAGAGCAGCTTCGGAAAACCTTACTATGTAACTGGGTTGTACACGATACCGTATTATATCTTCGGCGAATTTGCGAATTACTATCAACGCCCCACTTTCGGTTATCCAGATATAAATTATTATAATTACTTGATAAAAAAGCAAAACAAGGATAAGCCCTATGTGCCTTCATACAAGCCATAATAATATAAAAAAATGTATAATTATAATGACATTTGGTACAGAATAAAATATTATGAACGATAATTTCGCGTTTATTGTATTATTATATTATACTAACTGAGTCAGTGACTTCGTCCTCGTAGAAAAACAATTTTGGATGCCCATAATTGTTTTTCCAAAATGTTACCTGCGTCATCGGACGCGTCCCGTCGCTCGCGACCCGTAGTTCTTGCGAGTTCATCTTAAGAGACAGACATATTATACTGTCGCGGACATTTTTTTGATAATTGAAAGAAGAAACATTCTCTCATACGTATTTTTTGTGTATCTTGAACTATTTTTGTAGCTTACGCGTCGGATACCTACAAAGATAAAAATTGCGATGTCCTATTTTTTATTCTAATATAGTTATAATATGGGCAATTGTTCACTTGATGGAAGGTCATATACATCAGCCATATAACATGTCTCATGTAAACCTATTTTGGCTTGAGATATTCGGAAGTCCACAGATTAAAAGCAAAACATGATTACACGCCTCGTTCAATTTTACCCTTTAATATTACTACAGATTTCCAGGCGAGGTCCAATATGATTCGGTAAATTATAAATTAATTAAGCACATTGGACCCGGTGGGAATCGAATCTGAAAGTTTTTATTAGACCAATGAGTTCACATTGTATCTTATCTACTTTGTTACTTTTCATTATATGCCAGAATGCACGAAGAAGCATTCAGTTAAAAATAGATATAAAAAAACATTACTATGCCTTAAGTGCTGTGCCCCGTAAGTCGCTTCGAGTCCCGCCTCTCGCTAATGATTTTTGTCGACAAGAGCGGTTATTTTTAAATACTTACACTTTTTTTTATACTTGCAGGATGTTTTAAAAATAAATAAAATATATAATATCCTAATAAATAAAACTCAACTCGATCATGGAGGGCCTTGAAAAAAAGAGGGATTCTTTTTTTTAATACAATTTCAAAATCGTAACTTAAACATTTTTGTATCTCATTGTTGTCTTCGATCTTAATTGGAACGAGAACGCAAAGTTCTTAGAAAGTTACTTAAGAGTTGCACGAAGTCATCTAGTCCAGAAGACGAAGAACTCTTGGGCAGGAGGTTGAACAAGTCCCGAATCCCACTTAGTACAGCATCCTCGGCAGTAACCGTCCTCTGTGTCGTCGTTGTTCCCTCGGGGTCTTCTGATATTGCTTGGACAACGCAGATAATTAGGACGAATAAGAGTTCCTGAAACATTGTTTTAAAAAAAAAGTTTGTTATATAATATATAAACACTTTAACGGTTTTAAACGCGATACATATTAGTTAAACTTATTTAGAGATTATTTTTCGACGTTTCGGAGGCTTTGCAAGAGCCGTGGTCACGGGGAGAACTGGTTTAACTAATATATATCGCGTTTTAAACCGTTACACTGTTTTATTTAAATGTGTACTAGTCGCGTAAACTACAGACAATATTTAAGTTATATAGTTTAGTTATTTAACACAATATACAGACAAAAGGGACCTATAAAATGTTCATTATAACAGATAACCTTTTACGTTTTCGAAAACGGCGTCACACGCAACACGTAAGATATAACACTAAGGCAAAGGAAACAACTGAATCCACTTTGCGTCTAAGGTAAAGACGTCTAATTTATCGCGTTTTAAACCGTTAAAGTGTTTTATTTAAATTAGAAACATGTTGCACGCGGTGAGCAACGAACCCACGACCCGTTGATTATTCGGCCTACCATGCTACCTTTACACCAACGAGTCCGTCGTTTCCCTGGGAAATGCGAATATGACGTCACGCGCTGTCGCCCTCCGTTGGTATTTTAAATAAAGAATATAAAAACAAAGAATTCAAATACTTCGAAGGTTTTACATAAATAACGAGTTACGTTTTATCGAAATAAGTATTCATAAGGGTTAATTTATAACAGATAATTTAGCCGACCCCAAAAAGATGGCGCCACAAGTCACGTGACATTCATTTCACCCCTGTTCTTTTAATTAGGAAACAAAATTAATAAAACAAAACACTGAAGAACGCCTTATTTGTTTGTTCTATTGATTTTTTTTACAAAGTATGTTTTTCAGGTAGCTCCGGCGCTACATTTAAGCGAAGACGAATATTTACTCGAACCTTTTTGTTACTGTAATAATAAGAGAGTAAGTAATTTAATATTAATGAGCATGTGTTTATTATAACATTACTAATTGTATACTGTCTGTAGCTTACGCGAGTACACATTTAAATAGAACACATAAACGGTTTTAAACGAGATTAATATTAGTTAATCCATTAGCAAAATAACTTTCAAATAAGTATAATAATATGTAACGTTTTAAACCGTTAAAGTTTTTTATTTATAGAGATGGAAAATTTACCTTCAAGGCCATGTTACTGAAGTTTTAAATATCTTAAGTTATGTTAATTTTGAACTAGAAATTCCAAACTTTAAAAGCGTTGTACGCTAAATATTCTCTTGCACTGAGGGAAAAACATTTTCTAAAATCTCTAGTACGTGGAAAAGTGTGTTGAATGAAATTAAAGCTGCAAATTAGAAATTATATCGAATAACCGTGGTTAAGCGATGGTGTATAATATTATGTTTATGCTCTGGTTGTTTTAGATATAATAGATATATTCTAAGCGATGTTGAAGTATTTAATATAAATCAAAGTCAATTAAAAATCTACTTAGCTTAAATAATAACTGAGTGAGTAGTTTGAAAAAATCAGCCTAAGTAGATTCTTAATTTAAATATATGTCAATAAATACATTTGCCTTCAAATCAGAAACATTTTAGTTATATTAAATTTTTTAAATATTATTTTATTGAATACTTACGAAACTATTAGCCACCCAATATCTCTAGTAACAGAATAGATTATTTTAAATAAAACTTTAAACTTGGGTTTTATGTTCGTAAGAAAATGTAATTATATGTAAATTTAGTGCCCAAGAAACATGTTATGTTTTATTTGTACTTTCATTTCAGTAGGTATTCTACAGTCGTACTAGCTAATGTACAATAAACAATAGCTTAATTTTTTATTTTATAGGTTTTCTAATGACTCCTTAGTGGCCTTAGTAGTTATCCTTGGCGGTAGTTTTGAAAACCACCAGTACCCGCACTAGAGCATCGTCGTAATGTCAAGAACACAAACATTTCAACACAACAATATGAATAAAATAACATCATATTCAGTGAAAGAATTTATTTCTTTATCATAATGATTTGATCCTTTCTGGCGGTCAAGCACTTAAGTTCTTGACGATATTAGTGAACGACTTGATAAAGTCCTTGGGTAGCTTGTTGATTATATCTCCGAAACCTCCTCCTCCGCCTCCATCAGCACCGCCGCCACCACCACCACCACCACTACCACCGCCACCACCGCCACCAGGCGAGCCACCATCGTCAGCCGCCCTGGGAACTCGTGCTCCATACGCGATTTGCAGAACACAGAGAACTACGGCGATAATAATGATTACCTGTAAAAAAATGGAGATGTGAAGGTTAGGTAGACCTGTAATGGATGTATTCTAGATGTCATACTAGTTTTTGACACACTCGTTGGTGTAAAGTACATTAGGAATGTAAAATGACAGTTGGCGGTAAAAGGAGTGGCGGCGAGTTCCTTGCCAGTTCTTCTCGTTCGTTCTACGCCCTTGATTAGAGAACTTGTAGTTAATGTAAAGTTAGTTTCTTTAGTTTTGTGACGTTGATAAGTGTACCTAGTTACCTACATGAACAAATAATTTTTGTCTTTGACGGTATGGAATGGTAGCGATGTGCCCGTTAATAATTAACGATTCATGGGTGCGATCCCCACCGAGTCCAACATATTTCTATTTTTTTTAGTCTTTAAGAGATTTCTTCTATTCTGGATATTAAAGGGATGGTAGCAACATAGAAATTCCGTCCGTGTGATCCAACGTCCACAAATGAAAAAACCCGTTTTGGTTTTAATCTGTGGATTTGCGAATATATAAAGTAGACATAGGTTAACAGTACATCTTGTTTAGATGTTATGTGGCTTGGGTATTTCAACCACCAAACCTAATTGTTCTGGCTTCTAAACCAACGTCAAAGGCAATCTTGAATATTAAAATTGTACCTTAAAATTCTAAACGCTGGTTCGTGGATAAAATTACTTCTACAGAATATAACTAACAAAATGTTCTAGTTGTATCGTATGAAAATAAAATAGATATAGATATAATACTCTGATCTTTCTGAGAAGATGCTAACAAGTTAGGATAAAGGAACTTCTATATGCCATGCCATTACCCGAAGTCCCTAGTTAACTCGTATTGACAGTAGATAGATAAATGAGAATTATATTACTTAATACTTTTTTGTTAATTAAATTATTTTTAAATGTTATTGCACGTGGTGATATTACGAGTTTATAAGCTAAAATTCAATTTAGATGGAAAAAACCGACTCGGGCGTCACTTGAACCAGCATCCACAACGTTCCGTGCTGTCGTTCTTCCCAATTGAGCTACTGTGTAACACGTTAAATTTGAATATAAATAGAGTTTTAATTTAGTTAATTAATTTACAACTACGGTTTATCGACCGACCCAACCGTGACTAGAACAGCGGTCAGGCATTCAAAATGTCGGGTCGTAGTTAATTTGTTAACTATATTTGTAATGACTCGCGATTTAAACGGTTCAAATTGCTGTAAAGTAAGGATACAATTAAAAATTCAAGGCTTAAGACCTTACCTTGGATGCCATGGTGAGAGTTTGATACAACTTTTTCTTTCCACTTTGAATATATACACCTTCTTTATCTGCATTTAATAAAGAGTTGTAGTTCGATTTCCGAACAAGGTATTTACAATATCGCTAAATGCCACTCGGGTATCGAATAATGTAGTAATATCCTGTGCTTATTAGATTGTAAGGTACGCAGTTGATAGTTTTAAAAAACATTAATGCAATATTGATAACGAAGCTTGATAACACTTCGTGTGTTAAGTTGTACGCATTGTTTGCAGTAAATATCACGAAAGCAACTTTTTGTGAAAGGCAAACAGCACAGCCATATAACATCTAAGCAAAATGTGCCTTCGACTGATTTTTGGCTTTGGATATTCAGATATTGACATTCAATTGTTTGTATATTTGTTGCACAAATACGGCTATGGCATGCTTTGAAAAAGCCGTGGTCACGGTGTGATTATATTTATGGAGGGTGTCCCTAATGTCAAAGTCGAATCTGCTACGCTAGCGCCATCTGTTTTATCGTAGCAGACTTTCAAAATAAATTGTAAATCAGTTCAAGTACTTTAAACTGATAAAAGTGTTTCAATTAAACGTGTACTACTTGCGTAAACTACGCACAATTTTTTTTTCCCACTCTTTATTTTTTTTTTGTATGTAGCTTGGTAGAGATTGCAACATATAAATCTTGTTTATATTTTTCCTTTTCTTTGTGTAAAGCGTTCTTAAATGTTAAATTGTATATCACAGAAGGAAATATCATTAGATGCTTTAGTGATTTAAGAGCTAAAAAATCGATACAATGGTCAGACAAACAAACACAAATTCGTTGTACTTGTAGTTATTACGTGACTAATAAAATTATACAAACAAAAAATGTATCAATTTACGCGGATCAAAGGCGTGGAAATTGGCTCTTTATTGAAATTGTTTTCTCAAGTAGTTATTTCTAAATATGCAATTTTTCTCGCCATTCAGAGTAATAAATCTCATCAAATATGCGAGCTGTTATTCCTAGGTTGATCTTGGGAATTCCTAGAAAAACGCCATCTCATCATACAGATAATTATTTGTTTAGTAAAAACCTATATGGTTTAAAATTAGTAACTGCTGACCAAATTTTGATCACTACAAAAACGATGTTTGTGCGTTAATCTTAAAAAACAGACGCGGAGCAATGTTTAGATTATTTAAAGAAAAATAAAAGTTTTTCGCAGCAAACGCAATGGAATCCCTCAAAGAACAATAGCGTTGCCTGTATTTTTTCCACATTTACCATCGTTACTCGCTCCTATTGTCCTGATTATAGCCTAAAACTTTTCACGATAAATGGTCGATCCAACACAAATAATTTTCCAATTCGAACCCGTAGTTTCTGAAATTAGAGCGTTTATACAAATAAACACACTCTCAGCTGTATTATATTAGTATAGGTGTAAATATGGAAAGAAAAGAAAGAAATTATAATTGCACACTATTTATTTCTAAGGACTTACAAAACTAGTTTAAACAAGCGGTTTCATTGCTACATTTGCTGCTTCCTTATTCTTGTTTAGCTTTTTCGTCTGGCTTTGACTTGCCGAAAATGCTCTTTGCCTTAACTAAATCACCCAGTTTCGTGATCGCCTGCTTAGGGTCCTTGGTCATGTCTTGAACGAAGGTTGTGAAGTTCTTTATGATGTTTAAGTTGCCCAGGACCTTGGAAGGAGAGTCTCCCTTATCTTTATCATCTTGTTGGCGTTCTGGTGCTGCTTGAGTCATGAATATGCCGGCGATCAGGACAATAGCAAGAACTGTGATCTAGAATAAAGATTAACATGAGAAAATAACTTCAAACTTCGTAACACTCTTGTAATTACACTTACGCCCGTTTCAGGGCTAATATAGACAATGTTGAAAATAAATCTTTTTTATAGAATCTTTGCTATTCGAAAATATTTGAACCAAACATTTCTCCCTGTAATTTCATCTTCAGTGATTTCTTAAGCTTAGCATAAGGCATGGAACCTCAATACGTAGGTGTTGAAATTACAAAGCGCTTGAGGCGTACGTATCATTACCGTGTAGGACACGATAGCTCGATAGGTAGAGCAACAGCACCGTTCGCTGTGGATTCAGTTTCAAGTTCCCCACTTTTCGCATTTTTTTTAACTTAATAGATTTTTAAGTTAATTAATATTATGTATATTTAAAATACTTTCTTCATAAAATTAATTTAAATGTTTACCTTTAGAGAAACCATGGTGCTTGTTGTTGATTTGGTTGGTGTTTGTTGAAGAAGCAGATGATTGTTGTTTGATGTTTGGTTCGGTCTAGCTTTTATACGGTACCGAATTTTACTACATAGTTTTATGTCTAACTATTTAGCTGATAATACGTTAGAATTAGGTAATAAATTTTATTGTAAATTTGAAACGGAAAAGATGTCCTTTAAAATGTACCAGTTTTATTTTTTCCCCATTAACTAACTCAGTCATGGTCTTATTAGAATATTGATTGTCCTAATTCCAACACTAGCTAGCAGAGATCTGTAAAAGATAATATAGATACATTTTTAATATATTTGCCTAAATAAAGTATAATTCGCTTTCCTTTTGGAAGACACAATATAATTATAATACTATTGATATGAAGAACTAAAATAAGAAAGGAGAACTTATTTACTTGTTAATTTTAATCTATAATATAGCCGTCAACGACAAAACTAAACAACGACGAGCTCAAAATATGAGTTATCGTTTTAAATCTATTGAGATTTGGAGTAGTGGCCCATGTTATTATTAAACGCTATTTTTTCACAGTTATATTATCTACCTGTTTAGTAATCATCATTCGAATCGAAATTTAATAGTACCCAAATTCTATTCTTTGTTTACAACGATTTTTAAGCAGTTATCACGAAATACATTAAAACTTTATAGTATTTGTTTCCTGTCTAAACACTGATCATTGTTATTTACAAGTCTATAAAAACCAGGGTATGTTTAGGAAACGCGTCATTTCTCATCAAAATGATTCGGAAGGTTAGTTCTACTTTAATTTATAGACTCGAAGTAAAGCCTAAAAAGTTAATATAAAATTAGGAGTGTTTTAGCTGAGGGTTCGGCGCGTAAATTGGTTTTAAAAATTATAAAAAATTCGGTAGCCGGTTTCTCGTTGGAACGACAGTACGAGATAGTCTTAAAATCGACTTCATTAGAATTTTTCAATTTTTCTTAATTCTATATAAAGATTTCAGGTCAATAAGTTGTTAAAAATATTGCCAATTACATAATCGTAGACAAATAAACTTACATATTACTTTAACTTAAGGAACTTATGATACATATACTTATTATAAATATTTCTTTAGTATGTATTGCAACACAAGGATAGGTGGATATGTGGGTTGATGGAATGTGAAACTTTCAACTCCTACATTAAGCGCAATATTTGGTTGGGAATCCAAATAAAGGAAGTAAAATAGTACTGTATAAAATTCTATTTTTTTACAGATAATTCTTTTGTTTTTCATCATCGTATCATGCGCAGCGCAACTATATTCAGCTGCTGCAATTGATAGTGTAAAACTGATCGGTTTCGACAACTTAGACCTGGACGAAGATAGTTCAGACGTAGATCCAGACGACTTGATGATCATCGTTATGAAGGTGTTCAGCCGGAACAATTAAATTTTGTAACAGTAAAAAAATGATTTTCAACAACTAAAAATATATGCTCAAAGTAGTTCTTTTGCTGTAACAACTTGTAATATTCTTACTTAATACAAAACAAAGGAATAAATTCATCAGCCATGAATGCTAATTTTATTTTAAAAAATACTGTTTAATTTGATTAATTTTTTATGAACTGAAGAAATTTTGTAAACACACACAGCTAGTGGGGATTTGGGGGCCTGCTTTATCTCCGACTTATTAATTAATACATTACAGTGAGAATTCACAAAATTACCAGCGAGGCTTTGTTCCTCGACAAACGCCAGATTTCACAAACTTAACTGTAGTCAAGGTGTTTTACTACTCTTTGGTCAGCAGCCATCTAGCATTTAACTAAAATGTATGAATCAAAATATAGAACTATGATGACGGGAATTGGAAAATAATACTGTGGTCTTAATATAGGCCAATACGTTTGGAAGCGTCATCAGCTACTAAGTACTTCGCGACCCAGTCCTTTTGAGTAGGCAAAAAAATTAATATATTTGATAAGCAATTCATCTGGTAAAGGCTTAGATTAAAGATTAATAAATAAATAATTCATCTTATTATTATCATTTTAATATTCACAATTCAATTTCGCGCTCATATGATCCTACTTTTGATTTTCGTCTCATAGTCTCCCAAATACTGACCAATATTAGAGATATTTGAATTGATCCCCGAGATGGTGTTATTAACGTGATTGGGACCCATGTTGTCAGAAATATTGCCAATATCAAGGTTACTTTGACGAGGCCCTTGAATTTGACGTTTCGTCCATATAACGCTGGCATGACAAAGTGCCACCATGATACAAAGAGTAAGTAAAACCTGTAAAAAAATATCTTTATAATGAAGCTATTAGAAGTCCCGAAAACTTCTTGATTTTGTAAATAGTATGTGAACGCTTAGCATATTTAGCAACGCTATGAAAGTTTGAATACTTCAAACTAAATAAATTTATAATTTATCATTGTGTACATTATGGATTTATAGCAGACGTGTTAGTTGTTTTGTTTCTCACATTGGCTGTTAAAAGACGATACAACGTAAAGAGACAACATTTTTTTTTATATTATGTTAATTATTGTCTGTGGTTTACGCGAGTTATAAACATTTAAATAAAACACTTTTAACTGGTGGTAATGGGATCACAGTTGCAGCAAAGCATCCATAACGTCGGGCAGTAAATAATATAAATTAATTAATAATTTTGCGTTTCAAGCAGTTGAAAATGTTGTATTAAAACTATAGTTTTGCTCTGAATTATTAAAATTTTAACTTACTTTAAACAACATTTCAATTCCGTAACTAAATACCTAATAACTTAAGAAATGTACTTAGACGACTTTATATTAAGTGCTTATCGTTTTCAATATTTGCATAATTAACATTAACTTTATGTATCTAAGTAAAGATACATAGAAAAATTAAATTAATTTGAATAATAAGTAATAAGAATTTATACTATTCATAGAAAATATAGGATAGACAAACATGGTGTTCAATAAAAACAAGAGATTAGCATGGACTAACAGGCCTTTACTATAATTTTGTTTGTAAACCCGAAATAGTAAAGGCAATGAGCGAAAGAGAAGAACTGGCAATTAACTCGCCGTCACTCCTTGTATCATCAATTTATTTTACAAAGGATCTTTGCTTAGAGTCGAGTCTATAACACCAGATAAATATATATATAAAACAAAGATGGTTTTGTTACAATACTTTCCAATCCAATTTTCATGGCTATTGATTCGTTGGATTTGTCTCATATTAACCACAATGAAAACCTGATATGTGTAGTGAATACTAAAAAACGAAAAAACTAAACGAAACGAACGAAACGTCTACTGTAACCACTACTCATATATGCGTTCAGAAATTTATTTTGATAATAAATCTAAAGTTCCGGTACTGTTATATTTGTTTGTCATAATCGTTAATTTGTGTAAGTAATTTATTAATTATTTATTTTTTTATTTCCAAAAACTATACCTAAGATTTATTGTACGGCTTAACAAAATTTCAAATTTCTTTTTATTGATCATCTATTATTATAATTATATTTTCTATTATACGCTATTGTGTATCTCTCAAAAGTTCAGGCACTGTAATTATATTTGTTGATTTTATTTGAAAATGAGGAACTTCTTATTCCGAGGGTTCCAATGATCCCACGGATATCATCACCTTTGAGTTTAAACGAATTTGATTCCCGATTCGTCTGGCCTTCGCCATGACAATCAACAAATCATAGGGCCAATCCTTGACGATTTGTGGCCTCAATCTAGAAAATGCATGTTTTTCCCATGGTCAATTGTACGTGGCATTCTCACGTGTCGGCAAACCATCCGCTTTATTTGTTCTTGCGCCTGAGCAAAAAACAAAGAACGTCGTTTACCACAAGGTGCTTAAATGAAAATCCCATTAATGAATTAATCCGAGTGTATCCCAATCTGCAAAACATTATTTTCAATATTTTCATCTAACATGTGTTTATGTATGTTAGCACTTATTTTTTTTTAGTGTTTATTCTCATTCGGTATGTATTCATCAGCATTCATCATAATAATATACTTTTATGTTTCTATCTATATTCATATCGTTTTGTATTATTATATTACGTCCATCAAAGCCTAAATTAGTTTAGCTAAAGGGTAACATGACATTCATTAACTGTTGGCCGGTACGAAGTTCGCCGGCTCAGCTAATGGTTTATAAACGGCGTTGAAAATATGTATGAAATTAAAATATATCAAACATGTTGTTCAAAATCATCTTTATTATTTTGATGATTACTTTCTCAGCCCACCCGACCCTGTCAATACATTTTGACCTATATTATTAACATTAGATTCTTCAGCTGCAACCGCATTAGCAGATACGTTTGGTCCTACTTTCTGAGGCTTATTCAAAATGTTGTTTTGCCGTTGGGAGAGGATAGCATCATAATTGTCTGGTCTTGCAACGATCGCCGAAATGCAACAAATAAGAACTATCAGACGAGGTACCTGAAACGAATGGTTTTTATTACAGCAATTATTAGTTTGCGGAAATCGATAGAATGGGTGGGGGGGCATCGGTTCACATTATCTGACTACTTCGCCGCTTCTTCTATTTTCTCCCTACAGAAGGTTTTGGTTTATTCTACTCTCACCATGTCCCCTTCAAACCTTCCTTTTACGTTAACTAAATGCTTCCAAAATCTAAGAATCGAACTAACATTTCAACGTCACAAAACTTTATCTGTAGTCCACTGTTTTCGTCATCACGGTATACTATGAAATATAACCATGGAGGGTTTAAGAATAATAGAGTGATTATACATCCAGAACTCTTTCTATTTTACAATGCAGTAAAAAAGAAAGAGTTTTCAATTGCAATTATCAAATGTAATGTTGTAATAGTCTTACGCTCTGCAATTCATTTTACTTTAGCCCCTCGACAGTTGAGAAAATTCAATACCTCACATAATACAATAAAAATACTCACTGTAAACGCCATTATAGAAAAATATAATTTCCGATTTATGGATGCAAACTTTTAAACAATATCTTAAGTATAACTAATGATCTTTCGTTGGCTTTTTATATATAAGCAAACACTGCAACCACTTTTTAATTAATGTATCTAACCTTTTATTTTAATTATACGAATTGATTAAAATTAAAATATCCGATAGAACTTAAGGAATATTTATAAACTTAGATTAGCATGAATTGTCGTTTTCGCATGGGATATAGGTAAAATTAGTTTATTTATATTATATTTATATACTTACTACAAATTATGAAAGTAATTATATTACTTTCATTTTAACTTATTTAAAGATATGTTCTTGAAAGTGAAATAGTTCATGAAAGTATTAGCAATGACAGAACTATGATGGTGGTGTTGTACTAATAATAATCAAAAATAAAAGATGGTGACAAGATTCATGTGTGTTTTATTTATTAACAGTTCTTTGCTAATTTTATTTAAAAGAAAAAAAACATTAATCGGACGTACCTAAATCAGTTAAGATTTAAAGAGATCGAAAAACTTTTTAACTACTTTAAGAATTGAGGAAATTATATTAATGATTTTGATAGCCAGCCCCACCGAGGCATCTTCTGGTTTATCATCATCGGTTTCACCCACAGTGGAGGTATAACCATCATATTCATCGTCATCCGGCGTAGTATCTGCATCTTCAAGACTCTCATGCGGTTCATCTTTCTTTATCATGTTTGCGCCTGTTTCATGTTGAACCAGAATAATACACGCTATGATGATGACTAGGTTCTTAAACAAAGACATAGATTTAGGGTAAAAAGTAATTCCAAATTCTCTTAACTTCCATGAACTTGGCTAAACCTAAATTCCGGTAGCTAGAACTAAAGAAATGATCTGTATCTCATTTGACGTTATATCTTTTATAATTGTTAAAAAAAAACTAGTCTTTCATATTTTATAATAATCCCGTTATATTAAATTTTAATAAACCACTTATCTGACATTTAAATACTTATTTATATTTTAATTTAAGATTTATTTTTTAACATAACCTTTAAATTTATGCAATTTTCAAAAACTATAATTTGGTGTCTATTCGACTTATAATTAAAATAAAAGAAAGTATTTTTCTTTAATATTTATTAAGTATTTAAGAACAATGTCATTATTTGTAATTCAAAACATCTATATCCACCAAAAAATATCACGAACAGCGCTTAATAAGTTTATGAAGACTTGGACAAAGTCACGCAACGCATTCGGAATATTTTTAAAAAGTTGATAGACGCTTTGTAGTATAACACCCTTTTTATTTCCGTCTTTATCATCTCCTTTTTTATCTTCTCCAAGAGATGTATTATCATTGCCTTTATCCCCACTTGGAGCTGTCATTTCTGTTGTTGGTTCATCCGTTACATTTTTAGTGTCATATTTTATTACTTTGCTTGTTGTGTTTCCTCCATAGGACCATATTGGATGCCAATAGTAATAACCTTTATTGTTATGACCGTGTTTGGGTTCTTAAACAACAGAAACATATATTTTTTTAGAATATGTCTCAAGACATAGACAAAATAAATCTCAATGAAATTCTTTTTGGTAAATATTAGAAACGTTTATTCAAATGTATACAGTATATTGCAATTATTACTACACTTCTGAATGTAGTGACGGCTTATAACTGACAATTTGAAATAATTTAGTTTGAGCTACTCAGCCTGAGGTAAATAACAAAGAGTTTTACGAAGTCTCGTATTGTTTTAGGTATGTTGCCGATTACTTTGATGGCGTTACTTAGAAATTTGAGGGCAGCGTCACTACCTCTATCTACATCAGCAAGCGAGTCCGATGAAGACGAAGAAGAACCATTTTCATCACTTTGACTGTCATCAGAATCCGAAGAATCTCTTTTAACTCTTCCAGCCTCTGCACCACATTGAGTCGCGATCAGAACAAATGCGATAATGATGAAGGTATTCTTAAAAGAAATTTTTTTTTACAGATTAAATTAATCAGTAAGTGGTAATTTCATTGGAAATTGTGTATCTTAAGGGTAAATATTTTTAATGTATAATAGTGTAGCGATATTAGTGCATAGCTTTACTACAAATTCCCCGGAGATTTTGTAAAAAAAAAAGATTTTATCTACTTCTCCAGTACCTCTATAAAAGTAATTTCTTTGTCTTCTCTCATGATAATAACAGCTAATACGAAAGATATATCATTATAAGTCGGGAAATAAATTTCATTACAAATTCATTTAAAAATGTTAAAAATAAATTCCACAACATTAAAATATAAATTTTGAATACATTAAAATAATTAATTTCCGAGTTAAGTAGTCCCGTTTCGCGATTACATATTATCTTAATCATATTAAAATTAGCATCATCTGAATAATTATCAAGTTCACTTACCCGCTTTTATTTCGTTATCGATGCACACATTAAAGCTAACTAAATAAATATAAAAATCGAGTTTCGCCGCTATTTACTTAACAATTCGATTAAGCGTTATCTGTACTTTACGCTAGTTGAAGACGTTAAATAAACGGGTTAAAACGCGTAATTTACATCTCGATTTGGACAGGTTTCATTTTGCCATTTTAGAGGCTTTCACAGTATGCCTGGTTCAACGGCTAAGCACATTGCCATAAGCTCGTGAGATCCTAGGTTTGACTCCTTAGGAAAGATAATAGTTTTAGCCAAACAAGAGACAGAAATCCGATTGAAATAAATATAATTATCACAATGAATAACCCACTTAAAAGAAACTGAAAGTAACTTAGTTCTTAAGTTCTAAAGTCGGAAATTACGTTAGTATTAGGACCTACCATTTTAAAGTATCCTGTCTGAGACGATACGAAAATCGTATGAACGTGGGGAAAGAAGTAAGCTAAAGGATATATTCTATTATAGAAGTAGAAAATCATTTAGATATGCAATAAAAAAAGGTTAATAAAGTAACTGACATATGGATAATCTAAAATCAATCTGTTTCGAATTAATTCAATACATTTTCATACATACAATAGATACCTATATTGTTTGAAAAACTGTTACAAGTATAGTAGACTGCTTTTTTCAATTATTCAAATCATCTTGTCTATTCAATGGATTATGAACATTACGAAAATAAAAATCCATAGATTATAAGTATAGTGTAATTTTTTCTAACTTGGCATTTTAGTAAAACAACACATAATTTACATAAAATAGTAACCTCACAATATTTATTACTAGGCATATTTTGATTTACACTAAAATACTTTAAGACACTGGATTAATTATTAAACTAATAAAACAACCTAAAAACTGCACACATGCTAAATTAATAAAAATCCTAAAAATAAATTTACGTAAATGAGCAGATAAAAAGTTCTCTAGTTTGACGTTTATAGGGACAGAAATGTAAGCAAAGTTAACGACAGTAGAAGGTGTGAACATATATTACTCTATGGTATGAATCCACTGTTCACAATATTATCTTAAATATAAAAAAAGAACGCCATAAAATCGATAATGAATATTAAGGTTGTTTCGTCTATATCTAATTGATGATCTGTGGCATGAACTAGACTCTATGAGAACGTGCTCTCTAGGTCTCTATGGTTTATAATCGGCCATATTTGTTATGGTCTTTTGCCAAGTTAGAAAAAATATTGTCATAGACGCGATACAAAACAATGTTTGTATGTTATACACTAATTGAATACTTGGCCGTGCGTGTCATTCTGATCATCATCCTATCAAATAAGTTATCACCATCTCGAGACTCGTTATCCTCTGTGGGAATCGATTATCCAATTTAGACACGCGCTGGGGTTGACTCAAGGAAAATAAGGATAATGGTCTCATTTTTTACGTCGCTACAGTACTGTGTGGCATAATATAGAATTTCTATTAACATAATATTACATTTTTAAAATAGATGATCAAAATATTTTATACATTTACCATCTATATTATATTTTAATAATTTAGCTGAAGAAGTTTAATTTTTACATAACTACATGGAATGTATCTTTGGTAGTCATAACTTATTACTAGCTCTGTTATTGACTTCGTCCGCGAAGAATAGTTGGTTTTAAAATCCAAATTCTTTTTTAGATACATATTGTTCTTAACTCTAATTATAAGCTGTTACTCACGTCGTTCGCGTCTCGTCATTCTTGCATGTTTTTCTTAAAAGGTAGACATATACTGTCGGGGTCATTTTTTTAGATCATTTGAGGAGGAATCATTCCTTCATACACATTTTTGGTCATCGTGAACCGTTTGCGCAGCGTACGCATCGGAATTTCACAATGATGAATAAATTTCCCTCTGTTGCCTTGCTCCTATTAGTCGCTTAACGTTATATAGCCTTTCTCCATAAATGTTCTAACACAAAAATATTTTATCAAATCTAACCAATGGTTCCTGAGGTTCGTTGAAACGAACAAACAAACATACTTCTCAGTGTATACACATACACAGGTGCAGGTACATCGAAGCCTATAAAGGAATAATGTCATTGTCACACATTTTTAGAGAGTTTAAATTTACTGGACATTAAATTGTTGGATATTGATTGACACTTCCAACTGTGGAACATTCTAAGCAAATATCTTTTAAATTGCTTAGTTATTGGTATAAGGCGTAACAATATTAAACAATATATTGGTACAATTGGTACAATATATTGGTACAATTGGATAAATTGTAAAAAAAAAATATTATTTATTCAATTCATTGTCAAGCGAGTAAGCAAAATAACAATTCGATTCTAACACGAATTCAATACATAATTTGACAATAGAAAATTTATTGCGCGCGTTACAAATTGTGTATCCACATTATGTGCCATAACAAATCTTTTTATAGTGTGTATCAGTTTTATACATGTAACAATTTCATTTTTATTTAAACAAATTACTATAAATGATTATTTTGAATCTCGTGTGTCGCATTGGTTTTAGGCGTCTATAAAAATACAATTTTAGTTCTAGATCGGATTTTGGAGGATTATACATATAAGAGAGAGACCTACCGTGGGAAAAAATCTAAATTAACTTACGGTTACTTACGGTTTAAAACGCGATATCTATATTAGTTAAACTTGTTAATATATATCACGTTTCTGTATATATTGGAAGGCGGTCTGCCCTGACCACGGCTGCTGCAAAGCATCCGAAACGTCGGGCCGTAGTTAAAATAATTTTCAAATAAGTTTAACTCATATTTATCGCGTTTTAAACCGTTTAAGTGGTTTATTTAAATGTAAACGTATTTGTCAATATGTCTATATTAAAAAAATATAATAAATCTAATTAGTATAATGGGGTCGTTGGTCTAATAATACAATGCGAGTTGTAGATGATTGGTTGAGACTTTCACTCCTTCCACCAAGTAATGCTATGACATCTATGTCCTCGTTCATGATAAAAAATGTTGCTATTGGCACAACCCTTAAGTTCCTCACATTTCGTTGATTCAATGATTACAATGACACACGTGCGTAACAAAAGTAAATTTAATCTTCCTGTGAGTTGACCTGTCCACTTTTAACAGTGGGATTTCGATCTTGGTGTAGTGCACAACCTTTGACAAAATACGTCCAAAGTTTTTCTATTGTGTTAGTATAATAGAGTATACAACAAATTATGGGTTTTCGATTATTAATTATTACATGCCTTGTAAGTATATTTTGATTAAATTAATCAATTAATTGTTTTATAGTAACGAAATATACTAGTCGTTATGATTATTGGTAATCGTTACTACTACACTTATATGTGAGTCATTTTGTGTGTGTGTTCTTTAAATACTGTCTATAGTTTACGCGAGTGGTACACATTTAAATAAAACACGTCAACGGTTTAAAACGCGATAAATTAGTTAAACTTATTTGAAAATGTTTTTTAACTTCGGCCCGACGTTTCGGATGCTTTGCAGCCGTGACCACGGCGTCCGAACTTAACTAATATAATATATCGTTTGAAAACTTTATTAGTTTTTACAAGTTTATCGTCATATTGCACATGAAGGCACTATATAATTTGTTTTTATAAGGCACTAATTATTATTTTTTCGATTTTTAAATAATATAATATATCGAATTTAAACCGTTAAAGTATTTTAAATTCAAATTGATGTTCTACAGGCCTCATATTATTTCTACTTAAGAATTTTGAATTTTGTTTAAATTATGGTTTCATTATTTATATAGAAGTGATTTGAGAGACTCTTTGGTTTAACGGTAGCAATGTATGGTTAATAATAAACGGGTAAATGTTCTAATTAAATACTGTCTGTAGTTTACACGAGTAGTACACATTTAATTAAAACACTTTAACGGTTTAAAACGCGAAATATATTCGTTCAAGTCACGGGACCGTGCCCACGGCTGCTTCAAAGTATTTATCCAAAACGACGGGCCGAAGTTAATAAAAAAAAAGTTTAGTTCATATATATCGCGTTTTAAGCCGTTAAAGCGTTCTATTTAAATTTGTAATTAATTTATTAATAATTCTGAGACCACTTCTGTGAATCTGGATATTAAATGTGTGCTAGAAATGAAGTTAATTTGAAATAAAATGCCGAGATTTAATTAAATGATCAAGCTATATCTATATATTGCGTCATACTCTAACAACGAACCGTATGCAAGAGAGCGGGAAAAACAAAAGCATAAAGATAGTACAGACTGCCAACATAAGACAAAAAGTAAACGGTCCTCTCAACATTAAATCAATGTATGGACATTGCACAGATTATTTAACAAGTAATATCGAAATTATATCCGGGTCGCGAACCGCCGTGCATCGATGAAAAGCCGTGAAGTTTAATCGCGCTTCGGTTTCAGTCTGTGGATTTCCGAATATCCAAAGCTAAAATTGGTCGACAGCTGATCTATTTAGACGTTATATGGCTGGGGAATCACACCTACCATTAAATGATACCATTTTTTATCTATCCTCGACTATCATTAAAAAGGTGAGAACAGTTAATGGCTGAAAGATGAGCATTATCATTATAATCTATACTAATATATAAAGCTGAAGAGTTCGTTTGAATGCGCTAATCTCAGGAACTACGGGTTCGAATTGAATTTGTGTTGGTTACATCATTTATCGTGGAAGGCTATAGGCTAAAACATCGCGATGTAACTAATAGAAGCAAAGATACATCTGGAAATGTGAACAAAACGGGGGAAATTTTTCATCTCTGTGGGTTTCAGATGCGTACGCTGCGTAAACGGTTCAAGATACCTAAAAAATGTGTATGAAAGAATGATTCCTCTTTAAATTATCTAAAAAAAATTCCGCGACGCTATATGTCTATCTTTTAAGGTTAACTTACAAGAATGACGAGAAGGGGCGCGATCGACGTCGTGGCTAACAGCTTAAATTTATAAAGATGACGGGGTTTGCAAAAATTAATTTGGATGCCCAAAATAAAGATTGACGCGGATGAAGTCGCTGGCACAGCTAGTCATTAAATAATAGTTATCATGTAACGTACGAAGAAGGAACAAAGTTATTTTCGTCGCGTTCAAAGAGCCTTTCCACTTAACGCCTGAACCATTACGCTTGTAATTTACGTTTAAGAGATATATTGCTATGTACAAAGGTATAAATTCTATCTAGAAGAACCATGTAGAAGAATTACTCCTTATTAAATTATACCCTAAAAATGTCCGCGACATCTATGTCTATCTTTTAAGATTAACTTTCTACAACCGACATCATGGGCAATATCTATAATTGAGAAAGATGATGAGGAGGTTACCAAAAACAAATTTTTACGCCCAAAATAATATTCTACGCGGACGAATTCGTTGGGCTTGTTTATATGTTACTAAAGAGATGCTTTATCGACCTATTTTATCTAGCGTGCGTAAATCTACAGGTCAAAATCGAAACGCAGATTACACTTTAAGGTGTTAACAGATGGCGCTAGCGTGGCAGTTTCGACTTTGACATTAATAGGGGATACCCTTCTGCGGCTGTTTTTACAGCATATGAAACGTCGGGCCGTAAATACTTTACATTGAAAATAAGTTCAAGGTCGATAATAAATTGAAAACAATTTACGATTTATTAGTATGGAACGCAGACGATGTCGGCTCGAGTCCGTCCCTAGTCGAAAATTCTTCGAATTTATTTTCGATCTTTAATTTATATATTGCCATCATGTGAAAATATTAAAAATTTCAAATTAAAATAAGTAATTATATTTCGCGTCTTAAACCGTTAAAAGTGTCTTAATTAAACGAAATTTCTACTTTCCTACCTAATTGATTTAAAATTGAACCCAGGGCCTGTTCGTTGTGTTCAGCCATATACTAGACCAACATTAGACTAACGAGCCATAACGAGCGAACGCTTTTGAGAATAAGAAACATTTTTCTTTTAGATAATCGCAGTTAGCACACTCCCGTCGGACTCAGAGCAAAGACCCAAGCGTGATGTTATGGAAAGCATGAAACATGCCTGGGACGAAGTGGTGAAAACCTTCAACGATGCTGGCGATGCTGTGGTCCATGTCTTCAAACCCACTGAGAAGAGCGTTCTTGACAAAATGGCTGACGGTATTAAAGGGATAACGAAATAGAATTTTGTTTCTTTCCAGCCTCAGTAACCTTTATCATAATTTTAAAGTAAATACTGTGTGTAGCTTACGCGAGTAGTAAACATTTAAATAAAAGATTTAAACTATTTAAAACGCGAAAGTTTTCATAAAAAAATAAAAATAAAAAAAAACACTGCTATAGTTCTTTTTTTTTTTCAAATTTTGTATGTGTGTGAGATATACAAGTAAAACCTTAACCTTATTTCATGAATCACTTTTATTAGAATAGTCTTAAGAGAGTTTAAGAGTCATAATCGATGTACGTTGGTTTCCCAAGAGTCGAACCGAAGACCTTTTGCGTAACAATGCGTTGCTCAACTCCGCGTTAGAGATTATTATAGAGGAAGTAATTACATAATGTAGTTTACACAATGAGATATTGTTTATTCTCTAGTAATTTATTAGTTTCAATAAAACACTATAACGGTTTAAAACGCGACACGTATTAGTTATACTTATTTCAAAATTAGAGATTCTGTGACCACGGCTGCTGCAAAGCAAGTTACAGTAATTTTCAAATAAGTTTAACTAATATATATCGCGTTTAAACTGTTAGTGTTATACTTAAATGTGTACTACTCGCTTAAACAGACAGTATTTAATGTATTCGTTGATATTTTCCAGTCACACACACTATCCTTATACACATAAGGAAACATTATAAGTTGTAATTTCTGTTGCTTTTCTTAATAATTTAATGTACAAGGTAAACTTCGATGGCTAATTCTTTATTTGTCTCAGCAAAACCACCTTGACCCCGTCATGTGACACGACAAAAGTGGCATTAATTACCAACACTTAGAATATTCTCTGACGTCACAGAGTGCACGTCTCGCAATTATACAATTTATTTCCTAAGAAATATATTTAAAACATCGCAATTCGTCCATTTATAAAAAATACTTGTTGACTTTTGAATTTTAGTAACAATGAACGGTTTTTGTGGGTTAAGCTTAAAGATAAACATACACCTTTTTTTTGCTCTTCGAGCAATCGAGAAGCTAACATCGCCTGAGGATGCCGTCCGCTCGTGATGGCGAAACGTCGAGAACCTCTTCTCGCTCACGTCGGCCGAACAGCCCGGAAAAACAATGATGAGCTGAACGATGGCCGTGAAAGCCTTACACATTTTTTTTATCTAAAGAAAATAATCCTCCCATATTTTTCAATATTTGGAACAGTTTTTTCAGCGCACAGAAACCCTCAATATTGCACAGTGTTCCCCATTTTCCACATTTTAAACTCGCACATAGAATCAAAAAAGGTAAGTGAGGAATCTTTGAGATTCACAAGGCTTTCTATAAACCTTGAGATAAGAATCTTATGTTATGTATTTAATCAGAATATTCGAATAAACATATTGGTCGGTATGTACTATATGGTATTAGGTATGTGTTTATATTTTTTTTTAATCTAGTAAAGTTCCATTTATCATTTAATTAAGCTTTTTTCTTCTACATTGCTAGTACACAGACCGGATAGTATGACAGTAAGAAATTAGTCTTACATTAGACATTGCTACTACTTGCGAATGCGGTTTAAACCGAAACCGAATTAAGAAAACGAATTGATCCGCAGAATTTTACCGTTCAGTAGTTCTGTAGGCGATTCTAAATCGTAACTTTAGTGTTTGTTTAATATTTATTGTGTATTAAAATATAATATTTTAAAGCTATACCTATTATTATATCATTATTCGTACGTACGTTTATTTATTTTTCCTAAATAATGCTTTTTTCCTCAGCTGTAGGGAAAGAAAATTTAAGTCTAGCCTAAACCGAATTTTGCTCTATATCAATCATTCGATAGGACGAAATTCATTGAACCGAATGAGAACCGAATGTAGTTCCATCTCTATCACATAACAATTAAGTAATATACAAGGTAAGAAGGAAATAATCCGACCCTTATGGTCGGTAATGATTAATTATTTAAAAATAAAGATGTGAATGATTTTTTAAATAAAACACTTTAACGGTTTAAAACGCGATATATTAGTTAAACTTATTTGAAAATGATTTTTAACTTCGTCTCCCCGTGACCACGGCTGCTGCAAAGCATCCGAAACGTCGGGCCGAAGTTAAAAATAAGTTTAACTAATATATCGCGTTTTAAACCGTTAAAGTGTTTTAAATAAAGATGTGAATGATATTTAAAACTGTAAAATGACCGACGCAATTAAGTGTTAGAATATTCCTCTTAATGAGTTCAGTCGTTAATTTGTTATTATTAAACATGTATACTAATATTATAAAGCAGAAGAGTTTGTTTGTTTGAACGTGCCAATCTCTGGAACTACTGATTTGAATTGGAAAATCCTTTATATGTTGGATGAACCATTTATTTTAAGAAATAGTGAGATATGTGGAAGAACGGTGAAATTCACCTTTTGGAGTTTAAGGCGAAATTTAAGAAAAATAAGTATGAAAGAATGATTACAATTAAAGTGATCTAAAAAAAATTCCGCGATACATTAGCTCTCTATTTTAAGATTTACTCGCAAGAACGACGGGACGCGGACAACGTCGTGGCTAACAACTATAATTTACAAAGCTGAGGAGGTTGGAAAATGAGTTTTAATGCTAAAAATAACTTAACCACGCGGGCGAAGTTGCGTGCACAGCTAGTATAACAAGAGAATAATGGAAAACTCGAGGACAAACAAAACAATCTTATTTATTAAACGTTAAAAGTTAGAGTCGATGCTTATCGGCTATTGTGTACTGGTTTTACAAGTACTTCAAACGTCACTGTGGTATGGCACATCAGGGTCAAGATCAAATTCAACACATTTACGGTCTCCCGGTGAAGAGTCATTTAGGATGTCTATCAGCTTGTCTGTTTTGAAGTCAGTCGCCGGTGACGCTGGACCTTCGGGGTAGTCCGGTCTTTTGCGATAGCTGTAGTCTTCTTTATGTCGCTTTCTAGAGAGAACGAAAATCCCGGCTGTTACCTCCTTTGTCTTGCCTTGTTCAGACGCGATCTCCATGTTTGCCCGTCGTATATCGGTAATGTCGTACTGGAATCGTTCAGACTTGTGTCTCTCTTTGTAAAACATCCAATATGCGATGAATATAATCACGATGAGGGCCTGCAGATGAAAATTCGGTCAATGTTCCTGAACGTCGTCTTATTTGGGGTTGTGATTTATGAAACATCGTTCCCAACTAAATTATAGTCTGTAGTCGTGCGAACTTCTGTTAAATAAAACACTTTTACGAAACGCGAAAGACATATATTAGTTACAGTGTACAGACAGTGCCTACATATCGTGTTTTAAACCGTTAAAGTCTATTAATCTACGGACAGATTATATATCGCGGATTAAACCGTAAAAGTGTTTTATCTAAACAAATTTATATCATATTTACGTTTCGGTATACATAAACAAAGGACGTGCAAAATCAAAGTGAATCTAAATATTCATGCCGCATAATGGGGGAACTAAGATCGCTAGCAAGTTTGGTGGGGGGAGAGGGGGTGGAATTCTATAGTATAGTAATAATGGTAACGGCCACTTACCAGTACTAAGGCGCATATAAAGGCTGCTAGGAACGTGGACATTTTTCTAACACGAGTGTTGCATTCGAGATAGAAACAGCTGCTGCGTAGCCGTCGTCGCTCGTTGAACTCAATTGAGCCAGTTGTTACGTGACGTCATCCAATTGAACTCCTCGTTTGGAGTTAATTCAATTCATTGATACACAGATACTTTTATTGAATAGTCTGCTACTGCAATGCACAGTTTATCGACTAACGGTTGCACGGTTTACAACTTTTTCCGCTTCGTCATTGCGCTATTTAGTATTTCACAATACTGAATCATATCGGTGATTCCAACTTGAAATTTTAAGTTAGCTGTCTTCAAATTAAACAGGAGAGCAGGTGACGTCACGACGATGTTACGCGTGACGTCATTAGCTTAATATTATCAAATCATAGATTTTGAGTCAACAGTTTACGGTTTGAAACGCGAAAGATATTTGATAATTTTAATCACGACCCGGCGTTTGGTTTTCTAGCCAGTAGAGTGGTCAAGGACACTTTCGTACACACGTTTTAAACTTTTAAACGTTGAACATGATAAATTAAAAATCTATTTAATGCAAGTACTAGCATAATAGTTATTATTCATGAATGAATTAACGACACGGCCGGGACTCGAACCGGCAATCCCAAGATTCCATGCTGCTACTCTAACCAATTGGTTATCTCCCGTGTCGTGGTATTTTTCAATATAAATTGATTTTAATTTATATAATGCCATTATGTGTAACGTGTAAAAAAAAATTAAAGTTATCAAACGTTAAACGTGTTTTTTTCAACACTGCTCGCTTAAAAACTTTTAAACCCTAAGCATCTATGAAAATAGACTAGACTATCTTTACTACAGTAATTTCAACGTTATCAAACTACGTGGACCATGAATGCCTTAGGTGATTTAAAACCTTATCGAATTGTACTGGAATTTTAGCTTTTACATATGCTTTGAATGCCTTGTTCTGTCACTAAAACAAATTTTCACTTTATATTATTAAATATTTTCACAATCTTTGCGTCATTTTAAAAGATACATTTTATTTCTAAGCCAGCTGTTAGGCGACCTTCGTATCATCTAGGTGAATTAATTACTTATTTAAATGTTATGTTACAAAATAATATGTTATTGATTGTCTTATTTTTTTTCTATCTGTACTAATATTATAAAGCTGAACAATTTCAATGTTTGTTTGAACGCGTTAATCTCAAGCTCTACTCGTTCGAATTAAGAAAATCTTTTTGTGTTAGTTAGAGCACTTATTGAGGAAGATTTTAGGCTACAAAACATCGCGCTGCGATAAAAAGGCGAAGAAACTGTCTGAAATGTGGAAAAAATAGGGAATATTATTCACCTCTTATGATTTCAAGGTACTAAAAAAATATGTATAAAATGATGTTGCCACTTCAACTATTAAAAAAATGTTCGCGATAGTGTATGTCTATCTTTCAAGATTACCTTGCAAAAACGAAGACCGATGTAACAGCTGTAATTTATAAAGCTGTTTGCAAAAATAAATAACATTATGATGCCCAAAATAACAGTTCCTTCCGGACGAAGACGCGGCCATAGCTAGTTTTTAATAAAACTTACCTATAGATTGTCAATTTCAACTCAAAGTAACGTTATTAAATCCTAAAAAAAACATTAACTTCATAATATTAGCCCGATGTATGCTAACAATAACAATTATCATAGTTAAATACTGTATATAGTTTACGCGAGTAGTACACATTTAAATAAAACACTTTAACGGTTTAAAACGCGATATATTAGTTAAACTTATTTGGAAATGATTTTTAACTTCGGCCCGACGTCTCCCCGTGACCACGGCTGCTGTAAAGCATCCGAAACGTCGGGCCGAAGTTGAAATTTCCAAATAAGCTTAACTAATATATCGCGTTTTAAACCGTTAAAGTGTTTTATTTAAATTAACATACTTTTTGTAACGTCTATGGTTTCGAGATGGCATTCGAAAAATTCACTATCTTTTTAACTTAAATGTACTGTATTAAAGGTCAAATTGCCTTTTAGGTATTGTTACAAGTCGTTTGTACTTTGTACTGGGAGTATAGAAAAATTTAATTCAAAGTTTTTCAACACTTCTTGTCGTTTGTCGTTTTTGTCGTGTGTTTTGTTGCACTTTTCACTCCGCAAACGTCAACTTCGTACGTTTATTCTAAAAGAAAGTAGTGACATCGGTACAGTAACAATTAAAAAATGTGACACCTTAGACATTGAAAAATTTGCGCCTTCAATTCTAATGGCGCAAGATTGAATAATATCTATTGATATTCTCCCCAGGCGTTTAAGTTTTTAGGGTTATTAAACGAAATAAAAAATGCCTGTAGTTAACGCGAGTCGTACACATTGAAATAAAACACCTCTAACCGTTTAAAACGGGAAATATTAACTACAAAGTATACAAAACATTGGGCCGTAGTTAAAAAATTAATAAACGTATGTTACCTAACATACATTGCGTTACCGTTAAGAGAGTTACATTTAAAAATTTATTTAATCTATTTATTATGAAAACTTTATATCACTGGGAATTGAAAAGCCTTAATTATTGCGAGGTCCTGCTGCAGCTGTAACAAATAAATGCGTTTATTTTTTGTCAGGTTTATAAAAAAAAATACTTTGAGAGTCTAATGCTGTCTTTTTTACGACAAAGGTCACGAGAGAATACGAGATGGGGGGAGGAGAGGAGGTGGGGTGCACTTGATGGTGAACTTGGTGTGGATGAAGTGAAATACCACAGCTTAACATCTCAATAAGATGATGGACGGAATTTCGATATATCTACCACGAATTTAATATATCCCGATTACTAGACTTAGTCCAAAATTATTAAAAATATACATTTATCGACACGTTGGACATGATGGGGATCAAACCCACGCGTTGATTATTATTAGCCATACTTTGCCACCATTACAAGAATCATCAATCTGCTACTTGGTCTAATGGTTAGTACAGTGCAGACCACGATATCCGGGATTCGAATTCTTTGTCGGGTGATTTTTTTAAATTGTTTATAAACATAGTAGTAGTAGAGCATATAATGACATAAATCTTGAGTAAATTAATAATCGAAAATAAATTGAAAAAATACGACTCGGGCAGGACTTGAACCGGCATCGTCAGCGTTTCGTGCTGCTGCTAATCAATTAAGCTACCGAGTCAAAATTAACGACTTGGGCAGTACTCGTAATTATTAGTTTATTTTCAATGGTTAATTTAAATAGTGCCATCATGTGCAAATAACACGTGAAACATAAAGTTAATTAAAGTTGTTAAACACTTACGTGAATCAACAACGTGAACTGAAAAAGAAACAAATTTGTATTATTTTCTATTTCAAAAAGCTCATTAAACAATTAATTACTTAATACGCAAATGCTACCAATTATCATTTTGAAATAAACATTTCTCCTTAATAACAATTACTAAATGAGAATTTCAAAATGTCCCCTTCTTGCTCTAATAACTTCCATTACAGTACTTGTCTCATTTAATTAAATATAAATGATGTATATGGTACCGCAATCATACTATTGTGTATTTATTACCTTCGTCTTCATTGTCGACGACGTGTACTGAAAGAAAAAAATTAAAAACCAATATTTTTTACAAAATAATATGTCTTATATACAGTATAAAAATATATGAAAGTCCATGTTAAGGACTAGCTGTGTCAGCGACTTTGTCTGCGTAGAATAGTTATTTTGATCATCAACTTTGCCCATGACCCACGGAAACCCATAATGACGAGTAATTTTACCCTATAGCCTAAGGCTATAGCCTATATCCTATAGCCTTGCTCGATAAATGCTCTACTCAACACAATAATAATAATGTTTAAACTCATATAATCTTAGGTGTTGAAACAATTCGATGATATGTAACTTGCTAGCTAAGTTAGTAGAGAAATAAAACGAAGTGGTTGGTCGTGGGTTCCAGATTTCCCAGTTTAGTTTATTGTATTGTAATATAATATTACATACATGTTGGAACAAAATACGTTTTTTTGTTATAAGCTAGCTGTGTCAGCGACTACGTCCGCGTAGAACAGTTATTTTCTGCGTTAAATATCGGTTTCCAAATCTTTATAGCTGTTACCCACAACGAGGCGTCCCGTCGTTATTACGAGTTAAGTTTAATAGATAGACATATACTGTCGCGGATTTTTTTTAGAACATAAGGAAGAAGCATTCTTTCACACGTTTTTTTTGTGTGCCATGAACCGTTTTCATAGCGTACGCAACGGGAACTTAAAAATAATTTTTCAATTCGAACCTGTGGTTCCTGAGATTAGCTCGTTCAAACAAACAAACAAACTCTTCAGCATTATTAGTATAGATAGATTAATTTAAAAACAACCTTTAAATATCTGTTATTTTAGACGTTGCCAAATATATATTTGAATTTAGAAGTGTCCTTACTTGCCGATGTAAAATTACTTTTACATAAATTGTCTGTGTACACTAGTAAGAAGTACACTTTTTACAAAATACTTTTAACGGTTTAAAATGCGTGATGTAATAGTTAACTTTTTACAATATATTATAACTACAGGCAGACGTTTCGGATGCTTGGCAGCAGCTGTGGTCACGGAAGGACTGCTGTATATTATAAATATTATACAGCAGTCCTTCGCGTTTTAAACCGTTAAAACCGTTATCTGAATACTTTCATAAAATTCAACTTTCTTACCTTGATCGTCGTTGTCTACGACGTGCACTGAAAAAAAAAACATTATAAAAATTCAATTGTATATTCTTATGTCGGTGATTATAAAATACGAATAATATATTTGTTTACCTCCTTCATTTCCATCCACTACATGCACTGAAAAATAAAAATAAACACATATAGAGACTTACATAGTGCACTCCAAACTATTTTGCCGGGCTGAAGTTAGCTCGGATGGTTGCGCAGAACGCAAAAAGCAGGTATCAGCTGCGATAAAGGGGGGTGCGCGGTTGCGGGAGGACACGATTTTTTGCTTACACATTGACAGTCACAAGATGGCGGTCGCTCTAACTTCAGCCCGGCCGAAAAGTTTTGAGAGAACTGTACATTTGGAAGGGTTGGTTAATTTCGGTGTACACCAATCAAATTAAGATATGACGTTTTATTCTTGGGAATACGTAAATTAAGTAGGTCAATTGTCTGCATAAGAATCATAGAAGTGGAAAGCAAGTAACAATGATAAAATTCAAATGTATCGTTGCATGTTCATAAACAAAGGACATGTTAGAATACATTTTTATTACACACCACTATCGGTTTCCTCTCCGACGACGTGAACTAGAACATAGAAACGTTCATTTAATTAACTAAGAACATGTTCTTATCAATAGAATAAATATAGATTCAATTAAATATAGTTAACCGAGATTTTTGTATTATATAAGACTAATAAAAATAAAAATGTGTACATTATACCTTCGTTTCCATAGGTGATTGCTGAAAATAAAATAAAATATAGTTTTTAATTAAACTTTCAACTATAAAATGAGAAAGATGTCATTTTAGTGCAGCACACTTGACAGGACTTGGTGAATACTTTAAAAAGGTATACTTAAAGTGGACTGTAAACGATCTACGTCAAAGTATTGTGCAATATGGATCGTGTATGTGCAATTTGGATCGTGTATGTGCAATTTGGATTGTGTATGTGCAATTTGGATCGTGTATGTGCAATTTGGATCGTGTATGTGCCGCTTTAGGTTTACCAGTAAACGAAGGGAGGGGATATCGAGTTCTCATCCTCCTTTTGTTTTTTGGTATTAGAATCAATTACAAACAGACGCGCTGTTTATAAAAATGTTAGTAAAACAATTGCTTACGATAAGGTCGCGGCCGTGCTGCAACCAATCCAATAATTGTGAAAATCATCATTACGATCTGAAATAAGGTCAAGTGTTAGGAAAAATAGCAACTATCAAACATATTAGGCTATTATTATTTCGTTTAATAAAGAAGAATCCCATTCATAGCATGTTAAGAAATCTTTTGATTGAATTATGTCAAACTAGCAAAGTACAAATGTTTATAAATAAGATTAAAATGTAATTAATTGATTTGAATTACTTCAAAGTTATTGTATGAAATTGTATATCTATCTATACTAATATATAAAGCTGAAGAGTTTGTTTGTTTGTTTGAAAAATTATTGTTGTGTTGATTAAAGCATATATCGAGAAAGGTAGCGATGTTTTATAGCCTATAATAACCTTCCTCGATAAATGCTCTAACCTACACAAAAATATATTTTCTTAATTTGAACCCGTAGTTCTTGAGATTAGCGCGTTCAAACAAACACACAAACTCTTCAGCTATATATATATTAGTATATAGGCAGTTTGCGTCAGATACACATCAATAATACATTTATACTCACAGCTAATTTCGTCATTGTTGCGTTAGTTTGGGCACAAAAGAGTATGTTATATTCAAACGTTGACAGTTGAATGATTATATTGTTTATTAACAACAAAATTTAAAATACTATTATCACTAACAAGAAAGGCGTTTCGATAACCTTTTGTTTAAGATTAGAAAAATTAAAATGTCGGTCACATTTATGAAGCAGTACCTATCTTAATTTTATTGAAATCAAAAAAATTCAAATATAGGTACATGTACAATCAGTAATTAGGAGTCATGTGCTAAATAAATCACACAAGTATATTATATTTCAATAAAACACTTTTATCGGATTTAAACGCGAAATATAACAATGAGTTAAGGGTTTGGCCCTTAACTAATTGTTATATTTCGCGTTATTTTCACGTTTTGGATGCTTTGCAGCAGCCGTTGTCATGGGGCATCCGTAAATTCAATTAAAAAATAAACTAATTAATACGCGTTTCAAACCGCGAAAAGTGTTTTACTTAGATGTGTATTATAGCGTCACCCCCAAACAATGCTTATGTTTATTTTAATATAATATATTTGAAATTAAATTTTCATTGTTTAAAAAAAACTGCTATGAGTAAACACCGAGAAAATAATCTTTGTTAAGATAATATGAGGATTATGTTATATTATTTGTAATGATATTTTAAGATGCGTTGCCGGCTTATTTTGACTTTGAATATTGAAAACTACTAACTAAAACTCGGACTTGCACTTCCCCTGTGTGGACGGTCAGTCATATTAAAATTCCTTCTATTGTTACAGTTCGCTGGTCTGTTACTGCTACATTTCGCTAGTGTGTACCTGGCTTTACAATTATTTCATACGCAAAAGTGTTTTGAACTCGACCTTCTATTAGAGGAATAAGGTAGTCAAAATCTATTTTAATGTTGACTGTACTCTTGATAAGTATGTTTTGTTTTGATGTTTTTCCTTATATCTTTACCAAGAATATTTTTTTAGAAACACTCTATGATAAAACATTTCTGTATTTTGCCTTTTGTTAATGATAATAAGGAAAAGCGTGAGTTGGTGCATACAAATGTTCTCATTACTGAGCAGACAACAAAAAAATTATTCAGATATTCGTGATTATATAAGTGTACCAATATATATTATTTTCAGAGCCGTGTTGGTATAATGGTAAATACAACTAACTTAACTCTGTAGTCAGGAGTTTGTCAGCGACTTCGTCCGCGTAGAATAGTTAAATAAACAAAGTTGGGCATCCAAATTTGTTTTTGCAAACCTCCTGTTCAACTCTATAAATATAAGCTGTTAGCCATGGCGCCGGTTGCAACCCGTCGTTCTTACAAGTTATTCTTAAAATATTGACATATAGCGTCGCGGACTGTTTTCGCTGGGTACGCGAAGATAAATAATTTTCCCAGTTTTTACCACATTTCCCGCTGTTTCTTCGCTCCTTTGAGTCACAACGCAATGTTTTATAGCTTATAGCATTCCTCGATAGATGTTCTAACAAACACAAAAAGTTATTCAATTCGAACAAGTAAATTCTGACATTAACGCGTACAAACAAACAAACAAAAAAATCAGCTTTATATATTAGTTTAGTTGAATTAAAACATTTTATCAAAGCAGTAGACAATAAAATAATAGTATGTAATGTACCTTCTTTAATTGGACAACTACAAATACAGTTTGTATATTGTTTTTAGAATCGAAAAGAAGTGGTTAATTATTTATGTATTAATATTATGTATGGACAGTCCGCAGTGCTAATGACGGTGCCTTTTGCGGTCAATTGTCATTGTCAATGATTTACCAGCCCCGACTATCAATTAGTGTTATTTTACATCTTAAATGTGTGGAAATAATTATCACATCTTATATATTTCATTACCTTATTGTGTTATGACTGAGGTTTTCCTATCTACGTTTTTACTTTAATAGAAATGTTTGTTTAGATCAGATTTATAAAATATTAGATTGTTTTTTTTTGTGCTTGCGCAAGTGACGTCATCTAAACAATATGGCGGATTTTCCAATATGTCGGTGTATTGAAGTTGTATTTGTAGGTTCCGTTAGTGGTACACATTAAACCACTTTTTTACATTTTAAAATGCGATCTACATTATTATATAGCTCAGTACCTTTAGAACAGGGTTTTTGTATAGTATCCACTAGAAACAAAAAATTGAGTAAAAAAGTAAGTATTCAAGCATTTTTCCTTCTTTCGGTTTTTTTTTAATACAATCTTGTAATTTGAAGCAAACCTTTTTATTTTCGATTTTTTACTATAACATAGAATTCCAAAAATAATACATTATGATTAAGTTATAAGAAAAAGACAAAACTTATAAGTTATGATTTTTGCATCGCTGTTATTTTTTTATATATCGGAAAAATATTATATCGGAATATTTCGATAAATTTATAGTTCTTTGATTGTCAGTAGACGTCGACTCTAATGAAACTTGTTTATAAAACAAGTTATCGATTTGCTAAACACAATTAATGATAAGATTGACGTAGATATTTTATTTGTAAAGAAATATTTTAAGGTCCTTACTAACACTATGTTTTATTATTTGTTTTTATCGCTGTTTAATTTTTTGAATATAGTTGTTTTAAACTATAGGTATCTGGGCTTCGATAGCGTTGCTTGTGTAGGTACAGATCTAATTATATATATGTCTGTAAATAAATCGATCTATAAAACAGACACAGAAATATGTCTTCCTCAAGTAGGGATAACATTACTTATTATGTTTTCGTTTAGTTCGTTTAATATAGGCAACCGTGAGCGAGTCATTCTTTTCACAAAAAATACTTGTTTTTGAATATTACAACATCTTACTGTGTATCCTCGCGTGTAAGATCTCAGGACAAAGATCAAATCCATTCGTCAGCTGCTGCTGTTTCACAATTGCCTATTTCATTTTTAGTAAACATTCATTATATATTTAAATTATTGACAGATAGAATAGAATTAATTAAGGCCTTCGCAAGATAGATCTAAAAGATATACCACAGACATACAATTTCTATATCTATACTAATACATAAAGCTGAAGAGTTTGTTTGTTTGTTTGAACGTGTTAATCTCAGGCACTACTGGTTCGAATTGAAAAAAATATTTTTGTTAGAGTCGGTTAGACCGCTTCTGTAGCCAAATGGTTAAACGTATTGCCTAACATTGCGTTAAGCGCGAGAGGTCCTGGGTTCGAATCCCAGGGAAATATAAAATTGTTTCGGTCGGGCAGGGCACAGAAGTCTGATCAACTACTTGCCCCTTAAAATAACCGCACGAGGGAGAAACGGGCTTTCACTTTTTACTTTGGTTAGAACAATTACCGAGGAAGGCTATAGGCTATAAAACATTTCGATGCAATTTATAAGACCGAAAAAAAACGAGGGAAAATGTGAAAAAAAACATGGAACATTATTCATGCTTGTGGGTTTGAAGATACCCGAAGAATATGTATGACGACGACCTGGGCTATAATTTATAAGAGATGTGAGAGAGGTTTTTAAAAACAAACTTATATGCCAAAAATAACTATTCTACGCGGACGAAGTCTTGGACACAGCTAGTAAATAAATAAATATGTATGTCCCTTTAAGGTTACATTGTAAAAAGTTATTATAGTTGGAAATCTTGTTATACCAGCCAGCGTGATGTAGACACGCATCTATGTTCGTTTCAATAATTTCTCTGATTTGCTAGCTGCTAGCTGATCAGATTCGATCAGATTTAGTGGCTCTGGCCGACCGAATTATGTTTTCCGGAATTCTAATCTAGAACCTCTCCTGTCTATAGCCAGAGTTGAAGCACATAGGTAGTTGTGTGTTTAAAAAAATCGTACACCCCAAAAGTTTCAATATATTTTTTACATGCATTAATGGAATTGTATTGGATTTATTTTTACATTTATTGAAAGCTTGAAAGAAATACGACTATTCCTTCAGTAATTTGTTCATGAAGATACTTCAAATAACATTGATCTTGAATTTATATTCTGTAACGTAAATTACGGACGTAGGAAATGTGTAATCGTTTGGAATAGCAATTATCACGTTCAAAATTTTGAGCGAACTTTGCAGAATAACATTGGGTGTTTGTAGGTATTAAGGCTTGATAGACATAAGCGATTGACCGTCTAACTACCGTCTTAGACGCACTTTTTTTTTCTGAGTAACATTGTTTCGGGTAATAGTGACGTGGAGAGTATGGGAAATCTACGAACAACCTCCTCAGAGACAATACCTGACCAGAACCAACCAACCTAATATAGAACCTAAATACACCACCAGCTCGTTCCGGTGCTTTCGAGGGAGCCCTGGAAACACGTTTTACGCACATAGTCGCACGCCTAGCATTGCGTTTTTAACCTAGAAAGGAAAAGGATGGATGGTAAAAATGACTCCGCCCTAAATTAAGATGCATTATCGGCCTTTTTCTTTCGGACATTTGGAGATCTATAGACTAGGCGTACACACACACTTCACACTTTTTAAATCAGAAATGTGTTTGTCACCGATTAAGATATATGTGCGATGGCAAAAAAGGCGATTAGAATTATTAATATCTATATTTAAGTATTGTCTGTAGCTATTCACGCGAGTAGCACACATAAATAAAATTCTTCAAAAACCGAGAGATCGGGCCGTACTTATAAACATTGTATTTTGTATAGAAAGATTAACTTTTACCTAACCGTACGCGATCAGGCGCTAGTGTATAAACCGCCTATTTTAAAATCTACGCAAGCAAATCCGCGTTACCGGATTGTTGCTCGTAGGTACATTGTTAACCAACATATAAGGCCGTGATTCTTAAGAGGCATATATAAGAATGCATTTAAATAAATCACGCAGTGTTAGAAAAGTGTAGGAACAAGAAACAGGTGAGTTTTGGCTGCCAAATATTTAAATGGTTCGGGCTTAATTAGTTTAATTTCATCTTATAGTTGAAAATTTTTTAAGTGTCTTTTAACTAAATACTGTCTATAGTTTACGCGAGTAGTACACATTTAAATAAAACACCTTAACGGTTTAAAACGCGATATTTTAGTTAAACTTATTTGAAAATGATTTTTAACTTCGGCCCGACGTTTCGGATGCTTTGCAGCAGCCGTGGTCACGGGGAGACCCCTCCTCCACGTGACCACGGCTTAAAAATAATTTTCAAATAAGTTTAACTAATATATCGCGTTTTAAACCGTTAAAGTGTTTTATTTAAGTGTCTTTTAACTCTTGTGCCACAGGTTGAGTATTTTTATAAAGTTTTTGAGGATAGCAGGGTTGCTTTTATTAGTTAAATACCTAAAGCTATTTTCTATATTTTTATCATCTGACATTGTCGGGACTCAAACCCATGTTCAAGCGTACGTTGGCCTACCCTAAAACGAGATATATACGCTCCACCTATACGCGTTATGTTCTCGTTAGCCTTAAAGCTTCCTCTAAGATAGACCTGGGTGAAAAGATGATATTTTTGGATCTTCTAGTATTTATTTTCTTATTAAAAATAAATTTCATCCGTAGTTTACGAGTGCGATACTAAATAAAAACAATATTTTTAACGGTATGAAACACGCTTATGTATATATAGTAATTTTGTACTTAAGTGTTAACTAGGTAGCTGAGCCTTAGAAACGTTGTAGATAAAAATTAACCACCTAAATGTATATAAATAAACGTTTAACGGTTTAAAACGCGAGATATATTACTACGGTCTAATGTTTCGGTCCGGAAAGATTTTTAATATCAAACATTTATACAAACATGATATTCAAACGCCAGCGTACCCAAGATGCGATTGAATAAATTGTGTTTAAATCAGTTTAATTTTTATTTTTCAGAATGAAGACCATCATTGCTCTATTAGCTCTAGTAGCAGCTGCGGTGGCATTCCCCGCTGACACCTACAACCCAGAATATGATAACTTCAATGCGCAAGAGTTGGTGGATAATATTCGGCTCCTGAGAAACTATGGCAAATGCTTCTTAGGCCAGGGTCCCTGTACTGCTGAGGGAAACGATTTTAAAAGTAAGGACAATAAGATTTAGATAGATAAAGCTTTTTTATAATCTACCATTTTTTATTTTATTAGTGAACTGTAGGAAGTGAATGAGAGACCAAATCTAAAGTGATATTATAAACCCGAAGAGTTTCTTTGAAAGTGCTAATCTTAGTAGTTCTACTGGTTTGGTTTGAGATATTCTTTTTGTGTTGGTTAGAGCATTTATATTGGAAGGGTTCAGACTATAATATATCACGCTGCAACCAATATAATATATTATGTCTATCTTTTAAGATTAACTTGCAAAAACGATGGGACGCGGAAGACGTCGTAGGTACAACTATAATTCTGTAAAGATGCAAAAATTTTATTTTGCAAAAAAATATTTGATGATTAAATAAATATTCTACACGGGACAAAGTTGCTGATACCTACAGCTAGTGTAATATAACATTTGATTGTTCACAGAGGTCATACCTGAAGCTTTACGAACCACCTGCGCAAAATGCACACCAAAACAGCGCGAACTGATCCGCACTGTGGTCAAAGGATTCCAAACGAAGTTGCCTGAAATCTGGGAGGAGCTCATCAAGAAGGAGGATCCCAAGAACGAATATACCGAGGCCTTCAACAAATTCCTCGCTGCCTCCAACTAAAAGTTCCTAGATCGAAACACCATGACATTACATCTATGAGATTATTTACCTATTTACCTACCGTAGGGCATCTACGATCAAGAGAACCCCATTTTCGTCTGTCGTCATATATTATTAAAAAGTAACAAATCATAATTCCCTGATTGATCATTCGAGATAACAACTTGAGCTAGCAAAATTTAGATCAAGTTCTTAAGGAATACAGAATTCCCTTTGTACTCATGACATGTAATTATTTAGTTTATATTTAACAAACAACTGCAGTATTGTTGTTTTCTAAGCATCACATTTATTTGTAAGTTTTTCTATGTGTTAGGTACAAAAACGACTTTTTAATAAAATTTTTCATTTTATAACTGTTGTTTTATTATTTTTTTCATGATAGTGGAAGATAAGCATGGTGTTCGCTTGATGGTAAGTGTAAATATTGTCGCCTTGAACTTTTTTGTTTTTGGATATTTCGTTGTTTAACTTATAACTTTTACGCTTACAAAATAAGGTCATTAAAAAATCTAATTAGTTGTAGTAAATAATAACTTTGATGACAAATGACACATGACGTGTATTAGATATATATAGGTATTAAGTTCCGAGTTATGCCGGTCACAATTTTTTTGTCGTGACCGGCTGAACTTGGATAGGTTTTGCCTAAGAGGTAACAGACATAACAAAGAATCCGAGACTCGCAAAAAATCGATTGAATGTTTTTTTTGTGTATTAAATTAACTGTGATAATAATTATAAAGAATTGACACTCCTTTTTGATACTAAGATTGCTTTATTGGTATGTATCCCTTTATTTATCAACGTTTTTGTATTAAACAGTAATTTATTTTATTTACATTACACGTATGCCCAATTATTCTTGTTTATAATTGCGTTTTCAAAATAAAAACCTGTAAATTGAAAAAAAATCGTTGAAGATTTAAACAACTTGATATATGATTTCTACAATTTTATAAAAATGATATTGGTTAATAATATTTGACGTTTAGTTGTTGGAAATTAAATAAACAAGGTTTAGAGGACAATTATACATATAAATTAGTTAGAACAGGTATTTACAAAATGACACAGTTAATAACATTGATAGATAACGCGTATTTGTGACAAACACATAAGAAAGTACTTACTAGCACTTGTTCAAATAAAAAATAGATACCTTTTACATATTTGTGTTGACGCAAAATAAGTAAATTAAAAAAATAATTAACGCTTTTTTGTTAACAGAGAAGTGTATGAGGATAATAAAAGGTGAAATATGTCAACCCAACACCGTCCAATTTATTTATTGATTTGGTTTCCATACACAATACTTTTTTTTTATATAAGTACTTTATAAAAATAAATAATTTAAAATATATATTAATCTAAATAATATTATTTTACATATATGTCAATTGGGTACACAAAAAACACATCTATACTAATATATAAAGCTGAAGAGTGTGTTTGTTTTGGTTGTGTGTTGAACGCACTAATCTCAGGAACTACTGGTTCAAATTGGAAAATTCTTTTGTGTTCGTTAGACCATTTATCGAGGAAGGTTCTAAAACATCACGCTTTGACTAATAGGAGCGAAGAAACAGCGGGAAATGTGGAGAAAAGTTGTCGGTGACAATATATGTCTATTTTTTAAGATTAACTTGCAAGAACGACGGGACGCGACCGACGTCGCGGGTAACATATTAAATTTGGATGCCCAAAATAACTATTCTACGCGGTCGAATTTGCTGGAACTGCTAGTTATTATATAAAATAAAGTGTCTCAAATACTTAGTTTGATTGGACATTCTGCAGTCTGCAGACTGACGAACTGACTGTCTGAAATATGAATTTAAACTATATTGAAATTGTTGTGTTTTAAATATTGACAATTAATGAGAAATGAGACCGCCAGGGCTGCAAACCGACATTTGTTAAATGATATCATTAGATTCTTTATTGCAAGTCTTAGCCTCGAAATACCAAAATGACAGTAAATTAACTTAATTTTGCTTAACGAGTACAAAACATTCAACCAAGCATAAATTAAAAGGTTGAAGATACAATTGAGTTAAAACCCTTTATCGTAAAGATAACGATTTGTCGCTTTACATTCTATGACGCCAGATGGCACCGGATGTCTAATTACTGTAAAAAGTAATCGACAAACAAGTGAAGTAAAGAGTTTTTACTATAATGTTAATTAAAAACTGTTTCAAACTATAGTTTTTATAAAAAAAAGAAAGTATTAACAAGGGAAATGATTATAGAACAAGTGTATGTGGGCGTGGCTAACAATTGTATTTGTTCACTGATTGAGTGTGTGAAGGTTGAATATTCTTTATTCCAACGATCAGTTTTCCAGATATCGAACCTACATATGCACGTTGCACAACTGAGCAACGTAAGGTCACACGTTAGGAAATAAATTTTGTTGTCCTTAATTTTTCACGAAATATGTACTGTGTCCCCTCTGGGGCATGATACTTATCTGTGTCGATTTCGCTGATCGTATTTCCAGACAAGTAGTTGATCAGACGTAGTCCCCTGATCAACTAAACCAAGTTACCCATCTAAGGTTGCTACTATCGCTATTGCTTCTATGCTGATATATAAACGTGAAAAGTTTGTTTGTTTGTTTGAACACGCTAATCTCAGGAAGTACTGGTTCGAAAAATGAAAAATTCTTAAGGCTATAAAACGTTGCGGTAAGACATATAGGAGCGAAGAAATAGCGGGAAATGTGAAAAAAAACGGGTTTTACGTTGCGTACACTACGAAAACGTTTCAAGATAGCTAAAAAATATGTATGAAAGAATGATACCTCTTTGAATTATCTAAAAAATCCGCGCCAGTGTATGTCTATCTTTTAAGATTAACACGCAAGGATGACGGGAAGCGACCGACGTCATGGGTAACTTAGTTTTATAGAGCTCAACAGGAGGTTTGATAACACAAATTTGAATGCCCAAATAACTTTTCTTCTACCAACTTGCTGACACAGCTAGCTTATACATAGTAAAGTTAAGATTAAACAGTAGTATTGTGCGTAAACCCTATTTAATTAGGTGTTCTTGAAACTATTTTTTTAGGACAATGTCGAATATGTTTCAGAAAAAATATAAATTGATTAAGCGTGTTTGACCCGGTAGGATTCGAACCCGTGACTGTTTCTTTGTTATTCATTATTCTTTGCTACTATCAGAACAGCGAGGCCGTCGAAAAGTTTGTGTTAAAGGTTCGCTTAGAACCATTTTTGCCCCATAGTGTGAGTTGATGATCATCAACAAAAAGACTCTCAACTCATTGTATGAAGGAATATAAGAAGATACACTTTTTATTTCTACTTCTTACGTCAGTATTTAAGGATATATATCTAGTGACGTAAGACGAGATTGTCTTGTCGTTTGTAAGCTTTCCGCGTTTTATCTGCGTTAAAATGACGATCACAGCGTAAAGAAATACAGCAAATTAACACTATTGCATGTATGTATTTAAATCAAACAATGATACAGAATACTAAGTTGTAATAAGCAAGGCAATACGATAAAATATGAAAAAATAACAAATGCCACTCTTTTATCATCCAGTGTGACCTCTACTCGTAGATAGAAAAAGTTTACAAGGTTGATAAATAAATTGAAAGTGTTTTTTTTTATACTTTTTAAAGTTTATTTATTTCAAATTATGTTCAAAACAATGTGTAGCCTTTACAAATTACTTTAAAACTCGAAATATAGTTAAATATAAGTTAAGCGTATTTAAATTATTTTAATTTTGGTCCGATATTTTGGATGCTTTGCCGTGGTCACGGGGAGACCACAGCTCCTGCTATCTTTCGCGTCTCAAATCCCTTAAAGTGTTTCATTGCAAGCATTAAGTTAGTTTCAATTTATATTCTGTGTATGTCGTTCGTTTTCTTCACGTCTTTATGTTTATTACAAATAAATAAAACACTTTAACGGTTTAAAACGCGATATATTAGTAAAACTTGATTGATAGGGAGGACGGCCTCAAACTATCAAACACCTGGGATCCCATATTAAAAACTCTGGATCCCAATAAACAGCATACCAGCAAACGCGAAGACACCGTTAGTCAATTCTGTAAGGACCCGGCCAGTTTCGCCAAATACCAACTTCGACGGAACAAATGGCGCTAGCGTAGCAATTTTTTACTTTGACGTCAGAGACATCCTCCATCTTTAGTCTCCCCGTGACCACGGCTGCTGCAAAGCATCCGAAACGTCGGGCCGAAGTTAAAAATCATTTTCAAATAAGTTTAACTAGTATATCGCGTTTTAAACCGTTAAAGTGTTTTATTTAAATGTGTACTACTCGCGTAAAGTATAGACAGTATAAAAATAAATAAATTGGTGGAGCCATGGGTTAAGCTAGTACACAAAAAAACATATTTTAATTAAAATGTTTACTTTCTGTGTAATTAAAATATGCAGAACTATTTATTGACAGAGGTGAGTATATAAATTGCTGTCCCTTAATTGTTTTTCATTACTCAAATATCTTCTGAGCAGAGGCGAACACATTTTGAGTAGTATTTCCTAACAATGAAGATTTTGATTTTTCTGACGTTCATAGCGTTCGCTAAAGGGAATTTTATATTACTGAATTCGACGTACACCACAGCCGATGATCATGCTGATATCGAGGGTATAATGGATGATCCAGAGGCTGTCAAATTCTACATGGACTGCTTCGTTGGACGAAGGATATGTGAACCCTACAGCTTTTCGTACAAAAGTATGTTGTTCTCTTCTATTTCTAATGTTTGGACAGTTGTTTTTTCTCAAGTATTTGTATACTAGAGGGCGTAAGAAGGTAACGATATTTTATATAGAATATCTACATATTCTATATAAAATATCGTATCTCAGAAAGGTTTGTGTATACTTTAATGGTACTGGTAGTACTCGTAAGTTAGCTAACAATTGAGTCTTTTTCTTTTTTTATGTACCACATTTTTTTGACGACAATGATAAACACTGTGATTTTTAACAGAGAATATGGCAGAAGCAATCCCAACGCAGTGCAAAAGATGTAATATGCCCCAAAAGTACATGTGGACGGTATTCCTTAAACGATTGAAGAGTGAATATCCAACAGAATATTTGGCCTTCCAACAGATGTACGACCCCAAGAAGAAGTATATGGATGACTTTATTAAGGCCGTTTCTGATGCTGTTAAAAATGACAACGGTAATGATAACGATGGCAACGATCAAAATCACAACGATGATAATAATAATGATAACAATAATAATGATAACAATAATAATAATAACAATAATAATTCAAACTGCACATGTCATTGTCCAATTTTGAACGTGTAAACAATGATATAAATAATCAACAATTGTACTTAGACTTACTAATAAAAGTTGCAGTATTTTGTTTTCTTTTGGTTTTATTTGTAACCTGGGATCAAAGCTACGGCCCTTTGATTGTCAACCATGCATTTTATGGAACAGGTTAACAAAAAAAAAATATAGACGCAATCTTAGCCAACCCAGTTACATTATAATGTTTAAATAAAACACTTTAACGGTTTAAAACGCGATACATTAGTTAAACTTATTTGAAAATTATTTCTAACTTCGGCCCGACGTTTCTCGGAGAGCCGTGTCTCCCCGTGACCACCGCTGCCGCAAATCATCCGAAACGTCGGGCCGAAGTTAAAAATCATATTCAAATAAGTTTCACTAATATATGCGAGAATGCGTTGACTGCGGGTAGATTTAAAAGCATTCCTGACTTCTATAATGTTCTCAAACAAGTCAAACAGATCAAGTATCTTTTTTTAAACTTTAAAATAAAAGTACGCATTTTTTATTTCATATTTATTTGCTCGAAAGTTCAACAAGGAACATATTTTTTAGAATCCCTTAATGCTCTTCCAAAAGCTATCGATGTGTATACCTCTTGGATCACACTTCAATACTATAGCTTCGTATCTCTCTGGTAACTGTGAAGCGAATCCCAACATCAATCCGTGAAGGCTTCGCTTCTGGGCCCCAGTACATCTACGGCAGGCTTGTGATATTGCTTCTGGTAATATCACTGAAAATTATTATTTATTTAGACTTCTTTTAAGGCAAACCAGGAAGTAAAGTGGTACTAATGTATACCTAATGAATACCGGATCGTGGATTCAATCCCCACCGGGTCCAACATGTTTCTACGTAATTCGAAGCTCAAACAATGTCAAAATCGTCTTATTTAAGGCTTATTGCCAATCATTCTACTCGTGTAGCTTATGGGCCTCCTTTACTCAGAGAGCATTGAATGCTATTCGTGTGCAATACAACAATGTTTTCAGGTTGTTATTGGGCTTGCCAAGATACTGTAGTGCGTCGGGCATGTTTGCGGATGCACGCACGGATGGTTTCCACGCCATCATCCGCAAGCGTGTAGCTTCCCTCATGTATCGAGTTCGACAAAGCACCAATAGCATTCTGGGGGCATTGTGTGAAAAGTATACGGTGCTGCTAAAACGATGGAGTGACGTCCATGCTCCCCCTTAGCGCCTAGCACCTATTCTATGTATTCTGTCTACTTAATTTTAGTGACTAACACATTCTAATATACATTTTAAGTTAAAAATTGTTACTAACCCCACTAACGCACATTAGAATTAATTAATTATTAATTATTCTAAATTAATGTATGGATTTACGGTCTGATAAATAAATTATTATTATTATTAATTTATATTTTTTCTGAAACATGTTGAGCTTCGTCTGGAAGTCTGGTCACGAGCCACCGTCCACAGATGAAAAAGCCGTGAAGTTAATCGTTTCGGTTTCAGTGCGTGAATTTCCGAAAGCTAAGGCTAAGGTATTTCACCTCCCATCAAATTAAAAAAAAAACGCACGTGGTAGCCGAGGCGAGAGGCCTTGTGCAATAACGAAAACAGTCGCGCATCTGACTCCTTGAAAGATCATAGCGACTTGACTTTGACAGATTATAGTGACTTGATATTGATCAAGTTTGACGTTAAACGTCACTGACATACGTCTATGCCTAACTTCAAAATGGCGGCAATGAACATACGACAATCGACATACGTAAAGCTTGTTTTTGCTATAGGGTCAAAGACTTGTTTTACTCCATGTCTCTTACCCTTGTAACTTGCAGCAACTTCGTCGCAAGGTTTCCTACCAAGGAAGCAATCGCCAAAATCTTCTAATTTGCGCCGATTACGAATGATAGCATCCACGTCAAGATTATCATCAGCGGTTGTATAGAAGAAAGTGTTTTTGCATGCTACTGCAGCAAATAGAGCAGCCATAACAATTAATATCTTCATCCTACTTTGTTCGCCCTGTGGGTTAACAACTTTATGTAACAGAAAACATAATATGCACATATTGTTAAATGCTTAAATTAATTATTGAATATAAATATTATTAAAAAAAATCTTTGTAGAAAAAAATTGACTCGCACGGGACTTGAACCCTCATCCACTGCTTGTCGCTATAATATTTCAATCTAAATAGATTTTTTATTTACACAATATCATTATGTGTTTTATTAATATTTACGTTAGGCTTGAGAATAGGTTTTTGACTATTTCTTGCCTCTTCCCCACCTATCTATCTATACCAATATATAAATGTGATGAGTTTGTTTGTTTGAACGCGCTAATCTCAGGAACTGGGTTTTTTTATGTCGGTTAAAGCATTTATCGAGGAAGGTTTTAGGCTATAACATCGCGCTGTGACTAATAGGAGCGGAGAAACAGCGGGAAATGTGGAAAAAAAACGGGAAAAGTATCCATAATTGTGTTCAAAAACAGTTCAAGATGTGTATGAAAGAATGAGTCCTCTTTAAATTATCTAACAAAACGTTCGCGACGCTATATGTATGGCGCTGATGAAGTCGTGTGTAAAAGCTTAAATAATAATATATAGAGTTAACAGGATTCTACGTAGACGCAGTCGCTGGCTCAGCTAGTACTAGACACACAAAATGAGTTATTTTCGTCTTAAATACTTTCTATAGTTTACGCGAGTAGTACACATTTAAATAAACCACTTTAACGGTTTAAAACGCGGTATATTGTTTAGTTAAACTTGTATGAAAATTATTTTTAACAACGGCCCAACGTTTCGGATGCTTTGCAGCAGCCGTGGTCACGGGAAGAAATCATTTTCAAATATGTTTAACTAATATATCGTTTTTCTGATAAAGTAATGTCCAGAAAGAATGTATATGGTATAATGTTTGCCGGTTCAGCTAGTATACATTTACATACATACAAATTATTATGCTTACTAATAAGTGAGATGGTTTATGAATTTCAAACAACAAATGAAAAACCAAAATATATCTATTTATTAAGATACTTACAGCACCTCAGATAGTAGAAAAATTTTCTTTAACTGCCCGTCGAGATTATATAACACACTGTTTTATGTAAAATACAAACAATTTAGTGCTAGATTACCCTTAGAGTTTGAAAAGTTATAAGCAACACTTTAGTTACGGCGTTTTCTAATTTTTATAAATTCGTTTCGTAAGAACCTTGCTTTGAAGAAAATTATTGAAATTTAATCTCGTCATAAAGTGTAGCGAGTTGAATAAAACACTTTTAACGGTTTGAAATATATTTCTTATCAACTTCGATTCGATATTACAGATACTTTGCAACCATGGCCGAAGTTGAAACTAATTATCTAATAAGTTTAACTAATATATCGCGTTTTAAACCGTTAAAGTGTTTTATTTAAATAAAAATAAATTGTTATATACAAGTAGAGACAAAATTTTTGTTGCACAATTGGCTGATGTAAACTAAACCAATATAGCCCTTTTAAATTAAAAATTTTTTAGTTAACATAATTAATTTCATGAAATTAATAAAAGTTAACTAAAAAATGTCGACGTTTCAGATGCTATGCAGCAGCCGTGTTTACGGGGGTCTCGATTTAAATTAACTAAATTTCAGGCAATAGCGCAAAAAAGCTCTGTGATCTATGACATAATATGAAAAGAATAAACTTAGGTAGCTCTGTTATCTTTGCCAGGTTTGAGATAATAAAGATGAATAAATACATCTTTTCAACTGCCCCCTTCTTAGCTATAATATATCTTGCGTTTCTAGACAAGCTTTCTAATCTATCCTAATATATAAAGCTGAAGAGTTTGTTTGTTTGAACGCGCCAATCTCAGGTACTACTAGTTCCTATAAGAAAGATATTTTTGTGTTGCTTAGAGAATTTATCGAGGAAGGTTATTAAACTATAGGCTATAAAACATTGCGCTGTGAATAACAGGAGTCAAGAAACTGCGGGAAATGAGGTTAGACCGGGAAAAAATATTCACCTTTGTGAGTTTCCTTTGCGTACGCTGTGAGTACGGTTCAAGATACCCAAAAAATAGGTATGAAGAGATGATTTATTTTTGGACGCCTATTCTATAAAATAACTATTCTACGCGGACGAAGTCGCTGACACAGCTAGTATAATGTAATAGTATAATCTTATAACGGTTAGTAGGTTTTTTTTCACTGACTCAATTTTACAGACAAGTTAGTACTTTTCAGCGCCTTTCATGACTGAAACATTTGATTTGTACTCGGAATTCAAATTTTGAAATTGAGCCCTTGTTATCTTAGGTTTTTATATGTTATGGGATATTAAATTAATAATATTAAAAATGTATTAATCACAAAGTTGATTTGCGTAACAGTCCATTAAACTATATTATTTAATTACGGTACTTAATTTCTCTGCACTCGTTAGCTTAACATGCAGTGTCATTATAACTAACGACACTTTTATGTATAAAAGTTAGAAAAAAATCTTACACATCACAGTCCTAGGTGAATCCTACAATTGGTAAGTGAAGTAACATTTTTTGATTTTTGGAAATATGCGTATATAAGAAATTGCTCACAGAATAAGTACAGTAAATACAATTTAATTCTTTTGAAATATATTTAACTTATATCTGTTTAATTACGCCTTGTTGGGAAAAAATAAATTTTTGGCGATTATAATTTCCACAAAATATATATTTCGGAGGATTCGGGCCTAATAATTTCAAATACTTGTAACTAGGAAATATCTGCCTGGAATAATAATGGTCAGATTCCCTACATTATGGACACCTTTAATGTAAAAAAAAAGCTATAATTAAATATATTTACCTAGTCAACGGTACAGAGTCCTTGGTTGGTTTTTGTTTTCTGACCCTAGTTCAAGCTAGTCATAAAACTGTTTGTTGTGGGGACATCTAATCTAGAAGTACCTCCTCCTTTCAATGTCTTTGAGCTTAGCAATGATAGCATTTTAAATATTCATATATTCTAATGAAGTTGTATATTTCCAGACATCTCAACATGAAGATCTTCCTCGTCTTTTCCGCTTTGTTGGCACTGGCTGCTGCCAAGTACTTCACCACTGGCAATGACCATTTGGATGTGGATGAAGTCATGCGGCATCCAGATCGGATTAGGAAATTCGTGGAATGCTTTGTGGACCGTGCACCTTGCGATGCTCTTGCAGAATCCTACAAGGGTAAGTTAATACAATTTCTATGTGAAGTAAAATGACTGGAGGGCATCATCATTACGCCTGAAGTCTTTAAGTTATTGTGTTGTTCTTTGAGATATTTTTTTAATGATAGAGAAGGATAGACAGCATGGGATTTCCTTGATGGTAGGTGATACCCCAGCCTATAGCATCTATCCAAGATGCGCTAGCTTTGGATATTCGGAAATCCACACACTGAAACCGAAACGTGATTAACCTTTGCGGCTTTTTCATCTGTGGACGGTGATCGTGATCAGGACGGAATTTTTATATTCCATCATCCATTTCATATGCACATTATCAGAGCAAGACCAATATTTTTTGAATGAAAAAAGAATAGAAATATGAAAACATTATTATTTTTTACATGTTATTGCACATGAAGGCACTATATAATTTAAAAATCGAAAATAAATTGAAAACATTTTCTACTCGGGCAAGACTTGAACGGGCATCGTCAGCGTTTTAACTTAAAAGTCAAAACCCGACGATGAGGTGTAGGACTCGGTAGGTCAATTGGTAGAGCAACAGCACGGAATGCTGACGATGGCGGTTCAAGTCCTGCCCGAGTCGAAAATGTTTTCAATTTATTTTCGATTTTTAAATTATATAGTGCCTTCATGTGCAATAACATGTAAAAAATAATAGTTTTCAAAAATTAACCTTTTTGATTTTTGTGAATAGTTGGGGACTAAAATTGTTTTTTTTTTTCAGTAATCATGCCTGAAGCCATCTCCACCGCTTGTCGGAGATGCAACGACCCCCAAAAGCACATGTGGCAGCGGTTCCTGTGGGGTCTGAGAGTGCACTACCCCCACTACTACGAAGCTTACCGTCAGAAATACGACCCCAAGAACATATACATGGACGACATGGAAAGGGCCGTAGCTGATTTTTAAATCTCTTTAATATTTCTCATTCAGAAATAAAATGTGTTACTATTAATTTTTTTTTCTTCTTCTTTCTGGAACTTACAGCGAATATCCGAATATGCAATGCCAAAATATCGTTGAGAGTTTTTCACCGTCTATCAAGTAAACCTCATGCTAGTCTGTTCTCTGTGAATGATTTGTAAAAAATAATGCTGTTAAAATAAGCTTTAACGGTTTAAAACGCGATATATTTTAGTTAAGCAGTCACCCCGCCACTGCTGCTGCAAAGCATCTAAAATTTATAAATGGTATGGACAACGCGGTCTCATTCCGATCGGTATTTCTAACAATTTGTTAAATGTAAAAAAGTTGTTACAGTGACGTAACATATTGTCTCGCGAAGTTTTTTTGGCCTATCATTAATACTAATTTCGCAGCGTATGCGATGAAATACATTTTATGGCTAATTTTTTTACACCTTCCGTTGGTTTTAATAGAAATCTCTAAAGATTTCTATAATCATCTAGTATTAAATATAGCCTATGTAGCTACTCACTGAGAATGTAGCTTTCTTATAAAAAAAATATTAAAACTGGTCCAGTACTTTTTGAGTTTATTCGTTACATACAAAAATTTCCTCTTTATAATATTAGTGTAGATAAAAATAACACCTATTACTTCATTTTCACGTGTTTTCTATGCTAATGTTATTTCTCTCAATTAACGTTTTATGATAATTATGAACAACAAAAGGTCACTGCAACTTAGACCTCGGTCTGCTCGTCCTTATCCTTGCTAACTCATAAATGTACTGTAAAGAACTCGACGCGGTTGTGACCGTCCAATTTGATGGGTAAAAATACAACAGTGTAACTAACTACTGACGACGTATTTACAAAAACTAAAAGGAAAATGTTACAGTAACACAATTTTCAGGTCGTAGCCATAGACAAAAAACAGTCTCGTTCAATGATCGAGAAGTTAATTGCAAGTAATCGCATAACATAAATTATATTAAAAGAGTGGTAGGAACGAAATTCCGTCCACAGATAAAGCAGTAAAGTGTAATCGCGTATAGGTTTTGGTCCCAGGTTTTGTAATATCCAAACTTAAAATACATCGACAGCGCTTCTTGTTTACTTGTTGCTATTTACTATTGTACTGTTGAGATTAAATTATGCTTTATTTTTGTGTTTAGTAATAAGTCTTAATGTGCCTTATAGTAGTGGTAAATAAATCTATTTCTCTCACTCTTTTTCTATTCTGTCTACCATGACGTGAATCGAAGCTTGTCCGTCTTCGACTATCGTAAAAATAATTGTGTGTTTAAGTAAATCTTGATTTCATTGCATGTTTAAATAAAACACTTTAACGGTTTAACTGTGTACTACTCGCGTAAACTATAGACAGTATTTAATTGCATGCTATTTCGTTCACTTGTTTCAGCTATTAGAAACCCAGCATGTAGGTCTATATTGTGATCTTCTGATCACAATATAGATTCCACATTTTCTACATTTCTATGTCGAACTCTTTTTCCTTCAAGTGAATAATGTACAGAATCAAAATGTTGTGTAAACTTTTATTTTGAACATAGAGTACACCCAGTGTGTTACTGCAGTTTATGTAAGAAACTTATTAGTCTATAGATTAGTTGTCTTATTATGAATTATCGTCGGTAGCATCGTGATTACAACTCAGTATCCAGCTACTGCTTTTTCGAAATCTGCAAAGTAAATGTTGTCGGGGTCGTATTTCTTCTGGAATTTCTCATAGTATTCAGGGTGTAAGTTCTTCAAACCCCAAAAGGTACGGTTCACTAGATGCTTCTGTGCGTCGTTGCATCTTCGGCAGGCAGTGGCGATAGCTTCGTTCGCGTTTACTTAAAAAAACATTTTTAAAACTTCTAAATTACTAAAGCTTACAGTTAAAAAGGCTGAAGTATAAACCAAAAAAGGTCGACGGCGTAACTTGTTTAGATGCTTTATTTAGGCTAGGGTACTTCACCTAAGTGAACCAGCCTCTTTCTCTTTCCTCTACCATTAAAAAAAGAAAAGTTGTCTTCTCATTATCTTTGAACAACGTAAACAAAAATTATATTCATGAATTCGATACCGTGTTGCTGGGCTTTAGCGTTGTACATATGAACGCCCTGTATACTTATTTCATACAGAATCACCAATTTGACATTTTGTAATCGCAACCTAAGTAGCATGACACTATATATATAAGAGAACTTGAAGACTGAACAAATTCTAAGCTGTCTTCACGTTTAGCCATTAATCTCAGAATCAAGCTATAATCCAATGAGACAAAAGAGTGCTAAAAACGTACCTTTAAAGGAGGCAGTGAGAGCGTCGCATGGGCCGACGTCCAAATAGCAGTCAACAAATTTTTTGAAACTTGTAGAATCTTTCATCATAGCATCAACATCGTAATAGTCATTGCCAGTTGTGTAGTATTCGATACTATCGGCAGCCACAAATGCTACCAGCGCAGAGAGTAAAATGAAGGATTTCATTATGAAGACTTCTAAAGTTACAATAATAAACATGGATATAAGGTGCTTGTTGTTACATTAGAGATTAAAAGTACTTTTGAAGTAACTATAATATGTGAAGTTAACGAAAAGTGAAAAATAATGAATTTAATTTATTTGTCAACATGTTAAGAGTGAAAACATTTCATTATTGTTTTCTGCAATTTAAACCATCGACAAGTACCTAAAAGGAATAAAATTTAATAGGGTTTGGTCATTTTACTAGCTTAGCCCTTGAAAAAAAACCCAAAAACAGTATATTATCTTGTAACAAGGTTCCATCAGGGAAGTAAATTGTATCCACTAGACTTAATTATATGTAATATATAACCTAATAGAAAAACGCACTCACCATATAATGTATAAGAAGTCCAAACAATGACTGTAACAATTAAAAGATTTCTGTGCAGTTATATACTAATTAGATTTTTTTTTTTGATGATCAGGCAAAACGTCTTAACGTAAAAAAAAATCTAAATAAGAATATTCTTTAATTACGTTCCACCAGATAAGATGCATTATTAATTAAATTAAATATGAAAAATTGTGATTATTGTTCACAATATAGACGGCAAATATTTAGCAAATGTTATGTATATATTTTATAAATTCCCAAGAAAACTGACGCAAATGTTTCGAAGTTGAAGGTATTTTTTGATAGTATAAAATTAGACTACTTTACTTAGGTAACCGATAATTGTTAAGTTTACAGATTTAGTAATTAGAAACTTTAGTTTAAATTGCATAATTAAATTTAGACAAATATTTTTGGTTTAGAAATATTGACTTGAAACATAGGTCAGTGAAAAAAAAATTGGGTGTCCACAATAGTGGATCTCAACACATACAGTGATAGTAGGAACCTATTTACTTACGTAACAATTACCAAACTTCTAACAAAAGAACATACTGGACATCATTAGCTGAGGAGATTCAAGATTAACCCTTACAAAATTGACGCCAAATGATGATAAATTATTATTCCGAGTAAAGCAACAGGTACATCCTTCTCACTAAAAATATTGACTTATTGCTGGTGTTATATTATTTATAGTTTATTTAATGTTACGTATATTTTACATAACAAATACAAAATTTTCATTTTGAGAAGTTTTAATTCAAATTCAATTAATAAATGTATAAATTAACATGTGTTTTTACTTTAAGATTTTAACACTAAATTTCACTACAGTTAGAAATTTACAGGAAATCAATATCAGGTAAGTAGGGTCTACCCAACACGGAAAAACATGGCAAAGGGTCTACGACACAAAAAAGTTTGGGGAACTCTGACATAGGTGAACAAGGACTATGACAGTTGAGTAATTTAGATCAATACCTACCGTTTATGTTTTCGTATAGACATTGACGTGACTCTGTTGAAGTTAGATTTGGTTCCTATATAGTTTTTCATTACTAACATATTTGTTATTGTTACTTTTTACCGCAAACTTATAATAATTGATGATAGATGATAGTGTAACCGAATCAATAAAAATACTATTAATATATTTAAACATCAGTAACAATGACATACGTTGTACCTAGCTGTGAAAATATAACATATATGTCTTATGCGGTATAATCATACAATTTAGTAAAATATAATCGAATATTTAGGTCTAAATAAGTTATCTCAGGAATTAATTATTGCAGTATAATTTATATTCGGAGAATCGTTTTAATTTCCGAAAGGGATTCAGAAACAGTCCAAACACTGGGCCCGGGCTTTCAAAGAGGAACAATAATAAATTTAAAGAAATTAATTGTTTAATTCATTTATTTTATGACTACACTACATGACTAGGCTGTGTTCAACATAAGTTTTAGTCCAGCTTCTCTTTGACCGGTCGGTACATTGGTATTTATATAAATAATTTGTGAGGACTTCGTGATGTAGAAGATAAGTGGAACTTAGTATCCAGCCACAGCCTTCTCTAAAGCAGGAATGTAGAGATTCTCTGGGTCGTATTTCTTCTGGAATTTCTCAAAATAAGCAGGATGTAGGTTCTTCAACCCCCATAAGGCACGGTTCCATAGATGTTTCTGTGGGTCGTTGCATCTACGGCACGCTGTGGCGACGGCGTCCTTCATATTTTCTATAAAGATTAATGAAGTCAGATGGAGAACATTTTTAAAGACGAGAAATGGTGACTATTTCTTATGGACATATATATGATTTGATATTTGTAAGTTATTTAGTTTATTAACGATGGTTCAGATGCATAAACCTCTTCACCACAAAAAGCTAGTTAGCTTAGTTAATTAAATAAAAAATAATAAATAATTACCAAATATAAAAATCATAACTTATAAATTACCCAAACAAAGGATCATTGAGTTTATTAAATTAGGTCCATCATACGTCTTGGTGGTAGGTATACGCCTGGAAGTCTTTATTCTACTAAGCCATTAGTTTGAAACATATGAATTTAAAAAATCGAAAATAAATGGAAACAAATTTCGACTCGGGCAGGACTTGAACTGGCGTCTTCAGCGTTCCGTGCTGTTGCTCTACCAATTGCGCTACTGAATCCTACGCCTCATCGTCGAATGTTCGAATTCAGCTTATTGAAACATGCACCTCTCGCGCAATGTAATTTCAGGCTTAACACTAACGTATTAAGGTTCAATGTCTTATGCTTTGCAGCTTAAGAAAATCATCGAAGAATAAATTACAAAGTTATAACGTTTCCATACTTTAATATTTGTCACATGCTATTGCAAGTGATGGCACTATATAATTTAAGAATTGAAAATAAATTGTTTTTTTCTTCAAGTCCTGCCCAAGTTGGAAGTTTTTAAATTTTGTCTATTTTTTAATTATACCGTGCCATCATGTGCAATAACATGTGAAAAATATTAAAGATCATACATATTTTTACTACAAAGAGACTTACTTTTGTAAGATTCAGCAAGGGAGTCGCAAGACCCGATGTCCAAAAAGCAGTCCATGAAACTCTTGACCTTTATTGGGTCTTTCATCATAGCATCAATGTCATAATGATCGTCATTCGTTGTATAGTATTCAATACTATCAGCGACCACTAGAGCCACCAGTGCAGACAGGATTATAAAAGATTTCATGGTGAGGAGGATCTGTAGAATAAATAACTTTAAAGATTAAAATTTAATTCCGGGACAGAGAGCCTTTAATGCAATTCTTAGCCGAGTTCTGGTAACAACTGTTAATAATACAAAAATAGATACTTTAATTGGACAAATATAACTTATATATTATGGCCACCAAAAACATCAAAGTTATACGACAAATAAATAAACGGCATATATCCGTTATTAATTTAAGGGGTGCCACCAGGGAGAAACCCTGTGACCACTTTTATTTAATTATTATAGAAATGCACTCACCAAGTCTATGATGTATTTGTGTAACAAATAATAACTGTGTCGATTGAAACATTTCTTCGCTTTTATACTAATCTGACATAAGTATTGATGATCAGACTAAACGCATCTACGTGTTAAACTACATCTTTCTGCTCAAGTATTTTTTTTCTATTTCAATGATTGTTCAGCAATTATATAAGAAAATTCTTTAACTGCGTACCATATAATAAAATAAATGATTATGTAATAATATATATCATTTAACATTTTCATGAAAAATACTGACCATAATTATGCAGGCACTAAATTTTAATACGCTCTGTAATGTCTATGGTTTGAACTCAAATTCGCTTGAAGTAAGAAAGATGTATGTATTGGATAATATATAAAACACTTAAATGGCTTAAAAACTAAGTATCACCTTTTTGTTGAATGACAGAGGCATTTTACTAGTTCCGCTGCCGACCTATTTTGGCTTTGGTATATTGAACAATTTGATTCGTCTTTTAAGCCGTTAAATCTTTAACTGTCTATGTGTTCACAGACAATATTATTCCCTATCCAAGTAAAACAAGTAAAAAAATATACTTTGAATTTAAATAAATGAATTTGCGACTAGGACCTACACATGCAAAACGGTTTCAAACGCGAATTATATTAGGTAACCGACCGGACCGACGTCTCGGACGTTTTAAACCGTTAAAAGTGTTTTATAACTAATCAGATATTTCTGTATTGTTAAAGTGTATTGATTAAGGGAGACATTATATGTATTAAATATAATTATTTTGCGCCGTCTTTTTATTGTGCTATTTTGTCCTAATGTCGAAACATTTATCATATACAATAATTACGATAACTACAGGTTCCTTCGTACTTTAATGAAAACGATAAAATATTTTAATTTTAAACGACATTCAAATAATAGATGAAGTCTTACACGATTATTTAGTTTCTTCGCATAATGATCCTATTGTATTTCTCATTGTCGCTAAATTTTAAGTGACCATCGTGGAACGGATCCTGCTATTAAAAAAAATCTGCTGTTGACTTATTTTGACATTCGGAAAACCACTGACTGTATTGGAATTGCAGACTCTGTGGACGGGCAATGACCCGGAGGGAAATTTGTGTACTAATACGATAAAGCTGAAGAGTTTGTTTGAACGCGCTAATCTCAAGAACTGCTGGTTGAAGAAACCAAAAAATATGTATGAAATAATGATTCTTGTTTAAGTAATATAAAACAATATCCGCGACAATGTATATATTAAAGTTTTGTAATATATTTTATAACATATTTGCTCGTAAAGTGGTTGTAATTACACCAATTTCAATATCGTAATGTATCTCATTACGTACCTGTGCGATAATGTAATGTAAAAGGCACGTGTTTTTTTTAAATAAAGTTTTAAGATACTCCGTCTAAACATTAACGATACTTTTAAAAATCTTAGCAAAGAGGTTTTATGTCAAGAAAGTGGTCAATATTTTATGAATAAAATTAACTTTGGGAAAGAAAATATAACCAATAAACATTTAATTCTTTAATTTAATTAATTTCGACAATAAATTACAACCATTTATCTAAAACAAAAATATACTTTATTAGTAATGCTGGCTGTTTTTGTACCTTTGCCTAAAAAAAAACGTTGATGCGCTCGCATCGCTTATAACTGCTTTTAACAATTAATTAAAGATTTATTCGTTTAACTAAACTAGAGTTTTATTAATTTCCTTGTAAATATGTTATAAAACGTCGTATGACATACGTGCACTTTGAAAATTACAGCCTCTGCTTTCTTATAGCCTTCGCCGATGGCTCGGGCTAGTAATATCACTTCGGCTGTAATTTTCAACTTACCGCACTTATATCATAATGTACTATTAAGATTGAATAAATAAGATGTCCACAAAACTTTTCCAGGTGGATGAAGTCGCGGGCACAGCTGGGTTTGAAACTTTGATAGTCTAGCTAAGAAAGCAGAACTGCGAACAAAATAATACTTGACATGTCAGCATTTCTTTATTTATCACGTTCGAGCGTCTAACAAAACATGCGTTACTTGCATATCGTAAGATTGACTTAACATTTGACTTTGATCCCTATTTTAAAGGCAATAAGTTTCTTAATTAATTACAGCAATATAGTTGCGTGTTCGATCTATTTTTGATTCTGTTAGAGTTAAATAAAGAAGATGGGAGTATATAATCATGTAACATCTACAGATGTATTAATTGTGGCTTAGTTCGAGTATAAAAACATTATATCGGTATGTTGGTATTGTTGTATTTTAAATTACTATTTATATATGACAAAACTTATGTGTAAATAAGGTATTTTAAAAATAGTATCAATAACTGTGCCCGTGACTTCGTGATAATTATTTTTGAGATCATATTATTTTTATTTATCTTTCAAACAACCAACTTTAGAAGTTATTGCTTTTACCCACTGCTTTGTCTGCGTCCCGTCGTTCTTACGCGTTAATCTTAAAAGGTTGACTTATACTATCGGTGACTTTTTTATGTAATTGAAGGAAGAATAATTTATTTGTTTTTTTTTTATGGTTTCTTGAACCGTTTTGCAACGATTAATAATTCTCATCATTTCTAACACAATCTAATTCTCCCTCTGTTTTTTTGCTCCTATTGGTGGAACCGTGATGTAGCCTATAGCGTTCCTAGATAAAAGTTTCAACCATCATTTTTTTTTATTTCAACCTGTAGTTTAGCAGATAAGAGCGTTCAAACAAAGAAACTTTTCAGCGTTCCGTAGAGTACATTTTGATTAGCTTGATTTGTAGAGTTTTATTTATGTAGAATTGTTAGAATTTAAAAATAACTGAAAGTTATTATTTGAATTATTTTTCTTTATGCAGATTATATCTCTTGGGTTTGATTATAATTTTGCATACTGTGAAATGGGCGTGTTTGTAATATCGTTAACTGAAAATTTTATTATTTAGATTTCAGACTGCCAAAATGAAGGCTTTCATCCTTGTAGCTGTGTTTCTCGGAGCTGTTACAGCAGACGTTATTTTTTATACAACCGCCGATGATAATCTTAACATGCAGGCGGTAGTAGATGATCCAGTGAAGCTTCAATCCTATGTAGACTGCTTCTTGGACAGGAAACCATGTGATCCTATCCCTGCTAGTTATAAGGGTAAGCTAACACATAAAGTGGTTTATAGGCTTTTTTAATATAGAGGAGTGCAGACAAGTATGGGATTCAATTCATGGAAGGTGAAATACGGCCATGTAACCCATGTCGACCAATTTTGGCTATCCATGGTATCCATGGTATGAATATCGAAATTCCGTCTACATCACGAGTCAACATAAAAACGGTTTTCGGTCTGTGAAATTCCGAACATCCAAAGCCAAAATCGGTCGTTGGAGCATCTTGTTTAGATGTTTTATGACTATTTCACCTTTCCTCTTCGTGTAGGACTCGGTAGCTTAATTGGTTAGATAATAGCACGGAACGCTGTGGATGCCGATTCAAGTCCTGCCGGAGTCGTAAATTTATCAATTTCTAATCGATTTCTAATTTATGTTTCAAGTATCTCAGCATTTTGTTATTTTTCAGAAATCATTCCGGACTCCATAGAAACTGGCTGCAAAAGATGTAATCCAGCGCAGAAACGACTAGCAAACACGTTCTTGATCGGTCTGAAGAAGAAATTGCCTAAAGAGTATCAGCGGTTCTTGGCCAAATATGATCCAACTGGAAAATTCATAGAGAAATTCTTGCAGAGAGTTGAGGGACACTGGTAGATATTGAACACAACTGGAACTGCTTATAAAGACTGATAAATACAATTTATACTTAATAATACCATATTTTATTTTAATAATTACATGCCATAACCATACTATGTACCGTCTCCATAGGATAATAGTTAAATGTATCGATTATTAACGTTCGTGGTTTCGAATCTAGGAAAAAAAAAATTAATTCCGTGGACAGGACACAGAGACTAATCAACTACTTATCTTTAAGAAAAGCGATCAGTGAAACAGACACAGTAGTATAGTCGCCCTATGCGTTGCGGGGGGGGTGAGACTTTTAAGAAACTATAAAATGATATTGCTTCAATATAGTAAGATACAAAGTTACTCATTTTTCAAACGAATACTAAGAAAAAGAAAAATATGGAAATGTACGCGATATGTAAACGGAGAAAAATTAAAAAAAAAGTTTTATATACTCTGACTCCTTGGTTGTTATTACGACTCTAAATTAACAGTTTCTGTTCGAACAAGTAAAAATGTGCGCGAAGACTGTAGAATGAAACTTCTTAGTGGAAGGAGTAGGGGCGAGTTTCTTGCCAGTTCTTCTCGTCCGTTCCACTCCCTTGATATTAAAACTTGTAGTAAATGTATTGTGTGTCGTCAGTTGTTAATTGTTGTGACTTTCATAAGTGTAACTAGTTACCTACGTGAATCAAAGATGTTTGACTTTGACTCGTTCTACTGCAGAATTTTATTTATAATTCTACTAGGAGCTACTATTATTTAACTTCTCCACAGACTATAGTTTCTTAGTGCTACCAGTAAACTACAGTATAGACAGTATCAAGGTCAGCTGAAATAATGATTCTGCGGAATTGAGAAATTTGTAGTTAGTACACACTTTGCAAACAATTGTAGTTCATATAATGTAGTAATTATTTACGCCACACACGTATTTGCCATATACGCACGTTGTTAAAAGAAGGAAAAAGGAAATGGGTTTATCGCAAATAATTTGTAAAGCCTTATAAACATTGCTTCTAAAGTAATCAATGAAATTTACAATTTATTCATGTTGACGTGAGATAAATTGAATATTGATGAAAATTGAAAGGAGACTTGGGCGGCGCCGGCGCGATTACGCGCGGCGTCCGCCGTGACCTCGGTCTTAGGACCGAGCCAGGAGACGTGGCTAACAACCGGCCACGAAGGGCGAGCTGCGCGCGGGAAACACGCGCGGCAGGACACACGGGCGCGGGCATGCGGGTCAAGGGCAACTAACCGCCCGCTCGCGTCCGGCAAGTCTCCCGTGGGCTCTTGGAGGTTTAGTGGGTAGTGGTCAAGCTGGCCGACCCCCACACTCCCCCCGCCACTTAGGTGGCCAGGCGGGGGCGTCGGTAAAGAGTCTATTCCTCCAAGTAAAAAAAAAAAAAAAAAAGGATATTGATGAAAAAATAAGGCTAGCGGCAAATATAATAAGCACGAGATATGATAGCCAAAACACAAAAAATGTGTGCGTGTACTAGCGTACATAGTAAGAAATGAAACTTCTTTAAGGCCTTATTTTTCGCAAAATGATCTACATGCAACTTTCCAGAAATTGGTTAAATAAAGTTAAATTAGATAAAGTTTAAACAAAAGGATTTTATTATCATAGACATGAATACAAATAATACAATTATTTCACTTTAACTTTTTGCTACTAAGATTATTACAGCATTTCATTAATCGTAATAGAATTATTACTATCATTGTCATCGTTATTATATATTTTTATATTTATGGCTTATGGTAACTGAAATATGAAATATATGGTTTACATCCCACGAAATTTAGTGACCGAGTAAAAACTCCATCAATTTGATTTTATTACAAATGTTGTTTAACATGAAAAGACATACATAAATATAAATGCTCAAAAACTCATATATTATAGATAGCTGTACTTAATCATAATAAGTGTTATTTAAAAAAATCGTCCAACTTCTGATTAGGAGATATATACAGTGCAACAATCACAATTTTTATCCCATTTTCCATTTGGCACTGAGCCTACACATAAATCACCAACTGCTGATGCTAGTGACCCGTGAAAGTCGGGAGAAAAAACAGAAAAAAGTAAGGTGAAAGTTTGTATGGACATTCGTGGTTTTTGAAGTTAGAACAATGAAACTCTCTTATTTGGCTTTTTGGGAATAGGAGTGAGAGTGGGAGTGGGAGTTAGAGTAGGAGTGATGTGAGGTGAGAGTGTTGAAAGTAGCACTTACAACATACATTGGCTGCGATAAATGCGCAATTACATAAATTAATAAGCAGCCTAAATAACTAAACTACCCCAAGTCACTATTCCACGCGAACAAAGTCGCGGGCACAGCTAGTACACTATATATAAAAAAAACTAGACTCTTTAAAGGTTTTAGACGCGATTTTTATGCTAGAGGAGGACAGATATGGCATGAGATTCACTTAATAGAAGGTGATATACCCCGGCCTATAGCATCTAAACAAGGTGCGCTATCGACCCATTTTGGCTTTGGATATTCGGAAATCCACAGACTGAAATAGAAACGCGATCAAGCTTCACGGCTTTATCATCTGTGGACGGAGTGTCTATATTCCTACCACCCATTCAATATCTAGATTTCCAGACGAAGCCCCGCAATTTAGAAGACCCTGTAGGCATCGAACCCACAACTCGTCGACATCAGCCATACATTGCTACCATTAGACCAACGAGACCATCAGCGATTACATATCAATACATATTAGTTAAATTTATTTGAAAATTACTTTAACCACGGCCCGACGTTCTGGATGCTTTAACGTCGAAACGTCGCGCCGTTAGTATGATTTTTAAGTAAGATTAACTAATATATCGCGTTTTAATTGGTTATTTGAATGATAATTTGTAATTACATAGTTCTAAGTTTCTATAGAATCATGCTTGCACACCGAAAAATGCACAATGCAAGATTAATACTGACAAAAAGTAAACTGATTTTTGGTGATTACCATCATCAATCATAGTACTTATAATTATATACTACACAAGATTTAGTGCCGCTTAAAATTTGGTATCCGCCCAGACATTATAGCCTAAGAGCTAATTATCTGAATTTTAACCATGTTTATTTATCGCCAGAATAGCGGTTAAAAGTCTGATCTTCTACAATAACAAACCTAGAAATGTGTTCGCCCCATGCCCCATATTTGTAAAAAAGAATCACTTATTTAATTTTTTGTTGTATGTTTTTACGAAATACAATTAATTTTTTTCATATTTTTATAAAGAGTATGTGTAATCTTGTCAATAAATATCTCTGCAATGTAGTTGGTATACACTACTTTTTCCTCTTCCAAACGGACGGATTTTTTAAAGAAATGTTTTAATTATGCGAGGCTATCTTAAAGCTTTAGGCTTAAAGATATGTTTTTAAAATGTGAGGTATAAAAATCGAAAATAAATTGAATAAAAAACTCTAGAGCAACAGCACAGAACGCTGTCGATGCCGGTTAAAGTCCTGTCCGAGTCGATATTTATTTTTTTTTGATTTACAAATTAATCTAAATAGATTTTTTAATGAAACGATCTATTTCGTAATTCTCAAAATGCATAGGCGACTCCTAAACTTAAAATAGATACATAAAGGCTTCACAAAATCGTTTCACAAAAGACAAGGATGCGAAAAAAAGTCACTTAATTTGTCTTGTGTTTTTTGGTGTAACAGCGTGAGTTTGCTATTTTCAATGAAGGTTGCACTGGTGTCAGGTTTTATAAAAGACGATGTCTTTTGGATCACACGTTATAGTATTTTGGATATTCACTGCTAAGGTTGGTAGTAGATTTTGGTGGATTTTCGATAAAATAACAATTGTATTAAAAAAAAAACATTTTTAACGGTTTAATCTACGAAATTTATTAGTTAAAGTATTTTTACTATGGCCCAAAGTCTTAGATGCTTTGCAGCAGCCGTGTTCAAGTGGTTACTCCTGACCACAGCTGCTGCAAAGCTGAAAGATCTGGTTAATTAAAATAAGTTAACTAATGTATTTCGCGTTTAAAGCCTTTAAAAGTTTAAATGTGTACTACTCGCGTTAACTACAGATATTAGTGGGCTCAAAATACGTGTTGTAATATACATTACTTCTACCTAATATGTGTTGTAATAAACATATACATGTTTACGATACATTTGTATATAAGTACTGTACACGCACTAGTAGTTAACGTTGAAATTTGGGAGTTTTTAAAACAGAGAACAATATTTATTAAAAATCATAACAGCTAGTGTAAATAACCGCAAATGCTTAATATAACAATATAGTGACTTTTCGAAAAGTGACAACGTTGTCACGGAAATATGTTAATATCTGTACCTAGGTAATCGCGATTAAAAAAGCTCAATTCATTATTAACATTGAGAACAATTAAAATTAGTATTTTAGTACAGTAAATTATAACTAATGTAATTTAATTTTAAAATTATTTTAATCTTAAATACAATTATTTATATTTCTAATGCGTGTTAGATGTGCAAACATGGACTTTAGATCGCTTTTCATTTGTTTATACCATAATTATATTTAAAGGAACAACCATGAAGGTTATTGTACTCCTCGCTGTCGTAGCCCTGGTTTCAGCCCAGGAGAACTTGGAACAGGCGATTGCTGATCCAGCGAAGCTGCAAGGCTTAGTTGATTGTTTCCTGGACAGAGCGCCGTGTAGTGACGGACCGGCAGGTTTTAAAGGTAAATATTTTGTGAGTATAACAAACACGACGGGCTGGTTTGTCTAATGGTAGCAACGGCCAATCAACGGGTCGTGGATTCCACCCCCACCAGGTCCAAGACATTTCTCATCAATTCATTCCTGGAACATGCTTTGTCTGGAAATCTGGATATGAATTGGGTGGTAGGAACATTGGAATTCCGTCCTGGTCACGAATCTCCCTCCATAGATGAGTTTAATCGCGTTTCAGTTTTAGTTTGTGGATTTCGGAATATCCAAAGCCAAAATAAGTTGACGCCGTGTCTTATTTATGTTATATATTATGTTAACACCATGCCTGCCCTCCTCTATCATAAAAAAATAAGTTATATCCTAATTAACTAGTAATACGTATAATTATAGTAATTGTTAACGCAATTACATACAACGTATTACATGTATGCGAGAAAATTAAGCATCTCATACGCCATTTCAATGTTATATACTAATTTTACAGAAATGACACCGAAAGCTTTGGAAACCAGCTGCGGAAACTGCAATCCTGCCCAGAGACACTTAGCAAATGTTTTCTTCGGCGCCCTGCAAAAGAATTTGCCAAATGAATTTGATAATTTTGTGAACAAATACGACCCAAGCCGACAACACATTGATTCTTTCCTACAAAGCATTCAGGGCGCTTAAATTGTGTGCGATATTGTTAACGAACCTAAAATAAAGTATGCAATTTATAACTGTCTTCGATTTTCTCATTTTACGTATAAACTTCTTATGTCGTAGTGTTAGTAACCTACTTCTCCAAAACGGCTCGACCGATTTTTATAAAATTTTATATGCGTATTCAGTATGTTTGTGAATCGGCTACTCTATATTTGAATACTTTATTATTTTTTACATGTTATTGCACATGAAGGCACAATATATTTAAAAAATCTAAAATAAATTGAAATTTTTTTTCGACTCGGGTAGGACTCGAACCAGCATCGTCAGCGTTTCGTGCTGTTGCTCTCCCAATTGAGCTACAGAGTCCTACCTCATCATCGATTTTTTTCAATTTATTGATTGATACATGCACCTCTTGTGCAATGTAATTTCAACCTTAACACTTGCGTATTAAGGTTCAACGTCTTATGCTTTGCAGCTTAAGAAATCATTGAATATGAAATTACAAAGTTATAACGTTTGAAAACTTTATTTTTTTACATGTTATTGCGCATGAAGGCACGAATTTTAAATTACTCTATATTTTTCATAAGTGATAAGGGTCGTTAACCCTCAACGTCTTTTCTTTATTTTTTGGCAAAAATATTTGTTCTTATTTTTCAGCATTTTAGTTGTAGCATTTAAAAAATATACCAAAACTTTTTACCTTCCTATCACCAACTTCTTTTTTCGTTTAATTAATATATGTACTACTCGTGTAAGTATTTAACTAACTGTAGCTTAAAATTACAGAAGAAAACACAGATAAGTTAACCATAGTAATTTCTACGCCCGATTATAATTAAAAACGTGTTTTAAGAATTTAGCATTAGACGTTATAATAGTACAATATGATACAAGTGCGGTAAGTTGAAAATTACAGCCGAGGTGATATTACTATAAGTAAGCAGAGGCTGTAATTTTCAAAGCGCACGTATGTCATACGACGTTTTATAACATATTTACGAGGAAATTAATAAAACTCTAACTTAGTTAAACGAATAAATCTTTAATTAATTGTTAAAGCTGTTATAAAAATTTGAACAATTTACAAAAGTTATTGCTACGTTGCCAGTTGGCACTTTGAATGTCGTTAAGTTATTATTATTAGTTACAATTTCCCCAGTTGTAATTTACTGTCAAAGTTAATTAAATTAAAGAATTAAATGTTTATTTGTTATATTTTCTTTCCCAAAGTTAATTTTATTTATAAAATATTGACCACTTTCTTGACATAAAACCTCTTTGCTAAGATTTTTAAAAGTATCGTTCATTTTTAGACCCTAGAGAGTATCTTAAAACTTTATTTAAAAAAATACGTGCCTTTTACATTACATTATCGCCCAAGTACGTAATGAGATACATTACGATATTGAAATTGGTGTAATTACAACCACTTTACGAGCAAATATGTTATAAAGATAGATACACAATGCAATATACTTCATAGGAGTAGAAGATACGGTATATATTAAGATCTTTATAACTACAGATTAGTCTATTTTTTAGTCTTAACAAAAAGTTCAAATATTAATTCGGTGCTTAAGAGAACGAAACGAAGACAAAGAAATATTCATCTTATACGTTGTAAGGTAAGTATTTAAAACTATTGCCGTGTGAACAATTCTTTGATATGTCAACCACGTCTTCGTAAATGTAAAAAATATCTGTGGGAGGAGAATATTAATAGATTTAGGACTCGTATTGAATATTATATAGATCGTGAGATATGGAAACCGGGGTCTATATAAGGCGGGCCACAGAAGACTATCATTTATAATTGAACTTGTCGTGTCGTAAGTAAATTCACTTAATTAACAAGAGTGAACGTCATTCACGCAACGAAATTTGCAACTCGCTTAACCTATCCCCGGTGTGGTCCTGGCAAATTATTATTATTTTTTATTTATATTGTTCATTCTGTTTTTCTCCGTGATACGAATCCAGGAACTTGTGGGGCTATATAAATTATCTTTTGTTAATAGTATCATTATAAATGATTTTGTCGGTTAAAAGTGAGGTAGTGTAATTGTAATCTTTCCAGGCTCTAAAATGAAATTTGCTTTGGTGTTTTCCGCCATCTTGGTTTTGGCAGCCGCCGAAACTTACAGTCCGGATAACGACAACCTTGACATTGAGAAGGTGGTATCAGACAATGCTGTTTTTCTGCAGTTCATGAACTGCTTCATAGACAAGGGCGAGTGCAATGAAATTACTTCGGACTTTAAGAGTAAGTACTTATATTTCTTGCGACGACTTATCTATGTGTGTTTTATTAGCCGCGCGTGTCCGCGTAGTTACGTTATTTTGGGGATCGTATTATGTTTGCTAATGACCCCTTAGCTTTATAATTTATTGTAGCTGTTAACAACGACGTCGTCCGCCTTCCATCGTTCTAGCCAGTTAATCTTAAAGATTAAGAATGTCGGCGAATTTCTTTAAAATAATTTAAAAAAGAATAACTCTTTTATTAACTTCTTTTAGTTGCTTGAACCGTTTTCACGAAACGGAGACAGAAGCCCACAGAGATGAATCAATTTCCTCTGTTCTTTTCCACATTTCCCCCTTTTCCTTCGATCTTATTGGTGGCAACTTCATGTTTCAAACTTAAAGGAAATACTAATTGAGCCATTAAATGATTAAAATTAATTATTTTATCATATGATGAATACTACTTGACCTGAACTTATTATATAGACAATGTAATCATTACTTTTATTTTATTTTACCTACCTCTATATTTCGTGCCATTTGTTCTTTGATATTTGCGATAAGTGATGACACCAGGTTATCGTTGGCAAAACAAACAAGTAACAGTCGATGCAACAAAAAATCTCGTTGTCATAATAATGCTTTAGAAACTTGTTAGTACGAGAATAAATTATTTTATACCTAAAGTTTCGACCACCAATGATATTGGCAGACTATGGGTAAGGTCACATTTATCTAACTTAAATTAAAGCTATACAACTTTTACTTTTTATTTATAAGAGAGATAAAGGAATTTTTAATGGTTTGAACTCGGAAAAAATTGTTTAAGTAGTCTACTAAAGCTTATATGAACAATATTGTCATAACTTGAGTACGCGAAACATATTAATGTAATTATTTTTAACGTCTCATACTTGGGATTTATAGCACCGGTGGGCATGTCTATATTTTTCGTTGTAAACCGTTACACGATTATTATTTAAGCTGTACGCGTAAATAAATGGCTTTAGAATAAGATATAGGAAAGTCATACTCCACAAACATTAACAATAGAATTATATGTAATAAAACAATAAGATATGTTTTTTTTTTGTTTTGCAGAAGACATCCCTGAAGCGTTAGAGCAAGCCTGTCTGAAGTGCACTGAACCCCAAAAGCACATCTTCAAGAGGTTCCTCGAAGAAGCTAAAGTGAAGATACCGCAAGAGTACGCAGTTTTCCTGAAGAAATACGACCCTGAAAGCAAATATATAGCGCCTCTGCAGACCGCCATTGCTGGTTTTTAAATTAAACATGATTCGGCAAATGTTTTGAATAAATAAATGACTACTGCGTGATAATTATTGTTTTATTTTATTATTGACAAACGAGAGAAACATCTAGACCCAAGTATTGCTTATTATTTACCACTAGCTGTGGCCGCGATTTGTCCGCGTGTAATAATCATTTCAGCGTCCCCAAATATGTTTGAAGAAATATGTCTATCAACAGAAGATCGTACCCGCAACTTGTGATTACGCAGAGCCTTATTTCAACAAGCACTTACAAGATAATATAATTATGAGATATATAGTCCATAAAATGCGCAGCATTGTGTGAAGTTTATGCAAGTAGTGCAAATTAAAATTAAACCTTTTTTACTGTTAAAAATGCAAAATATATTACTTAATTTATTGTCCGTAGTTTAAGGTAGTTCAACGCATTTAAATAAAACCTTTTTAACGGTTTACAACGAAAACGTGAAATATATAAGTTATTAACCATTTATTTTTTCGTAAGCTTTGCAGCAGCCGTAGTCACGTGGGGACAAGAAAGATATAGAGGGGACATGAATTGTAAATAAGTTCACGAATACAATTCGCGTTTTAAACTGTTAAATATGTTTTACCTATTAGAATAGTAAGTTTTCAACTACGTTTTTAACACGCAGTCTCAATGCAAGTCTTAACATTCATGATTACTTATCAAACGAATATTCGAAGATTTTAACAAAGTTTTGAAACTAAGAAGACATATCTACAGTACAAAGATCAAGTTTACACACTTATGTTTGAATAAACACTGATTGCTAGACCCGTACCGTGTTGGCTCAATTCTTAAGATGCGCGGTAAAACCCACTCAAAGCTTTTTTTATATTCAAAACATCACATAAATAAATCATTTTCTACTGTACATATTTGAATAAAGAACTCATATAAGAAGGTTGAATTCGAAAACAATTCAATTCAACACATTTTCCAGTGAGGCTCGAACAAAAATAAGGTTCTACAAGTTCGAAATTTGAAAATGAAGTTGTGTATTATTTGTGCTTTTTCGTTATTCATCTGTGGCATCGCTGAGGAGTTTTACGATGGAAGATACGATTACTACGATACAGACTACTTAGTTCAGAATCCGCGATTATTAAAAAAATATATGAATTGCTTCTTAAACAGAGGCCCCTGTACGCCCATTGGACGAGAATTCAAACGTAAGTAAATTTGCGATATTAACATAGCTACAGTGTATACGATACGATAGATCCGTAAGTTATTTACAATTTGTTTTAACTACAGCCCGACGATTTGACAGCAGTCGTGGTCACTATGGGACCCCCGTAGACAAAATAAATTAACTCATACTTTTCGCGTTTTAAACTGTTTATTAAATGTGGTCTTTTTTGGCATTCGAACCCGGGTTCGAATACCGAAAGAATGTTGCGTTTGGGCGTTGCCTGTATTTTAAAAAAGACAACTGTTATTATAATAATTGACAAGTATTTTGTAGGGCTATTGGTCTTATGGTAGCAGTGTTTGCATAGAATCAACGATTCGTGGGTCTGATCGTCACCGTGTCCAACCTGTATCTCATCAAATTATATTTCCTCCTAAACATGTCAGACTTGGTCTGGAAATCCGAATGTTAAATGGGTAAGAATATCGAGATTCCATCCGAGTCCACAGACAACAAAGACGTAAAGTCTGTCTATACATTTCCGAATAAGCAAAGCCACCTGTATCATAAAAAAATACTTAACGTAACTAAAAACAAGTATTGTTATATGGATTTGTCTGTACTTGTTTTAAATCGAGAATAATTCTGAGAGCCTTAAAATATTACAAACAATAGTATGTAAATAAGTAGAATATCAGAAATTACTGTCTACAATTTATGCGAGTAGTATTCATTTAAATAAAACACTTTAACGGGTTTAAACGCAAAAAATATTAGTTAGGTTTCTCCGTGAGCACGGCCGCTGAAACATCCGAAACGTAGACAAAATAAGTTTTACTAATGTATTTCGCGTTTGTTGTATTAGTGTTTTATTTAAAATAATACAATGAAGCTTACTATAGTAGTCTAAATGTTAAAAAAACAATCTTTCGCAAAAGGTACAGCGTTTCATCCATTACGTCCGCAAACTCGTAACTCCGTGTTGAGCAAGTAATATTTTTTACGCGAAATTACCGCGAAGTAACCCAGTGATCTTAGCTTACGTTTCAATTGTCCAGTTTTACTTGACCTGATCCGTAATTAGATCACTATGTCGTAAATAACGTTAAAATCCGTTATGTCCTCACTTATTTATAGCAAGAGGTTACATTTTATTATACCATTTCCACTTTATATTTTCATTCTAGCGTAATGTATGTATTTGTAATAAATGATGATGTTAGTAATGTTGCATTAATAATTCTATTATACATAATATTATAAGAAAAAAAATGATTAGCATTTCTATTTTTGAAAAGTTTAATATTTTTCACATGATGGCACTATATAATTTAAAAATCGAAAATGAATTGAAAAATTTCTGGTTTGAGGACTCGGCAGCTCAATTGTTAGAACACGGATCGCTGATGATGCCGGTTCAGGCCCTGCCAGAAAATTTTTAAAATTTATTTTCGATTTTTATTATTTCTATTTTTGCTTATAATTTTCTGTTATTTAGTGAAATCTCAATTTCTCTGAATTTTCTAATTATAATGTAACTTATCTGCCCTGATCGACCGAAACAACTGAAACTATACGCCACCGAACGAGGCACAGAAGTCTGATCAACTATTTGAATGTCACTAAAATCTATCAGCTCTATCAGAAACATTAACAGAAAGCATAATGTAATTTAATTATTAGCTGTTATTCTTACATCTTGCGACTTCTATTCTTACATGGTAGATATATTTTTAAATGCTGTCTATAGTTTACGCGAGTAGTACACATTTAAATAAAACACTTTAACGGTTTAAAACGCGAAATATTAGTTAAACTTATTTGAAAATGATTTTTAACTTCGGCCCGACGTTTCGGATGCTTTGCTGCAGCCGTGGTCACAGAGAGTCATCTTTAGTCTCCCCGTGACCACGGCTAGATATATTTTTTATTATTTCTAATATAGACAAGCTTGGAGTTCATTTGATGGAAGGTGAAATACCATATAAAATCTTAAAAAGCATAGGCTGTATTTTGGCTTTGGATATTCGGAAAGAGACAGATTGAAACCGAAACGCGATTAAATTTCACGGCGTTTCACCTGCGGACGGTGGTAAAAAATATACTTTGAGAGTCTAATGCTGTCTTTTTTACGACAAAGGTCACGAGAGAATACGAGATGGGGGGAGGAGAGGAGGTGGGGTTCATTTGATGGTGAACTTGGTGTGGATGAAGTGTAATACCACAGCTTAACATCTCAATAAGATCACGGACGGAATTTCGATATTTCTGCCACCAATTTAATATATCCCGATTACCAGACTTAGTCCAACGATTCAGAAAATAAATTGTAAGTTAAAACATGTTGGACCTGGTAGGGATCGAAGCCACGGTCCGTTGATTATTAGCTATACGTTGTTACCATAAGACCAAAGAGAACGTCAAACTACGCCAAACGATGGTACAATAGTTCGGATAATCGACGATTAATTGTAACTTTCCAGTTGTTCTACCAGAAATAGTCCGCACAGAGTGCTCAAGATGCACCACATCCCAGAAGAGACTAGCGCAGAGGACCTTCGAAGCCTTCAAAATATATCTACACGATGACTACATTATTCTGAAACACAAACTCGATCCAGATAATAAGTACTTTGCGAAATTTCAAAGAGCGATTTCAAAGGTTTAAAGAACGTGTTTGGTGGTTGTTGGAGACAATAAGTGGGTGAATATCAGGTCAGTAACGATTTTTAATATAAACAATAAAAATAAAGGTATATTTTTATCAACTCTCTTGTATAACAATATATCGCAGAAAAACAAATGACAACAATTACCCAACCAAAAATTACATACTAGATCAAACTCTTTGTAGGCTTATAACCGGTTGCTTCAGTGATATTGCAGATTGCTGATATATTTCGTGTTTTAAACCGTTGAAAGTTTATATTTGATTTAATGTGTAACAGACAATACTGATACTTCGATGCTTTAAGGCTTATAAGCGTCTAAAACACCAAAAATATAACGTAAGTTACGCTTCGGATAGTCTTGGACCACTGCTATATTTGGTGTTTTAAACCGTTAAAGGTATGTATTTTGTTCAATGTGTAACAGACAATACTCGTTCTTTGACTCTTACTACGGAATAAAGTCGACACCCACCTTTCGTGCGTAATCTAGTGCGTAGTACGTAACTTCAATGTAGTCGTAGATCTCTACTATATTTCGTGTTTTAAACAGTTAAAAGTGTGTATTTTAATTGAGGTATAATACAATTCCACTCTTTTTAATACAGATTGAAGCATACTCACAAACACACTTTTGTACACAAATTTTGAAATGACTGTTAAGAGTTTGATACATCTAACAATTGATTTATTCCTTAGCACGACTGTAGTGTAAAATGTAATCTAGTCAGTAATTAAAACACATCGTTAAAACAATACATAATGCTCGTTCAAATCTTCCTTGCTTCAGGGAATTCACACTTGCTCAACCATTTCCCGGCAACATGCTGCGTGTCGAATACCACCGAGCGGATGACATTTCGGCATCAGCACGGTTCTGGCTGCACAGCATTTTCCCCATCATTGCAGCATATTGCACTTACCAAAGGCTCAAATTCCTCCGCACGTTTGATATTGGCGAGCCATACGTAGTCCGCAAGTGGTGGTTTTGACGTGGTGGATATAAAAGCACTGTCGCTCTCTGTACGGGCTAGTTCTTTGGGTCCCTTAGTAAAAGGTGGGTTTGAGTGTCAATTGCTACGTTACGCAATCGCTCTCGTAACGCGTGACAAATACTTCGGACTATCGAGGCCTTTTCCTATCTCTAGTTTTTTACGTCTATCGATATTATAAATTCTACACCATACAAGATCCCCATTGTTCGACATTCTCGTCATGCGTTTATTGTGCTTTGTATTCGCTGTCCTATAATTTGACGACTTGTTCTGTCGGTTCTCATAGATTACTCTCATACTATCTGTAATTCACGCGAGTAGTGCACGTTTAAATAAAACCACTTTAACGGTTTAAAACGCCTTATTTATCAGTAAACTTATTTGAAAAATATTCTAACGGTCTGACGCAGTCTTCCCGTGATCCATCTGCTGCAAAACATCCGAAACGTCGGGCCGTAGTTAAAACAAGTTTGACTAATGTACATCGCGTTTAAAACGGTTAAATTGTTTTATTTAAAAGAGGGAATACAATTTCAGAATTAACAGAATGAAGACGTTCATTGTTCTGGTCTGCTTGGTGCTGTCTGTTCGTGCCGTGGAGAAGTACAGTTCGAAGTATGATAACTTTGACGTGGAGACGCTGATCAACAACGAGAGACTTCTGAAGTCATACATCAACTGTTTCTTGGATAAAGGCAGGTGTACGTCAGAAGGAGCCGACTTTAAAAGTAAGTGAAGACCTCTAATATTGGGACTCGGTAGCTTAATTGGAACAGCACGGAACGCTGTGGATGCCGGTTAAAGCCCTGCCCGAGTCGTATGTTTTTTAAATTTTATAATCGATTTTTAATATGAGAAAAATATTTAAGCTTTCATACATTAACTTATATAGTAACATTTGTACCAGCGTAAACTATACTAGTTTACGCGAGTACAAATTTAATAAAACATTTTTAACTGTTTAAAACGCATAATTAATTATTTAGAATAATTTGTAAAATTTAACTATTGCATTTCGCGTTTTAAACCGTTAAGTTTAGTGTTTTCTTTAAAAATCTTTACTTGTTATAATGACATCTTAGTGAAAACAAATTTGATTTAGACCGAAAAGTAAAAACGGCTTATGTTATTGTTTATGATAATAATTTAATCCGAATATCAAAGCCAAAATAGGTCAAAAACACATCTTGTTTGAATGTTATATGGCTGGGGCATTTCTTTCATCATCTTGTCTGACCTCTATAATAAAGAAAAAATGTTCTGGAAATGTTTCCACTCAACATATGAATCATACTACTGTATTCTGATGTGTGAAGTTAACTTAGCCAAGTAAATATTGAAGCCTATGTTTCATAAATATCGTGTTTGAATACTAATAAATCTCTAATATCCATTGAAGACCGGTTCCAATGAGGTATGCAATATTGACCTAGTTAAAGCGATTACAAAAACTTGACTCTTAAAGTGTTAACATAATCTTTTAAGCCGTATCACACCTTTTCCGCAAGAGATTTAATGTTTGATTGCCTAGCACTGCATTCGGGGAAAGGTGTTGGGGTTCAGATCTCGTGATTAAATTCAAATCACACATTGTTGTGGTTCATGACAGATCTATACTAATAAAAATCTGAAGAGTTTGTTTGTTTGTTTGAACGCGCTAATCTCAGGAACTACTGGTTTGATTGAAAATATCTTTTTGTGTTGGTTAGAGCATTTCTCGAGGAAGGCTATAGGCTTTAAAATATTGCGTTGTGACTAATAGGAGCTAAGAAACAGCAGGAAATGGGAAAACGGGGACGTTTGACGTCGTGCGTATGGTAAAGTTATAAAGAAGAGAAGGAGGATTTGCAAAAGAATAATTTGACGCCCAAAAGAACTTTTCTAAGGGAATGAAGTCGTTGACACACCTAGTAATATCTAATCGTCTAAAATCTGCATTTAATCTGAATAGATATAGTAATAACTTGGGATCAACGATTGTCCTTCGCCCTTGTGCCCAGTCCATGCCCACTTCAGCTTCATGGAAGTCATCCTGATGTCTTTAGCCTTTGTTGCATTTTTTATTATGCTGTGTTTTACTGCATCTTTCAGTTTCACTGCCATAAAGATGAGTTCAATTATTTTTTAGATACAGTAAACATGTGGTAAATATATTATTTATAAGAAAAGAATAAATATATCTTCAATTCCACTTCAGCCTTTAAATGAGTCATTATACAGTGCGGTCTGTGTACTTAACATGATGGTAATTGAGTAGTCAACCAACGACTTCGATGTACATCGCGTTACTTTGCATAAAAGGTCGAGGTTACATTTTCAAGGATAGTCTGGCCTTGAATTTATATGAAAATTAAAAAAAAATCCAGTCTTAAAAAATATAATATTTTGTCAGATTTACTGTAATAATTATAATTGATAGTAATCTAGAAATTTGTAAGAGAACCCAATTTTATTCCATATTTAAACAGGGATGTGTGGAAATAATTTTTGAATATCGAACGGACGTATTTTTGATGAAAATGGACACAAAATACTGTCTGTAGTTTACGTGAGCACACATTTAATTAAAACACTTTAACGGTTCAAATTGCAATATATATTAGTTAAACGGAAGCGTCGAAAACTAAAACGTCGGGTCGTAGTTAAAATGATATTAACTAATATATATCGCGTTTTAAACCGTTTAAGTGTTTTATAAAAATCAACACAGTCAAATCACGAATGAATTGACATTAAATATTTTTTTTTTTAATTTTCTTGCTTTACGTAGTACCTGTGTTTAAAATACTTAAATTTTTTTTCTTTCCTTACAGAACATTTACCAGAAGCGATAGAGACCACATGCGGTAAATGCAGTGAAAAGCAAAAGAACAACATACGCAAAGTGATCAGGGCCATTCAGCAAAAACACCCCAAACAATGGGACGAGCTCGTCAAGAAGAACGACCCATCTGGCAAACACAGAGACAACTTTGACAAATTCATCCAATCCAGTTAAATAATTCAATTTTCTAAGCCACCATAAAAAGAAACTTTAAAATGTAACTAAATTACAGTAATATAAACCGCCTTATAAAGGCGGAACGAAAACTAAGTTCGTGAGTCAAAATACTAGAATAGAAACGGATTTCTTTTGTTTAAGCTAGTAGAGCACATATTTAAAAGACTCTTAACGGTTTAAAACGTATGAGTTACCCCATCGTTGCTGCTGCAAAGCAATCGTACGTCGGGTCTAATATATCTCGCGTTTTAAAAAGATAAATGTATTAAAAGGGATGTTTTTAACGAGCTTTAAATCCGATTTGGTTAATAACAATGTCAAAACGCGCTTGCATTTCCATGAGTGTAATTGGTTTATTTATTGTTAGACGTATAGACTGATCTAATAAATAATGTTAAGATTCATTGTATTTTTCTTTCACTTCTCTCTAGTTCTAATTAGTTTTGCGTTACTATTCAAATGACAGACAATATCGTGTCCTGTCAGTTCTACTTACGTATGAGGCCGCTAGAGACACAGTAGACTAACTGCATATTTATGATTCGGATTGGTTATATTTTTATAGTCTAAAAAAGTTTAATCTACAATCTATCGAAAATTGTTAACGTAATTCTTACATAAATAATTGTACAAATGAATTGTCTCCTAACTCCTTATTGAAAATCATCTTTTTTGGCTTTAGGCCACTCTGCCTCTAGCATCTTATGCGTATAAGAACCTCTCTTTTAATTATATGCAAAAACATTCGGTAAATTAGTTAAGTCACATTCTTATGCAACAGACACAAAATAAGGAATTAAAATAGCGTAAACACTTAACTAAAATTTGTTAAACCTCTTTAAAAAATACACTTTGTTCTTTGTTCGCTATGATGAAGGATGTAAATACGAAGAAGTATGAGGTATCAATAGCCTACAAATGTCTACTCGAACAGTCTCAATTGCTAAGTTATAGAAGATCTTAATTAAATCGATCCTAACGACAAACGATATTCGTTGAGTAAGGCTGATGTGGTTGCATGTGTGTTTGTGTGTCAAGCGAGGTCAGTTGCGCCAGCGCACCTCGCTGCAGCGTGACGTAATCCGTTGTATAATGCGCGTTCATCGTTTAATCTGCGCAATCATTACAAACGTCGTCTAGTTTTAATTTCCCATTGCGATAAGAAAAGATATGTCTTATTTACACCGTAGTGAAAGTGAGGCAAAAGATGTTTATGTCTATGTAACGTAATGCCCAGAGTCAACATAGATCGGCAGCTCATCATTTAAATGTAATATTACTGGAGTAATTCCTTCCATCGTCTGTTATCCTGTGCGATATTATTTGATCGATATTATTTACAAGCTTCGACGGGCTCATCGGGTCTTATGCAATGTATGGTAATAACCAACGGGTTGTGGGATCGATCCCCAACGGGTCCAACATGGTTCTAATCCTTACTAATATTATAAATGCGAAAGTAACTCTGTCTGTCTGTTACTCTTTCACGCCAAAACTACTGAACGGATTTAAATGAAATTTGGTACACATATGGTCTAGACCCCGAGAAAGAACATAGACATACATACTTTTTATTGCGAAAAGGGGGTTAAAAGGGGGGGTGAAAGTTTGTATGGAAATTCGTAGTTTTTGAAGATAGAACATAGAAACTTTCTTCTTTGGCTTTTTAAGAATAGGAGTGGGAGTGGGAATGGAAGTGGGGGTGGGAGTGGGAGTGATGTGAGGTGAGAATGTTGTGGCAAAGTAGCACTTACAACAAAGATTGGCTGTAATAAATGCGCAATTACATAAATTAATGAACAGCCTAAATAAATAACAATTCTACCCCAAGTCACTATTACACGCGAACGAAGTCGCGGGCACAGCTAGTCAATCTATAATTTGTCTGAAACATGTTGGGCACTATCTGGAAATCTGGTTATTAAACGGGATATAGGAGTATAAAAGTTTCGCCCGTGTCACGACACGTTTCGGTTTTAGCCTGTGGATTTCCAAATATCCAAAGTCAAAATAGGTTGTATCTTCTCGAGACGCAGCTGGGGTACACCACCTTCTATCAAGTGAACATTGCTTGTCGTCTTCGATCATAAAAAAGTTTTAACTTTTCTGCCCTGGCCGACCGACACTATTTTGGGTTCCCGCGATTCGTACCGTTCTTGACGTTACGCTAACGTCTGAAGTTTGACCATAGAGCTACTGACGATCATCTAAGGCGTTATCTTTTACATTAATAAAAAAAAAATATTTGAACTTAAGCAGGAAACATTATTAAGTAACTATTGCATTGTATTCATCTTGTTTATTAAAGTACTCAATGCTCCACTTTACTTACATATATTTAAATTATTTTCATGAGACATCAGTTTCATTCAGTTAATACAATCTTTTTTAATATTGTTACTTGGCAGACGTCAAAAAGAGCGCCAGTTTCTCCTCTTGCTTGCCTTCAGGGTCGAATTTCGTCTTCAGCTCCATGGCTAGGTCTGGTTTCGTATTGATTAACGAGTTGATTAGTTTTCGGACTTTATCCTTCTGTATGTCAGAGCATTTTCCACACGTCGTAGCAATCACTTCTGGTAGGATATCTGAAATCATTTTCAATTATTAAAGTGGAACAGGGCAACAAATAGGTGGAGACCCCTTTGTCCAAATATAATAAAATGTAAAAAAATATATAATTGAATTCTTTAGACGAGAGTTAATTAGAATTTAATTCATTTATTCTTTCGGTAACCAGTAAACATATGACTATAATCGAGAATGAGTAACTTGATATTTTTTTTTTTTAGTCTGTAGTTTACGTGAGTAGCACACATTAAAATAAAACCCTTTAACGTTTTAAAACGCGATATATTTTAGTTAAACTTGTTTGAAAATTATTTTTAACTACGGCCCAACGTTTCTTACAGTCTCCCCGTGACCACGGCTGCTGTAAAGCATCCGAAACGTCGAGCCATAGTTAAAAATAATTTAATATATCTTTGGAATGTGGAAAAAATCAAAATCTGTATTAATTAAAACCAATCTAATATCTAAGTGTTACGGTTGACATTTTATTACACGTCCCAATAATTTATAAAGGTACATAAATTATTGGGACACGATAGCTCAATTGGCATATCAACAGCGCAGTTGGGTACAAGTTTGATTCCGGCGTGTTACATCGAACTAACCTCTGAAATCTTGGGCGTACTCCTTATCACAAGGCCCTTTGTCCAAGAAACAGTTGAGGTAAGCCATGAGCAAGTTGTCATCCGCAAGAATCTTATCCACATCAATTTTATTAAACTTCTCGTCATATCCAAAAACTGTCGTTGACATTACAAGAAAAGATACGAGAAACAACAACATTGTTGGTCCTGCAAATGAATAAACACCAATCTCTTAATTACGAAAACTAAATATGTTTCACACATGATGGCATTATAATATAATGCCACATATATATACACTTTTAGGTTATATTATAATCTAAAACTGTATTTTCGTTCACAGCTTTCCGTGCTGATGTTCTTACCACGACACGGTAGCTCAATTGATTAGAGCAACAACACGGTATGTACGCCGTGTTTTTGGTTTAAGTCCCTTACGTGTCGACAATGTTTTCCAATTTAAAAATATTTATAACTCAAAGTATTTACACATTTTGATCCGTTCGTGTATCTGGTGTAATGGTAACTTATTTTCCTAAAACATGTTCGACTTAGACTGCAAATTTAGTAGGTATTAGACAAACCGTTTCCGAAGAAGCGAAACAATTGACTTGTGACTATCGACTAACCAGCGAAGCAGATTCAAGAAACAGCGAACGTACAATTAAAAGAAAATGTGGAATAATATTATTAATAATAATTATTTCTTTGTGTTCAAAATAAAGTGTCCTTTCTTACCTTACTTAGCTGAAACTTCGATGGTATAGTTGAAATTAGTAATACCATGCTTGCGCATGCGCCGAATTTATACTCAAAACAACGGAAACACATAGTTATTATCTTTATCTGCATAACAATGGGATCCATTTGTAATTTTTAGAATCATTTACATTTACAATAAGTGGACATTTAAACGCTATGATATGATTCGAATAGACATAATATATCATGTAAGATTGAATTAAATTGTTCTTCAAATTGATAAATAGTTAGGTGCGATAGCTCCCTATCCTAAAATTCGAGAGAGAGGAGGATAGACAACCATGGGATTCAAAGATGTGCTGTCAATCTATTTTAGTTTGAAATATCATATATATTCAGAAATCCACGGACCTGTTACAGGTTGCCGATAAAGCCGATATCTATCTGGAACGAAATGAGTAAACTAATGTTTCGCGTATTGCGATAGAATTATTACATTATTGCTTAAATATTTACAACAAATAAAATGACTTATTGAGTGGTGTTTTTGTCTGAAATCTGAATACTAAATGGGTAGAAATATCGAAATTCCGCCCGAGTCACGAATCACTGTAAAAGCCGACCGCACATCTAGCTTAGATGTTATATGGCTGGAGTATTTCACCTTCCCTCAAGAGAACACCATGCTTGGCTGGTCTCCTCTATCATAAACAAAACTTAACGTATTACTACTGCATTATATGTAATTAACATCTGGATTTTTTATATAAAAAAATATACTATTTGCGTAAACTAAAGACAATACCTATAATTTGATTTTAAAATATTTTGGACCCGGTTTTTGGGGATCGAATCCATGACCTAGCACTGCACCTTTCGGAATTAAGGATCAAAGCCCTAGCTAGGGGACACAAATAATATATGTAATATATAAAATTCTCGTGTCACAGTTTTCGTTGCCATACACCTCCGAAACGGCTTTATCGATTTTGATGAATTTTTAGTGCTTATCCGGTATCTATGAGAATCGGCTAACATCTATTTTTCATCCCCCTACCACCTACCCTAAGTGTATTTTTTTTATTTTTTGGAAAAAAAAAAAATTCTAAAAATACATACAATCCTAAATCTTCACCCTTCTACGATCAACCCTTATTTTTTAATGGCCATTTTAGTAAAATTATTTATGTGGCAATACAACGTTTGCCGGGTCAGCTAGTATACACATAGAATAATATGAAATAGGTACGACAGGTGATCATAAGGACAGTAAGTATTTTATAATTAACTGTGAACAAGTTTTAAACAAAGAGTTGTTTTATTAAATACAATTATCTGCATGAAATAGGTTTTGCGTAATATCTCCTATAAAAGCAGGACATAAGAAAAACGTTATTTCTATTGTTTCTTAGTGGCACAACAAAGGTAAGATAAATTTGTATAAAACACTAAACAGTTCACAAACTAAAACATCATTATTATTAATTTCAAAACGCAATATTGTTTGGTTAAACTTGTTTGAAAATTATTTTTACGGTGACGTTTCGGATGCTTTACAGCAGCCGTGGTCTCGGTGGACCCGGGAGGGTCTCCCTCTCTGCTGAATCGGCTTTGAATCTTTTCAACACGTTTGTTTGTTATTTAATCTTACCAAGGTTAAATTTAATTAAGTTACCTTAAAATATCATTATAATATAATAAACAAATGACACTTATGACAGTCGGCCAGGGCGTCTAGCATTGTTAGGAAAATGGATATGATTTATAAAGAACCGTTTTATAGAATACATAAAAAAAAATTACATGTATAAAAAATATGCAGTACTTGGCAGTCGTTTTCTAACTAACGTAATTCATATGTAATTCGCAAAAATAAACAGCACTTAGTTTGTAATTCATGTTATAAAAAGCGTCGAAAAAGTATTCATATTTATTTACAATATGTTAGTTTCAATTCATTATTTTGTTTATTTATTTATTTATAATCCCGTTTAATCCATACATGAATTGTTTGAAGTTAGTAATTAAATATTTTAGAGTAATTATTTCAAAGTAGCTATTAATTATTTATCTTATAGTATATTGTATTTTATTTATCAGACTTAATATTCTGGCTAAAACATTGTATTATGCGTCCCCGGAATTCAAACATAGGACCACGTTAAGCAATGGCAGGTTTATAGCTGAAATTGAATGCTGATAGTATCCTTACTTGCTTACCTTCTAGATTTTACCAAAATGAGCTAAAACATAGAAGGTGTAAACATAAATACTGTCCGTAGTTTACATGAGTAGTACACATTGAAATAAAACACTTTAACGGTTCAAAACGCGAAATATATTAGTCAGGTCTCCTCCGTCAACATACCGACCACCGCTGCTGCAAAGCATCCGAAATGTCGCGCCGTAGTTAAATTTACAACTAAGTTTAACTAATATATTTCGCGTTTTAAACGGTTAAAATGCTTTATTTGAAGGTGTAAATATACATCTTAATAATTTAATTTAGTTTCTAAAATATTTATAATAATAACGAAGTATTGTCCTTAATTCATTTGTTTTTGCAGGTTGAAGCAAAATGTCGAAGTCTATCCTATTCCTCCTGGCTTTTTGTGCTGTAGCAGCTGTGGTTGTGAACGGTAGGGAGATAAAGAGTATCGAAGACCTGGATCTAGTTAAACTGCTGCAAAACGAAAAGGAGAGGAAGAGGGTTTTTGCCTGTCTAATGGAGCAGGCGCCTTGCGGAAACATGCAACAGTTTAAAGGTACGAAGTTATAATTTCTTATAAGATGACAAACTGCGTTACATAACGCGTTATAAAGTCAAGGCTTTGTGGCTTCCCTTTATTTTTAAGCTAAGGGACTTTTGTATGTTTAAAAAATCAACTAGCTTAGTCTAAGTTATAACTTTCATATGCTATTGTTGGTTTAGTTTGATTACAGCCATTGTCACTAGGGTACTATACTCCCTTTGTTGGAATAAACGATAATATACTTAGGTTATATATTTCGCGTTGTAAACAGTTAAAAGTGTTTTAATAAAATATGTAATACTCGAATTAACTACATACAATACTTGAGACCTTTATTTCCTTCAAAGCTCTAAGAGCAAAAGTGCTTACAGTCAGTTTAGCTATTAGTTGAAAACTATATAAATTATCATTATCATGGGACAGACTGAAACTGCAGGACTGTACAATTTTTATTCTTGCGGCTTTATATCATCTGCAAATATTTAGAAATGGCAATAAAAATAAGTTTGTTTGTTTGTTATTTACGCGAGTAGTACATATTTTAATAAAACACTTTTAACGGTTTAAAAAAAAGATGTATTAATTAACTTATAATTTTTTTTGTAAAAAAGTGTAAATACATTTCGCGTTTTAAACCGTTAAAATGTTTTATTCAAATTCTTTTCCATTCAGATACTTTATTGTGAGTTTATTTTAATTAAATTAGTCTGCTTATAACTTACAAAGCATTTGTATTCCAAAAGCCATCATTGTGTCTAATAATGAAATTTTTTTACAGATTCTCTAACTGGAATGATTAAGACTGACTGCAAGAACTGTTCCCCCATGGACAAGGAAAGATACGAAATGTTTTCACAACTTCTCGCCGTCGCACATCCTGACAAACATCAGGCTCTGATTGCCAAATACCGAAACTGAATTAATAAATTATAATGTTATACAGATCTTCTTTTTATTTCTCTATTTTTTTACTTATTTACATTAACTAGGACCTAGTCAAATGACCTAAACATTGCAATAGGGTACCAGTTCAAGGGCGGGACCATCATTAATTGCTTATGTCACAGATGACATATACCCGCCAAAACCCTTCTTAGACTACAGATAATAACATCTTTTAATCATAACGATACAGATAAAACCTTTTTTGTTTCGTGGTTGCCACATGCGAATCAATCGAAATCATATGCAAGGAATATTTAATTTAGGGTATAATCTGTATCACTTTGACTAAATTGAATCAAATATTTCGAATAAATATTTAATGTTGAAAGAGAATTTTTAACTTTGATGCTTTGCAGCAGCCGTGGTGATGAGAGGGCTCGCAGTTTAGCATTTTAAACCGTTGAAAGTGTTTTATAAATGTAGTAATCTTACATTACTAACAATAATATTGTTCAGAATCTTATTAGATAACTGAAGAAAACTCATTTTTTGTTAAGGACATTGAAAAACTCTGTTGCTAAGACCAGAATCACGTATAAAATTTAACAGGTTGTCAAACTATTTTGGCTTTAACATTGGAAACTCGTGACTAGGACCAGAAATTGACTTTGATATTTCTAACATGGCTCCTAATAGAAAAATTGATCTTCGGGCAACCAATAGATCAATGTCGTGGACGAAAGCTAGTTTTCAAAATATAAACAATGACCATTGTTGTAACAAGTAACATTTCTTATTAGTAATTAGTGACAATCGCTGATCAAAGTACATGATGACAAAACTTATTCTTGCTAACAGCGACAATATTGTGTATAATGTTGCCTATGTTATACATTTGTCTTACTTACTGTAAGTTAATTTTAAAATCTATTATTATAATGACTGCATACATTAATTCATATCTTCTTGACGTATTTACCTGTTAGATTTAACCAGAGTAATACCTAGAAAATAGTTTTGATGTAATTCATTTTGCCAACTGAAAAAAAAGTTACCATGTCAAACTGTAAAGCAAAATGTACTAATTTTTTATTTAAACCGGTTTGTAATGTTCGAAAATTTTATTACTTTGGTAAAAAGTAAAGCAAAAAAATTCAAGAGCAACCCAGTTTTACAACTTCGTACGCTTTTATACCTCAAGTAACTAAGATAATGTCGAAAGTTTATTTACTTAAATCTTAAATATGTGGATAGATAACAGTGACTGACACTATTTGTATAATAAGTAAAAGGTACCTATAAACAGAAGAGAAGAACTCCTTTAGAGAACGGAACATCCAGATTCTTTTAATTAAGAAATTAAATCTAAAACCGTAATTGGTTATATGGGAAACCTCCAAAAAGCAGACGTCATCGACGTTAATTCTTATAGTATCTAATAATACTATTTTTATGCTTGAAAAACTTTTGTTATTTATTAGACTAGATGCATGCTGCAAAGGTATTTAATAATTAGATTCTCAATAAATATAATTAATGATGTTAGTTAATGCTAGTATACTATAGAAAAACCGAGTAACTATGTACTTAATACAAGTCCCTCTTAAAATTATTGTTAGGATTCAATAGCCATGTGTGTTCTAGTAGGGAATATTTTAAAGCCTTTCAACTTACTAGTGTAAAATATAAATATAATGATATTGTGATGCATATACATTATTTTTTACAGAAATACGTCTGTATGTATATAGCAATTTCAACAATTAATATCATGCGTGTGTTGTATTAGGTCTCCAAAGAAATAAAATTATCTTTTTTCAAAATCAGTCCAGCCATTTGGGAGTGAAATAGACAAACATCTGTTCTCGTTAGTAATATTATTAGAACGCAGTCGATCATGAGTATCTATTGATAATGTTCTGCTTCAAAAAAGCCGTGCTTAGTCACTCGTTCATTCCACTTTCTTCAAATCCGGGCATGTTTTGTATGCGGCCCGTTACATCGACCTCTCGGGTCTTCCACGTGGACTGGTTTAGAGAAATGTGAAATGCACCCCGCGACTGAGATACAACCATAACCACTTCGGACGTCGGACCTTGAGGACTTTCACGCTTCGGTGAGTGAATACGTGATAAGAAAGTGCGATTTACCGCTAACTACGATATTGTGTGTTTAGAAGTCTGTTTTTGTATGCCGATATTATGTGTCTACAAGTTCGTTCTATATTTGAATAATATGTGTCTATTGGTCAGTTCTATATTTGAATATGATATATTTACTAGACCGTTCCATATTCAATTATAATGTGTCAGCTAGTTCGTTCCATATTTAAATAATATGTGTCTATTGGTCAGTTCTATATTCAAATGTTGTGTCGGTAATGTTTAATTATCCAATTACGCCTAAAATTACAATAAGGCGAGTACACTTAGTGAAAATTTATGAAATAAAAACACTATTTAAGGCGAAATATTTTTAAATACAGCCGCGAAGTGTGAAAATAAAATGGGCTCATAATTATTATTATTATAACTCTACTAATACGCTCTTCCGTTTGTCATTTAGTAAATATTGACAAATGATAAAAAAAACTAACGATGTCAATAATATCCTAAATGAGACATACTAAAAAATTGTCAAATCTGTTCTTTCTTTTTAATATAAGGTTCAAAATGGCAACGATATAAAGTTGTTTTTTGGACTATTTTTGTGACACAGATTTTTACTTTACAACAATAATGATATCTACGTCATTATTTTTCAAGTTTATCTTTATGCCTCCTTATTACATATATTGGTTAGAGATTGGGGCAACAGTCCTAATACATACATCCCTTCTCTTTTCCGTTATTTACATTATTTTTATAAGTGTCTGACGAGCTCGTTGGTGTAATGGTATAAAGCAATATCTGGCTCACAATAACCAACGGGTCATGGGTTCGATCTCCACAGAGAAACTTTATAATTTTAGGTGGTAGGAATATCGAAATTTCGTACACAAATCACCGTCCACAGACGCAAGACTAAGTTTATTCGGTTTTAGTAGGGATTTTTTAAATATCTAAAGCCAAAATAAGTCGACAGCAAATGTTTATATGTCACTCGTAAGTGGCTAGGATACTTCAAGTACCATCAAGGGAACCTCAAGCTTGTCTGTGTGTCCAAAAGTGTACATCGTTATTAGTTAGTATTAGTAATGGAGCTGTACCGAATAAAATTATTAAATAAATCTTCACGTTTACAGGTCACAATGAGAACTTGGGTGTTTACACTTTGTGCGCTGACGGTGGTGGTATCCTGTTTCGCTCAACAGCAGTTGTACAACCGATATGATAATTTCAACGCCGACTCGATCATACAAAACGAGAGGATCCTTCTAGCATATTACAAATGCGTAATGGAGAAGGGACCGTGCACGAAAGACGGCAAAAATTTCAAACGTAAGTAATTATTTTTTTAAAATAGAAATTAAATTGAATCGTGCTATATCTCTACCTATTAAGCTACATACTCGATAGCTCAATTGGTAGAGCAACAGCATGGACCGCTGACGATGCCGGTTCAAGTCCTACCCGACTCTAAAGTTTTTTCAATTTATTTTCGATTTTTAAATTATATAGTGCTCACTATGCAATAACATGTAAAAAAATAATAAAGTTTTCAAACGTACGTAATTCTGCATGTTCAAAGCTAAATAGGTCGATAGCGCATCGTGTCAGGATGTTATATGGCTGGGATAATTCAATTTTCATACAGTGAACCTTAGGCTTGTCTGTCATAAAAAATCTATGTAAAATACTTTCTCTGTGTTCGATTTTAAGACACTTTCACTTACCTAGTTAGTTATTAGAAGTAATTAAAAGTAATACTTCAGTATTGGTACACTTTTAGTATGTGCCTTTTGGGAGCATGGGCCAGACTTATTGCTAGGTTTTTAATTATTATAATTTTCACATTTAAATGCACATGATCCCCGGTCTATCAGAAATTTAAGCAGCGTTTTAAACCGTTAAAGGTGTTTTATTTAAATGAGTACAACAATGGGTAAACTACAGACAATGACGTTACATATTTAGTCAGTTTAAAAATACGAGTTTTAAATTATGTAAGTTGCAATTGTGACGGAGTTTTTTTTACATTTTATGGAATATTGTATGCGGTAGTGGCGGCCAATTGGGATTTTTTTAAGCAAACTGTAGAAATTATAGAGGCTTAAAATAGCATGTAATACATATATATGTATCGTAATAATAAAAAAAATATAGTTACTTGTCTTATTGCGCATTATTGTCATAAAATTCGTATTATTCTTATCCCCAGGAGTCTTGCCTGAAACTATACAGACCGCGTGTGGAAGATGCTCCCTAAAACAAAAGGACGTCGTCAGAAAGATGCTTCTGGGAATACGAGCGAAAAGTGAACCCCGCTTCATAGAACTATTGGATAAATATGACCCGACGGCTTCAAATAGAGAAGCCCTGTACAATTTCTTAGTCACTGGAAACTAATCTTAAAATATAATTAATTGCACTGTTTTGATGTATTGTTGACAGCTCAAGGCCATGGATGGTCGTTTAAAGGTGAAAACGTTTTTACTAGAGGGTCTAGCATGCGCGTTACGACATATTTCTCTCACGAATGTCGACAAACTTTATCTTCAATTAAAATTTTGTCAAAATTTAACGTTTCGTAGACAAGATACTTAGACAAAATTAACTCTACTAATTACAGCATTTGTATCTTTTGAAAACAACAAACAAGTGCTCATATTCAAGCGCGAAAAACGGTAGATAAGAGCCATCACGCACTTTTGACCAGTCACCGGCGTCTCAAGTCTCTCAGCGACCAAAACAGAGAAACTCGAACCAAGATACCAAGCCGAGCGACAGTATTCTAGTTATAGTCACGCAGAATGGACGTCGATTACTAACGCTACTAATAAAAAAAACATATTGCATTGGGTACATCCTATGATGCAAGAACAGAAATCAAAAGGAATGTTTAAAGTTTAAAGTAGTTAACGAAGACGTAAGAAAATACTTACCGTCGTATTTTTTTTAATCTTCGTAAATCTTTTTTAATCCCGATTAAAATATTCTTGACTCAGTAAGTCTCAAATTGAATTTTGGGATATTTATTTTCAATATACATTTCTTAGTATCTTTAATTTACCGAGTCGCCGGCGACCAGTCGACAGTGCGTAATAGCGCTTAAGTTTTATCGAAGCGCGCATGTTAGGTTGCTGTTGACGTGAAATTGTAAAGAGCTTAAATTATCTACGTCAGACTTATTTCGCGGGAATTAGGTTCAAAATAAATCATTGTGAACTTTGAAGATTTCCTGTCGATACTTTGGCGTTTGTTACAACTATTGTGATTAAAATGTCCAATTATCCTGAATTGTTATTGTTATGTATATGTATGTATATAATATATATTACATATGTATTTATTCAATTAGCAAACGAATGTTATTTTGAATAGCATTGTTACAATATAGAAGCATCAAGCTTGCTTATTAAGTTCAAGATGAAGGTAAACACGAGTATAGTCCCATGACAACGATTCTTGAAACAGTGCAAATGTTTACTTCCTCATATACCACTAAGCATGTAATGAATAAAATAGTCACGTTACCATATTGTGTATTTTTCGCACACCTATCGCGCCTTACTAAATCATCAGTGATCAACAAGGGCGATCATACCGGTTCGATACAATTAAGAGATATCTGCATCCTAATGTCCTTTTCTAAGAATCTATAGGTGAAATAAAATAGTGCACGCGCTATTAAGCACGAACAGTATCATATAGGACACGAAGGATCGAGTAACGTTTATAGAGATGAAGTTTGCGGCAGTCTTTTGTTTATTTATGGTTGCGTACGCGCAGGACAAATATGATACCGTTGACTTCGACATTTCGGAGATATTGAATAACGAGAGGCTGTTGATCGCATATTCGAAATGTTTGATCAATAAAGGACCGTGTACACCTGAAGTTAAGAGAGTTAAAGGTGTGTAGTTAATTACTAAGTATTTATATGATTTTAATAATCTTAGTTAAACTCTACAATTAGATAGCCTATCTTTATCAATCTGGGGATTTGGTATTAGAGTCCGTAATAATTACGTATATTTCATTTCATCCCAGCTACAGCCGTTATTAAGGCTGTATCTGTAATTAATTTACTACTAGTATTTGAGCATTATCTCTTGTTGTAAAAGTTTTATATTTTAATTACATTGTGATTGAAGAAAACGTAATTCATATCTTAGGTATATTTTAATCCTCTATTTTAATATGACTTATTTATACATTGCCTTAAAACTTAAATGGTATTCTAACTGTTATGCTAACTGTGTTGACTATTTTCTTTCTTCTAATGCACGACGAAAAGTTTCAAAGCACACCCATCCTTGAGAGTGGTACTTCTTGGCTCTCTTCCAGAGGGATTCAAAAGACTGATCTGTAAACTCTTCTCCGGCGTTTTCAAAGATCTTCCTGACAGTTCCAGGGTCTCGTTTCGCATACATGTCTCGATGACTTACCCCAAGTAGAGTGAGGAGACTAGGGCACAAACACGATCTGGCATCCGATTCATGGGGGAGGTATACCCTATCAGCTCGACAGCAACCACTAGGAGTAACTGGATAATCCTTATCAAAGTATCTACCAGATGGCAGACCAGCCATATATTTAGGCACCGATTCCACCCTATAATTACACATCTCTGAATACGTCGTACGAAAGTCTAGGCATTCGTCTGAAATATCCTTAATTTTTGGAAGTTCCGGAATCGGCTCTCGATAATTCAAAACGTGTTGTACAAAAGTCCTATATTCAATTTGGGAGCCGTCAAATATCTTCCACATTGATAGCAAGGGCTCGAGTAGAGCCGGATTGAAACGTATGTACTTGTCCGTGCAGCACTTATAAACAACTTCTTTTGGCAACCAGCCCGTATGCTGGACATCCAAGTATTTTAACCTAAGGAAGAAAGTAGGAAAAAATGATCCCTCGTATCGTTTTGACATACACTTACGCAAGGTATTCAAATGTTCTAAACATTTTTTTAACTGACTTTTCTCAGCGCTTATTTTGCAACTGGATAAGCAATCGGGTACTCCGAAGGTACCTGGAGGTTCTATTTTTCCAAATGCGAAGCCTTCTGGTACGCAATCAATATTATTATTAGGATCCAATGTTACACCCAATTTCGGAGTAGTTCTTTCAATAAACTGACCTTGTATCGTAGACATTGGTTTCTTTGAAATGTTTCCAGGCCTGATTCGATCGTCAGTCAAGCAACATTTTACTTGTTTACTGGAAGATCCGGCTTTTGTTTTCATTCCAAAAGTTTGATTTGCATCAAAGGAACAATAGTTGCGAGTTGATTGGTAACTACATCTCTTCGAATGAGGGACCTGTCCTTTAATAGGATACTTAGGTAATATGACGTCATAAGCCCTGGGACACGGTGGATTCTTTTTGCCCATAGTAGTTGCGTAAACATTTAGGCCATTTGGTAAATTTGGTTTTGGATCCGGTACTTTACCGACTTCTTTTTTCCAGTACGACGTGTACAAAGTATTTTTGAAGTCTTCAACGAGGTTTTGAAACTTTGTTTTCATGGGTGGATTAATGAGATCAGTTCCTTCTGAGAAGATACTTGCGTTTCTCATGTCTCGTTTTGGTGTTTTGATTTGTGGTAATTTGTTCTGCTGAGCGAGTTGAATGGTATCATTTAGGAGAGAATTCACATGATCTTGCAGTAAATAGCATGGAAGGATGCTAGAAACTGATTCATGGTCTAAATATGGCAGTCCAGCGGCGCAAATTTTAGGATCCCGTCCAATAAACATGTTTCTATTACCTTTACCACCACAAACTTTTGAATGTCTTGCCATGGTTTTGTATGTTATACTTTTATCTTTTCTTATTCATCTAAATTCCTCTATTTGAATTATTACTTAAAACACTTGTAGCTACCGTAAGAATAATAATAAAATTGTTTTGAAAAAACTCAATAAAAAGTTTGACATGATCATCAAATCAACTATCTTTATGTATCTAACGTAAAAAGAGTATTTAGTTTATATACTTTTATGCTTTGTTTTGAAATTTTTGTGTGTGTGTGTTACATTTGTACTTATTTGATTTTTTTTTCAGATAAGGTTCCTGAAATTCTGGAAACAAATTGCGCTAAATGTACAGACAGACAAAAGTATCTTGGAAAAACGTTAGTTAAAGAAGTTAAAGAGAAACACCCGAAAATTTGGTCTGAGCTGGTCACGTTCTACGACCCACAAGGAAAATACCAACAAGCCTGGCATGATTTTATTAATAACTAATGACACAATAAGATAATTAAAATAATTTATAATTTTTCCTATTAAAACAATATACATGTAAAAATTGTTTTATTACATCCTATTGTGTTACTTCTTTGAATTCTCCAATGCTCGATTGAATGTTTCATAACAAACCCAGCCATTCGAATGATACTTTTTAGCCTCTTCCCAAATTTCATTAAATTTTTCATCTGTAAAAGTTTCACCAGCGGCTTCAAACACTCTCTTCACTGTTTGTGGATCTCGTTTTGCATACATATCTCTATGATTAACATGAAACAATGTTAAAATGCTGGGATTAAGGCAAGCTTTCATATCTGATTCGTGGGGAAGGCAAGTTCTATCGGCTCGACAACATTTTTCTGGTGTTACTGGATAATCTAAATCAAAATATCTACCAGAAGGCAAACCAGCCATTCGGCTTTTATCTTCTTCCTGTCCGGGTGTCACCATTTCAGTATAAGTTGTCGAAAAAGAGAGACATTCATCGGGTATATCAGGAATTTTAGGGATTTCGGGTGATGGTTCTCGGTAGTTAATAACGTGCACGAACGTTTTGTATTCAATATTTGCACCGTCAAAAGCATGCCACATTGACAACAATGGTTCAATTAATGACGGATCAAAGCGAATAAGTCTTACCGCACATAAGTCATAAACAACTTGTTTAGGTAGCCAGCCGGCCTTTTGTTTGTCGTAATATTTAATGTTAAGATAAAATTCACGAAAAAATGTGGGAAGGAAGCGTTTTGACAGTGATTTTCTAAGAGAGTTTAGATGTCCGAGGCATTTTCTAAAAAAATCTCTCTCGGGATTCAGTTGACAATACGATAGGCACTCGGGTAAATTGTCAGGTGGTTTTAATTTTCCAAATGAATAACCCTTGGGAACATTATCTATATTATTGTTCGGTGCCAATACTTCGCCAATTCTAGGCTGATGAGATTCGAGGAATTTAGCTTGAAGTGTATTCAATATAGTTCGGGTTCCGTTTCCTACAACGACTCGGTCATCTGTCAAACAACATCTTGCATAAGTGCCACGTTTATCAACATAAGTTCGGTGGCCAAATGTTAGTTCCCGATTGTAAGGTGGAGAACAATAAGTACGCTTTAATTGCACTCCAGCCTCTTTTGCATGTGGCGTTTTATCTGGAGGTGGGACTTTAGGCATAACTATATCGTATAATCTACCGTGGAACGCAGTTTTCTTGCCAAACGTTGTACCAACAGTATCCATGCCATCCGGTAACATTGGTACGGGATCGCGCACTTGACCGAGCGGTTTCTTCCAATACGATGCATAAGAAGTGTCTTTAAAATCGTCAACCAGTGTTTGGAACTTGGTTTTGATAGGGGGATTGATAATTTGGGCTACTTGACCAAAAGGGCCCGCGAACCGTTTATCTAAAGGAATCGGATGACGTAACGGTGGTAATGGTCTTGGGGGCTTTAGGGGCAGGATAGCATCGCCCACCAGGGCGTCTACTTCATCCTTTAACAAATAGTGTTGCAGAGAATCTGGAACTTTATCATCTGGTTGAGAAGAAGGTAATCCGGCCGCGCATATTTTTGGATCTCTTTCTATAAACATTCCTATGTTGCCCTTTCCACCTGATGTAGACCTTTGGCAATCGACCGGCATAGTGAAAGAATAAAATAATATAAATTCAATGAAATTAATAATAGATCTATAAACTAAAAGAATTATAAAAACAAACGTAGGTACGATTGACAACAAATGTAATTATGACGTGATCGATGACAATTATATTTTATTTTACTATTTGCATGTAATTGTTATTAATAACTATAATTAAACTTTGATTCTAGGTAGACCTTATCTATGGAAATCATAATATATGATTCTAGGTACATCAACTATTAGTTTTTCGAACTAAATTTATTGTCTGATGGAATGTAATTTTTAAATCCGTTACAAATTTCAACCAAGTGTAATGTCCACTTTTGATAGTATTAAAACGTTTTCTTTTTAATTAGCGAAAGCTTGACCGATGTGAATTGTTCTATATGCCGCCAAATGCAAAGAACAGTTGTCAATACCACTTTATTACATTTATTTAAAACAGTTGAAAGCGTTCTACTTTATTCTCAGATTCGGCTAACGGTCGAAGGCTGTTTCTAAAACCGATTATTCGGCTTCATCTTTGACAAAAACTATCTCTAAGTTACTATTAGAATAGATAGTAAAATTTTACACGCTAATCTCTAATCATTGGACCATTTATCGACATAGGCTTTAAGCTATATAACCTCACGCTTGAAACTATTTGAACTAAATTGAAAGAAATGAGGAATAAACGAGGACAATTTATCCCCGTTGCTTGAGCTGTAAAAACGATTCAAGATAAGTAAAAATATGTATGAAAAAAATTACTTTTGTGTCAATAATAAAAAATACGCGATAATATAGTTTTACCTTTTAAGACTAACTCACAAGAACCGTTTTTTTTGTTAAGCACTTGTCGTCGATATATTTCATACTAGCTAAGTCAGCGACTTCGACCGCGAGGAATAGTTATTTTGGGCAAATTTTGCTATATGGCAAAAATTGTTGTCTGTCACCGAACGACGGGTCGCGTCTCGTCGCTCGCGACCCGTCGTTCGGTTCCCGTCGTTCTTGCGAGTTCATCTTAAGAGATAGACATTTTTTTTATAATTTAAGGAAGACTAATTCTCTTATACACATTTTTCGTGTACCTTGAACCGTTTTCGCAGCGTACGTAATGGAAACCCTGCAAGATGAATGATTTCTCCCGTTTTTGTCACATTTCCCGCTGTTTCTTAGCTCATATTAGTCACAGCGATATGTTTTATAGCCTATGGCCTTCCTCAATAAATGTTCTAACTAACACTCTAAGAATTTTTCAATTCGAACACGTAGTTCTTGAGGTTAGCGCGTTTAAACAAACACTTCAGCTTTATATATTAGTATAGATGGCACAACAAATAAATAAATTTTGAATTGATAATCGTCTAATAATTCTTGGCTATGTTAGCGTGTCTCCTACCGTATGAAAACAAACAAAAGATACTAATCACCGCATCACAGCACTATGATTAACTGATTCCTGTATGATCATATAATCACAGTGACACACACTTTATATATACGAGAAATGCTATTATGTCTTTCAGTAATTTTATTTTGGGCAAAAGACCAGCAGGTAAGACATAAGCTAAATATTCTGTTTACCTAAGCATTGTCTGGCTCAGTATTAGGAATTTTTCTTAGAAAGTTTGAAGTTAGAAGTAAATATTACCATACCCGTGTCTCGAAGACGTTAAGCCGTTGGTCCCAATTATCATCACTAATTTCATGGAAGCTGTCGTTTAAGCCCCCAATGGCTAGAAAAGCATAAAGGGCCTAAGTTCTTCAAACCTTCTTCTTCTTTCTAATAGAAACCGTTTTCTTTCTTTCTTTCTATGTGAGAGATCTAGGCCCAGCTGTGGGTTATATAGGTTGCGATAAAGTATTGTCTGTGAATCACAACAAAACGTCGGATGGTAAAAAGTTAATAAGTTAAAAACATTTCTTTTAAATAAAACACGTTTAACGGCTTTAAACGCAAAACTTATTAGTTAACTCATTAAAAATTGTGTTTAACTGGGCCATACGTTTCGGATGCTTTACAACAGCTGTGATCATTATGGACAATATATTTCACTTTATAAAAATATTTTATTTAAGTTTGATTACGTATTTACGTCTATGTGTGTTTCCTACTTACATAAAAAAATCCGATATATTTGTATATATGTTAAACTAATCATTAAATTTCCGCCCTTCCATAATTGATCTGTGCCAGTATTACATACATACTCTGTAAGACTTTACTTCATAAGATACATAGTCTGTGATGTCTCTATTATAGAATATATACTCTATGAGTTTTTGGTACAACGTGTGTAATAGTTTTATTTAAATTCCTTTAATTAATATTAAAGTCATCAATATATATTTTGTTATTAAAAATTTTCAGTACCTCATGCGAATTATAATATGGATAGTATCAATGGTCTTAAGTTTGGTGATGGCTGATTTCTACGATCCACGATATGACGATTTTGATATTGAACCGTTGTTACAAAACGACAGGATCCTACAGGGCTATACAAAATGTTTTCTTGAGGAAGGTCCGTGCACACCAGAGGCAAAAGACTTCAAAAGTAAGTTTTCTTTGAGTTTAAATAGTGTAAGAAATTAAATTCGAGGCTGAAATAAAACTCAACTAGGATAGAAGTACATCAGCACATTTGAACCTGATAACCCGTTTTCCCTTTTTGGGGCATGGGACAGATTGATGTTTGGATGAGGCTTTTAGATAATAATTATCACTTAATGACCTACTTAAGAGACGAAATATATGAAAACATAATTTTACAATACTCTTACACTTATTTAAACACAAGCAAACGAAGACTAGGTTGCGAAATTAAATTGAAATGTTAATAATGTTTTGTGTTGTAGTTTACTAAATGGTTTTAAACGGAATCCCCTCGTAACCAAGATTGCTTCAAAGGATCAAACTCGTACCGTCGTAGTTTATATATTTCGCGTTCTAAACCGTTTAAAATGTTTATAGGGTTTATGCGAAGTTATAGTTTATATCTAATAAGAGTAAATATTTTTTATTTCATTTTTTGACTTGCTAGAAGGTAAGGTGTCAGCAATGTAACATTTAAATTCGTACGTACGTAGTTATATTAACAATTATTCTATTCTATGATTTTTAATTACTTCTAACTTCTCTTATAGAAGCAATACCTGAAGCACTGGAGTCTTCTTGTGGAAAATGCAGTCCGAAACAAAAACAATTAATAAAGAAGGTTATAAAGGCTGTTATGAATTCGCATCCAGATGTCTGGGAACAACTTGTGAGCAAGTACGACAAAGACAAAAAATATCGAGAAGAATTCGATAAGTTTTTAAAAGAAGATTGAATTAATTATATACTTTTGTTTTTTGATTGAAGCTTATTTCTTTGTTTATAATGGCTTGCAATTCTCAAATAGCCTACGTAATATATTCAAAATATATGTAATATATGTCTATAAACGTAAAATTCTTAATATTATGAGAATGTTTTTTCTCCAGGTCTTCATAAATCACATATCGCTTGCTATGTCAAATAGCTTAAGTTTTATTTCAATAAAAATACTTTTAGTTTGTATATATTTTTTTATTAAACATCATACACCAATAATAAAATCAATCAGAGCAAGCGTACTTAGTAATTCGTATTGCGTTTCAGTAACCTTTGTGTTCAGATCGCAACACACCTTATTTTTCTTTGACCGCCTCGATTCTGTCCTTGTACCTCTCTTGGTAAAGGTTATCAGGGTCGTATTTAGTCGATAGCTCCTTCCATAGCTCCGGGCGTTTGTTCACCAAGTGCCTGATCACTTTGTCTGCGTTCGTCTTTTGTTTCGCCGTGCACTTCTGGCATTCGTGCTCTAGGGCATCAGGCAAGGTTTCCTTTAGTGTTTTGGCGTCTGGTGGACATCTGCTTCTGTCCATGAGACAATCGACGTATCCTTTCAATAGCCGGTCTGATTCTAACACCTCTTCGATGTTAATGTTGTCATATTTGTCTGTGTATGACGAGCCAGGTTTACCCCAAGCTACGGCGATGCAGCATAGGCCTATGATAATCGCTAACTTCATGCTTACTCTGGAAATGAAAATATAGCCTATTAGATTCTTATATAAATTTCATTTCCTTCAGTGGTGCATGGGGCGAACACATTGTGTGCTCGTTTCAGAAGTTGTTTTTCATCGCAAGCAAGAAGTTGATCAGACTTCCGGTACTGCTTACCCGACACAATTTAATGTTTCCCTGGACTGCAAATCGGGCTAGTCGTGATAACACAATTTATAGAATTGGTTATATTATATAAACAGACATTATAGATTATTAATTCAAATTGAACCAGTTGCCTCACTGCCCGCAAGTAAGAAATATCTGAAATTTTGGTGGCTTTTGAGTAGTGTTTGATGTATTAGTATAAGACACAGTAAACAATAGAAAATATTTATGTATGTATATATTAATAGCTTATGTCCAAAGGAACAAAAAAAAAAAAATTTAATCATAAAAAATCCCGTGTCTTTTATTTAGCTGTTCTCTAAAATAATCTGGACAGATATTTACTCATAGTTTAATCCATTTTATATACCTAGCCGAAAAATACCTTCCCTTCTTTTATGTCAGAAAATATTATATACAATTTAAATAGACAGTAAATAATAACAGAAATAAGAAAATTTTCTCTCTTTTAATTTGCATATTAAAATGATTATAATAAAATCTCAGAGCCCGTATAAAAATATTAATGCCTACATCTCAATGTAATTACATATGCGACTTGTCAATTTTATGTTAAACAATTAGTATAATTCCTATTATTATCCATTGTTCTATTGTGACACGATGTTCATTAAAAAATTACCTCCAAGATAACAAAGCTTTATAATAAAAAAATTCATATATTTTTTTACGGTATACCAGCCGTTAACATACGAGTTACGGATTATCCATTTTTGTTTGCTAACATCACAGCTTCGTGCGGATTCAATTCTTCGTTTTTTTTTACGATAGAGGAGGACAGACATGGGGTAACGTGACGTAAAGAGGGTGAAGAACCCCCGCCAATAAAAACCTTAAAAAAAAACCCTCCCCGGCCTATTTTGGCTTTGGAAATTCGGAAATCCACAGACTGAAACCGTAGACGGAATTTCGATTAACCCACCACCCGTTCAATATGCTGATCCCCAGGCGAAGCTCAACATGTATTACATTATACAATTAAAAAAATTGTAAGGGAATGAGGCATTTTCTCCAATATAAAGGATAACAAAATGTTCTTGAGGAATATCCGTAAGATATAATATTTACTATTGCAGACTTCTTTGTTGATCTTTTAAAGGTTAACATTATTTTGATTTATCTCTTCTATACCTAATTTATCTAAACAGGCAAAACCGTAATACTACTCTTCTTAGGATAGCTGCCTTCCACTAAAATTATTTTCAAGTTTAAATAAATCCTCATACCAATCGTATCATCGTGAGGATTCAACAATTGGGACGCGTAAAATAAATTGAACAAGTATCTCGCTTGAAAATAAACAAGAGAAATTGTAATGTATTTTTTAACTGGTCTGTTCATGATATTGTTGTCTAAGGTTATTGTAAAAGATATAAACCTCCGACTACTCAATACTGACGGGGCTGGTCTAATGGTGCAATGTAAAGTTAATAATCAACGGGGAATTCGATCTCCGCCGGATCACCCCAAACATGTTGGACTTCTTTTATTCACGGTTTAAAAGCGATATATTAGTTAAACTTATTTGAAAATGATTTCTAACTTCTGCCCGACGTTTCGGATGCTTTGCAGCAGCCGTGGTCACGGGGAGCCGTGGTTACGAAACGTCGGGCCGAAGTTAAAAATCATTTTCAAATCAGTTTAACTAATATATCGCGTTTTAAACCGTTAAAGTGTTTTATTTAAATGTGCACTACTCGCGTAAACTATAGACAGTATGTTGGACTTCGTCTGAAAATCTGGATGTTAAATGAGTGATAGGAATATAGAAATACTTCAAAAGATGAAAAGGCAGTGAAGCTTAATCGCGTTTCGGTTTTAGTCTATGGATTTCCGAATGTCCAAGCCAAAATAGGACGACAAAGCATCTTGTTTAGATGCTATAGGCACCTGTGAACCCAACGCTTAGCTCAGCTATCATTAAAAAAATAGCTTAAAAGATATGGCGAATGTTTACTTACAATAAAAAAATATCTCCAAGTGAAGTCTATACAAATCTAGACACAACTGTGAGGATCTCACGGTTACCTAAGGACATTTATACTTGCTTCATTGCTTACAATTAAAACGCGTTGCGTTGTTCATAGTGTCAAAGCGTCATAATTTATTCATTAAATTTATTAGACAATAGCCGGCAAGCGGAGAAGAAAATCTTCGTTAACAGAGAAAATTCTCATGCATTATGCAACGACGTAATTATTGTACCTAATGCATTTTCGTGTGATAGATGTGCGAGTCAGAATAAAACACATTTAACGCTTTAAAACGCGAAACATACTAACTTATTTTTCAACATATAATTCACGTTTTAAACCGTTATAAGTATTGCATTTTTAAGTTCGCGTAGACTATAGACAATACTTAGATGTGTAAGTCGTTATTACTTACCACAGACTATAAAAGATATATTTCGTATTAATAACGAAGTAGTATTTATTTTCGGATAATACCGCGCTTTAACTCGTAACGAGTCTTCGCTTCAAATTAATTGAGTATTAAGAAATACCTTACACTTACTATGTTTAAGTTATCTATTTTGTTGAGAGGAACACGCTTTTTAACTGTTTATAACCTTGCGTTTAAACGTAATTATTCAGTTAAATTAATTGAAATGTTTTAATTAGGCCCAACTAATTGGGCTTCGGGGCCCGGGGACTTCCGAAAATATTACTGAGTCGGTAGTATAATTGGAATAAAAGATATATATTATGCGTTACCGTTAAAAGTATGCAACATCCTTGGCAAGGCATTTTTATGATTTTGTTTCTGTTTTATTAAAATACAAGTAGGTACATGCTATTTTCTAAATTGTTGATTGAGATTTCTTCTCAAATTATCCACGTTTATTTATTTTCAAGACATTTTAAAGAGCTATAAGTATGAGAGAAATTTAAGTCCACAACACATATGAAATGTTAGAAGGCAACCATTTCACATCGAATTAAGCGAAGCCCATGATTTCACATACACAAGTTAAATTTTTTTACGACGCCAATATAATTGTTTGTTATTTTGATGTTTGATCTTTTCTACGTATAAAAAAATATAAAAAAGCCTTTATTCCATAAATTACTATTATGTTATGAAATATTTTAAAATGAAATGAATGTTTACAAATAGCTGTCATGTACGAGATTATTTAACAGCCAAACAACTAAATTTAACTACACTACATACATCGAAAATCTAATTTATTATACCTAAACAATACCACCGGCTCTGTAGAATGTAAACGTGTTGCCTAACATTCCGTTAAGCGTGAGAGGTCCTGGGTTCGAATCCCGGGGAAACAGTAAATTATTTCGGTCGGGCAGGGCACAGAAGTCTGATCATAAAAAAACCGATCAGTGAAACGGACACGGATGTGGCCCTGTGCCCCACGAGGAGAAACGGGATCTCACTCAAAAACAATACCTACTATCTACTACTTTCCCGACCCGTCATGTTTTCCCAAGATCAATTTCAAGGCTTACAGAAAATCTTGACTTTGAAATACATGTACATAAAAGCAAGGCAACGCGTATAAATTAATTTACAATTAAATAAATATCGTTTTAAAACACAAGTATTTTTCTTCAGCAGAATAAATTTGTTTCGCTTGCGAAAGGAGCATTTTAATTGGCTAGCCATTGTTTATACTTGAAGTAAGAAGCAGCTAAAAGTCACTACAAAATAAGTAAATTAGATAACAAGATACGAATGAGCAATAATTACATTCATATTATTACCTACTTTGTCTTTACGGTCAAGATCATATTATAAATACTATCTTTACTAATATATACCGTCTGTTTGTTTGTTTGAAGGCGCTAATCGGTTTGCAAGTTAATTTTAAAATATAGCAAAGAGAATCATTATTTCACATATACGCTTTGGGTTATCTTGAACCGTTTTCACAGCGCAACGAAAAGGCCAATGACAAATGCTCTAACCAACACAAAAAGCATTTTTCAATTCGACTGCGAACCTATTTGGGCTTTGGATATTCGGAAATCCACAGACTGAAAACGAAACGCAATTAAGCTTTACGGCGGTTTAATCTGTGGACGGTGGTTCTTGAACCGGACGGATATCTATATTCTACCATACAGATATCCAGACGAAGTGCGTGTTTCAGAAAATTTTAAATTCAAAAATAGAAGCACGTTGGACCTGGTGAGAATCAAACCCACGGCCCGTTGATTATTAGTCATATATTGTTATCACAGCACACTATTGTATTCATGTATGTCTCATTTATTACCAGGTATTCGTAGGTGTAATCTAGTTCAATATTATGAATATGGACAAGTGGCCTCTAGCTGCCAAGATAATCTCGCCAGGTCCAGCGAATGACTCTGAAGGTTGATAAGCCCATTAGATTGTCCACACGCATTGATTCCTCAGTTGAGTTAATTTATGTAGCTGTTTGTGTTAACAATAGTACAATGCGTAGTACAGTACAACAGGAACAGTAGCACAAAGTTAAGAAAATGACGAAATCAACAAATATTTTTAATTAAACAAAAAATAATGAACTAATAATATTTAACTGTCAGATTATTTGTAATAGTACATATTTACAATTCGAACGCGCTAATCTCGGGAACTACTGGTTCGAATTGAATAATTATTTTTCTGTTAGTTAGAACATTTATCGAGGAAGGCATGCTAACATTGTGCTATGACGTGACGATGTGGGTTTCCATTGCGTTCGCTGTGAAAAGGGTTTAAGAAACCAAAAAAATATGTATGGAAGGATCATTCTTCTTTAAATGATCTAAAAAAATCCGCGACGCTATATGTCTATCTTTTAAGATTAACATGCAAGAACGACCCGAACGACGGGACGCGTACG